AGCAACAGTAAGAAATAAGCTCACGGGAATGGATGACATGGCTGCAGCTTCGAGGCAGCCGAGACAAGGCAAAGCGGCGCGAGGGCAGACATGGACGAGACATGGACGACATCGGACATCTGAGGCAGTTGGCAACTAGCAGTGGGCAGCTGGCAGCTGGCAGACCGCAAGTGCACTTGGCAGCATCGTGCCTGCCTAATTGAACCAGACATATGCAGTCGGAGCCGAGGAAAGGGAAGGCGCGACAAACCATGATGGAGTCAGTCAGCTTGACAAGTCCAAATGTCAAGTGTACATAATGTTTGCAATACTTACAGACTGCGCGAGGGACGACTCCAAACGCTCTCCATCGATGCAAATGGTTCTCGCATCAGCTGTCATGCATCCGTCCCAACAACAGCTGCCGAATTGACCGACCGATGCGTCGGCCGGAGCATCCCCATGATGACTGATGACGCATGTCTTGATTGGCTCCCGTTGGTTTCTTTAGCTTCAACTTGGCCCCAACCGACCAAAGGCCCACACGATGCCACACTCGACGGCTGCCACTTTTGCCACCCTCCAAGTCGCGTTCACGTCAACTCAGAATGCTGCTCACTCGTCCGTGCTTGCATGTTGCATTTGTTGCTGCAAGCCGAGCAGATGAAGCTAATACTCTGAAATGCTGCATCTGGCTCCATACATCGCCGGTGCTCTGGACATGATGGAAGGGGATGGGACGCGCTTTGGTGGATCTTTTGGTTCCTGACCGTCCAACCATTTTGTCCTTGGTTCCAAGGAGCCTCCTTTGAGGTTGGCCGACGGCTATCGTCACTGTGGCATGCATGTCAGTTGCTTGTCACGGCCGGATGTGTGCGTGACAGGGATTGGAAAAAAAGAAACGAAGGAAAATAACACCCCAAACCAACGGTAATGAGTGTATATCGCTGCTGCTGCTCATCTTGCGACAGGAAAAATTCTGCCCTCTTACTCGCCATCTTTTTGAGGGCGTATCGACACTTTGTTCCATGTCATTGATTCATTCGCTCGAGACTTGGGCATACCTTGGTTGTTGATGTCACTTTCGGCATTGGCAAACCCGAACCAACCCCGCGCACAAATTTCGAACACGAGGGCTCCGTATTTGTCTCCTAATTCGACTCGGAATTTTTTCCAGCCTGGCTACTCCTCCTGCCTATTAACGAGACACAACCGCGCGACGCACTGCCGCTTGGTGGCGGCCCAGTCCTCCCTCCGTACACAGCCTGGCTCTACGGAGACGCAGGCACTCTGGCACAGTGCCGACCCTGACTCGGGTCAATGGTGGCGGCTGAAAAGCCCAAAAGTGGCGACGACAGGCATTCAACTGGTGCTGACTTAGCGAGCAGTCCCGGCCTAGTCCCATGCAAGGCCGTCAAGTGGCATTGGTCTGGTGTTTGTAAAGACGTCAACTGGTCCGCATCCCGACGTCACTGAGCAATACAGCCTCTCCATCCCACCTTGCCCTGGCCCTCTTCACCCGCAACCGCCTGTTGACAACGCTTCCAGGCGTTTGCGAAGCCGTCGAATTATCGGCCTCGACCTCTGTATGATTCGATGGTGTCTACAATCGTCTCCCGACTGTAGAATTCGCCCACCTTTGCAAGGGAACTGCACCTTGTGACGCCGAGGACATGTTTGCGCCGACCACTCCCCCCCACCCTGCTCAATGAATATACCATACACCAACCTTTAGTCACAAGCAGGAGCCGACGACCGCCAATCTGTCTGTATGACGGGCTAGATCCTCGCCTCGCCATGTCTTCGTCGGTGGTGGAGGGCAATGCATCGGTACCGAATCGAGGCCCGGCCGTCTTCGCCGTCACAACGGCCACATTGGTTCTGGCCTCAGTGTTTGTCGGCGCCCGCATGATATGCCGCTACTTCATCGTTCGCAGAGTCAGCTGGGATGACAGGATTATGATGCTGGCCTGGCTCATTGCCTTTGCCCTCTCATTCTCCATCTGCTACGGCGCGACGGTTGGGCTTGGCAAACGCGACGATGACATTAGCGACTCCGACTTGCCGAAACTGCGGCGGTTCGAATACGTTTTTTCTATATTATACAATCCCGCGCTCATGGCAACAAAAACGGCCATTTTGATCTTTTATTTGCGCCTAGCCAAAAACACCCAGATCGTCTTGCGCTACGCCTCCTGGGTAACCCTGGCGGTAGTCAACATCGCAGGCATCGTTCTGACCTTTATGAACATATTCCAATGCAACCCAGTCGCCGCGGCGTGGAAAACCACGACCGACGGCCCAACGCAATGCATCCCGCTCCTGACCGAGTTTATCTGCGCCGCACCAGTCAACATCGTGACCGACCTGGCCATCTTGGCTCTGCCGATTCCTGTACTGACTGGTATGCGACTGCCTTCACGGCAAAAGACTATCCTGGTCATCACCTTTACCCTTGGTATCTTTGTTACCATTGTTGATGTCGTTCGCATTTACTACCTCCAAAAGGCCATCACAGATGTTCCCACTGGTTTGACCAGCGATCCGGACTCGCGATTTGGTGGTCAGCAAGACTTTGCGTGGAATGCATCCTTGTCTTTTATGTGGAGCGCGGTTGAGGTGAATATTGGCATGACTTGTGCCTGCATCCCCACGCTCAAGCCGCTCATTCTGAAATTACTGCCCGCCATGTTGTACGACCCAGAGGGAACCCGGGTCTCTCGCACGACGAAATCGAACAGCGACCACGAATCACCACCTTCGCGATATGTTGGGAGTGCCGGGCGGGAGTCCATGGCGACGCCAGAGTCGCCCACTGGCGGGAACCCGAGTGGCGCCAAATCCGATTCGAGCAACGAGATTCCCATGACGGCCATGGAATTCCTGACAACGCCCGACATGAGGAACCTGAGCGAAAGCATGCACCCAGATCTTGCGGCCACACGCGCCCAGACCAACCTAACAACGTCCACCTCGTCCGTCGAGAATGGCATCTATTTTGGTTTTGTGAACATGACCAAGCCCAAGAGCATGCTCCGCGCCAACGCCTCTGAATCCTTCAAATACTGCACGATTGTGGCTATTCTATTTTTCCTATGGGGCATATCGTATGGCCTTCTCAATACCCTCAACAACGCCATTGCCGTGGTTAACCAAATGTCCACCGCTCAGACGCTCGGCTTGACCAGCGCCTATTTCGGCGTTGGATACTTCTTTGGGCCGTTACTTGTTGGGGAATGGATCCTGCGGAGAGACGAGCACAACCGGTCCAAACGCCACGAAAAGAATGAAGCCGAAAACGTGGGCGGCTACAAGGTCACCTTCATTGTCGGGCTGTGCATTTACGGTATTGGCACCATTATATTTTGGCCATCGGCAGTGACCAACTCGTTTGGGGGATTCATGCTGAGCAGCTTTGTGGTTGGCTTTGGGCTCTCTGTGCTCGAAGTGGCGGCAAACTCCTTCATGATTCTCTGCGGACCGCCGGAATATGGCGAAACTCGACTCCTATTAGCCCAAGCCGTGCAGGGCGTGGGCAGTGTCGTCAGTGGTCTCCTCGCCCAAAAGGTCTTCTTCACCGGAATCAGCCAGGACAGCATGAGTAGGTCAAACAGCATGACGCTCATCAACGTGCAGTGGACCTATCTGGGCATCACTCTGCTCTGCGTTGTGTTGGCCTTGTTTTTCTTTTACATGCCCTTGCCCGAGGTCAGCGACAGCGAGCTCGAGTTTGCTGCCAACAAACTTCCCATCGACACAACCAAGCGAAGCATCTTGGGCCTCCAGCTGCGCACCGTCAGCCTCGTGCTGGCTGTATTCGCCCAGTACATGTACGTTGCCGGCCAAGAAAGCAACAGCATATATTTCCGCAGCCTTCTTGTTTCCATACTCCCGAGTCCACCCGCAGGCACCGATGCAGCATCCGGCATGACCAAGTCCAGCTCGGCATACGACCCGGACAAGCCACCCGGCATAGCCATCTCTATCCCAGACTACCTGCTCGTCGGCCATACGGCATTCGCGGTATCCCGCTTCCTCGCGGGATGCCTCACGTTCTTTTCCGTCTCTCATCGTCGACTTCCCCAACCACGCACCGTACTTACTAGTTGCATCTTGCTGTGTTTTCTCTTCGCCTTGCTCCCCGTCGTGTGGCACCCGCCCAATCCCGACCTTGTCGTCATTCCGGTTATGCTATTCTACTTTGCTGAAGGGCCCATCTGGCCGCTTCTTTTTGCTATTGGCCTGCGCGGCCAAGGGCGACGGACGAAGCGAGCGGCGGCCTTTATCACCATGGGTGGCTCCGGCCCGGCCTTCTTCCCCTTCATCATGTATGCCATTATCGAAAACGGCGGCAGCGTACAGACGGCGTATATTGTCGTTGTCGCACTGCAGGTTGCCATGGTTGTGTACCCTGTATTCTTGCAATTCTCCCGCAGCGCAAGGCTCTTGGTCGACCCTAACCCGGATGTCCGGGCGGCACTGCAGCAGGATTGTGACGCATTGTCAGCCGATCAAGTGGTGGATAGCCGACAAGATCAGGAGCCGAATGGCCTTTTCGGAAGATTTTCCCAGAATCTCAAGCTTGGTGAAAGGAGGAAATCATCTCCGCCAAATGTTCAGCATGAAGAAGGCGGGGTTATGTCGTTGGGCGCTAACCATGGCACTTAATTTTTTTTTTCCATTTCAAGTATATATTTCGGACCATGTATATATGGCTTCCTCCGCGGCTGGGATATCAAAAAGCTTTCGAGCGGTAGGTATTTGATTGGATATTAATCACCTAGCATGGGCGGCGTATAACCAGGCAGCGGCTCTGGGATGGCGTGTTTGTTGTATACCCCGATTTGATGGACTTGTTTCCTTTTTTGCTATTCATCCATGGGAGAATAGCGTCTCCAAGGGGGCCTGTGAAAGATAATACATTTAATGACAAGTTGCTCCTGTGCACGCATGACACTGACGAGAATGACTCCGGGCCTTTGGGCTGCAATGGCAATCCCGTTGAATGTTCTTGATGCCACCTACCACTCGGAGCCGACGTCTCTCTCGATGCTCTCAAACACGCCGACGCCCCGGGCCCCCAGCGCCGTGGCCAAGCCGACGGCCTCGGCGCCCGCGCCCCTCATCCTCCTGTACCCAGAGGCGTCGTGCACGCCCCCAACGCCAATGACCTGCACGCCAGCGAGCCCCCGGCCGTCCAGCGCCCGCCGCAGCATGCGCACGTTGCCCAAGGATAGGGGGTGAATCCCCGCGCCGGCCAGGCCCCCTTCCATCCACGACGCGCCCTCGCCCTCGCCCTCGCCCTCGCCTTCGTTAAACACGCTGCAGCCGAGGGTATTCGTCGCCGTGACGAAGCTGACCCTGCCCGCGTACAGCGCTAGTATATCCACGAGAGCAGTAAACTGCGCCGCGTACGTATACGGCGGCGTCTTGATGCCCACCGGCACGAGCGGGTCCCCCGGCAGCGCGGCCAGGTACGCCCCCAGACAAACGGGGTCGTAGCCCGGCGGCGTAGAGCCCGGGATATTAGGACACGAGAGGTTGACCTCCACGGCGAGCGGGAACGAGACGCCCGACGAGGCGGCCAGGATGCGCGCGTAGCACTCGGCCACGGCGGACGGGGGGCCGGCGACGCTGACAATGGCCGTCTTGTGCGTGACGTCCGGGGGGAGAGAGGCGCTTAGGCCCGACAGCGCGGCGAGGTACGCGTCGAGCGGGAGCGGGCTGTAGCCGAGGGAGTTGATGCTCCCGACGGGGCTGGCGGACGGGCCGGCCTCGGGGGCACGGCCGGACGTGGAGGCAGGGTCGAGGAAGGCGTAGCGGTGGACGGCGTCGTCGTGCGGGAACCCGTCGATGAGGCTGGTCCGGGTGGTGATGGCGCCGGTGGAGGGGCACCGGAGGAGGGCTTCGAGGTGCGCGGGCGTCGTGGCCCAGGGGCAGGCGGTGTTGAGGAGCGGCGGGTGGATGGAGAGCTTGGGGGCCATTGTTTTTGTCGAGTGTCTGGGGCAGATGGAGCGGAAGGGTCGATTGATGGCGCGGTTGGATGTTGGATGTGCGGGGTGCTGGGTGTTGGGCATTTGGTGATGGTGGTGCTGGCCCTGCGGGTGAGGTGAGGTGGTGGTTCGGCGTGGGCCGTGACCGACGTCGGCGTGTGTGTGTATCACGGCGGGGTGAGTCCATGTTGTGTCGGGCCATCACCATCTTGAACCTGGGCATCTATCCAGGGGGAGGCATTGGAGATGGACAGAGGTAGCGTCTATGATGGTCTGAGGAAGCGACATCGATTGCCGCCGAGCCACTGGCAAAGTGGTCAAGTCTACGATACATTCCCTCCGGTTTAGGCGGCATCACATCGTTGGTCATGGACTCGTGGCGTTGCAAAGAAATATAGTCCATCATGATAAAAATAGCAACAATTCCATGCCCAGTACGTGAACCCACAACGCCTTTATCCGTAACTATACATCCATCCAAAGAGATCCAAGCATCGCCGTCCGCCAAAAAATACAAACACCAGACCATTCACCATCCAAATTCCTCGCAGTGCAGCTCGATACTCGGCCCGTCCGACCGGATACTTTCCGCCGTCGTCTCCCTCATCAAGTCCATCAGCTGAGCCGGCCCGCACCCCGTGATGAGAACCCGCTCATGAGGACGCGTGCCGCCCACCACGTCCCGGATGAGCGCCGTAATGTTGGGCTTGTGGTACCGTATCGGAATGTTGCGCAAGTCCACCGGGCCGTATGAGCTCTCGCCCGACACAGACTCGTTGTCCGACGACGGCTGCGACTTTTCCAAGTCGATGGACGAGTCTGACGCCACTGGGCGAACGCGATGGACCGCCCCCTTCTCCGTCAGGACCTCGCTGACGATGCCCGTCTCATACTGCCCGGGCGGAGGACCGGAGAAGCCAGCGGGCAAGGGCGGCAGCGCTTTCGCCGATCTCGTGACAAAGACCTGCAGCACGAATCGGGGGTCGTCTCTCAAGTTGGCCAGATGGTGGGCGAACCAGGTCAAATATGCTGCCAACAGCTGATTAGCCAAACACTCCCACAAGACGGGTATCGCGCCCAAGACGTACAGTTATACTTGACCACCCACACAAAGATGACGCGCTTCGTCATGCTCCCTGTCGTCCGGCGCAACAAGGCATTCGCCAAGCCAAAGGTGAAGCTGGCGCCACTACCGCCAGCGACCAAGACGACAGTCTCAAAGGCCGACGGGTCGGGAACGGTGCCATACGGCCCTTCGATGGACGCCTTGACAGACACCCCCGGGTTCTCCGTTGCAAACTTGTGCAAATCTCCGGTAAAGCCGTTGTGAGAGGCAATCACGAGCTCGAGAGGGTCGGCCGAAGCAAGAGTGAACGGATGTGTTTCGAACAGCCGAAGCCGGGGAATCCACAGGAAGCAGTGCTTCCCGGCATGAGCACCCAGGGGAGATTTGGCCAACGTCACGCGCGTGCCTCCGTTGGGCAATGGCGTAAGCGTGGCCGTGTTGCTGCTGTGCACCATGAGTCGAACGAATCGAATAATACGATCCAGCCCCCACATGGAGCCGGCGACAATGGTGCCGTATACAATCTTCTTGGTCAACAGAGGTTGATGCAGGCCGAGGGTGACAATGGACACGACCCAGAGGCCGACGTGCAGGTAGTAGAAGAGCTCATACCACCAGCGCCGGATGAAGACGGCAGCCAATGCGAGCAGCACCCAGCAGCTCCCCGAGACGATTCCGTAAATGTCGTTCAAGTCGAGCAGTTTCTGGCAGTAGTTGATGCTGCAAAAGTAGGCAGAGTAGCAGGCCGCGTGGACGACGAGATGCGTGACGGCGGCGTAGCCCGCGATGCGGTGAAGGCAGTTGAGCCGTTCGTACGACCACGCCGTCAAGAAGGCGAGGGGCGTGTTCTTGAGCGCGAAGAAGATGACGACGACGAGGTTCGCAATAGCCAGCCTGGGAGTCGTGAGCCTTTTGGTCATGGTGTATTGTGTATAGTACTTACCAGCCGGTCCGCGAGGCAATGTTTGTCATGGTGGTCATGGTGCTGTCCAAGTTGGCAAAGGTGCAAACCAAGTTGAGCGCCAGGAACAAGGTCGTAATGACGCCGTGGCCGAGCGAAGGCACCCCGGCGGCACGTTGAATGGTCAGCTTTCTGATTTTTCTACAGCCAGGCATGTCAGTTGTGAATGATGACTCTGAGGCGAGGCGTGTTGCATACCTAGGTAGGGCAGCGAGCGTAGATGATGACGACGGGTCGCGGCATCTTCGTCTCACCCAGTGGCCGGACTGTCTGACCAGGTAAAAGACTATGTAGGCAATGCCTATCGTGCCCAGCGTAATCATGAACCCCAGCGTCGTCTCCTCATTTCTCTTTGCGCGGAGGGCAAACATGCGCAGTTGCGCCTCGTCGTAGCCTGCCATTGTCGCGGTAAATGTGTAAACGGTCTGGTAGAAGCGGGCTTGACTAAGGAACTATGGCGGCGCGCCGGTTCCCGCAGAATCGTGTGCGACAGAAGGATTCGAAACTCGTCAAATGTAATGCCAGAGGAAGAGAGCTATCGTTCTTGTTGGTTGAGATGAGTCCGTCGCCTGGTGACGCTCCAAGACGGCCAAGATGGTGAAATGGATCCAGAGCCAAAGTAACAAACGGTTCTTGGGCCCAAGTGTCTATTCGCAAGTGTCAGGTCCTGGACGCTCAACTATGGGACGGTATCATGGCTCGGACGAGAAAGATGGCGGTGCGATATGGCGCTATGGTCGTCCTTTCCTAGTGACTTGTGCGTCTTGAGACCAAGTGTCGATGGCCAGGTGCGTCCCAGATCAGACAAAACGGCGCCGGTTAATGGGAGGGATACACACAAGTTGAATGCTATACACGGCGAGAGATGACGGGAAAAAATCCCAGCCTTGACTATTTACATATATGTATATATTGTACTCGGAGTCCTTGTCGAGCCCAACTGGGCTACCTTCGGGCGTACTTGGCAACCCACGCCCCTTGACCCCCCTACTTTCTTCCATGGCGAACAGACGAGTGTGTAAGCCATGTCGCAGTTATCAACGACGTGGGAGCAGAGTGTGCTTTCCCGATGGCATCTACACGGATGGCAACGGGACATGCTACTAAGCTAGGGGATGCTCGTGGTTGTGACCACGTACTCGCACACCCCCCCACCCATCGTCAAGATGTCTACGATACATTAAACTTTTCGAAACAAGCCTCGGACTAGGCACAGGGATGTCTTGGCAAGAAAATCATGCCGAGCGGGTAGGCCCACGCCTTGGATGCAAGGCACGGTGTGAGGGCCGTCAACACTACGCAGGGACGTTACACCATCCTCTTAGGATCTACTAGATCATCACATACGTACTAGGTCATGCCCACTACATTGTATGTACATATGTACACAGAGGGAACTCGTCTCGCGCAGAACCGAGAACCAAGGCTTCTACCAAGCACGCCAAGTGCGGTCGAGGGGGTCGTGCGCAGCGGCTGTGTTCCCCTTGGTAGGAATAGCCAACTCTTTTGAAACCGCAGGCGAGAAGGGTTCTTTTTTTTCTTTTTCTTTTTCCAAGTGTTGTGAAATGAGATTGATAAGAAAGGAGGCTCGAGGCACGGCGGTGGATATGCACCAATGTGGTGCGACGGGACCAGACGTCGGACGGCTCAAAGCGACGCTGTCAAAAATCTGCAACAGCACATCGCAACTGGTGTGGTATCAAGGGCATCCGAAAATGGAAGGTCGACGAGTTGCAAGGTCAGAATCCCACGTGTGTGTAGACCAGAGCTGTGGTGCGTCGTGTCCCCCGCGCAGGAATGGGCTTGGGTCCCTTGGGGAGCGAGTCGAGGCTGGCAAGTTGCCAGTGGCATCAAATGGGCTAGTCGACATGTCGATACATCAATTGATCATTGAATGTCAAACATGTGGTCCTGGCGCGCGGCGCATAGACGGAGCAGCAGCCCGATCCAGCCGGATGCGAGGCTAAATCGCGGAACCTGGCTGGGCATCACGACCAGACACCATGAGCTAGTATTGATGTGTTGTACATACTACTGTGCTATCAATTGCGCCATTTCCGATGACGCCTCCAGCACGGTGTTTTGCGGCCGTCGACGCCACTCCTGGCTACGATCTCTGCCACGGCGGCCCGCGTTCTCGATTGGCGAAACAAGTCGATGCGCGAGGCGGGCGAAACGCTATCAAATCCATCGTTGACGCTTTGGCGTCGCTAGATAAACTCGATGGCGGAGACGGCCGTGGGTGCCGGGCGCAATTCGGCGGCAGACTGTTGCCGAATTGCATCATCAACATCATCAAGAGTCAGTGGCCGAGGCAGGGCTTCCGACACGCCATGGTAGCTGTTCGGAACATTGATCCTTGGGCCTTCCGCCGACAGAGGCAGCCGCTACTTCTGCCCAATCTGTTGAAGAAGGGGGGCCCAGAAACGGAAGGACTTGAGGGTTGCTGCCCATGTCGAGTTTGTTTCGGCACATGGGCCAGGCGGCGAGTCGAGGCTTGGTTCACATGTTACATTATCTGCACGGGCGTTGGGCCGGGCGTGTGTACGTGGACATGTGTACCAGAGTGATTTTCATGCATCCATGGCCGTTGCTGCGTGGGATGCCGCCATGGTTCCGTCGAGTCCGGTGTCCATGACCCCCAAGCCATGACATTGAATCTTGGTGTTGCTGACGGTTGGGCTGCTGGATGCACCGCGATCCCTTCAATTCTACTCGACAGTTCTTCAACCACGGGTCTCGCATGGGCGGGAACAGGCCGTTGAAACAGCAAGAAAAGAAAAGAAAAGTACATAGAATGCGCTGTCTTGTACGTAGAAAAAAAGAAAATCGATGCTCGGGATGGGACGTCTGTTCCGATTCTCTGGGTCACCCACGGCGTCTGATTTGATGTCTCCATTTCAATACATGTCAATACATATGTCGACGGTCCATTTCAATTTCCCACGGCACGGCTGCGCCAGACTCCATCCCCGTCTGCCGAGCACCATGGGGTAGTCATCTACGACTAATATCGTCATGTCCATTACCAACGTGTCCCCATCATGCCATCTCCCGATGTGCTCCCCCGCAAAAAGAAACATGATTGATGAAAGGGGAGCATGCTACAATGCACCACCACCACAGCTCACCAGACCAGACGCCACATGCATCAATCGATGCATCAATGATCAAATGGCGCCATGTTGCACGCTGACGCATCTACCGCGCGACTGGGCAGCAGCTCCCATCCCGCCTGCTTGGTCGAAAAAAAAACAAAAAAAAAATCAACCAAAACGTGGCCATGTGCCGAAGCCATGGATGGCAAAATGGCTTATTGATCCATGTCCACGCGTCAACCCGGGCAGACCCAGTTCGGCTCCCGCATAATAGCATTGATAAGTTACAGAAGTTGCATGGGACCGGCCAATCAGAGAGTCCCGCACGAACCTCGCATCTGTTTCGCATGCCGGTATACTTTGCTGATCCCTTGGCTGATGATAAAAACGTTCAATGTTTTCCTTATCTCGACCATCGGTGCTTACATCACCCAGATGAAAGGGGCTTCCAAACGAGGGTGAGTGTGTGGCTTTTATCTCGGCGTGGCGGAATTTGCCGTGTCATCAATTGATCACTTTGACTTGGGACTGCTTGTGTTTTTAACCGACTGGAGAGAATGGCGACATTCTGCCAGTGTCGTACGGAGTAGTGCGCCTTGGCTCGACTCCCATCCCATGTCGACGCTGCTTTGAACATGGGCTGCATCACCCAGTTGACCATCTTGTGACGACGCTCGAATATCAATATGCAAATGGCACCTCGCGGTCTAGTATCGCCATTCACGACCAAGCTTGCACATACATACACATCCCGCAACCGCTGCCCGCGGGCTCCGAAGCAAGATGGGCAAGAAATCGAGTCATGACAGGTATTATATACCACTGATACATGTTCAAATGTTTGTACATGCCGCCGTGCCAGTCGCCGGCCACTAGCAACACGCCCGCAGACCTACATGCGCGGTTTCATTCCCCGATATCAATGCAGCCGACACGGCGAATATATACACGTCGGCCCCTCATCAACGTCGTGCAAAACGTCCAGTGTAAAACTCCCGTCTGGCGTTTTGTATCGCATCCCCGACGGCCAAGGGGCTTCCCATCCCTCCCCAACACCAGACGTCTCGATCCCATCCTAGCCTCCCCCGATTCGTCCCATTCTACTTCTTGCCGCGCGCAGCCTTGGCCCTGTCCGCGTCGGCATCGCGTAGAAACAGCTCCTCACGCTCCCACATGAGCTCCACGGCGGCGCCGGCAGGACTCGCCAGGACAGACAAGGCCGCCACCTTGACCAGCACGCTCGCCAGGCCGACCTCGACGCCGGCGGCGCGGTGCGCGCCCCGGTGCAGGCTCACGGCCCAGACGAGCACGCCCGCCGACCCGATCAGGTAGTCCCAGCGCAGGAAGGCCTGGACGCCCTGCCCGACGGTGGCCACGCGGAGCGCGGGCGTCGCCCACGGCAGCGGCGCCGCAAAGACGTTCCCCGGGTGCAGGGCCTCGCGGTACGGCGCGCGGAAGATGGCGGGCACGGCGACGGTGGCCGCCGAGAGCACGACGCTGACGAGGTGCGCGACGGCCGTGTTGGCAAAGGCGAAGGCGTACACGTACCGCAGGGCGCTGGCCGTCTTGCGGGCGTCGGCGTCGCCGCGCCCGCCGACGAGATACGCCGCGACCAGGAGCACGGCCACGTACGCCGGCCACGGCTGCCAGACGGCGATGCAGATCTGCTTGAGGTCGTGGGTCATGATGTCGGAGAGGGGCACAATCATGAGCAGCGAGGGGACGAACATGGCCACGGTGAAGACGTGCGGCAGCGCGCGGAGCACCGTGTGCGGGATCCGCATATTCGTGGTTGTCGGGCTGGCCGCCGTCGTAGAGTAGCACAGGTGCAGCAGGGCGTAGAGCGGCGTGGCAAAGGCAAACGTGAGCACCTGGGCCGTGAGCCCGAGGACCGCCGGGCTGTCATTTCACGAGCAGTCAGCATCTGATATTGGAGGAAGATGTCCATGCCACACTCACAAGGCGGCCGCGGTGCCGGCGCTTCCCTTGCGCCACGACTCGAGCGTCACCAGGATCCAGGCCGAGGCAAAGGTGCCCGAGAAGGCGACCGAGTGCAGCGTCAGGGCGGGCTGGCTGCCGTCGCCGACGGGCCAGAAGAAGACGGTCAGGGTGGCGAGCAGCTGGTCGAGCGGCGCGAGGCCCGTGTAGCGCGTCCGGAGCGGCACGTCGAGGCCCGGCAGCGTTTGGGCGTGCTGCGCCGCGTCGCCCAGCGCCCGGAGGCCATTGGCGTCGGCGAAGTAGAAGATGAAGTAGAAGACGGAGAGCGAGAGCAGCGGGAGCAGCAGCTTGGCCGACATGGTGGGCGCGTCAGGTTCCTCGGGTGCTGGTGTCAATGGGCGTCTGGTGGTTGAAGTCGGGACGGGTGCAGGTGGCGGGGGCGGAGGGGACTTTATCGTTGCCCTGGGAGGCGGAAGCGGACAGGGACCAAGGCCCGGCTTGACCATCATTTTTGGCTCCATCCCGTCTGGTTGCTTCTGGTCTCGTGCCGAGACGCCGACGGTGGAATTTGGCGGTTGCTGATGGGCCGTTTGGCGAGGCGGAGCTCCGGATGCAAGAGTTGGCCCGACCGGGGATGCCACATGTTTTTTTTTCTTGCTGCCTTTCGCGGGCGAGGCCAGGTGGAAAGGTGATTTTTTTTAAAGTCGCGGTAATACAAAGTGCACACTCTTGAATGCGTTTCACGATAACATTAAATGAAACTGGCCGTTGACTATGGTTTATTGTGCCTCTGGCCGAGTTGCCCGCACGCGTGAGCCGGCGTGCTGGAGCCGAGGCAGTCGGGACGGACCGACCAGACGGAGTTGAATGCCGGCGCGGGTTATGTAGGTCTCTAGAAGGCAACGAATCGCTACATATGTACTATTTGTACGCTTTTCATGCTTGCTACTCAATACATTCTGCCCGTGATGCCGGGCCACACACATCGATGATGAGAACCCAGCACAAAGAGACAACGCCATTATCCTCGCCTTGGTTGTTGCACTGTGCTAGGCTCTGCGGTAATAATGGTCTTGTAGCCGCCACAACCGTCTGCGACGACTGAGTTGTAGTCATCACCCACGGAGCCGTCCAAGTGCACGCGGCCTTCCTCTGCCAAATAGCTTTCATGAGTCTGTATTGTTCCCCTTTCCCCATCGCGGGACCTTTTTGTGCCGTCCGGTTGCATCTCCTCCCGTTTGATCGTCGTGGTGACGAGTATACCCCCGCAACCATGAGGCCCATCCGTGTTCGTGTCACTTCTCGTCGAGCATCGATCCATGGCGGAGAGAGAATCGCTCCCAAGAGCAGAACACGTAGATGGCAACGCACCGGGCTTGAGCTCTTGTGTGGCGGTCGGCTTAAGCGGTCCATTGGCCTCTCCATCTGTCGAGGCCGTGCTCGCGGTGCCCGCATTGTCCTTGGAGGTGATCCATTGGATGACAATGGCAGAGAACAAAACTGCCAGTTTTCACGTCAGACGTCCATGTCCGCAATTGACAACTTCACCGGGCCATGGGCAAGAAAAAACGTACTGTCGCAATTGCAGCACAGCAGGCAGATCCAGCCTGCTTCTCCGCCGAGCGCCATGAGGACCGCAATGTTTCTATATCCGCATAAGATTCCATTTGCGTAGAAGGAATTTGCAACCATTTTATAGCGAGCACCTACACTATACTACTCAGCAGCGTGGCCATGGCGCCACAAAGGGTTCGGGTAGCAACGCTCCGTAGTCTCAAGGTCGCCGGTGTTCGGGGCATGCTCTTGTACGAATAAAGATCTGTGTATGTACAGGTCAAACATCTGCGCATCGTGACTGGTACAGCGGCATGGTACAAAACTTACTGCGCAGCGGAACAAGGAAAAGAATCGTCAGGTAAATATTCGCCACGGTGTCAAAGGCAAGGAGCGGGATCATGGCCGCGCTTTTCATGCCAATCTCGCACACGCCGTTTTCCAACTTGGCTATACGGCTATGAAGAATCGACTGGGTAAGTATATCTGACAGTGGGCGCACTCCATGTTTGCATGGGCGTGGTAGTAGCTTACAAGACGACGTTGAGGATTCCGACAACCACGTATAATCCGAGCATACCGAAACAGTTGAACATGTACAGCTTGGAGTGCATTCTCTTCTTGGTAGTGCCCCGTACGAAATGCTGTCCACTGCTGCGTTAGTTTTGTATGGCAAACACAAGACGGTATGGGGTATCGCGCCAGACGCACCGCTTTTTCAACTAAAAAGAGGTAAATAAACTAGACGTCCATGTTAGCCTCGTGGTAGAATAACCCGGGTGTCCTGAGACACTTACCACCTAGCCCATGCTCGTCAGCTAATGTCTACAAGACAAAAAAAACAGATGAATCTTTACTAGAATACACTCACCTTGGTGGTAACGTAACACGCCAGACAAAGTAGAATGGCCCCCTCACAAGTAGTCAAACTCGAGTTGACGCCGATGGATTGTTGCAGTATAGCGGTAGCAAAAACAAACATGTACGAGTCGACGTAGATGGCAAAGACCACTGCGCCCAACGCCGTGTCAGACGGGGCCCCAGGACAAGGTGCGGCATGACTTACACCAAACCAGGATCGGGAGCCGCGTCCAAGACTTGATGACCAGGCATCTCTGAGCTTCAAAGTTTTCCGTTAATAATGGTATAGCAGTTCTCTAGCGCTGCGGAAAGGATGTGGGAAAGGGACCTACTCAGAAATAAAGTAAGCGCCGTGGTCGACAGCAGCGATATTCCCATGCATATAACCCGCCCGGCGATGGGGACCGGCGCTTCGGTAGACATTGTGAGCTGGGATATTCCGTATTCTTTTTGTAAATCTGATGCCAAAAGCTGGAAATATAATGTGAAATTAGCTTTGGTCTCGCCTCTTGAAGCTCACAGCCAAAAGTTGTTGCGACTTTGAAACCACGGGTGTCAATCTGCCGCCAAGTGCAACCACGGGTTCAATTTGCCAAGAAAGAAAGGTATTCAAGTCCATTCTCCACTGATTGTAGCGCAAGAATATTCACATTGGGAGGATTATATTCTATTTTTTTTCTGCTTGGGAAAGGAGCCATCTGAGCACCAGCCATGGCGGCAGATTAACCACAACGCGACGGCTTGAGAAGGGCCAATTTTTGGCCTCGAAACCAGTATGCAGAAAAACAAGATGGGGGTGAAATATTGGCAAGCTGAACGTCGCACAGGGCATCAAAAGGAAACATTGTGCGCGGGGCCAAAAAAAAAGCAACATGCCAACTATAACATGGACTGGAGCCAGCTGGTAGGGCGACAAATTAAAGGCACAAAGCCACTGCCATGTAGGCGAATAGCAAGCCCGCCTGGTCGAGGCGCGAATGTGACGTATAATGCGTGCGGTGCTGCGTTTCTTGCGGCTTGGAGCTTTGGCACCGTGGCTTGCATGGAGCCAATGTCATGCCGTTGTTGGTTTGCGGGACAATCGATACATGTGAATTATGGATATTCCTTTTTTCTGCCATGCGGCAGGACGCGTACGAGCGTGTGAAGTTATTAATAACGCTAATTTTGCGTCAAAGAAGTAAAAAAAGCTGTCAATATCCATGGAGATGGACAGAGACTCGCTGGGCGTAACATATATACATGTGAAAAAAAGAAAAGACAAAAACGATAGAAGAGAAAACCAAGCCACGGACAACATCATGCCCAATTATGCCTTTTCTCATCTGAGTCGTGCAAAATCCCTCACTATTCGTTCATGTTTTACAGGATTGAGGCACGTCTGAGTCCGAGACCTCTGCTAATGCCTACCAATTGCTCGGAAAGCCCTCTCTACAAAGGACCTCACGACTTGGCTTAGATGATATTCAAGAAACAGTTTACCACTTGTGGGCGGTGACAAGTCCCCAAGCCACGTCCCTCTGAGATCTCGTCATATGATATAAATTCTGATTGTGAACAAAATATGCCGTGTTCATTTGGTGCCATGACGTGATTTCAGCGATATGGAACGTACTAAAAGCAAATCCCCTACGCGATTAATTACGAGGCTTTCCCACAGACGATAAGAAAAATAAAGCCATAGTTTGATGCAGTTTGCAACGGCCAAGAATCCCCGCCGTTAAATGAATGGGTGCTGTTTTGACGTTTGTCATTCTTTCTCCCACAAAATGTGCCTCGCGTACAATTATAGAAACGCCTTCCGTCAGCTGTTATCTTGTCAGCTAAAAACCACCATGTCGTAGGGCATGTTATCACTTGTCGCAATGTAACAATGTAGCGTAGTTCGCGACGAGCCAAATGGTGACAAGGGAGGCTTGGAGCAGTGACTGAATTCAGCGGACACTATATATAGTCTTTGATACTAAAGGGCCTCGATTCCTTCAAGGCCTAGATGACCTAAAAGCTCCATTTACATAAAACGTCAGTAAGAGCCTTGTACCCTAGGTCTAATCTTAGCGCTCATATAACCGTGAAACAAATCTACAATACATGTCCAAATTTTCCGCCTGTATATTCTCGCATTTCGTGCCGTGAAAATTCTTACAACTTGGCCTCAAGCTCCTCTGAGGTGAATTTCGGACACAGACTGCACATCTTCCCACTCGTAGTTAGAAGCCAACGGTAAAGTTACGAAAGATTTGGCCCCTGTTTTTTCAAGCATCCCATCCAGGTTCGGCAGCAAGGCTTCATAGACGTCGACTTGCAACATGAGCTGAAGTATTCGTTGGGGTGAGCCCCAAGTGGTCCATGTACCAGGCTGCGTCTTCGGCAATACACATCTTCTCAAAGGCATCGATCATGTGGGACGAAACGAGGGTCGATTGCCTTGCTGCTTCAAATGCCATGCGCTAACCGATGACAAGGAAGAAAGAACGGCATAGAGAAGCCGTTCTTTTATGAAAGAGAACATTCAGTAGAGATGGAGACGTGGTATCGCGCAAGTCACTCTGCAACTCAGAAAATACGCCTGCCTCGTGCCTGGCGAGGGTGGAATCTTGATCTGCAGGGTTGACAAGAATACGTGGCCCAGTTAGGAGCTCATGAGCGATCTGTGGAAGAAGTTATCAACAAAGCATTGCGCGTGGAAGAAGTCTTGGACATACGAAGAGACGGGACATGTACATCTCCCTACCCGGTGGCGTTGGGGTTAGGGTTGATAACAAGTACGGCTCAGCAATTTGGTTGTGGCTATAATAGTTGTGCTAGCTGTAATGTTCAGCTAGTTCGTACAAGACACTGTCATAGTGTACAGCAGTGACTTTGAAGACAACCGCCATTTTGCGGCGTGCGTTGATGGACACGTCTGACTTATGTTCTCCTTTCCCGACAAGTCTAGCCCTGACTATGCCAATCCGCCTCACTGTGGCCGGCGGCGTGGTCTTGGCTGCAATTTAATTTGGCGTCTGAAGATCAAAGGACCGACCAGCAAGACTATTGCCGTCGTTTGCAAACATTGCTCCTTCCATATGGAAGTCCTAGAACTTGGGTTTCAACTATACTATATCGTCGACTGTTTAATCTGTGAAGAGAAGTTGGCCATGTCATCAGGTCAAGTCTTTTAGATGCAAGAATATGGCATGCCAGAGTTTATAACCAAGGATTCGGATATTTTGTAGACACGAGAGTACGTCTCCGGCAACGCCATACATGCCTGATTGGGTTTGAGAGCCCATGTGGCAACCTCCAACATTGAGTCGAGAAATGACATGGCAGTCTATAGTTGAAACAAATACGTAACACAAATCATAAACTCAGGCTTCTTATGTGTATATCCCGTTGAGGGTGACACAGTCGTAGATTGCGGCTGTGTACCTGGGAAAGAGAGTTTCGTCGCAAGTGCGTGAATCCAAGTTCCCAACAGTCACTCGAGGAACGCTATGGATTCCACAGCTGACAAGGGTATATTTGGTCTGGTTGATTGAGTTGGGGAGCCAAGGCCCGGGTAATTTGCACAGTCCTTCGCGGCTTCTCCGTGTGTGGGTTTATGCAATGCTACCATGCAACTCAGATTCCTCCCGTGTCGTACGAGCTCCGAGCCGTGCCGTCCGCGGCTGATGCTTAAACTATGACACTAGCAGGATGAAGACGTCAGATGACCAGATTTTCAACGGATCTAGGTATGGGGCCTGGTAAAGGCCATCCCTTGGGCCAAGTCATCAATTCGGCCCGTTGTAAACAAGCCAGACCACAATATCTATGAGGTCTGGTTCCACGCTTGGAATTTGAATTAAGAACTACCTAGGAGTTCTGCTAGCTTACTGGAACCTGGCCTTGTTAATAAATTGGAAAAAGTCTGCCACGATTTACTGTAATATAGGGCTCAGTTCTGTAGATACATGACTATAATCAAGGACACGATCCACTGTTCAATTCAATCCAAAGCTGCCGGCATGGATGCATTAAATCACGATGGGCTCCGTGGCAGACGTGAATTGAACTGAACCATGGAATTGGTCTTTGATTGCACCAATCTAGCTCTGGATTAAAATTTGGTTTAATCAGCCATGACAGGAGCCAATCCGTTCATCATGCCCCGTCATGACGACTACGCGAAGTCTTTATCACGGTGGCATTATTCCTGGTATAGTTATTAGAGCAAATATATTATACTATTATGATGTATAAAATAATGGGCTTCGATATTGGGAATCTGGTCGAATTTAGTTAGTAGTTGCGCATGCCTTTGTGGCTTATCCAAAACACAAGGCCCAATAGAAATTCTCGTTCCGAAAACGGACGATTGCAGCTCCATAGTACAGGGAAGAGGCAAAATGTCTAAAAAAAGTAACGAAAAAAAAGTGTGGAAAACTGCAGGATGCGAAGGAGCCACATTGGCGTCCCCTTCACTTCGACGCGAGTTTTCTTGGAAACAAGCTATGACGTAATAGAAATAGCAAATGATGTCTGACTATGCCGCATTAGCACAGACAAAATGCAGGGTCATCGGGATGGCCGTTTATATCTTCGCTTTGAGACTGGTCTTGTCACACGGGTAAGTGACATAATCCTCCAAATCCGGTTGATAACACCTATTGTAGCCGATCCCGGCTGCAACATCACAGAGGAAAGGGTGCATCTTTACGGGGCACAAGGTGGCCATGTAGATAAGTTGGGGGATATAGGCTAGAAGACCAGGGCAGCTACAACTTACATGCCTCACTCGTCTCGGTCTAGTTACACGCACACCAGACCTCATGTATATATACGGGTGAAGGTTCAGGGTTCTAATGAAAAGACTTAGGACCTTGCGAACCCAAAGACAATTATTCAATGAACTTGGAGCTATTCGCAAGCCCTCATGTGAGCCCTTGACACAGGTTCATAAAATACCAATTCATTCCAGAGGACCAAATAGTCTCTCATCACAACCCCCTACATGTGTCACGGAAATGACTCAATATGATTCCCTGAGCTCGACATACGACGTGTTTGACACGCTACCCTATAGACAAATGGAATGGGAGAACGTTTACCGAGCAGTCAGCCCGTTACTACGGCCCGGAATGAAAGTACTCGAATTAGCGTGTGGCACTGGCTGCTACACGTCAAGATTTTTCGATTGGGGTGTCACGGACATGACGGCCGTTGACATATCTCGTCCCATGCTTGCCGAGGCTGCCATTCGAGCACATCATCACATCGAGGCCGGAAACTTGCGACTCGTTGCGGCAGACGGTACCGAGACTCAGTCATTTGCACCCGACCACAGCTCGTGTTATTTTTATCTGGCGTTTGGCGCTTGGTTTTTAAACTACGCCGAGAACAAAGCCCAGTTGAGAGCCATGTTTAGAAACATGGCGCAAAACCTTCGCCCCGGCGCACCCTTTATAGCCATAGTGCCTCATCCGACCGATGATGTGGGTGCTCGAGGTGAAATGTATAATAAGCCACCGTTTAATAGAATGTTTCCGAGAAACAAGTATACAGAACCTCTGGAATCGGGCGACGGTTACGGCCTCCGGGTGCTCCTGGATAATAATGGCGTCGATTTCATGACATGGCACATGAAGCGAGAGGTGTACGAAGAAGCGGCCAGACTTGGTGGCTTTCAAGGACGGTTAGAATGGAGGCGTGAATTTTTGCTAGATGATGTTTGGAAACGACGGTTTGACTTGACTAGTGATGAGTGGCAAATAAGGGAGGCAAACCCTCACTTTGGAATCCTGATTGCCTGGAAATAGAAGCATTAGTTATCCTCAGCATACTATTAGTCATTACTTGTAATAACATTGAAGCTTCGGAAAAATAAGTCTGTTGAAGCATACCTTCAAGCTCTGTATACTGTGGGTTGACATGGCCTCTTGATCCCTTCGTCCAGGGCCTCGTGAAAACTAAGCTAGCATCTCGATCTAGATATTTAGTGATACATCTCGGAAGAATTCTTACATCTCGGAAGAATTCTTACATCTCGGAAGAAGTCAGAATAATATCAGTAGGCAAGTCATTTCTATTTTGGTGGTTGCTTCTGGGTATGCACGAGCGCGTCCCGAGGTATGTATAACCCTAACCCGAAAATCACCTGTGAAGCCACAGACAAACATCAATCGATCCGCTAATTTCTTACCGCCCCATGCCATGTTCCTCTTCTACAATCCTTTCCACCTACAAACCAGTTGACGTCTCCTCCGCGGAGCCTTTGCAGAATGGTCAACCTTGGCACGTTTACTTCTCTCACGCATTTGACCCAAGTTGCCTTGCTGGGAGGCCATGCGCAGGCCAATGGTTCCCAGCTTGTCGACATTGTTCCCAAACGCGAGGTTCTCTACGTTGGCGGACAGTACACAAATGTGACGGCAAGTATGGATTCCACCTCTGGTTTTACGCGTCTCTAAGACGGGAGAAGCAGGACAATGCAACCAATTCCACATCAATGGCCATGACGGGGCAAATCTACGTCGAGAAGCTTTCCCCCAACCCGGCCCCGGCGAACCCACCACTTCCCATCATCTTCATCGCCGGCGCGGCCCAGACGGGTACCAATTTCCTTGATACGCCAGACGGGCGGCCAGGATGGGCATCCTACTTCATCTCCAAAGGTCACACCGTCTACCTCTCTGACCAGCCTGCACGCGGCCGCTCCTTCTGGTTTCCCGGACACGGGAGCATCGGGTACATCGGCCCCCCCGATTCTGTCTCTGACATCTTCACCGACGTAGCACACAACGGCAACCAGTGGCCGCAGGCGAAGCTTCACACGCAATGGCCCGGCACCGGCCGCGCCGGCGACCCAACTTTCGACGCTTTCTACAGGAGCCAGGTGCAGTTCCGAAAGGACCGCTTCATAGGCGAAGAGGAGAATGCCCAGGCATATTCGGCCTTGGTAGACCTCGTAGGCGACTGTTATATCATCAGTCACTCGCAGGCGGGGGCATACGGTATTGTCTCCCGGTTTCAATATCTCATGACTTGCTGAAATGGTTAACGATTGAGCAGGCTGGAGGGTCGGAGACATGCGCCCACACCTGGTCAAGGGCATCGTGCAGCTCGAGCCGTCCGGTCCGCCATTCACCCTCCGACCGCCGTTTGGCAACGAGCCAGCGTTTGCCTTTGGCCTCACCGACCTCGCCATCGGGTACGAGCCGTCGGCGGGCGAGAATGCCGACAACATGGAGACCGTGGTCGAGCCGGCAATCGACGCCCACCACGACGAGTGCATCATGCAAAAGGCCCCGGCGAAGAAGCTGACAAACCTGGGCAGAATCCCACAGCTTGTTGTTACCGGCGAGGCGTCGTTTCATGCGCCGTATGATTACTGCACCGTCAAGTATCTGGAGCAAGTTGGCGTGGAGGTGGAGCATGCGGATCTGGGCGAGGAGGGCATTCACGGCAACGGACACATGTTCTTTATGGAGAAGAATAACCTGGAGATTGCGGATAGGGTATACCAGTGGCTGCAGAGCCACTGATCAACGCATGATGGGGAATTAATAGCTTTGCTGCATGGTTGCTTGTTTTGATGTGAACTACCGTGGGGAGGGGTAGAAGATGACCGATTTATATCTAGATGAGTACCAGGGTGCAACGTCCCTGACCTGAGTCAAAAGGCAAGAATCGTTGATTATCTGCTGTGGTCATTGGGATCTTAAGACCTTCCTGGAAAGAAGCCAGCTGGAGAGGACTGATGAAGAGCTCGCCTTTATGTGTGGACTGGCAAGATTTCGATCCACGCAAAGCGATGGCTAGACTCGGAGACTGGATAGGTGACAATCGAACATGAAATGCATTCAGATTAACTATCAGGTACATCTGCTTGGTAGAAACTATTAGTAGCCTTGTGTTTCTGCGTCTTTTACGTGGCGCAGGCCACGGCGGAGAAGGGTCGTCAACGAACCTCTCCGTCTTGGTCGTGGAACCTATCCCAACATACTTGACGACGTCAAGCGTGCGACAAAAAGTGTTTATCTCCTGACTCTTCAAAAAATGCTCCGAATTATTATATATTTGGCCATCCCCTCGTATACATATGCAGCGTCGCAGGCTCATTGCAATACACACACGTCGTTGGATCGTCTTCCCAACGCCAGAGAAGCGGGAAAGACGGCTTCAAACCCACGTCCCAGTGACTGTAGTTAAATGAGGAATAGTGCTCATCTTTCACGTTCACTGGCTTCTAATATTGTCGTGAAGCCCATGAAGGAGCTTTCCCTGTCTGCATCCGGCCCCGGCCAGTCTAGGTTCTCTTACTGATGCAAGGGTTAGCGACAAGGCGAAGCAAGATGGAAGCCAAGGGATTTGCTCACGATGAGCTGTGGGAATAGCTTCGCGAAGCATATCCCCGTCTTCGTCGGGGAGAAGCTCAGCAACGTCAATGATGTAGGACACCAACCAAGCGCCAGTTGCTGCGCTCATGACACCCAGCACGGCAGTCAACATTGTTGTCTGATATGAGAAAGTTTTGCGTGGCCACGGAATGGCATACTACTGGTAGCGTGATGAATTCGAAGATGAAAAGTCGATAAAGGCCAGCCTGGCGCGGAGCTCGAGACAATATACGTTGATCTGCTCGGGCGGAGGTCGAGCTCCCAGCACACCAGCTGCAGCTGAGCTCTTTTAGTGCTTTGCAGCTCTATTGTTCTTCCATGTCCCATTGATGTCAATGGCGCCACTTGGATGGCTGCATGAATCGGGCTCACGGACCAACATGGAAGTGCTCTGTAGACATTTCTCCACACATGCATCCACGATTGACACGATGGCGCCCGGCAGCCAAGGAGAGAGAGGATGGGTTGGCCACTTCCCAATTGGGCCAGACGTGGCTATAAGAGTTGGTGGCTTGGCCATGGATTGTGCTTTCTGACAGATGGTCGGACAATCAGTCGAATTGACAGCCCTTCCAGCAATGGTTAGTGTGAGAGCTACGTAGATGACGTCTGGTGCGGAATGGCTCATGTGTGTGATGAAGCAACGACAGGAGGCTCATTGATAATTTGAAGTCCTCCAAGGTTTAGATGCAGGCGTATACGATAGTCTAACCTCCGCGTGGCGCAGGGATTTTGCAGCGGACTTTTGGATGTTTTTGGAGGGATGGGGTGGCGGGTTTTCACTGAATTAACAAAGGTTTCTTCTTCCAGAAGATGTCTGGTGTATCTTCTGGTACAAAGTCTAGTAAAGGGAGGTTGGCTTCCTGTCGTGATGGGGATATGCAAAATCCATGTACTTTTTTCCAACACAGCTTCTCGGTCCTACCAGAAAGGGCTGCGAATCCTCCAACACATGGAACCTGAATGGCTTTGGGAGATGTTCGCTCAAATGCAGATTGAATCTCATCCATGGCTCTAGTTACACATGTCGCTGCTAACCATACAAGAGGCGAATGACGATAAAGCCAATGACGTAGCTTCTGCCCTAGCAACAATCAGGCCGTTTGCAGTAGCAAGCACGCGGTCAAACTTCAGTTCCTATATAATTTTCAGGTCGTGCAACGGCAATAAACGTCATGTGCTGTCAAGAACCCATAAAATATGGCATAATGAGTGACGGGTTGGGTCTGGCCGCCCTTTCTTTCGCCTTGATAACGGGCCCAATTAGATCGTCCTTCTCCTTCGCACTGTCCATCCGCTTTGATAGCACCATGTTTGTTTCCTCCAGAGCTTTCGACATGTTCCTCCTCAAAAAATACCTCTGTGCTTCTGCCAAATCTCTCTGATCTAGATACCACAGCACAACGGCTTGGGCCCCCCACGCGCAAGGATTGAACATGAACCGGACGTATAATCCTGTGTCCAGGTTTTCCAAGCTGGAAAAGCTTTCTCCGAGGGTCAAATCACCCACAATGTCGAAGGTGGTCCAGGTGAACCATGCGGCCAAGTCGAATGCATTGCCTCTGGAAATGCATTCTTCATTCACACACCCCACTGACGTTGATTGCTAACATCCTGTTCAAAGTGTCTTTGTAGTTGTTCAATCATGATATTTGTATGCCTCATAACTGCCCTCTCGTGCTTTTGAGGCTACTGACAGAAAATCCGTCAGCCAGGAAGCCTCGGAAAGCTTTTGGCGTGTCCCTCTCTAAAGCGGAAAGATCTTCCAAAACAACTCCATTGAAGCTGGGCCGCGATAAGACTCAGGGTTTTCTCCTCCAATTGAACCTCCATATATGTCTTTCCGCGCCCCTGGTTGTGAGAAGGAAAGCTGTGAAGGAAAAGTCTAGCTTTTTTGGTCGGGGCTGTTGGATTCAATGACCTTATGAGCGGCGCGTTAAGAAATCAATTAAACAAGTCCAACTCCTACCCTTCGGCCGGATTTATGCATAAGGCCTGCCACGTCACCTATCGCACAGCCAGCGTTCAGCGACCGTCGAGCCTTCTGCGTTTACGCTATTGTGTAATTTGTCTCATGTTCCCATGGACGAGACCGAGTTTCTGGCCACCTCGTTACGCTATTGATGCAGCCGCGAGCCGTGGGAACTTTTGCGTCCACCGGCTACAGCTACATCGACATGGGGTAAGTCGTTGCTTTTTACGGCCGCTTTTTCCAAGCCTTAAACGAGACAATCAAGCGTTGATTCTGTCTGTTTTTCAAACACCTGCTACTTTATATAATATCGCCGTTATTCTCCGTCTCCCAACATTTCAGCTCTGTACCTCAAATTTTGATTCTTACTGTAAATTGACTCGAAATTTTGACGACGTTTCCTCAAAACCATAGATTCACATCAAGATGACACAGTACGACTCTATTGGATCTTCGTATCTTGTCGTAGGCGAACTCCTCTTCAAACAAATGGAGCTTGCCATGGTGAGGAGGGCCATCCGACCACTGCTCAAACCGAATGCCAAGATTGTCGAGTTTGCCTGTGGCACGGGATTCTACACCCAGGAAATATTGTCGTGGACCACCTTAACGATAACAGCGATGGATATCTCTCCAGTCATGCTGGGCATTGCGTCCAAAAGCCTGTCGACCAGTGACAGCGACCGCGTTCGTTTCGTGCTTGGGGACGGTACTATCTCCACGTCCTATGCTCCCGACAAGTCAATCGGCTTCTTCGACTGTGCTTTTGGCGGCTGGTTTTTGAATTACACCGAGAAACGGTCCGGGTTGGTAGCAATGTTTGCAACTATTGCGCATAATCTCAGCCATGACGGGGTGTTTGTGGGCGTGGTGCCTCATCCCGCTGAAGACTTGGTCGCGCGCAAGAAAGCATATAGTCGCCCCCCGTTGGACAGAATGTGGCCGCGTCTGGAGTACATCAAGGAGATTGATGAGGGGTCGGGCTGGAGATCGCGTATACACCTAAACGAGGACGTGTCCTTGTTGGCAGCGCATATGAAGAAGTCTGTGTATGAGGCTGCCGCCAGAGAAGGAGGATTCCGAGGGAAGCTGCGGTGGATACCTGAAGGTATTCAGGAACTCGGGTTCAAGGACAAATAGATTGAACAATTTAACCTGACGGGCGAGGAGTACAACATTCGAGAGGCGAATCCAGTCATGGGTTTATTGATAGTGTGGAAGAATTGAACCCTCGAATCACTTCTCTTACCTTTCATGTAGGTGATGATGGACCACTTCTGCGATACGATGGTCTACGAGGTATGGCACTCACAAATATTCATTTCTGACAAACTTGAAGGCTGTCTGCCCATGTATACTAGGTCTCCTACCCGTTCTTATTTCTCACCGTACTGCGCCATCTTTTTAAAAAGACCCATGTCGTCCAGCGCCAGCAGCGAACCTAGCCGCTCCTCTCACACTCTCCGTCGTGATCACACCAACGCCCTCATCAAACTCGTTCCTCAAACCGTCCTCAAACGAAGTGGCATTATAAGCCGCGTAGTAGCAATTCGCCCTATCAACATTCATGCACTCCTGCGGGAACGCAAGCAACTGCTCCGCAATCTTGGTCGCTTCTTGCAAAGACTGCCCCCTCGGAACCACGCGGTTCGCAAGGCCCATCTGCAAGGCCTCCTGCGCCGACACGGGCCTCCCGGTGAGAATCATATCCAACGCTCGCCCCAAGCCGACAATGGCTTGCAGACGCACCGTCCCGCCGTCAATAAGCGGCACGCCAAAGCGCCGGCAAAAGACGCCAAACACGGCGTCCTCTTCGGCCACACGCATGTCGCCCAGGAGGGAGAGCTCCAGGCCGCCGGCGACGGCGTGCCCGGCCACTGCGCAGATGACGGGCTTGAGTATCTGCATCCTCGAGGGACCAATGGGCCCGATGTTGCGGCCTTGCACACGGTGGTTGGCGTCTATGATGGGGCCTTTGTAGCCTGCTGCGCCGGAGCTGGATTCTGTGCTGTGATACTTGGCGACCTCGTGTAAGTCGAAGCCGGCGCAAAAGGTGCCGTTGGCGCCGTGGAACACGCACACCTTTTGCGTGGGATCCGCTTCGAATGCGAGGAATGCGTCTGTTAGTTCCTTAGCCGTGGGGCCGTCGATTGCGTTTCGGCGATGGAAGCGGTTGATGGTGATGGTTGTTATGCCATGCTCGGTCTTGTTGATCTGCACGGCTTGAGGTTTGTCGGTTGCCATGCCGTCCATCAGTGCGTTTATTGAGACTGAGCAATAGGTGAGGCTATGTACTCGGTACGTTTGGGACGTATTACGAAGTAGTTAGCTATATGTCAAATTGAACAGTGAGCTGGTCCTCGATGGAAACTATATAGAGGAGAATTTGACTGCTGCTTACAAAGGCTCTAGAGAGCTATTATGTGCTTTCAAAGTTTGTTGCATCAATTCTATCAAACTTCCGGTTTAATCCGGCTTTATCCGTTTACAGGATGATTTCTATGTTATACTCGACTGAACTCGCACGCCTTTTTTCCCTCGTCCGGCTCTCCATGTCCCTTTGTCCGCTTTGGCCTGTGACGGGCTCCGCGGAATGCCAATCATCAAGACTCTGGCTGCCCCACCAATTACAAAGTCCCAGCCGGCGTTTTCTGGTCGAAAGGTCAATCTGGTGGCCAATAACGTGGCGGCAAGTCGGCCGCTGGATCCACACGGAAGATTGATTTTGCCAGGCAATTTGTCCGTAAAGTAACTACATGTTGGCATTCCCTTTTTATTAACACGAAGCATCTCAGGATGGACTCCCTACCGACCGAGATCATCCAACATATTTGCAAGCAACTATGCTTTCATTGCCAACACCAAGGTGTCTTCCCTAATGCAGACTCGCGCGATGTTCTTGCACACAAATCCTCGCTGTCTCGGCTATGTAGCACATCAAAACGGCTCAGCGTCATCGCCCAACCAGTGCTTTACCACTACTATGCGACTGGGAATCTTCCCACAACGGCCGGCTTTGGCCTAAACCATGCCATTCGAGCATCTTCTAGGGATGACAAGCTCTCCCTCTTTGTTCGAACAATTATGCAGCGACCAGACCTCGCGGGCCATGTAAGGGCTCTGCAGCTAGTGGACTCGGATGTTGTGAAGGGATGCTCCCTTGATCTTTTGCGCGCTTTTGAAACCAAGGCAGAGGAGTGTGGCATGCGGGTACTGGAGGACGACAGCAGTCTGTCAGATGTCGATAGCTTCTACGAAGACCAGCCGCTATCATCGCTTGAGGGCCACCGCTGGCTTGAGGGGCTCGCGATAGCCCTCTCCCCCAATATTGAGATGCTCCTCATCGCACATAACACCCCTTCGCGACCCTTTGTGAATGTTGATATCAATTTGTCTCGACTGGCGAAACTTGCTATCCGAGGATATTCAGGACAGTACTTCTTCTCTGAGGCAGTACCATTACTTTCAGCCGCTCCGAATATGCAGACCTTGTATCTCTTGGATTGTTGCCATCTCACAGGCTGGAATCGAATTCTAGACATGGAATTTCAACCTCATTTTGAGTTAGCCCTTGCCAACTTGCGTAGCTTGGTTATTAACGGCCCACACCCGGAACACCTGGATGAAATACTAGGCTATTGTTGCCAGCTACAGGATCTCGAATACTATGAGCAAACCACCATCGGCGTCTCGAATGTCAGGCAGCTAGTAGAGTCATTTTTGCGCGTCAAGCGCACCCTTCGACGGTTGTACTTTGCCTATCTTCCAAGGGGAAGGTTTGATTTCAACTGCGGCTTCCACCGCACGATTGAGGGCCTTGACGCGGACGAGCAATACCGGGATTACGTCGAGTGTTCGTTGGCCGAATCCTACGATACCAGCGCCATCGAGTTGCTACGAGATTTCGAACAGCTCGAGGAGCTCGGCATCGATCAGGCATCCATCTATAGCCCATCGAGCCCAGATGCTGAAACGAATCCAGGCCGGCTCTCTCGTCTTCTGCCACCAAATATTCAAAGGCTCCGCGTCATGTACGTATACAGGGCTATGACAGGCGATCTCTACTGCCTAGGCCGCCAGGCACCATACAAGTTCCCAGAATTAAAGCATGTCAGACTTGGCCAAGCCATCTCCATTACGCCGGAGAGACAGGCAGGACTTGAGGAAATGAAGCAAATAAGCAGCATCGTCACAACCATGGGAGAGACCATATCGGTGAGCTGGGCCATTGATGAACTCGGAGCGGATGTACGCACTCGTATTCCAGGGGGTACAGTACACCCCCAATTTATTCCGTGTCCGGTGAATTAGATCCCGCCCACCTCTTTCTCGGGACGCCTCAGCAAACTTGTGGTTCAGCGGCTACTAGCCTGGCCATCGATGATGATGACAAAGCACACAATACGTTGTACTCGGAGAAGGGGAAAGGGGTATTGACGAGAAGCTCTGAAGCATCAGGAAAAGAGCCACTAGTGGTAGTCTCAGAGGTCGTATCAGTTCCCATCAGAGCGGTGTGCTCTTCACGGGAGTGTTGGGAATACCACTAGTGCTAGGCTTGGAACAATTACAGGGGTATATTTGGGGTTGTTCCCGCAGCGTGGGTTTTTGAACCAGTATCACTGGCGTCATCGTCCTACTCAAGAGGGTTGGGTTCATTGGCGCCGGTGCTGGACGGCATTATCAAAACCTATGTCGTCGTCGGAGGCGGCAGTCCGAACAGGAGGTGGGGCCTTTGGGGACTTTGCAAGAACTACAGTATCTTTTGCAACAACAGTAGCAGTGCTGGACTTGTCGAATTGGACCTGCTCGCTTGATATTCAGCTTGGGCGAGGCTAGGGCAGTATTGCTCCCGAGGAGCATAGCGAATCCAACGACTGTCACAGGAAACTTGACTTTGGCTTGTAAACGGTACGTGTGCAGGATGTGCAGAAGATTTTAGCGAATGTGATGCGATATGTGAGAAATAATAAAAGAATGGTGAGTTAGCTTCACCAACCACATTACAAGGTTGTGGGCAAGAACATCCATCAATTCAACTCAGAGAGAGCCGCAAAGATGCCGCAGATAAATCACACGAATAGGAAACCTGTGAGTATCTAGTCCTTGCCTTTTTTTTTCGGACGTCTGGAAGTCAATATGTATTTGCCCTGAATCACCATTATGCTCGTCACCTGTCACGTCAGGTCAAATAGGCTTGGAGGCCTGTTTGAGCCCATTGGCGCCTTGGAGAGTTCCAAAGATGTATGGTTGAGCCGCGTGATTTAGTACTGCAAGTAAAATCTGCACTATATAATGTGATGTTGTCACACGGAAATGGCGGTGGTTACACAAGGGCTACGGTCACGGGATTGGGGCAGAAGGCCCTCGCCGACTTCTTGTATTTAAAGACGTCTTTGGCGACCGAGGCCTTGAGGAAAACCAAGGACCTTTGATACCAAAGACTGTTATTAGATGAATTGAGTAAATTGCTCCAAGCCTCTAGCCCTTGTCACAGATGTAGACAGAAGAGCGCATAGCCATATAAGCAGCATGTTATTTAACCAAAGAGAATCACTGATGGGAGTTGTACCTAATTCAGGCGATAAAATCTATCAATAGGCATGCATGACTACCAACTAAACTGTTTCCGTCAGCGATGTCCACACTGGTAGTCAAGTCAGCTGTGGAGTTATGTTGTCGCCAAGTTGGAACTCTGGAGTCTTACCATCGTTATGTGCTTAGATTTCTGAACAATGTAATTATCTATTCTTTGCCATTTCGGAACATACATTCACACCTTCCAATTATATAACCAATCGAAGCCCTATGACTGTACGGGGTGCCCCAGTTGACCTATGCCGGCTTGTTTCACGCCCGTTGCACGCCACTCCACGGGAGCACTTGTTGGTCAAGTTTCGAGGCTTCAGGGGAAAGGGGCTTTACCAGTCGTCATGAAAAGAAGAGGAACACTTTGTCCATCCAATAAAAATGTTCTATGTCTAACAAAAAGCGCCTTGGCCCCCGGCTCACCGGACGCGATAACCTTGTAGTCGCGGCACGACATGACCATGCCGGTCGACAGCCGGCTACGGTTCGCCAGCCGCGTGTGATATGCCACATTATGTCGTGGCGACGCTTTACAGGGTGAGTGGAGTCCAATAAAACAACATTGAACATTCAAGTCTGGTGTCACAGGATATGTAAGGTGTGCTGGGCGTCCATAAAAGTGCCTCTCACCAACTCCATTTTTGTACGACCAGAAGGAACTTGCTACCCCTCCCTTTGTTGAAGCCGGAAGTCAAATTTGTGTGGCTAAAAGCTCAAAGAGAGTTCATACACTGCAAAAACGTAACTCAGCGCTCGATTCATGCTCTGAAGAGGTGACAACGATGTCGTTTACCAAACTTGCTGACCTGATGCGACTTGGAGCAGCTCGTACGAGCACAACACGTTCGTCCGAGAGACAGGATGACCTTGGCGCATTAGAATGCATGTGTTATTGGGCACAAAAGTCCCACGCAGCTGACAGCTCACGGTGCATTGCCGCCCGGTATTCCTTTCTTGTTACGAGTTGATTTATTAATACTTTTGCCGTGTTACGTGACAGGTTCTAAATGATTGTACAAGTCTGTCGCTCTGCCTCCCGCATGTATTGCTGCCACATCTTGTGCTACCTTCGAAACACGGAAACCAATTCACCTGTGCTGCTTTGAAAAGGGATGTTTCAGTTAACAAATAACTAGTTATTTATACTTCCGTACTACCCCGCTGTACTTACCACTTTCTGTTGGGGTGTATGTTACCCTCCAATAATCGAAGCATCACCTTGCCCTTGAAGCCCATAGCGTCTATGTACGTACTGGTAAGTTTGTGGAACATCAGGTTGACATCCCAATACCGTTGGTCCGTTGTACCACGGGGGCTTGGGCCTGATAATAGGCCATTCAACTTCTACAAGTGTGGTCTCACTTGACACAGCTATACACCCTTTCCGCGGACAATGTATTTGGGTGGCAGGAATGGCCTAGACCTACATGTTGGAGTACAACTCAACCGCACCGTCATAGGCCTCTTCGTTTTTCCCGAGCCCCCAGCTCTCTTCCAAGGTAGTATCAGCATGTGGTTGAGAACCCAATTGGCTATCCTCAGCAACCACTTGGAACAAGGCAGGCCCCAAGCCAGTTGGGCCGTAATTATTGGGGATATTGGGCCGTAGACAAAGAGCCGCGGAGAATGATGCCCAGCCTTTGCCTGTCGTGTGATCAAACTCTCCAGTTAATAACTACTTAAGACTCGCCTAATCCCAGAAACGTGATACAATCTCTGAAATTTCTCGGATAAGCCTCAGATTTCTATTCAACGACTCCATCTATTGTCTACCATACTCTTCAGAAGTTCCAGACTATAAAAACACGTATCGTGATCTCTCAGACACTGTGAGTGACCACGATGGTTCGATTCAAAAAGTCACGCAGCTCGGCGTTGAAAGACAAGACATCTTCCGCCACTGCAGTCTCTTCGGCATTGCCATCATCATCACAACAGCCGCAACAGCTGCAACAGCGGCAACAGGCTTTTGGAATCAAGACTCTGCATGAGGATGAAAACAGCACAATAGAGTTAGTGTCCTCGCATGGCCCTTCAGCTGTCTGCCCGCATTGACCAAAAATACTGTAGCATCTTATTTGTGCATGGCCTAAGGGGTCATCGCGAGAACACTTGGAAGGCAAAGGACGCTTCAGAACCGTGGCCTCAAGCCTTACTGCCTGTTGAAATTCCGAACGCACGGATACTCACCTTTGGGTATGACGCCGCCGTAACAGATTTGGGGAGCATGGTTTCGCAAAATACCATTGCAGGCCATTCGGGGAATTTGCTTTCTGCGCTCGCGACCCATAGGAGAAAGAATGCAGTAAGACTCCGAGAACGATGGCATTTATGGATATAAACTCACCGATACAGACTGACCGTCCCATAATATTTGTCTGCCATAGCTTAGGTGGTCTTGTCTGCCAAGATGTAAGTAATTATTGGCCTTTGTGGCGTCAGTGTATAGTGTTCTGATAAGAAAGGCCCTGTCTTATGCAAGTCAAAGCGACGAGCCGCATCTCAAGCAAGTTTTTCATTGCACTTGCGGGATGATATTTCTTGGCACTCCGCACCATGGTTCTGCTCTCGCACACTGGGCAAAAGCCTTAGCAGAGGCTTTTAAAATTTTGCATCAAACAAACTCCGATATTCTGGCTGTCCTAAAGAAAGATTCTGAAGTTCTAGCGCGTGTCCAGAGCAGTTTCCATATCTTGATGCGATCGCGAAAATACCCATCAAAGCAAGGCCCAAAGATCAACATTACCTGCTTCTACGAGGAGCTGGCTGTGCTTGGCGTTGGTCAGGTGAGTTGATCATTGATACCGTTGATACCAGTAAACTCAAACTCATTTTTTATATCAGGTCGTTCCAAAGGACTCCGCAATCATCCCTGGGTACATATCTATCGAAATTCGTGGCAATCATATGGACATGACGAAATTTGGAGATTCAAATGACGCTGGATTTGTAGCCGTCGCTGGGGAGCTGTCTCGATGGTGCGAGGAAGTCTCTCTCTCCAATGCCGCTGGCACCAGTGTAACATGTATGTGGCCCCGTTTGACAACGAATGCTAGTGCAAGAGTCTGAACATTGTATGTCTCTTTTTAGCGTCGCGGGAAGGGTGCAATATGATACCTTTTGATAGAGACCCAAAGTTTGTCGGTCGAGAAGATGTCATAAAGGAGATTGACCGACGGTTCGAGCATCAGAGACATGTTGCCCTATGTGGCTTGGGCGGAGTAGGGTACGTTTCGCAATAGATAGTTTGGCAAGACGCATCGCTCATAAAGTATAGGAAATCCCAAATTGCCATCGAATACGCTTATCGCTTCCAGCAAAAACACCCTGATGCACACGTCTTCTGGGTTTATAGCAGTTCTGGTTCTAGAATGTACCAAGGATATTTACAAATTGCAGAGAAACTGAATCTGCCAGTACAAATCGGCCAAGAGGTTAATGTTCTTCGACTAGTATGTGAAGCACTCAGCAACAGCACATGCGGCCAGTGGCTCTTAGTATTGGACAACTTGGATGACATGAAAGTGTTGGAAAGTACGGCAGAAAGCCCGTTTCAGGTAGAAGAAGCTACGAAATCGCCGCTGAAGGCTTACCTACCACGCAGTTCGAAGGGTTTGACGTTAACCACCACAAAGAATTGCTTGGTCGGCAACTGGATGACAGACAATGAGATAACCAGGATTGAGCCACTGGACGAGTCCGACGCTGTATTGTTATTTCGATCATATTTAGCCTCTGGTTATATGTCGGACTTCAATGACTACCTTGAGCTAAACTGCCTTAAGCTGGTCAAGGCTTTGGAATATATGCCTCTTGCAATTACGCAGGCTGCCGCATACATACGGAATAACGAGGTATCACTTGACGAATATCTTGAGATACTTCACAAAAGTGACGAGGAACTGAGCAGTCTCATGGATGAGGAGGAGAAAGACAGTAGGAGGGACTTTCAAAGCAATTGTTCAATCTTCCGAACATGGAAAATTTCTTTCGATATGATTCGCCGATCTTGGCCTCGCGCGGCAGATATATTATGCCTTATGGCTGTTTTGGACAGGCAGGGAGTACCGGAAAGACTTCTAAAGTGCCAGAAAGAGCTCGATGCTGAATTTAAGAGATCTCTCGGGAGACTAAAGGCCTTTTCGTTGATCTCCGCAACAAAACTTGACGGTGACCTTGGCATGCACCGACTGGTTCAGCTCGCTGTACGCGAGTGGATCACGCGCGATAAAGAGATATACAAATACCAGGAAGAGGCCCTGGAGGTTATGGCGCGTGAATTCCCTCCTATAACATATGAGAACTGGACTTGGTGTCAGGCATTGCTTCCACATGTATTGGTGGTGATCCGGTATAAAACTTCTGATGAGATGATTATACCTCGCGCACGCCTTCTCCAAAATTTGGGCATATACGGGGTGGAGGAAAGGATGTGTGGTCTTGCATTTGCGACACTATCAGGGGCTCTAGCGCTGTGGTCAAAGTGTGTGGAACTTGATAAGAATGCTGACGCACTAGTATGCCGTTTCTATATCGCAGTAACATTATTTGCGCAGGGCAAGTATACGGAAGCCGAAGAACTGCACCGAAAAGTCTTGAAGTACCGTATAGAGTCGCTGGGACAAGATCACGATGACACGTTGAAAAGTATGTATCATATTGCAATAGAATCGATGGTCCGAAGAAAATTCAAGGAAGCGAGGGATATGTGTCAGCAACTACTCGAAAAACAGAAAAAGATTCTAGGCCTTGAGCATCAAGATACTAGGCGAACTATAAACCTTCTTGGGGGAGCTCTTGTGGCGCTAGGAAGATGTGACGAGGCCATACAGATGTATGAACAAACATTACAGTATTGCAAGGACAATATTGGGCCTGAGAGCAAAGAGACACTCGCCGTAATGATTAGGCTTGGAGTTCTTCTCGTCGGCAGTCCAAGGCATGAGGAAGGTACGCAGATGTTGAAACAAGTAATTGAGGTACGAAACAAAGTGCTTGGGCCTCAGCATCCTTGGACACTTTCTGCCATGGGTCACCTCTCAACTAGCTATGCCAGCCTCGGAAAGCACGATGAAGCCAAAGAGCTGCGCGAGAAAGTGGTTGCGCCACTTCTGGAATGGTCTGGGCCTGAAAACAAATCGAAATTAGCGCAGAAGACCGACCTTGCCGCCGAGACCCTTTTCATTCTGGACAACATCGGGCAAGCTTTAGAGAATCACAGGGAATTTGTAAGGCACCACAAGGAGGGATTGACTGTGAGGTCACAAGAGCTCCCAATGCAACTAATAACGGATATTATGAGAATAATAGAAAGTAAACAAACTTGGATTAAACTTCGAAGAGTAGAAAATGGAAAATAGGATATTAATATATGGTTTCTGATATAAAAGTACTTTAATAATTATATAAACTAGTAAGTAATATGATAATAAAGGTATATTATACTATTAAATTATAATATATCGCGAAAAAAATATAAAATACTGGTATTAAAACACGTTAAATATACTAGCTAAGAGAATTATTTATTACCACGTGAATTATATATATATTATTATTTGCCTTAAAAAGCAAATAATATATAACCTAGTAAATTATATATATATAAATATAATAAAATAGAATAAGTTCTAGTAATTATATTAATATCCTAACAAACAAACTCTTTTTACAAGTAAGCGAGGTTAACTAGAAAGGAAATATAAGCGCTCATAATGAACTAAATATACAAGCTACGCAGTAATAGCTAAAGTGATACTATTTGTAATAGGAATCACATAGAGTTCGCCCCAGCTTTTAATAAGATCTGGTACCAGACATGCAAGGGTTTTTTCGAGTCGTGTGTCTGGTACTGTTCAAGACTCATTTCTCGGGACCTTGGAGAGAGACAAAAGATACGAAAGAGAGAGTCAAGAAGGCACAATAATAAGCGGGAAATCTGCAAGAAGCTACTATCGGAATTTTCTTCATCCATGGCTCGACAGCCAAGCCCAATTACCGGTGTGGCTTCATTCTTCCACGCCGCTTTTTCGTGGTCTGACCTCCTCCGCCACGCCCACCAAATGTGGAACACACATGTGCAGTCTGTGAGTACAGTTAAATCCGCTACGGGGTTCGGGAGGTGCTCTTGGACAATACAGGTGCCAAGTAAGCATCTGGCTTGTAGTTGTACGATAAGAATGTGGAGGTGGAGTTATAGTTCATGAGTTGGATGCATGGATAATACCAGTTCTCACTGCTAAATAGACGGTTTATCACTACAAACAATAATTATCACCCAGGTCATTGGAGGAATCGCTAGCACTGTAGCTACCGTCATAAACGCAGTATTCTATGGACAACGTTTTGTGTTGTGGTTCATAGCAATCTCCCAAGTATAGCTTGTATGAGGACCATGTACATTGGAAGCATCCGCACATAAATGCCGATAGAGCTAGCTATTCGCGACCGCTTCCACCGCTCCAGAGGTACCAATAACCTGAAAACTGCGAGAATCTCATCCTGGTACCCGCAGTTATTGCTACGTCTCCTACGCGCTACCTGCTCGCCTAACCCAGAGTTGCTCCATCTAGGCTGGGGTTTGGCAGGGGAAACCCTGTCATCTTGCTAGCTTCTCGCACAATCGGAGGAGAGAGAAGGAGAAAACACAGAAAAAGCCCGGCGCGCGCGGTGATGAATCATCACCTTGCCTAGTGTGTTTAACGCATCGCGATGCGTGCACTTTGTGTTTTTCTCGCGGTACATTACGGTCCTGTAGCCTGGTATGGCTCAATTACAGTGTTATATAACTTCCAGATGTCATAATAATAACAGTAGTCGATTGATATTTTGATACACTTGACTCCATAGAACACAGACTGAGCGCCATCTACAGGCTAAACCATCTGTCAATAGTGCCCCAAATTTTCCGACACCTCTAAATAATAGCTTAATCCCACCGTAAGGTCCGTGTGACGCCGCTTATGGCCAAGAAATGTCCGAGTTTAATTTAAACCGTATGATCTGCGGGTCTAGGCGTAGTCAAAGCGCAGTGTTGATGTTTAATTGGCCGTCTTCAAACCACGCAAGACGCGCTCAACACTCATGCTACACTAAGGTACATAAATATACTACATCATAAGAGCATGTAGACGCTTTGCTATCCAGTTCCCAGGTGAATGTGACTCTTCCAAGCTGTCCGGTTGTGCAGCTTCGCTCAGCGCCATGCACTTGACAAGCCTTTACCTGTATTGTTGCCTCTCGCTCTGCTTGACATGTCAAGCTCAGTTCAATCGTTTCCTTCCACGGCAATTTTCTCCCTATGTTAGTGCAATCGCCTCCTTGATTGGCGGCAATGGATTCCTCGAGGCATCCTTCGGCGCCGTACAAGGCCTTCTCGGCCGCGACCAAGAGTTCGACTTCGTGGTCGTAGGAGGCGGCACGGCCGGCAACGCCATGGGCTACCGCCTAGCAGAAGCGGGCTTCAAAACGGCCATTATCGAAGCCGGAACCTTTTTCGAGTTGTCCAAGCCCGGTTTTGCCACCATCCCCGGCCTCGATGTCCTCTTTGTCGGTTCCGACAGTTTCGAGGCCTTGTCCCCGGCGGACTGGAAGTTTCAGTCGACGCCGCAGCAAGGCGCGAATAACCGCAAGTTTCATATCGCTCAAGGAAAATGCGTCGGCGGCTCATCCGCTTGGAACTTTATGATTCACCACAGAGGCCCCAAGGGCATGTATGATCAATGGGCCGAGGCCGTCGGAGACGATAGCTACAAGTAGGCCAATGCTCATTGTACAACCTCGTTGCTGGAAAATTATTGACATGTAACTCTAGGCTCAGTAGCTTCGAGAAATTTTACAAGAAATTCGCGACATTCACCCCTGGGAGCACCTCGAAACGCCCAGCCGACACCTTGTCTCCGTCTGGCGGAGCTGACTTTGCTGCTGCTGGTCAAGGCGGTCCCGTTCAAGTCAGCTACACAAACTTTGTCTCAGACTGGTCGAAGTGGCTGCAAAAGGGCCTGCAAGCTGTCGGGCTCAAGAGGACGGATGGGTTTGATCGCGGTGATTTGTTGGGCTATCACTACACCGAAACGACCATTCGACAGTCCGACGCAACCCGTAGTTCGTCTGCTGAATACATCTATGCTGCGAATAAGAAGAAAATGAGTAATCTCAAAGTATTCACTAACACTCAGGGATCTAAAATCGAATTCGACAGCAGCAAGAAAGCAACTGGTGTCAAGGTGCTCTCCGCAGTTGGATCCGAGTATACCATCAAGGCGAAGCGAGAAGTTATCGTTAGCTCTGGCGCCTACAAATCACCACAACTCCTCATGCTCTCAGGAATAGGGCCCGAGGACACACTCAGCAAACATGGAATCCCAGTCGTTGCGTCGTCGCCCGGAGTCGGCCAGAACATGTGGGACCATATCTTCTTCGGACCGTCGCGCGCCGTCAAGTTCAAGACTATCAATTCCATCTTGCAAAACCCAATCGACTTGGCAAGCGCAGTTGGCAAGTATCTCATCGGGCACGAGGGGATTCTCAGTTCAAACGGCATCGAGATGGTCGGGTGGGAGAAACTGCCGGCGCAGCTCAGGGGCAGCTTCTCCGAGGACACCAAGCAGCAACTCGGCTGGTTCTCAGACGACTGGCCAGAGGTGGAGTTTCTCGGGGGCAACGGGCATATAGGGACATTCGGGTCGCTCCTCAAACAGCCGTTTGACGGGAAGCAATACGCTACGCTTCTGGGCGCCCTCGTCGCGCCGCTGTCCAGGGGCAACGTGACCATCTCGTCCACCTCTGTCCGCGACCAGCCCGTCATCAACCCCAACTGGTTGACTGCAAAGGCCGACCAAGAAGTTGCGGTAGCTTTGTTGAAGCGCCTGCGAGAAGTGTGGGCAACCCCTGAGCTGCAGTCCATCTCGAATGGCCCCGAGTACTATCCAGGCGAGAAGGTCAAGACCGACGAGGAGATTTTAAACACCGTGCGAGACTCGCTGATGACGGTGTGGCACCCGGCCTGTACGTGTAAGATGGGCAAGAAGGAAGATCCTATGGCTGTGGTTGACAACTTGGCGCGAGTACATGGCGTTCAGGGTCTGCGCGTTGTGGATGCGAGTGCTTTTCCTATCTTGCCGCCAGGACACCCGATGGCGACGATTTATGCGTTGGCGGAAAAGATTGCCGACGATGTTATCCGCACTGCCAAGCAGGGGTAGGTGTGGTGAGACGGTGGTGGCGTAAATTGCCGCGAATATTCTTATTCTAGCAACGTGGAACGCTTCCGCGATTTTGTCCAAAGTTGTAATAGAGATTTATGTGTCATACTTCACCTGATATAAAAATTTTAGCATATCTAGACTTTAGCGCGGATAGATTTAGAGTTTTATATAACTACAATTTACTATTTCTAGACATAAGATTTGCTCCATTGAGGACATGAACGATTGTCGCGTCAATGCTAAATGATCATTTATCTCAAACGAGGAGATCAATGAGGCACCCGGATTTTCATGATGCTCATTCAATTCAGCCTATGATATATTCAATGTTATTACTGACAAAACAATGTAAAACACCCATGTATATCAGGAAACTAAATATACCCACATGTGGACAATCTATGATGTTGTTTGTGTTTGAGTTGCTTCGACGTTTCGTTGCGTAAGCCAACGGTTGACGCAAAGGCTAGAATAGCACAAGCTACTAGATTACTGGCTCCCGTTCAAAGCTTGTTTCCCATCATCAGGGCATCATTATAAAAGCTCCGACCGACCGTCCAGCCCAGACCATTTCGGTTTCCCGTCATCAATATCGACACAGCGCTGTGAGTAAAAGATGTGACACCTGAAGTTGGTCAGCAGGGTAGAGTGTCCGGACGTTATTCTACTCACTGTACTTTAAAAATTTCCTTCTGCTCCGCGCTTAATGAAAGTAATGGTGGAAATACGAGGGCCATGTTCCTTCCTTCATCCATTATATGCGATCCACACCACTTGCAACTAACTTTGCAAGGCAACTCGTGATGACTTTCTTTTGTCGCCGAATTATAAAACTTCAAGTGTTCTGCTCCCGTTTCAAAGGCCACATCCGACTTTTCAAAAATGGCAGCCCATTGGAATGGCGCGCCTGATTGACGACGTTGGATTAGTTCAGTGAAACAGTGATGGACCAGCGGCAGCCTTACCATGGATGACTTGACAGCCTACACAATGACAAAATTTGGACGCCAATGGCTTGTCAGTGCTTATCCAATACAACACTTTCCGGCAATGACAGGAGCCTTGAATCTCCCGCCGAAATTGGCTTCGAGTATCTGGTGGTTGATACGGCGGCTTCAGTGCCCAGCTCTCCGAAGACATGGCAAGTCGCTGATTCGGTCGCCTGCTTCCTGAATAAAAACATGCGATGTGGATGATGGAAGCACATCGGATTTAACTTCGATTCGGTTTAAATTCAAGTCAGCATGTTGGGTCTGGAAGTGGTCCCACGCCAACTGTCCATAATTACGTGACGCTTGCGTCATGTCCCTACCGGGTAAAATAGAAGAGCGACTCAGAATCACCACACGGCAGGTTATGGCGTCATATCCGAACCGGCATATTACCGCATCTCAGTGTCATTATTGATATCCGAGTTCCATCGGCCTCCTTGGGCAAACAATATCTCGCTTATATTCGGCAGACGTGCCGCCTAGTCTCGCGTCCAGAAGGTTGCATGGAGAGTATTCAGGAACCCCAGCTGGCTGTAAATTATTCTAGAGACGAAATTATCCAGGGATGTGAGATCGAAGATAAGCTCCAAGCGGCGCACGACATAGCTAGGCCGGGGGTGGGTGAGAGTGATTATAAGATGCTAGGGAAATTACGGCAGTGGGGTCTTATTGTCTATCAGAAACGGCTGTTTCTTTCTGATAAATATGATATGGGTCTTGTTCCGAAGACCGCGAAAGAGGGTGACTTGATATGTTTACTAAATGGGTCGAAAGCCCCTTGTGTTGGCGTTGGTGGGGAGAGATGTCGGATTATCTCGCAGTGCTATTTAGACGGCAAGATGAATTTCAGTGGATCACCTGAGCGCAGGAAATGTTTGGAAGAAGGCGTTCAGGAATTTGTGCTGGTGTGATGAAGATAATTAATAGGCCAGGGTTTAGGTTATCAGAGAGACCGCAGGGTCCGCCAAGGGATAAGAGGAAGATTAAGGCAGTTTACAAAACTACATATGTATTCATAATAGGAATTACAGGTAAAGTAGCAGGCAAAATACACAACTAGTATAAGCGCTTATGATATTTTTTCTATTTTGTGTTAATTTTACATGTCAAGGAAAAGTGCCGTCCGATATAAGCGGTAGAATTACTTGGAAAATCAAAGTAAACCGGTTTAATATTCGCTACTAGCTTGTTCTGTCATCTTTGACCATATCCGTCTAAATTTCAGTCCCCTTTCCCAACCTACACCAGTAAAAATTCCCACGACAACTAATCGACGCGTGGCTCACGATTTACGTGGCCAGAGGAGCTTGCCGTCCTTTTGCACGCATTTGCCGCCCTCGGGATCCCAGGCAACACTGCTACAAACTCTACATACAGCCCATCCCATATCGAGCTCTGCTTCCGTCTGTCCACCTCCACAGGGAAATGAGCTAGTTGAGTTGGAGCACTGCCCTGATGGCGTCGGGGTCCTCTCTGTTATAGGTGTAAGAGATGGCCATATAAGCGCCCCCTTGATATCCCTGCATTTCCCGCCCTCCGGGTCCCAGAAGGTCCCGCAGCTTCCGCAGACGGCACGTCCTGTATCAAGCTGTACCTCCGTCTGCGCGCCTCCACACGGGATAGGGCCAGTCGAGTCGAAGCACTGCCGCGACGGCTCCGGTTGTGTTTCTGGCTCTGGCGGTGTTTTTGGGGTATCTTCAAGCTCTGTCCCCCAGGGACAGTTGATTATGATCAGTTCCTTCCGATACTCTGGGTTGGCATGAATGTCATGCCGCCGTGCGGCAATGCAATTGCTATACTTCCCAGGATCAAGCGGATAGGCGATGTTTTTGGGCCCAAAGGTTTCCCTCTGCCAGCGAGTAATAGCGTCTATAACCTCTTGGATTTTGTCACTCGCACCGGGGATAGCGCTAAAGAGTCGCTGGAGTCCTATCCCGACTGCGATGCCTCCTGCGATCCCCCCGAATATATTCGTCAGTGTGCTTCCAACCGCAGGAATCCCGCCTCCAGTGGGAACCTTGTTTCCGGTTGGCAGTTTGCCCAAGCCCGGCCCGCATAAGTCACGCTTCCGGCAGTTTGGCGACGGGTTCTTCGGCCGCACCACGCCAGGCTTCTTTCTTGGCCCCTTGAGCGTGTCCTCCCTCCAGTCCGAACTACCAGGCTTGGGCTTAAAGAGCTCTGGTAGGCCCCCTATCATATTCTTAATTGGCGGCTTAGGACTCTTATTAGGCTTGCCTTGCAGTGATCCGGGGCCGCCCCAATTAGGAATGCCGGCGATTGCTTGATCAAGAAGTTGTTTCCCTGGAGGCGTCTCCTTGTAAGGAGGACCCTGCGCGCATGTTAGTCCGATAAGGGCGATATAGGTAATAGCAACTTTCATATTGTGTATAGTGAATAGTATTCGAGTATCTCAAAGGCGTTATTAGGAAATTTGAAACTCGTAGATGCAAAATTTCAGCAGAGGTAAGCGGCCGCATTTGTAGTTTTTTTTTTTTGCCTGGTCTAGACTGGGAACATCTTCACGTTGAGGCGCAACCTAGACGAAGGCAGCGGCTCCCATATTACGACTCCATGACTAGAGAGTCTGCATAAATATGCTGGTGAAAGTTTTTAGCATAGACTATGCGCCGCGATAGTGAATGCGAGGAGCAGGGATATCTTGGGCAGGCGGTTCACCACTCTCTAATATCACGGTGTAACATACTATTGTAATCCAAAGAGTCTTGCATAAACTTCCAGTGGTCATGCTCATTGAAAGTCATGCGTTGCAAAGACTAACTGAGACAGCATAGCCGCCCTCGTGGAACTCGGGCGACTGCCGATCATTCAGAGACTTCAAATTCATGTATAGCAAACCTTAAATGTACTACTTGATAACTAGAAAGGGAAACCCTCGGTACTTACCACAATGCATATGCTGGTAAAAGAATCCGCACAGTCCCTTTCTTAGGCAATAATGACTCGCTTGCCGCGACTCTGAGTCGAGACTTAACACTGGCTGTGTTTCAAGCTAGAGCTGCACTATACCGAGGTAGCCTAGCTCACACGATAGCTGAGCCTTATTCGCTGAACACTGAGCCAATTATTATGCCGGGGTTTATACGAACCTCAACTGCGACTCAATAGCACATATGCGCCGTGTATCGCTATGCTATCAACTCACATCTAAAAGATTTATTAACCAGTCACACTAGGGACGTCGATGGCTTAGACTCTTGTCTTCTACGCTAAGCCGAAGCCCCAAGTCGTGGCACGCATTGCAAAATGTACCCGCTTGCATTCTTGGCATGAATACAATTCCATGTTTACTTGCCATGTTACGCATTATAATTTATGCAAGATACCTGTTTGTTACTTTTTGCATAAAGCCTAAGATAATAAAAGTGAAGGACTTATAATATAAAGTTTAAGATATGACAGCGTCGCCTTAAAGCTATACCTTCTTTCTTTTTTCGTATATACCACTACAACAGTTTCCTATTATCTGTCAAGTGACGAGTTATCACATCTCTAGTCTTGAATAAATATCCTGCTACTTTTCAACTCTTCGCTTTCAAGTCCTGCACTTGTATTTTCTTTCTTCTTTTATAGAACCATATTAAAGAAGGCCTAAAAACAGTCTCTTAACATGGTTCGAATCACTAGTATTGCACTCGTGGCTTGTACGTATATAGTTTTCCTTTTCATCTCCCACCAGTCCCCTTACACGTGCTCTCCAAGAGGCCACCGCACCGTTACATTACCAGACTATAATCCAACAAAGTTTGCTAATACGAAAGCCCCGTCTCTTCCTAGTTGCTACCTCTGCTTTGGCGGTGCCTGCTCAACCTGGGTTCGATGCCACTCCCGAGGTTGGCCGAGAGCATGGCCTCTTTCTACGTCAAGAGCCTCCTCTTGCTGAACGTCCAGTTGTAGAGCCAAACCCTGAAGAGGTAAAGACTGCCAATGCAGAACTAGCCGTTCTGTTGCAAAATATGTTAGATGTTATGGGAAGCATCAACGAGGACATAAAACAGGGCAAAGTACAACTTGAAACCAAGACAAAGCTTACGCCTGAAGAACACAAGGCTGCCCTCGAAATTATACAGGAGGGAATTTTTAAATCCGCCCAAACCTTGGTGGAAATAGGCAAACCGCTAATCGAAGGCAAAGGCGAAGACAAAGCCGAGCCTGAACCCGAAGCCAAGTAAAGGAGCACGCTGTCAGGTGGAAGGGCGATATTTAGAGGCTGTTAGTTAGGATAATTGCTTTTTCTAAAATCTTATTTGCTGTTGGGCTTATATATAGGGCAAACCTCTCCTTCACGCGTGCACGTGATCCAGATCTGTGAGAAAAGTAATCGCTATCACGTGTATTTAAGGCCTTGAATTAGCTTTCATCGCTGAGGCAAGTTAAGTCACATTCTATGAGGAGCCAGATATTATCCAAGAGTTAGGCTGGAATTACACTATCATGTATCGTGATCCACGTCAATGTGCCTGTCAATGTACCCACAAGTGATAATATCTCGAGGTTTAAGAAGCTTGGGATACGTAGTAGCTGTCGTAACTGGAAAGCTGCCTTCTGCAAATAGTGCGCGTTGCCGTTGGACAAGAGTTTGGGGAGTTGCAATCAGGTTCGCCCTGACAACAACAGTAACTGCGGCAATATAATATCGTTGAAAGGCTACTATTATGCAATGTTTACTTTCCTGTGGCTGAATGAAATGACTTGGGGCTGAAGCTCGCCGTGCACTATGCAGATGGATGCTCTCAATGGGCGCATTGGACTTTATAGTCCAGGTGCAAACTGCATACCTTAATCTTAAGTAAATTACCTTCTGGCTACGATACACGATTCTCATCCCGAATATCTGGCATTAGATTCTTTGGCGTCTACATGTCAACTATAGTTCAAGTGGTTAACGGTGGAGACGAAGTGACAAGTTCAGCCTGGCAACTAACTAACTTGCGAGTGAGGCTTTCCGCCACACAGTGCAGTTGTATTCGGGGCGCCCACGTTCTATTACATAATTAAATATTACATCCAGGGTCTAGTATTACAATCAAACCAGCTTAGAAAAGACATCTCGCACGGCTATCCTTGATGAATTACAAGCTACCACTAGCGTGAAGGGCCTGTGGTCAGCTTAAATCCATATCAACGTCGATATAAACCAACACTTTCCGTCGCTAATCCATTTGATCGTCTAGATCTCTGTTTATTTTTTATTTTTGGGGCTGGATCGTGCTGTCAGCTAATGTCTTCCAAGGTATCACTAGTGGACGTCGCGGTGCCATTCTCTCTGGTGCACCTTAGGACCGTATTGCCAAGTGGCCTCCAGTTAACAATTGACATTGCACAACAACTATCTACCTCCGCTATTATCCACGTACAGCATGCGCCCTGGTGCCATCATTGCTCCTCGGGAGCTATGCAAGTCCGTGGCTGAGGAACTTTGTCAAATTTCTTGTCTGGTATTTTCGTAGAATATACGCCGTAGGCTATCAACAGCCTCCTCATCACTTCTTGATCATATCCTTGCCGAATAAGATCCTTTTGTGTTACTGAACCGTTCACTCTCGACCGATCTGTTGTTCCCTTTCGCTTTTGACAGCACCTCGGTACAGCTAGTATCTTCTTCCCTATATATTCTGCCGGATCAACCGTAAAGGGTAAATATGTGTTCGCGTATTTCCCCCCATCCTCGTCTATCTCACAAATATTGATTTGCAAAACTTCTGGAAAGTAATCATCGGCAGGAACAAGGTGGTCAAATGTAACGCCGTAATAGTCAATTTCACTAGTAGGTGCCCGGAGTATCGTCAACAGCTTATTGAATTGGTAATGACGAAGGATACTCTTACTTTTTCTGATCCACCCAACCCAGGTACTCGTCTCGTATAATCAAGTCATTCTCGACATAAAGGCGGACATCATGCCCATATATCGTTCGGTAAGTTAACTCTGCGAGTTTTGCGCCAGCTTGCTGAAACTTCTTTTCATGGACGTCAATATGCCACGATACCTCCGGAAGCAATTTCTGGATAGATACTAGTGGGCCTTCGATGTGAATTCTCACTGGCCTGTCTAGCGGTGGTGGGTGGAAGCAATGAGCAGGACTTTGAATGCATTTTGGGATATAAAGGGGGAGAGCCATGGACGATGGTGGAGCGATGTCGCCGCGATTGATTCCCAGGAGTTGTCTTGAGGGGAAGGATTCCCAACAGCAGAAGTGAATCCTGAATATTGCAGTTTTCTTTGTTTTTTTTTAGGCCCAACGTTTGGGGGCGGAGGGGGTGGGCGTTTAGGCAGGAGTCTGCGGTCCAATCGTGTCAAGTGCCATCCAAAACCATATGTTGTGTTCCGAGTGGCCAATCACGTGTAGAAGCGTTTGTTGTGTTATGTGATGGAAGGCTGTGTCTGCATGCAGGCCCCTCTAATGTTAGATGGTTAGATAAGATGCATTTAAAGTGGCACTAAATTTCAGAATTGCATATCGCAATAGTAACCAGACGTCTGGTGGAGTTGCGCCCGGGTGGGATCTCCCAGTTCGAAGACAATTCAAAGCAATAGGCAACTAATAAACACGCATACCTCCATGTCCTTTGATAATCACGCATACCCCCCTTTCGACGTCGCCTATGGAACTGTACTGAGAGTCCTCGGCTTCTTCGTCTCTCGATCCAAGTGTTTTGCACACCCCTGCGCTCGATATTATCCATTGAAGCTTCATCACTTATGTCCAGAGCGACATTTCCAACATTACGACCCCTGTAATTATTCTCCCAGTAGTCAGCTTGCCGACCCTGCGCCTTACGAGTAGGGGCTCGAGGCCACAGTTGGTCGAGAAGCATCTAGGAAACAGGTCAATACTCCTCGAAACTACCACAACTCGATCTGCCACCGGGAACACGGATGCCCTGAAGCTGCTTTGTGGCAATTTCAAAAGGCTTTGAAAGCTTGACCAGCATCTCGATAACCTTCCAGTCGTGCCCACTTAGCCGATACTGAAGGAACCCGCCGCCTTAGTGTTCTCACAAGCACCCTCAGATTCCAGGTTCTGAACGTCATTGAAAATGTATCAAGTGCCGAGCGGAGGCGGAGAGCTCTCTCCATCGGGTGACATTATTCAATGCCCAGTGGAGTGTTGATTCCCTACCAGATTCTTTACGTTCGACTGACAGTGGGAGACAACCAGCCACGAACAAGGCGTTTGTATGCCTCGCTGACGCGTGCTGTGATACTAAAACACAGTCCCAAAAACGCTACATTAACTGGACACAATTTTGGGAACACCAAGTTGTAAGCCGTCACATATTATGTCCACAGGTTGGCGAGGAAAGTGGGCAGTCGCCGATGGACAGGTCAGAGGACTTGCATAGGGCAACTCTGGACACGTTCGACCCTTCGGTGCCCAGCTACAACACAAAAATGAAGGCCCCGGGTGAAAATTGACCACAATTGACCGGCCCAATTCACCTAGAATTATCTGAAGCTTGCTGATTGTCCCAGCACAGTGTGTTCTGCACATTTCTCTTGGGGTCGAGACTTGCGGGCTGATTTCCGGTTAATTGACGAAACAAGTCTCTCTTTGTCGATGATGTCGGTGCGTCTGCCGGACTAAAAGACTGCCGAGTTATCGTCGTTGTACTTGGATAAATGAGACTGTCACACAGCATGATCGGTTGGACAGCTTGGACGTAATGAGAGACACTTGATTTTCTATCTAAAGGAGCGGGTCGTTGATTTCGATAACAATTGACCTCTGTTCAGAAACAGACTTTCTTCCTTCTTTCCATATAAATGAGTGGCTTAGTCTTCACATGTAGTGAAACCATCTGAAACGCGAGTGTCTGAAACGACTGCTGTAGTCTTTGCGGAAGGCTACTGCCAAACTTTACCAACAATAGTCCTGTCCCTCAGCTAGCCCAAGTGATAGAACCATCGCTGTAAAGGCGTGGTACTTATTTGTCCTGGCGCAAGGTATACGCAATCGAGTCCTGAATCACTTCCTCCCTAACGTAGTCTGCTTCAGTGGTACTGTTGCCCCTAAACATTTGCCCATACCATTCGCGATCCTGCGATCTTTTGTATTGCAGGGGGACTGTACGAGTGTCAGCTCATGATATTCCTGGATTCGTCGCTAGATGGAGGACCTACTGGAAAAGCCGAGGGCAGAAGTGCATCCACAGTTTGTCGATTGGCAGACATTCAAAACATGAGCTGCCCAAGTTTTAGCCGTGAAATTTTTGTAAGGCGCCCTCAGGTCTTCGCATGTCTTTCTCTGCATCAACTCCTGGCTGGCCAACCAACTCAATGGCGTCGTAAAGTTGACGGGAACGAACTCGGCCAGCCCAGTGGCGATGACGACTGCTAGCAACAAGAGAGAGCTTCATTTTGATTTGATATGGAGTGCGGTGCAAGGTATGGAGTAGGTTGTGAATGTGATTGAGAGTGTGATTGAGAGTGTGAGTGTGTGGTGTAGAATATCTTGGAAAACAAGAGAGGTGTCGCCGACTTATATCCCTTTACGAGCGGACAACCACAATAGTCCCCAACGGCTTCATTGTGGATTTTGACTATTGGTTGAATTGTTTTCTGGACGCACACGCATCTTCGGGTAGTCAAAACCCAACTTAGGACAGCGACCTGTCTCAAATGACTGTGACCAAAGTAGTTTGTATACGCGGCGGATAATATCATGGCTTGCACAATTACTACATCGGACGGGATGATATTACTAAGACCGTTACTGTTACTGTTTTACAGCCCCTGGATCACAGACAAAATGTTTATTTGTGATAGGCTGATCAACCTAGGCGACCGTGTGGTTTTTGATGGATAGCATATTATCGTCTCAAGATGTAACCACGGTCAGACTACCAGGGGCCATTTTCTACCCGTATCCCGAGACAGTGAATTTTTTTCGGGATATAAGGCATTGGCTAGCTATGGTCCAGCTGACTACGGTGAGACATTTGATCACACTTGCGCGGCATTGAGCGCGGCATTATGGATGACGGTAATGAACCGTGATGCAACCTCAGACTTGCGCGGATTTTCGGGCCGCCACAGGTTATCGAATCAACTCTTGTTATTCTGAACAACTGGGACATTGAACGACTCGAGATCTGCGTGACCTAGTCCAATATACAGTGCTTGCTTTAAAATTAAACAAGCAGTATAGGAAGAGAAAAAGTATTACGATGATAGAAACAACGAATGTTGAGATACTTAATTGAGAACACATGTTTTCGATATCACAAAACCCTAGTATAAGGGCAGTAGAATTATCTCAAGGTAGAGAGTCCACAAACTACATAGTTGGCCACTGATGCCAGACTCTAGACGTCAAATCACAAGCCTCATAATCGTCTGGCACCTATCACCTATCAAGGTTTCAGTAAAAGTCAGTGAGATCTTTCTGCCTACGGCTCATGGCCATACCCCCCGTGTAAGTGTGTGGTTCTAGAGAAGGACAATAGCGAAGCAAATTCTGGCCACCTTACGAGACATGCAAGTAGTCTCGTGAGTCAACACATTGCTGTAGGGTGACAATAGGGCCGCATCATATGCCCATCGTATAGAGTACTCCGTACTCATGCATGATACAATCAGTACAGTAATACATCGTTGCCCTATCTAGGTTATTCTCCAGCAACCATACGGAGTATGCTTGAAGCTGCTACCCGAGACAGCCATACGAAATGACCGATAGGCATGTCATGTGGCACAATGTACTTCTTCAGCTCGGCCAGCTACGCGGGGCTTTCGGTCCCGACCCAGCTACTTGCATGTTGTAAGCTTGCCAAAACGCGCGCTGCTTGAAACTCCGTACCAACGTTGCCACGTACCTCAGACACATTGACGCTTCAAATACGGAGTACATTCCGCCGATCTCGGGTCAGTCGATGGCCTGGTTCAATTAAATATTTTATGACTTGTAAAATTTGACGCCAATTGTCCGAGTGATAGAAGTTGTGACTGTGATAACTTATGTGATTACCCACAGCGCATCTATGCAAGTCTGACGCCCGCATTGCAACTCATTCTGGCGCAGAAAAGGCAGCCAGCCACCATCAAGGTCTTTTATCAATGTATATGGTCAACTTGGAGCGTACGGAGTGCTCCGATTTCTAACGCATGGACAAAGATTATCCGCCACAGTTATCGGTCTCGGGTCCTTTTCGAGATACCGCGTTCGCGGAACGGACACCGCAGCCCTTCCGCAGCCGAGCTTGCTGTATCAACGGGCTCCATTTTCTCGCCGTGGTAATACCAACAAAGCCTAGTATCCATGTGGACAAAGTAGTGGCACGATGGGAATCCACTGGTTGTGGCATGTGGCAGGCGAAGAGCGTATGCGCTGCTCGCCTTGGAAGTACGGATGCAAAGATGCTTCAGCGGCGTCCCTATGTTGCTCTTGTGTAGCTTGGTTGGATACGAAAAGATGGTTGGGGTGAGTTCGTTGAAGTACGGGTACTGAACTTGTTTATAAGTGCCCCGTGTTTGCCGTCGTTCCAATGTCAGATGCTGCGTCCTAATGAATTAGCGGCTGGCTCAAATCCTGACCAAACCGGTACTTATGGCCGCGTAAATGGATACCAGTTGACTTCTTGAGGCTGCTTTGGATTTCAAGAGCTAGTGGCAGCGATAAACCTATTCAAGGTAGCTTATCTCAGCAATGACGGCATGATTTCACGGGAGGATTTTTAACAGCGAGCCCCTATCCGTTCATACCTCAAGACTGGAAATTCATTATCACTAACAGGATACTTAGGTCGAGAAAAGAGAAACAATAGAGGTTATCATGGCCAAAAAGGGTACCATATGTGTTCCACCGGTCGAGAGACTCATAGTCACGCTTCCAGTGGTATCGGCAAATGCGATCTGCATAAACGTGCGTCTCCGAAAATCTTATCAAAGCCCAACAATATCCGTGCCTACTGCTGTGAAGTATACAAAGTGGGCATGGCAAGACGGATGTCAGTACCAATGATCTGCGCAGAACACGAACGGCAACGGTTGATGTGCCCAACTAGTACGATCCATATAGCCTATATGTGTCTGTATACGGGCAGTTAAGGCGGTCTTTGCCATCTCATGCCATCATGCAGTCATTGTCAGTATCGAGCCCAGCACCGGAATTGTCGTAGCATCACGGTCCGACTTGTGGGTGGTGCTGGACATATCGTTGATACACCAGGCTAGATCTCCTCCAAGTCGTCAATAGTTCAGTCTGCATAGTTGAAGCACCACTGGAGTCTTTACAACATCTTCCTTCCGTTTGTCGATCCAAGTCCTCTCTCACTTGTTTTTCAAGCGAATCTGCGAGGGAGACTGCGGAGAGAGATGAGAACAGAGTGACGATGACTCCGACATGTTTTATTATTTCACACATCGTCTGCTTCTTTTCTTCTGCAAAGTCCTGCATAGAAGCCGTCTATACATGGATTGAAACATGCCTTTCTCAGTTGACAAATGGTGAATAGAGTAGAGGCAGCAACCCGTTCACCGACCGCCATGAAAATGCCGGCCCGGGAAGCCGATAAGATCGACAGTGGTAGATTCCCTGGTCGACCCACGGCATTGTGACATGCTTTTCCATTGAGACTGTCTACAGCTAGCAGTGGTGCCTGTGCCAGGGAAACTTTGGTCGCAGACTGCTATTGAGACTCTGTGCTTGATCAAGAGGGACCTGCTCACTCTCGAGGAGTATGCGAATGCACTATTACACCGTATCGAGTCGAGAGACAGCGTGGTAAAAGCATTAGAGTACTTGGGTATGCCGTATTCACTATCTAATGCAAAACAAAACTCACTCCATCTTTGTATCAGACCCAGACCTTATCTTGAGCGAGGCGCGTGCTCTAGACCGAGTTCCGCACTATCAGAAGGATCGGCTTCACGGAATATCCATCGCCATCACGGACATCATGGACACCAAAGGTCTGCTTAGCTTAGCTCTGCCAGCTGGACTCGCCACGCTGCTGACTCTATCTAGACATGGAACTCTACGGCACGTCTCTCATAGCCCGTCGTTATGATGATCAACGTCTTCTGAGCATTTTAAACATGCTCAGTGGATGTCTTATGAGTGAAGAGGGTTTGCAGGAGAGATTCTGATGCTACATGTGAAGCTTGAGCACGCAACGAACCCTCCGTCGTATCTTTATCTGCACGCGTTCAGTGATGAATTAAGGCAAAACTGGTCTCAAATCTAACAATGGTGTAATGCCGCATTTTGAAACATGACGTTTGGGTGATTGAATATTTTGTTCAAATACATTTTCCATGGTCCAACCCCATGTTTCGGAATCATCTGAAATTTCGACTTAAGTACTATCCTCCTCGATGAATACGGGGATCGGACTGTACGAACCAAGCAGCATGCTTTGACAACCTCAACACGAGCTTCCTTCATCGCTTTGTTGAGCATGTTTGAATGAAGTTTTGTGTTACGCGGAAATGGCCCAATGTCGCACGGTTACACAAGGGCTACGATCACGGGACCTAGGGCAAAGTCCCTCACCAACTTGTTGTATTTAAAGCGATCTTTGGTCAACGAAGCCTTGATGGAAACCAAGGATCTTTAATACCAAAGACTGCTATTAATTGAATTGAGACACTACTGCTCCAAGCCCTCGCTACTGAGCCCTGGCCGCATGGTGTTACGGTCACGACTTGTTGGTCTTGGCAATGTCGTCCAAATCGTGTAATACACCAGACTGGCTGCTTCACTTTGGACCTGCTAGCGTAACTAGAAAGTCACTTGTGGCTATACAGATTAAAAAGTCACGAGGAACTATCTACGTTGCATAACATCATATAATCGCTGTTGGTTACTAGCAAAACAGTCAATGGATTTGTGCTCTGCATGCTTTTCTGTTTTCAAGGCAAAACAAATACCCTACTCTTCAATTCTCATTCATTTATCAGATATGAGTATATTGTAATGTACGCAGGTAGTAGGTTTGCCGCATCCTCCCTATCAACTGTCCCACCTAGCATGAACCTCATCCTAGTAGTGCCGTAGACTATCTCCCGAGCCGCCATAATTTACTCTCGGTTTTCTATGGTCAGCTGCTAGATAGATGGCCACATCTATTTGTCTGTAATGTAGATGCTTGTTAGCTCTATCGTGTGCCCAGGTAGTGAGACGGAACGAACGTGTTGTGCAATATCTAGAGCCACTCTCCGCCCAAGAACCGCAGCCCTCTTTCACACATCTAATAGCAGGGGAAGGCATTTTGAATGAGAGTTAGTTGATAGAAAAATTGTCTCTGGGTTCAATTTGGGCGTGGCAATCTTTTGTTTTGGAGGTGAGTGGTTTGCAGGAGGCTGGGATAATCTGGATTGAGTTGGAGCGGTGTGCCCCTTTATACTTGAGCATTCCACCAAACCACAGCCTGATAAGCCATCTTGTCTGGGGGGACGGCTTCTTGGGCCTGGATTAGAAAAGACATAAGCACTCCGGCGCTACCACAGATTCTTCCATTGGATCACCCACGTATCATGAGAGCGGTGCACCGACCAATATAGTAATACCAACTGCAGGCATTTGAGTCCGCGAGCCTATGAATATCACGTTGGCGGAGCATCTCATGCAGCTTTTCACAAAATGGTGATGCTCTGACCATGTCAAATGCTTGCTGTCGAAGAGGGTGGTGGATAGACCAGGAAACAAGTCGAGCACCAATCACGAGCATCGGTGCCACCGGTTGACCCAAGTGCTCCTTCCATCTTAACCGACATCACAGCCTCTCTTTCACCCTCAACAAACTTGACCTCTTCGCCGCGACGTCCCAACAATGCCTTTATGGAGCTGCGATTTTGGTCATTGCCACCGACCTGCTGTGCGCACTATCGGCGACTGCGTGCTCTGTAATCGCCATCTCTGTTCGAGCCATTTGCGGCCTGGCATTCACGACTGCCCTTGTTGGGAGGTTAGTCCGATTTCTTCTCAAAAAGCCAGCGCTTACCAACACTCCTAACAGGATGCAGATGCATATGACCCCGCCTCTCGGGATGCGGAAGAGCGTGAGCTCACTGACCTGATCAAAAAGGTCAACACGCGTGCCCTTGCGGCCCGTGCCAGCCATCTACGCCAGGGCGTACCCTGTTCCACCCCTTTGCTCAAGTATGACCGAGAGACGCGAAGCTCTGTCATGGGCGGCATGAATTATCACATCGAAGTCCGCTTCGAAGACGGAGTCGTGTGGATTGCCCGTATCCGCAGATTCAACGCCTCATCGCCTCCTCCGGCACTACGAGACTACATTATCCAGAGCGAGGTCGCAACCCTCATGTTTCTAAAGCACACCAATGTTCCCGCACCGGAAGTATACGATTATGCACTTGAGGGAGCACCTGGTAACACCGTGGGCGTTGGCTACATTCTCATGCAGAAATTGCCTGGCAAGTCTCTGCGATGGTCCATCGCAACTCCGGAGCAGAGGGAGAACGTCATGAGCCAGATGGCGGATATATTCATCGAGCTTCACAAACACCCATTTCCTCTTCTTGGCTCTCTTGACAGCCCCGGGACGTCTCACATTGGCGCATATGCTCGAGAGTCACTCACAAACTTTGCGCAATCTACAATGTGCACCACGGGACCCTTCTCTTGTCCAAGAGATTATCACGTAGCCTCTATACGGCTTATACTAGATCTGATTACGAAGGATGAAATCTACTCCCAGCGAGCAGTGGACGCGTACCTCATCCATAGATTTCTGCTGGACCTAGTCCCGCGGGTATTGCCCTCCACACAGAGCAACACATTCTATCTAAAGCACGCAGACGACAAGGGAGATCACATCTTGGTAGACGAGAAGTTTAACATCACGGGGATTATTGACTGGGAGTGGGCACATACCGCCACGGCCGCAGACGCATTCAACTCCCCCATTGGCTTCTTACCAGTGGCGGATTTCTACAATGGCAAGAACAGCCTGGGCGATGACGAGACAATCTTTGCGCAACTGCTCGAGGCAAAGGGGCGGCAGGATCTGGCGCAGATTGTTCGCAATGGCCGTTTGCAGCATCGATTTGCATTCTGCTGCGGATACGATCTCGCTGACTGGGACGGGTTTCTGGGCCTGTTTCGAGGCCTTCGGGAAGCAGTGGCCGTGGACGAGGGCTTGGAGTGGAATGAGTGGAAGGCTGTTGCGTTGGATCGGTACAAGGATGATTCTGGGCTGCAGCTTGTGTTATCCAAGCTCCAAGACGCTGCACCTATATAAGTGATTTTGACTGGATTCTTTGCAAGACTTTGGCCATGTCGTCTCTGCCGCGAGTTGGTGCGAGCATAAACAGATTATACCGGTTATACGGGTGCAAACCATGAATATCTACTTCCAACTGGTCGAGGGATAATAGGTGCGCTGCAACCAGAAAATAAGACGCACCAAATCTCCCTTCTGTACAAGCCCAGGGGGTGCGATGCTCGTGTCATGCCCCTTCCGACACGGTGTGCTATTTCCGCCAAACAATGTGCATCATGATAATGACCCGTAAGCTCCTCCGCTTGATGTTCCGTACACGCCACCGTATACTCGGCCTGATACACCCCCGTTTGCTCCTCCGCTCACTTCAGAATGCACTGCGCCATAAACAGCGCCGTAGATGCCGTCGTGCTGCCCGTCAGGAATTGCTGGTGAAGCTGTATACCCGCTGGGAGAATAGCCTGCGCCGGTTTGCTTCTCGGACGAGTACCTCCTCCGGCTGCCGTCGCTTGCAAATTTGCTGTTGCTGAGCAGGGCGGTGGCCGCGGCTGTTCTGCGGCCCGTGACCTGAGCTGGTGGTGATGGCTGTAGTTGCGTCTCTTGATCCGCGTCTGGTTTTTGTTTCCTGGAGAAGAGGTGTGAGAGACACATGGCGTGGAGGATATGGTTCGCGTCTTGGTTGGAGAAAGTATTGGCTTTGATTTTGCGCATTTTACGGGATATAGGAACAAAATTGAAGCCAAGTGCTGGCTATTTTATTCTGCTGAAATAGATTGATACTTTAATCCACATACTAGGGATGTGGCTTAGCGCTCGTGTTCACGTTACAAAATTAGGTCCGCTCCTAGCTCATTACTCGAGGATCGTCGGCCAACGTTCCGCTGTACTCCACACCAAGTTGGCCCGATTAGGAAGTTACAATGCATTTTTCAACACCAGTGACAGCACATGACAAAATACATAATACACGATGCCTCGAGGAAACAAGCTCTCGCCACAGCTTCAGTCACGGCTCTGTAAGCTGCAAAGCTACGGCCTTGGCTATCGTCAAATTCATGAATAACATGCAGAGGTTGACCATAAGCCTACGAATTCTATTCCAAGCCAGGGACCTTTACGAACAAGGCCCATAATTAAGCGCCGTCACGCTGCAGCCCGGCAGACTGGGTATAAATAGGCATGACAGATCGCCCTGCCAAGAGTCAATATTCCTCCATGTCTCACTCAACCATTCTTCGTCTTTTAAAGCCCGGTAATGGCTACGACCCCAGCCACGTCGCGTCTCAAAGTGGCCGTCATTGGCGCTGGTCCGATCGGCCTCTGCACTGCCGCGGCATTAAGGCAGCAGGGCCACATTGTCACCGTCTTTGAGCGACGACAGGACCCGGAGCCCCGCGGACACGCACTGGTAATCCAGCCAGCAGCGACCCGCGCCCTCCAGTACCTGAGGGGCGCGCACAGCGCACTCGAACGCGTCAGCGTACAAGCGGGTCCTCTGCGCTTGTGGTCTTATACCGGTGACAAGCCATTTGCAGTGGCAGCGGCGGCGCAGCAGCCATGTCGGTCCGACAAGCGCTTCCAAACAGATCGGCCATCAGTGCAGAGTGTTTTCCATGGATTGGCCGTGTCCAGCGGCGTGCAACTGCTTTTCGGCAGGGCCGTTGTCAACGTCGAGGACCTTGCGGATAGCGCAAGCCTCTCGACCGCAGATGGAATGACGCACAATGCGGACCTTGTCATAGCAGCAGATGGTATGTCTGACTCAAACCACAGGCATTGACACAAAGTCGTCTCAATAGCTCATGTCGAGTTTCGTTCAGGTATCAAATCCGCGACGCGCAAAATGCTCTTCCCCGCGCGGGATGTCGATCCCATTCCTCTCAGGGAATCCATCTTTCTTACAAAGAGTCGTGTTGCTGACCTCGCGGGGGACAGGCAACTGGCAGCATGGCTCGAGCCGGGCACAAAACACGGTGTTCTAGGGCCTGGCCGCTTTATTCTAAGCCGACACATGCACGGCGGCTACCTCGGGGTGCAGTTCATCGATGTTGACCATGCGGATCCCGGGCCCGTCGATGCCAACTGGAACACGCCAGCCGACGTTGACGCACTGAGGGCAAGATTTTCCGACTTTGGTCCCGTAACTCGGGCGTATCTAAAGTATGTACGGCACGCGGAGAAGTGGCAAATGGCAATGGGGCCATGCTTGACGACGTGGCGGAGCAAGAACGGGAGGGTGGTGCTTGCTGGGGATGCTGCACACGCCATGTTGCCGCACGGAGCGCAGGGTTTGAGTCAAGGGATTGAAGATGGGATCAGCCTTGCGCAGATGCTGCGTCTTGTTGGGGGGACAGGAAGCGACATGAGTGCCCGTGTGCCCGCGGTGACGAAGGCCTGGGTTGAGCTGCGCAAACCGAGATGCGACGTCTTCATGCGACAGTCTACGGAGAACGCGAGGCTGTGGAGTCTGCCGGATGGGCTGGAACAGAAGGCGAGAGATGAGAAAATGTCGAGCTTGGGTCGCCAACCTCCTCCGGACCTGGACAGTGTCGAGATGGACATGACTGCCGCTCGACACTCGCCAGAGTTTCTCAAGTGGGTAAGAGATTACGACGTGGTACGAGAGGTAAGTTGCATGACACCAGGCCTTTCTTCGTGAGCCCAAGTTGACTGGTTCCTGTTTTGCAGAGCCAACTGGCAATGGCAGAAATGCTGCCTCGGAAGCCAAGAGGGTCGGTGTAGTTGGCACGACATGAGAGCTCCGAATTGTGCCCCTTTATTAGCCTGGACGACTCCTCGTGTACATGACGAAATTTCCAATGCTAGCGAGAGTAGTGTAGACGATGGCGGTTCGGGTAATGAGTCTGGATTTGAGAACGATTAGTACCAATAATGAGAGTTGGTTGCTACTCTCACCTCGTTCAATGCAGACGCTATGAATACGAGCACATACGAATACTCGTACACTGAACACCCGCAAGTGACTGTTTACTTTAACGCGCAGGGCGATTGGGAAATGGTTAGTGAGGAAGGCTCTCATGCTGTTGCCAATAATTCCATGAGCATTATATCGCAGCGTCGCGGTCATAGACCTCGTATGCCAATATCTGAACCTGACAAAGGACATCCTTGAGACATGCTTGTATGCATGGCTCCGATTAACTCTATTAATATACATTTATTCGTTTGTTTGTTTATTTGCTACGCCTATTCACGTGAAAAAATGGCTCTGCGTGGTAATACTAGGCAAAGTATAAACTTATAAGAATCTACTATAAAATCGCAGAACTCTAAGGTAGGGAAAAATTAAACCGGCTCGTGTCAGTTATTTATTCACGACTAACTTCTTCCCAGCCAAATATTTCCAGGACTCTTCGTGACAAGTCTTGTGGCGAATTGCTATGCGAGACATCCAAGATGCTGACCCCAGACCAGATATTCATTGCGAGCCAGCTCCTTAATCCGCCAACTACCAGGGAGTCAACACCAAGAGCAGTCAGAGGCAGGTCCTCGTCAATGTCAGAAGATGTAGCTAAAAGACACCTGCCAGTCGCGCCTTCAGAGCATCAACCAATACTTGATCAATAGACCTTTCAGTGACTTTTGCTGCCTTCTCTTAATCACCTTGGTCGCCATCAAGAAGTGGAAGGATAGCAGAAGGTGACTCATGACGCCACTGCAAGTACTTTGGCTTCTACCAAGTCTGGATCCCTGTTACAATTTCCCCCTGACGAGGATGGCATACTGCGAGTCCAAGGAGACGCAAGAGCTCGGTCATGAACCCATTCTAATCCCAGAAATACTAGGCTAAATAGCTTATTCAAGCATGTAAAAAGAAGTCTGGTCTCATTGAAGATGCTACAATGACAGAATAACCCCACGTGAAGCCCGGCCTGGTTCCAGCACACAATTATAAACAACACCCCAGGCTCTCATAATACTGGCAAAAATTAATCATCCTCCGGGGGCGCAGGCACGGGCTCTTCAACCTTTTCCTTAATCACGGACATATATTAGCAACACTCTCTTGCCGGCCAGTTAGTCACGGGCCACTACTCACGTGAAATCTGCAATAGGAGTCGGGAAAGACGCCGTGGCATAAACACTCCTCGTTTCCAGGGCAATATCGGAGAAAAGAACAATATCTGCTTTTAAGCCCCGAGTCTGTGTCCTCCCATTCACACGTCGCCTTGTTGACCGATCTTAGAGCTGACGCTGTCCCTAATAACCCGATTAGGGACATTGCTATTGCCATTGTGGCCTTCATCTCGAGTATTCTCGGGTTGTGGGAGTAAACTGGGATAATTGAGAGCCAGGAGGATGCCGGTTGCGGAAAAAGAGTTTGTTTTACTTGTGTGAGACTCTTTGAAGCAAAAACATGTTGGGCCCAGAGGGAAGTGGGCATGTTATACAACTAAAGCGCGAGGGAGACACTACTGAATGTTTTTCTTGGGTCGCGCTACTGTTTTTGCGCAGAGGGCACATTGCTGGTTTCCATGTTGGTTTCCAGGGGGAGGGCCATTGTGCATGTGATGCACTCCCGGAAGAGCAATACACACCAAATCCCGAATCGGATGAAACAAACATCCCCAAAAAGAGCTAGTTAAACAAGGTGTAATGAGTGAATATGCCGTGCAAAGCATTGTGGAGACTTAGTGCTCGTCATGATTGCCATGTAGAGTGGTTTTGCCTGGTTTGGTTCTTAGTTCCCAAGGCCTTTGTGGTTTTTCTTGGTCATTGTCGCCTTTTCGGGATTCATCCACATGGACGACCATATCCGATTCCCATGTGAGTCCTTGCAAGAGTTCTAAGCAAAACTGCACGATGCCGCTGAACTCGACCCCGTTGAAGCTTTGGATGTAAGCCCCGGTGCTGCCTTGTGATGTTCATCACGAGGTTGGGTGTGCGAGGCTAGCCAGACGATGCTACTCCAGAGTACACGAAACCGAAAGGTTCTTCCTTGGTACTTTTACTTGGCTTCGCGTAGCTTTGTGTACTTTTAGGCTGCGAGAACATGTGTCTCGGATAGCCTGCGTCGGACCATTGCTATCGGGGCTGCTAGCAAACCATGTGAATGTACTTGTCATCTCCAACTCTTTAATCTTTAGCTCCTATTCTATAGCCTAGCGCGACGCGTGGTGTTGCTGGTTGACCTAGCAGAAACGTGGGACACTGTCTAGTTCGCGCTAGATTTAAAACGCCTATTTTCTTTTCCTCCAAGAAGTGAGAAGATGATTCATTATGGCACGGCTCCCCGCCTCCCCTTTACTCCCAAGTAATCCGCCAGGTTTTCCCTACCTTCTCGTGTGTCGGTCATCTTTACGTCTACTCGTTACTCTATCTCCTCGTACTTGCCCATGTACCTTCTACAGTCTATGGTAGAATACATCTGTCCACCAATAGGTATACACTAGCCTATTATAGTATCAATTGATGTTATAGCATAGAGTTCCATAGCCTGGTACCTGTTCTTGTAAACACTGTTGCCTTCCACAAGACTGTATCCCCCCACCGTATATGCTGCTATCGTCGTAAATAGCCGCATTTCTGGTGCGTTAATTGATCGCCGTGTAGTGCTTCAAGGATTAATGTCGCGACTTTAGGAGCCATGGGTCGTATTGAACGTGGACCTGTTCCCTGGATTGAAGCTATCTATCGAAGGAATTGAGGTCTCTTTTATCATTGAATTCAGAGGGCATCAGAAAAGGGCACCTTTCAATTGAAGAGGCAGGAAAAGACCCCAATTGAAGTTTGTCAGCGAAGTAGCTAGTCTAGCCGGGCTTTCTAGAGTACGCAGTCTTTGGCCTAGATTACGTACTCAATGACCCGTTCACAACGCAATCTAGAAGATGCAGCGCGGTGGAGGATTCTCTACCGTACATTTAGTCACACTAGACATGTTACAAGTCCCTCAGGTTTGGTGGAAGAGATGCGGTACAAGGAGGACGACCATCAACTACCCGCCGTGGCGCATTATCGAGCAATACCATGTCGTCTCCCACACTGAGCGAACGGGGAACGGACAGCATGCCATCGTGACCACGTGGCATCACCACACGTTGAGGGCTACACATATTCTCAGATACCACACACTCACAGGGTCCTTGGTGCGTCGAGGCCGGAGGATTGGTGAGCGGCGGCGCGGGCGGATACCGGTTGCAAATCATCAACCGTTTTGGTACCCCCGAAGCGATATCACCAGTTCCTCAGAAGCGACTCTTCCGGCACGCTCTACAGAAACATGAGCTACGCGTACAACGGCTTCGGACGCTGTATCAGAAAAACAGACCAGGGTGGCCGCACAACGTCCAAAGTTGTTGGCTTCCGAGGGACTCGGTAGACATACAAACATGTCACTCCTGAGCCAACTCACATCGCCAGCGCAAAGGGCGACCCGCTTCATCTCATATATGAGTCGGCTTTGAACCGTGCCCCTACTAGAGTGACGAGTGCCGGCACTGCGGGTTCTTTCCAATACCATTACCGACTTAGTGCTTTGTCTGAGTTTAGTGGTTCCTACTCAACTTCACAACCTACAGCACTTGCCTTCTGGCCTGCTGTTCAAGGAAGTCATCAACCTGGAAGAGGGTGGTACTAGACGGCCTCGGTGGCCTCTTAGGTCAACTGGTGGGATAAGCGGCGTGGTAGGCAACACGGTGTTGAAGTAGGAATTCAAGCAAGACATAAAGGCCCGTCAAAGCCGAATCTTGCTGCATCACAGAGCCTGCCGTTAGTGCAGCAGCCAGGAAGAGCATCTCCGCAGCCGTCAAGAGCACCGTGAGGGGCATTACCCGGGTTTTTATTCCGGGCAGGGAGCGGCTCAGGGCGGCCTACATCTCAACTGGCTTACTTCAGAGGATTCTGAACTGCCAACGGATCAACAGCGCTCTCCGGGGGTCGTAACGGGTCTGCTGCTGTGATGAAGAACAAGAGCGACGCGACAGTGACTGGCGTGCTCCGTCACGTGATCAGGCCTCACACGGTTAACACAGCCGAGATTATAGCCCCTTTATAAACGGTCAGTTAAAATTAATCACCATCTGTATCTATAGGTCTCACCGGAGGTTATGTGCATGCACATGTGATCGAGGGATCAGGTCCAAAAGGATGCTATTCACAGTTATTAATTAGCTAGTTAGCTAGATCGTGGTCTACTTTTTATGGTGTTGACTCAGCTGACTAAGCTGGCCCGCCACCCCTTTTCGGCCCCACCTGACAACGGTGGCCAATCAAGGAGCTTGCATCGGGCCGATGCTGTAGGTACATGTATTCCAACATCATCAATCCCCTCTCAACATGCTCAAGCCGCCGCAGGTCTCGACGTGGCTTTTGAGCGGATATGGCGCGGATCCTGAGTCGGGACAGGCATTCGTCGCGAATCTGCAGAATCGCCATGTCAGATTTTCCTATGAGTTGTCACGGGGTGCGGTTTCTGAGCAGGATGATGAGTCTCAGTAGGATAGAGCAACACAGCAACACTTGCCCCTCCTCCAGTGTGCTTTTAAATGTAATATCTTCATTGCTCCTTGAAATCGTCTGAACAATTAGCCTTGGAGGCTTAGGAAAGCATGTCATGGGCCGTATCGAGAAGGAGTTGGCATTGAGCAGCTCGCAAGTATAACCAGCACTGAAGCACGAGCGATTATGGGACAAATCCGTCACCGGGTGAAGGTTATTGTATGCTAGGCAACTTCCCTTTAAAATGCTGTAAACTTCGACATGAAACTGCTCTCGTGACAAATAGCAATCATGGTTATGTTGGACCAGTCATCTACTTCTGCTGGATGATAAATCGCCCCATCAACTCGTACAACTTTGATTTCCGCAAAGCTATCTCTCGTCAGATTATCAGAATCTACGTCCGCTACAAGCTGTGAGCCGCGGCCAATATTGGCCTCGTCGGGTTGCGTCTTCATGCGCGTCTCAAGCCACTTCCCAGCCTTGTTATATTGTGTAACAATGGTGTCCATCAACTCAGAACCAAACACGTCAAGTCCAGGTATCGAATCTCCCCATGCTTATATCAGCTTGAGCCCCCAATCGCGACGCCGTTGTGCCACTGCAGATATGCCCAACTTCAGCCCAAAAGACCAAACGGCACCCAACTTCTGTTTCCAAAGTCTCTGCTTGTTTTGCCTCGTATCATCCATCTTGAAGCTTTTGAAATGCAATAAGCGTTTGACACTACATGAGCAACTCACGTCTCTTCGACCGCACCGATCCAATTTGGATACAAGCCTGATCCAACTATCCTACGCGTTGCCTTTGCCCTCATGGTAGCGGCAAGATATCATCGCTGCCACAATTGAGATTGTCCAAGATTTGACATCTCTACCTCCCACGCTGCCTCTTCAGACCTCTTAAAGGTCACTAAAAGGCCCTAGAATACTTTGGGCGTGACCATAACGGCCTGGTGCCTGCTTGCCTGATTTGGTACATTTTATTCCCGTCTCATTACCTCGACCCGAGGCGACGATAAGCTATGGAACAAACAAAGGGTCAAAATAGAACTCGAAAGATTGATGACGATGACGAAGCTCTTCTCAGGGATGCGAAAGGCAGAAAACTTGATGAGGCACAAGATGAGAGTCCTAAGAAAACGGAGTCGCAGCACGCAGCACGAGAGAAAGTTGACCCTCCTTATCAACTTGGGAACGTAAATGACAAGTATCATGTGGGGTGGATTAGTGCTATTCACCATGAGAATGTTGCCGCCCGGGTATTTCTCGATAACGAGTATGACGGACCCTATGATAAATCGCCGGCAGACAGCAACGACTACACATTAGGCAAGATCAAGGAGCATAACGTCGTCGTCGCCGTCTTACCAGCAGGCGTATACGGCGTAGCGAGTGCAGCACAAGTCGCAGCTAACATGATGAGGACCTTCCCCAAAATTAAAATTGGTTTAATGGTGGGCATTGGCGGCGGCGCGCCACGCCATAAGCGTGACATTCGTTTAGGGGATGTCGTGGTCAGCGTTCCAGGAAATGGGTTCGGTGGAGTGTTTCACTATAACTTTGGGAAATCGATACAAGGCAAGAAGTTCCAGGAAACGAAACATCTAAACATGCCGCCAAGTTCGCTATTGGCGGCAGTGAGCGCACTCAGGAGCCAGTATACTATAGGCGGCCATCCGCTCAAAAAGAACATCGACGACGTCCTCGAGAAGTACCCAGATCTACAGGAAGAATACAGCCGACCGGATCCAGGGTCAGATATGCTCTACAAGAGCGACATCATCCACGCGAGTGATGACGACGCGCCTTGTGCGAAAGTCTGCAGTCAAGATCCGTCATGCCTTGTACCACGACCCGAGCGGCCAAAAACAAAGGAGATTACTATTCACTACGGCTTAATTGCTTCTGCCGATAACTTACTAAAGGATGCCCACATCCGGGATAAGCTTGCCACGGAAAATGACGTTTTGTGCTTTGAGATGGAGGCCGCAGGGCTTATGAATAGCTTTCCCTGCCTAGCTATTCGTGGAATCTGTGACTACGCAGATACGCACAAGAACGACGAGTGGCAGGGATACGCAGCCATGACAGCAGCTGCGTACGCGAAGAATCTTCTCGAACGTATCCGTCCTGAACACGTTGAGGACGAGAGAAATATTTCCGAGGTCCTGTTGGGTTAGTAGTAGCGAGCAGTGTTATCATACCAAGGCAAGCTATTGATTACTATGTTAGACGTTCAAGATGATGTCCGCAAACTCGTCGATAAACAACATGAGCGAGAACATCAGCACATACTTGATTGGCTTACTCAAGTCAACTACGCTCCTCTTCAGAGTGACTTATTGAGGAAACGACAGGCCCAAACTGGCCAATGGCTTTTAGATTCCACGCCGTTTCGGGATTGGATTAAGGTAAATAAGCAGACATTGTTCTGTCCGGGAATCCCTGGAGCTGGGAAGACTATCCTTACTTCAGTCGTGGTGGATTATCTTCAAGAAAGATTTCGAGACCAGCAAAACATCGCCATCACTTACATCTACTTTCGATACAATGTTGAACAGACAGTTGATGACGTACTTCTGAATCTTCTAAAGCAGCTTGCCCAAACCCAAGGCTCTCTACCAAGTGTCGTGGGGAAACTCTACGACAAGCACAAAGAGAGACAGACACGACCGTGCTTGGACGAGACTCGGATAGCCTTACAAGCTCTAATTACACAGTATCCGAGAGTCTTTATTGTCATCGATGGGCTCGATGAGTGTCGAATATCTTGTGGTTGTCGAAAAGATTTCTTGGCAGAGATGATTGACCTGCAGGCCAACTGTGGAACGAGCGTCTTTGCTACTTCGAGATTTCTTCCGGATGTTACTGAAAAGTTCAATAAAAAGAACTCTTTACACTTTATCGGGAGCAAACAAATCGAGATCCGTGCAGACATTGAAGACATAAAGAAATATGTCGACGGTCACATGCATCAGCTTCCAAGGATCGTTCAAAAGAGCCCACAGCTGCAACTAGAAATCAAGACTGGAATTGCCGAGGCTGCCGATGGAATGTACTTATTTGTGCCTCTGGTTCGAGTAGTCAAAGCAGGTACTAATTATTCGCAGGTTTCTCTTGGCCAAAATATATCTTGACTTCCTCGAGGATAAGCTGACACCAAAGGCCATTGTCAACGCCCTAGACAAGTTCCAAAGACGAAGCCGGGGATCAGACTCATATGATAGGAGTCAGGTGCTTGCCAATGCGTTCGATGACGCCATGCAGAGAGTCAATGCCCAAAGCCCTGGCCGTCGGGAACTCGCCCTTCAGGTTCTGGGCTGGATTACGTGCGCGAGGCGAGCGCTGACCACGTTAGAACTCCGGCACGCACTTGCAGTGGAATTAAACCAGCCTGAATTTGATGAAAATAATCTCGCTGATATCCAGGACTTGGTATCAGTTTGTGCCGGACTAGTCACCATTGATGAGGAAAGCATGGCCATCCGGTTGGTCCACTACACATTGCAGGAATATTTAGAGAACACACAGGATAAATGGTTTCGAAATCCACAGGCCCAAATGGCTCTCAAGTGCGTCACTTATCTCTCATTTAGCGCTTTTGAGAGCGGACGTTGTCAGTGCAAAGAAGATTTGGAGGAGAGGTTGCGGCTCCATCCATTTTACAGTTACGCCGCGTGTAACTGGGGGCATCATGCTCGCGAAGCTGAAACACCGTACGATGACGTTGAATATTTTCTACGTTGTCAGAAGAAATTAGATGCATCTACTCAAGCATTATGGTGCAACCGGCACTGGGTAGGGATTACATCCATGTCCGTCGAACACAGAGATCCACAATCGCCGGGGCTACACATGACAGCATATTTTGGCATCTACTCAGCGGTACGGGACCAGCTTGTCAAGAACAACATGGATCCGAATTCTAGAGATACGGAGAATCAGACGCCCCTGAGCTATGCGGCGCAAAATGGCCATGTGGCCGTCGTTAAGCTGCTTCTCAACCATGGTGCTGATGCCAATAAAAATGGCCACAGTAAACTGCTCCTTATTGCCGCTTCCCGCGGTCATTTAGCCATTGTCAAGCTGCTTCTCGACAAGGGCGCCAAGGTCGATTCCAAGAATGAAAAGGGCGAGACGCCGCTGTGGCACGCAGTGATTGAAGGGCACAAAGCTGTCGTTGAGCTGCTTCTTGAGAAAGGCGCAAATATTGAGTCAAAGAATAACTTTGGACAAACTCCGTTCATGGCAGCTGAGATAATTGCAAATGCTTCTATGGTCATGTTTCTTCTTGAGAAGGGCGCTGATATCAATTCAAAAGATAGGAATAGTCGGACGCCGCTATGGTGGGCATCTAAGAGGCCGAGAGCAGCTATTATGAAGTTGCTGCTTGAGAAAGGAGCTCATGTCGACCCACAAGATGATGACGAAGGCAAAACACCGCTCATCTTGGCTGTTATAGAAGGAGACGAGTCTATTGTGAGCTTGCTTCTCCAAAATGGTGCTAGCTGTACAATAAAGGATAAGTATGGTCGAACACCGTTATCGTTGGCTGAAGTGAAGGGGTACGAGACGATTGTACAGATGCTAAAAAGGCAAAGGTGATAACATCTTATTCTACATAAAGGGGGCAAATCCGACCTACTAGCTGCTCAAGGCCGCTACAGACACTTCACAAAACCTCAAGATGAGCTAGCGGCTCTATTCTTCTCTTGCAAGTCCCGCCAATAGTCGCCGCGCCGAGTAAACACCAGGTTGGGCTCGTCATGATCGGCAGCGATAATATCGCCGGCCTATAACGCAGTGGGCGTCTCGCCCTTTTCGGGAGTAAACCAGCGATCGGGGCGGTAGCAAAAGGGTTCGGGGAAGTAATCCGGGGGAACTACGTTGACGGAAAAGGGCTTGTTGACGGCGGGGCCTGCGGTTCGCCAAAGAGACAGAAGAGACGACGGCCAGAATCTGAGGTGTCCCTTGGCAATGGAGCAAAAGTCGGCCTTGGCATACACTTGCGCAGGGGCGGCAACGTACTCGTTGAGCTTGCTCCATGCGAGATACCCGATGACTGTGAGGATCTAGCGGAACGTGGCCCAGGTGTAGCACAAGTTGGCGATGAAGATGGAGCCGGCCAGCAAAAGTTGTTGTAGGCGCGAGAGTTGGTGATGTTGTGGCCGCCATCATGATTTTGAGTCTTGACGTCGCGATATCCAATCAGCGCACTGAAACTAGACGCGCCCGGCGCGGGCCGGCCCTAGTCTCTAGGTTTGGCTAGCGGCCGGAGAAAAATCCTGAATCCGGACCAGCTGCGCCGGCTCAAGTCGCTTCAATGTTACACCTATCCTATATGCAGTTCTACTATACTGAATATAATAGAGTCTCGTCCAACGTATTCTCCAGAAGGGTTATATTCTCTCTACGCAAAAATCGCCCCGATAGACTGCAACGTGCATTTGAAGCGTGCATTGCTCGTCACCTCCCACAACGGCGACAGCTACGCACGTCCTTGGCCATCGGCCTTTCGTCCGTGCCGCAATGCTTCTCCGAAATGGTAAAAACGGAGTCGTCGGGGCTAGATCCGCAAAAGTGGCCGTCGCATTCCCACGGGAATAAATGGAAGTTTAGGCTCGGCTGCGGGTTCGTCAGCGGCGGGCGTCAAGGCGCCGACAGAAGCCGCGACGCTGGCCAGAACCACCATCGACCTCGTTTGTCAATTTGGGACGTCAAAGAATGTGGCGATAGGCAGTTGAAAGAGTCCTGGAGCGACTATTGGTCGGGCTGCACACGTGTGCGTGAATTTTCCATGTCATACCGGACGGGGAACAGGTGGGTGACAGCCCATACACTTACACCCACTGTATAGACCTCATGGCTTTTGCTGCATAATAGTGGCATCATCTTTGTCCGAGTCATGGGGCCCGCAGCGTCGCAGTTGCTGTATAAGCTTCATGCTGTTTGCCAATCTATTCAAATGAAACGCGCACCACCGGCTGTGGACTCACTAGTTGCTGGTCCTCGGAGTGATTCCCCCAAGTTTTACATTGCATCGCCTGCGGGGAGGAATTTTTGGGCCAAGTCTTGGTCTCAGGACTCGCAGGGCTCCTTTCATACTAGTATATCAACATGATTCCGCAGTGTACCGTGTGATTGTAGTTTTCCCGTGAAGCCATCGATTGGCTCGCCCAAAGCCACGGCCCAATAGAGTCTCTTACACATAAAGGTAGATGGAAATGGCGCAGTAGAGAATTGCAGCCTGTCCCACCCGGCAATTGTGCCAGCGGGCATGCGTGAGGCCATGAACAGAAATATTGATGCCTTACATGAACAGTACGGTAGGATTCCTCAAGCGAGGTAAAAGGACAACATTTCTTGTAACCACTATTAGACTCAAATTCCGACCAGCTTCAATCCTGTCGGTCCATCGGGAGGATCCATATCCCGTCCATGTTGATATCAGACGATTTATGTGAGGCGGGGCTGCTTCTCCCTTGCAAAGTCAGGACATGGAACGAAAGTAAGCAACTGCCTCGGTTCCTAGGCTTCATAAGCCATTAACGAAATGTCCAGGTTTCCTACGTACCCGCCAGCAACGAACTGGACGAGTTGCTGTACGGTAAGTCATTGCCGCATGCGTTCTCGAAACCCGAAGAAGTCATCCGACCACACGAGATGTCATTCTTACAGAACAGGCGGGGAGGTTACGGAGCCCTCAACGGAGCAACCTCCGGCCATGTACGATTCAACCCGGCTCATTCATTCAGCTTTCCGTCCCAACTCGTCCTTGCGCAGGCGGGAATGGCGTGTTTCCAGAAACACAAAGCTGCTAATTGGACACAAGTCTTTTAAATCACCGGAAAGGGCTTGGTTACCCAATATATCTGCACGTAAGAAAGGGCCCGGTTACATTCAAGAGACTCCACGAGACCCTAGATGCGTTGTCTTTCTGCAGCAGCTGCATCACAGGAGCAAAAGCCCGCGTCAGCTTCGGACAAGCGGACGCACCGCGTATAGTCATCTTTAAAAGCATAAATACAAGCTTGCAGCTGCCTCTGCTCCAAACGAACAATCAGGCCTCACCTCCTCAAGAGTCAACATCTTTTACCACCGCCTCCATTATTTTCTAGCAAACATGAAGTTCACACTTGTGGCCATGGCCCTCGCCGGGCTCACACTCGCCAGCCCCACCCAAGAACTCGACAAACGACACGAGGACTGGCCGAGCTGCATGGCTTATTGCAACACGCCGTCTTGTGGTATTAAGGACTGCGCTGCGTGGTGCAGTAGGGTATGCTGCAGGATATACCCTGGATCTGTGCAGTGTTAAAACTATCGGCCTTCTCTCTGGGTACCTCGGGAGACCGGCTTTGTTTGTTCAACCGAGCCTGCGCCAAGTTGAGCGTGCGTGGCGTATCGGCACTCTTCCTTGTCGCAGAAGCATTAATACACTGCCTCTCCAGAGTCTTCGCTCTGACAAAAATTTGGGAAATGACGGACGAATAGGGTTTTTGTGTCTTCATGTCGGGGAGCTGTGTGGGGAATAAGACGGTCAGAAAATTCGGAGGCCGCGGATGGACGGGAATCTGGATCATCATTTGACGCAACCCATGACTCTTGACTCTGTCGCATGTAAAGCCAGCATTTTATAGTATCTGACGCGGGCTAACTGGTCGCAACTTTATAAATTCTAGAGTGCCAACTGAACGGTTTTTCACGCTTGCCTGCTTTCTGTATCTGATTGTGGAAGAGGACGCATGGATGAGCCTGGCTAAGTTCATCCGACAATTGACGACGCGGCGGCAGTTGTTTTGCGTCCTCTTCCGTCTCGGCATCGGCCTCCACGAGCATCAACACACTCACCCGTGCTTTTCGCACCCTCGAAAGAGGCGAGAAACTAGTGGCGTGACTCGGCGGTGGCCGTAACATACATACATATATGCAGGTACATGTTCTCCGGACCTCCACGATGCTCCTGGGCTTCTTCCATTCATGGCTCACATCCGAGAGCATTGAGGAAATAAAAGCACCTATATGGATACCAGACTTGTTATACCCAAAATTACATCAACTAGACCCCGACACACTCTGCTTTCTAGCCGGATTGCCAACTGTAAACGGACTTTTGGACAGGCCCTCGGCCCAAATAGTCGGTTCCCCAAGCCAGAATAATGAAGATGGCAGCTTTGGAGCGCCTCTTCGTTAGCACATGTTGATACCTCAAAACGTAAATCATCTGGGACACGCATACTAATTTCCTTGGCGGCCGGTAAGGGTGCGACAAATAAGGGCGGTCGCGGCTCGTGGAAGTAGAATAAGTCGAACAGACGCACCGCCAAGTTTAGGTCCTCTTGAATTTCAAGTTGGGAACTCGCCTCTGAACCGCCTCGGCACCTGCTTCTGTTGACAAACACCACTGAGCGCATGCTCGACCGTCTTGATTCACGGCATCGACGCTACTACCACTAAAAGCAAAGACCGACAACAGCGCATCAGGAGGGTTATGGAACGATCCCAAGGTATATCTAATGTGGTAATAATTAAAGCGAGAATAAGCTTCCAACGTACCCTGTCTGCGAAAAGAAAATGTGTCCGCGTGGACATTTGCCCTGTGATAAGAGCCACCAACTTTGGCTGCCACCTCATGACTCCGGCCTTCAACCTACAACATCAATGGTACGTCGCCCCAGCATGAAACCCTCATATCCTTCTGCAATCCAACGAATATTGAAACATTGTAGATATCCACGCATCATTCCGGTACTCATTCACTACCACAGAGCGTCACTGTCCACCATGTCTTTCTGCAGATTAGCTCGCCTCTCTGATCTGTCACTGAGACGCTTGTTTGTAGAATTATTTGATCTCGGAGAGGGAACCATTGGACTTGGCGGCTTCGCGTTTGGCCTCGGGTTCGACGGCAGTCCAGAGGGTCCGCACGGTATTTCTTGCCCGTACGGACTCCCTGCCATTTTTTGTGACGTGTTTGACCTTGGGGACAAGTGTTGACGGATATTTGGGTCGTAGGCATAGTGTGTGTTGTGGCTCTTCTGATGCTCATCCTCCTCAAGAGGCAAGGGACTCGGTCGATTCGGCCGGCGAGGCGATGTTTGCTTCCACGCTGCTCCAAAAGCAGCACCGGGATGGAAAACTGTGAGAAGAGTGGCAGATACCAGGGGCAATGCGCCGTCCATTATCATAAAGGCAACCTCGTTCTGAAACAAGCCGGCATCCACACCGCCGGCTAGCTCAACGATTCTATAGATTGAATACGCGAGGAGGAGTGTGGTGGATATCTCAATGCCTGGAAGAAATCGGTTAGATAGTGGCCTTTGAGCCATGCATTGCTCATTCGTCTTTACCTCGAAGAAATCTTCCAAACTGGGATGACGTGTAGACTTTTGAGTGTGTCCCATCGGAGACGCAGTCACCGGAGCTTAATCGTAAGACGAGGCAAAAGTACGCAGTTGCACTCCCCAGCAGTGCTACAGCCTGTACACTCAAGCCTGCAAGCACGATTGCAGCACATTTTGTTCTCTGAACAAAAGTTAGCCCCGATGCCTTGTTCGTCACGTCACTTGTAGCATGCAGCTCACTGATAGACCGTTATATCTGTAAGTAACAAACACAATCCCAACCACCTCAACCGCAATCGCCACAGTAGTCAAGCCAAACAAGGTGGAAGCAGCAAGTGTCGGCTTGTTTTGACCAAGACGTTCTCCGTAAACACGACGTATATGCGGGAATACCACAAATATCGAGGCTGTGAAAAATGATGGACCCAACACTGTGCCCAAGAGTGACAGCAGGAAGTGCCCAGGGTTGTCGGGGGTTTGACGCAGCAAGACTCTGCCAACAAAGCCAAGCAAGCTCAGCAGATGACCTGTTGCCAAGGTCAACGAGAAGAATCGAGTACGCAATCTCACACCAAAGTATAGGACCGCAGGCAAGAGAAGAGTGTGGATTGCAAGTAGCACGACGTTGCCGCCAACGTTGGGGCTAAAGCTGTAAAAGCCTCCAGGAACTGGGCAAGATGAGCCGCAGCTGGCCTCCATGATAAATGTAGACCAGGTCTTTCATATTCGTATCACATATGAAAGCTTGGGCAAGTGGCAACAGCCACCAAGTCCAACAACCCTTCTGGGGAGAGGGCTTGTTTATATCCGTCCCCGCGTCTGCCTACGGCGAACGATAACCGGCACACATGCAGCCCAACAGCCGGGCCATGCAGGCCGTTGGGGGGGGGTGAAGGGGCGTGGATGGCTTTGCGGTCAGTGCTGCCGTTGGTTAATGGCAAGAATATACATGCTGGCGGCACCAACGGGTGCTAGATTGACAGATGGTGTGATTCACAAGGTACCGCATTCGCTATTGCGCAGCCCGTCGTAATATGTACCATCCACTAATCTGCTACGATAAGCAACGAGGCTCGGCCACCTCTAGATGAGCCCAATCTACTTCCGCAACAAAGCTTTCCGACAGCGCCGTCACAAGTAGTGGGTTCTCTGTCTGCGAACATAACAAATGGCCCGGCCAAACCATGGGAGCAAACGGAGGGAAAGGATATTGGTCCCGGGAGTTTGGTCCTGCCGTCGCCCCCAAGCACTCAGGGTCTCAAGAACCACTCACTGTGTATGGATCAGCGGGAAATGGTAAGCTGGCGAGACTTGCTGGGCAAGACAAAAGACGAGCAGCAGAGAGGGGGCTTAGAAGTTCCCCATTCTCCGAAGCTCAGGCCGACGAGAATGGACGACGGACATGGCTCTGCATCTGCCTCCCCTAAGTGTCTACAGGCGTGTGTCAGACTCACAAGGCTGTCGTTGTACAGCATCATATTGAGAGCAGGGATGAGACGATAGTAAGTAGACTTGTGGTTGGTGGGTTGGCTTCCGCTGCCAGACATCGACAACTGAACACAACAGGCCGGGATTTGCGGATTTGCCCCCATTATCCCTCACCTAAAGACCCTGCGCAGATTGTGCCCGTGACCCCTTCGCCAACGAGAGAGAACATGCTGCGTGTGGTGGCGTCGCGAAGGGTAGCACAAAGAATGGCTACTCATTTGAAAGGCAGGTGTTGGTCTTGTGTTCTCCAGTCAGGTGTGTGAAGCGTACGGAGTACGTCGAAGGAGCCATGGTGATTGGGTGGTTCCTGGTTTGTGGTGGATGCCGTCGTGCAATGGCGTTGGAGCACGAGCAATGAAGATGATGGTCGAGGGATTGTAGAATCGGGCCAACAAGCCATAAGAATAGCTCACTTGCTGCTGGATCTGAGACCAAAGTTCTGTTAGTTGGTGCCATTTCCTGCGATCTCTCGTGGGCAAACGGTCAATGACGGACAAGATGTGCGTACCAGAGCCTTTGGTGTCTTTCAGAAACGAAGAGTTTCGACCGTGTCACAGCGGCCCGACGAGCATGCCGGTGACCAACGAGGTGGTGATGAGTGCCAATAAGCACACCGCCGACAGAGTACAGCGTGCGTTCGGAAGCCGTCAAGGCGCATGGACAACAGGCTGATGCGCTCGTGTCCGGTGATTCAACGGCAATGTCACTCGCATGTGCAGATCACAATGCGCGGCCCACGGCATCTAGGACAGACAGATTGGCCATGAAAAAGTGATGTTTGTTCCAGACTTTATGCCGGGACCTGACGAGTCGCACGGCTTGTGCTCCATGTGCAGAGGAGGAAAATTTATGACAGTTGACCACGGAACAACGGCTCCTGCGCCTTGTCTCAGCATCACACCAGAAATGATGCTTTTGTTTTGGAAGGAAGGAGCAAGTCGGCTTTAGTCTGGAGCATGCACATGTGCAGGCCTTGCAGTGCCACACCCTGTGCCTGGTACGTGGTACCCCCTTGGGTTGGCCTCGAGTGCTAGGTGTGCTTGGTGCAGCTTGATTCTTTAAATTAACAATCAGTCTACATATGTAACTACCGAGTCGATCGCTCCGAAACTTGTGCCAGCGAGCACATTCGGGCAGTGAAGCAAAAAGAAAGAAAAAAGAGAAAAAAGGGCCCAGGCCACCCATCCTCTGAGCCATATCATTTTCTGGGTACGGAGTACTCCGTACGGAGGAAGCAAGCTGGGCATGTACCAAGTACCGAGTACCGAGTACCGAGCACCAGCTCTCTTTTACCCTGGTCTGGCTGGCAAGACCGTGAGCCTGATGAAACTGTGCCAAACCGACAGCCTTGGCTTCTTTGTTCATTCCCAGCCCGACAATATTTTGTAAATGACAAAACACAAGCTCGCATGCCACTCTCGAGTCTCGAGCCTGCAAACACGGCGTTGCTTCGACTGCAAACGGCAGCAAAAAAGCGGCACAGCCATTGGCCACCAATCGATGGGCTCAACGCGCGGCCCCAGAGCCCACACTGGCCACACTGGCCACAACCAGGTCACACAACCCGGCCACTCGACACTTCGGCTGAGGCTTGGCTGAGGCTTAGCCCAACGACGTCAACATCGACGACGACCACAACGCCTCTCTCCATCCGAAGCTCTGCGCAACAGCTTGAGAACTGTATTCCCGGCAGAAACACCCACAGCCCGCTGCCGCCTCTATTTCGGGATCTGGCTACTCCGTAAGCTTGGCTGCTCTGCGCAGCCGAACCATCCGCTTTTTATCCCGCAGCCGCCAGTCACGTCGCACGGCCGACAACCAACCTGAGGCGCGACGCAAACGAGAGCATGTCTACATGACGAGGTAGTATCGGCAAGATTTCTCCCTATTTATCCCATTCTCTTTGTCTTCCTCTTGCCCCTCGTCACTTCTACAAGAAGCGTTTTGCGCCGCCACCCGATGGTGCTTGTGCGCCGCCATCTACCATGTCCATCCGCATAGCTCTCGACAATCAGCCCGAGTTCTTCACCAACCTCGACCATGTGACGGGACGCATCATCCTCGGGCTCAATCGCTCCGAGCAAGTCGGCAGCATAGTCGTCAAGCTGGAAGGAGAATCTGTCACTGCTCTGCAAGTCCCGAATCCTTATGAAGAGACTGGCCCCAGACCGACAGGTCCGTTGCCTGGTCCGCCCGGCAGCATCGTGAGCGAGAATCACAAGATTTTATACAAGGTCCAGCAGGTTTTCCCCGACGAATACCACTCAAGTACTTCGAACCCATATGGCGCCTTCCCGCTGCAGCCGGGGGAACACGAGTTCCCCTTCAAGTTCAAGCTGCCCATCAACAACGCCTGCAGCGACCCAATGGCCATGTCCAAGATTGGCGGCCTCGCAGGCGTGGGCGGCTTCGGATCCGGGGGCGGACTATTCGGCATGGGTGGAGTTCGAGTTATGGATGGCACGAAACAGCTGCACCTTCAGCATGTTACCCGAACCCTCCCGCCATCCTTGACAGGGTATCCCATGGAAGCCGAAGTCCGCTACTATATAAAAGTTACGGTCCAACGGCCCGGATTTCTCAAGGAGAACTGGAGATATCAAATCGGATACAAATTTCTTCCCATCGAGCCTCCCAGGCCAGCACCAACTGGCCAGGAGGCGTTTGCCCGTCGTCCGTTTACCTTTCGGCCACGATCGCCCGGTCCGCAAAGTAAAAAGAAGAACCCCTTTTTCGCAAAGAAGGGAGAGAAGAGCAGCAGCGATAGCTCGAATAACAATGGTTCCGGTGTCGACTCACCAGGCATGGCGCCGGCGCCATCCATCGAGATGTCGGCTCGACTTCCGCACCCTTCGATTCTCACATGCAACCAACTCATTCCTCTGCGGCTTATCGCCAAAAAGCTGGTCGACTGTCCGGAACAAGTCAACCTAATCTCGTTCCAGGTGGACCTCATTGGCATCACCGAAGTACGGACATACAACATCTACAACAAAAAGATCAACCGCTGGGTTGTCGTCTCCAGCACCGACCTCAACATACCCTTGACCTCTGGTCCAGATGCTGAGGTCGGATCCGAAGTCGTCGTACCGGATACGTTGTGGAAAGACAAGCCACTTCCCAATACCGTTGCTCCGTCGTTTGTCACCTGCAATCTATCCCGAAGATATGAAGTGGAAATAAAGCTGGGACTATGCTGGGGCAAGGCCAAGTCCAATTTCATCAGCAACCACCCTCAGACAATATTCCTCCCTTTGCACTTTGGAGCGACAGAAGTCTTCTCGGGCATAACACCGCCGCCCGAACTTGTCAGGGCCGCTAGAAATACTCGGCCTGGTCGGGCGACACTCAATATCCCCCCGCAACTGCCACCAAGACCAGGCAATTCGGCACCCAGCTCACCAGTTGGTCCGCCGCACACTCAGAACCAGATGCCGAACCTGCATCAGCCCCAGGCGCCGAGACCGCAAATGCCACAGCGGCCACCACAAGATCCATTGTACCCTCCTCAGCTACTGCCTGGGCAAACAGTACCGCCATACGACGATGCACCGCCAAGCTACGATGAGGCAATAGCCGAGAACTTGTCCGGACCATTTGACGGAATGCAGCCCCGACCAGCATACAGTGGCGTTACCAACGAGAACGCACCAAGCCAAATGCCTGCGGAGAAGAGATGACGAGGGTGCTCGTTACGTGATAACGACGGCATGAAGGGATTTTGCAACGGGAGTTTGGGGGGTGGGTTTCCTTGGTTCAAGCACGGGTAGCCTCATAGACGGTCAGGTTGTTACATGAATAAGACACTGTTTCATAGCAGCAGCGTATAATATGAATCCATAATCCAATAAGCATTGTGCACATTACGCCATTGTGGTCAACAAAATCCCCGTTATCAGTCACATCACGGCATGTGCACAACCGGACATAACCAAGCTCCATCCGATGACGTCAGCCCCGTTCGTCAGGACCAACCCACCAACACTCAGCTCACAACCACCGTTGACGGCTTCCCTCCCAAGCATCCAAATCCCCAAACTCGCAATGCCGAGATGAGCAAATGCGCCCAGCGAAGCGCATCGCTCGCCTCCCTCGGCACGCGTCCCATCCGCCGCCAATTCTCCTGCAGCCGCCGCCTCTCGCGCGCGCGAGATCCTCGCATCCGCGACATCGGCCGACAAATCGAGGACGACTACGCCGCCATCCGCAAACACTACGGTCCGTCCAGTCCTCCCCCGTTCCTCGTCCGCAAAGAAAACAAAATCTGACACTCCCCAGCAACGCCCAAACACCCCATCGTGCTGGCCCACGGCCTCCTCGGCTTCTCAGAGCTGCACGTGCCGCCCTTCCCACGCATCCACTACTGGCACGGCATCCGCGAGGCGCTCACGGCGCAGGGCGCAACCGTCGTCGCCGCCTCCGTCCCGCCGTCGAGCTCCATCGCCGACAGGGCCTCCCGGCTCGCGGATGAGATTACCCGGTCGGGCGTCGACGCCGCCGCGGGCGTCAACATCGTTGCCCACAGCATGGGCGGCCTCGACGCGCGCTGGATGATTGCGCACACCCTCCGGCAGCGCGGGCTCCCCGTGAGGGTCGCCTCGCTGACCACGGTGTCCAGCCCGCACCGCGGCTCGCCGTTTGCCGACTACGTGCTGCGCGCCGAGGCCGGCCCCTTGTACCTCCCGCGCGTGTACGGGGTGCTCGAGCGCGCGGGCCTCGAGACGAGCGCCTTTGCGCAGCTCACGACGGCGTACATGCGGCGCGAGTTCAACCCGGCCACGCCGGACGACCCGGACGTCAGGTACTTCTCGTACGGGGCGGTGGCGGGCCCCCCGCCGCTGCTGAGCCCGTTCCGCGTCCCGGGGAGGATCGTGGGCGCGGCTGAGGGCGCCAACGACGGGCTGGTGAGCGTGCAGAGCGCGCGCTGGGGCGCTTATCAGGGGACGCTGGTGGGCGTCAATCACCTCGACTTGATTAACTGGCCGAATAGGCTGCGGTGGGTGGTGAGAGGGTGGATGGGGAGGAGGAGGTTCAATGCCGTGGCGTTTTACCTGGGCATTGCAGATATGCTGGCCAGAGAGGGATTGTGAAGCGGAATATTGGGGGGGACAATGTGAATAGATGATGAGCACTGGCGAGCGATTGATCAGGCTAGAATGGCGGTTGGCTCTGGCGGACGATACTCACGGCGCGAGCAAGTTACTTTGTAGAGGTATCAGTATTAGAATATAGAATACAGCAAAGCCTGGCCACGGGCACCCGAGCACAACAAGCCTCCTTGCCCCGGGTTTCGTAATCAATCTCTGCCGCTCCGACCACACATGATGCACTATGTACATTGACCAATAGAATACACCCGTGTCCAGATGATAGTAGCACTCGATAAACGTTGAATCAATTCAAGTGGTCGGCTGCAAGTCGTTCGCAGATTGGCGCCAGGGAAGAAAAGGGTCAGGTTCCGCAGGACGACGCTGCCGTCAAAAGTTTCCCAAACTCGCCGCTGCATTCCCTTCCCTCTTTTGAGAGTGTCTTCTTGTTCCTCTTCTCCCGCGACCAGCTCGTCACTTCCGATCCTTCTCGCTCCCCATCCACGCCTCAGCTAGCCGTCACCCGCCAGGAAAAGGTGACGCCTAGTACTTGGCCTGGGCGCGCTCCTTGGCCTCCCTACGTCGGGAGAGGAATTTGGCGATCCAGAGACCAATGAGACCGACGGCAACTAGACGAGGTTTTTTTTGTTAGCAAAACGATTCGTGTTTCTTGGGCTGGCCATGACGATTGTCCTTTCATTCAACCATAGCGAATTGGCCGGGTTCAAATATGGGGGGGGAAGGCATCCGATTGCATACCGACAAAGACAATGCAGAACACCACCATGACACCGGCATTTTCGGCAGGCCAGCTCTTGCGCTTGACGAGCGTGCTTATAGCCTCGCGGGCGACGAGAGCAGTGTTAATGGCAGCCATTATGTTGTTTGGGGAGTTGGAGTGGAGAGGCGACAAGAGTTGCTCTGCTGGGCGCGAAGTAAACGTTAGTAAACAGCGCAAAAATATTCGGGGGCCAATTGAGCCAGCTGGGTGCCCGGAGGGTGGCCGTCTTTCGAAAAGCCGGTGAGCGGTGAAATCAATTGATTGTGTTTGGCGATGCGCGACTGGACTCTGTGCGATGGTGTTCTCTTGAGGGTGGTTGTTGGGCGCGGCAGGGCGGCCAATTTGGAATTTTGCAACTTGGAGTTTGATCCAAGCTCCTCCGATCGCATCGGCTGTTTCGGCAGGTGCAACGGTTCGAACATGACGGCTACTGCCAGCAGCTCGCGGTCCGGAGGCACAGCAACATCATCCAAGACAATCAATGATGCACGCCCAGAGACGATCGACGGGCCATTGGCACCAACAGCTGGCTCATTCTTGTGATTCATTCACTCACCTGTACTGGCCGTGAGAGAGGATGGAGGTGGAGGAGAGAATTGGCTCGAGTCGCGCGGGTGGACTGGGCCATGATTTTGTTGATCAGTCTGGAGGCCCTAGAGTCTGTGGAAAAAGTGGGGGTGCACGTCACGGGCCAACCGGGGGCCGGGCATTCTGGGCAACCACTGGAACTGGAACTTGTCCAGCATACCCGAGTCGAACTAGTCTCTGGTCTCCGGTCTACCACAATCAATGTATTTTGCATGCTCCGAGCAGAACGCCGTGCTTGGCAAATATGAGCCGAGCCATTCAGTCAGTCAGTCGAAAAGCAGCGTTTTGGAGAATAGTTAAACGCAGTCAATTTGGTCCGCTGACTGCCCTTTAGGTTCCAGATAGCCGGGCTCTACCAGTTCTCGACATGAGCAAGGAAACGTCACGGGTACGACACAGGCATTGAAGAAAAAATGCTGCAGCAAATTCCGCAATTCGCTCTAGCGGGCCGGCACCGCGCGACTTGCATGGGCGACTGAAGGTCGGTGCGAATGACTTATTACAAGAGCCTCATGGGCAGCCGCAAGATACCTGGTAGCTCTGCATGGCCCTGGAGTTCCTCGACCGCCTCCTACCAAGTAGTGAGTACCTTTCCATGGGGCAACTCGGAACACGGCAGTGTGCTGGCCAAACAACAGCTCTGTTGCAGACGACGATAACTTGTGGTTCCCATGTGGTGGATCCATGGCTCTGCTGGGGACAGGCGACGGGATTTGCCTGCGCGAATTTTGAACCACACCCAACGTCGGGTGTTTTGACACTGGCTAGTGTTTTTCTACAATTCCTGTTCTAGCGCCCCGGGTAAGGACTAGACCAGTTTGATATCCAGAAGGAGAAGATTGGCTGGGGGGATCATGGGACTGCGTGATTATATCTGCCCTGCAGGACAGTCAACGGTACATAGAACCACTCTGGGACAGTGGCGGCTCGCGCACCACCACGACCGGAGAAGACGGCGAGCATGGCGTGGTGCTGCCATTGAGTCGGCGAAGCAGGATTTCAAGCTTTGGGATCTCATATTGTACATGTGTACGTGGCAAATCACCACGCCTCTGGGGAAAGGCGGCCGTGCAATGAATATGTGTGCCAACGGCCCTCCGAGTAATAAATGCACGAGTGAGTTGGAATGATGATGAGGCGACACGGGTGCCATCTGTAGTATTCTGTAGCTAAACCAAGAAACCAAGAGCTAAAGTTAGCAGGGTGCTCGGTAGCTGCCTTGTGCTCATAGGTCAACTGGTATCATGGGTGTTGGGAACAGACGCGCCGCTATGTCTCAGCGTTTACGCAGTACCATGCATTGTGTTTGAACATGAAGATATGCACAAACATTACGGAGCATGGCCTGCTTGGCTAGAGTTTCACAGCCCGCTTGGCCACAAGAGACACTGGGGATAGCAGTACCTACCTAGGTACGTGAGCAGAGAGGCGTTAAAACAAAGGACATGGGACACGCCTCAATGGCTGTTCCCCAGGAAATATCGACATTACTCCGTTCTTGGCTACAGCCTGCCAGCCAAGCTCAATTGACTGCGCAATACTCCATCGAGTACGGAGTATGCCTGCCAAGTCCTCGCCATCGGCTCAACAGCTGCCATCTTCTGAAACAGAGCCCCGTGGAGGCCATGGCTACAACACTGGATGGACAAGGGCTTGGGCTGATCTGGGATTGACATGCCCATTGTGCGTTTCGTGAAAGGGGCCGGGCTGCGTCGAGACCTGGATATGGACGATGATGTGGTGGACGGCGTCGGCGGCAAACACTGAATGGCTGAGACGGGTATGACGGCCTCGAGGAACCAGAAGACCATGCTGCTTCCGGAGGATGCAGTTCTGCATTATTGTGCTGGAGCTTCTCCGGACCAGAACGCCAATTCGCCAAAACAACCTGGCGATGGCTTTCAAGAGAGCTCCACCGAGTGGCCCCGGGACGGCCGAATCCATAGAAACGCCAGAGAAGAAAATTGGGGGGGGCTCCGTTTCGTCCGCGGGCCCATGCTCCGAGTCCATGAATCGGGTTTGTTTGGATTTGTTTTGGTCTCTGGCCCTGCGTACTTATCGTGGAAGACTCGGACACCATCGGCGTTTGGATGTCGCTATCAGCTTCGCGCCCCGGCCGACAGCCTCACGTCTGAGGTACCCAGGTACTTGTGTGTGCACCTTGCTCTTGCCTGTTTTAGTTCCCGGTCGTAGTTGCCAACCTTGGGGCGCATCAAGAAATGACCTCACAATTACCCGCAACCGCGCAGCTCCAACCATTGCCGGCCGGCATGAATTGCTAATTCCATTCAAAACCCAAAATTCAAGCAACAGTCAAGTCCGGTGTATTTAGTCATTGACATCATGCGCCTCTGCCCAGGCTTCCTTCCATCGCGATATTGAATTCCCTACATTCCAACACCCAATGCTTATTAACATGCAACCAAACTTGGCAGGCTGACGACAGCTTGTCGAAAAACCCAAAATGACGACTTGCATTCTCCGACGGTGTGATTACATAAATTACTAACTCACTTATTCCGGCTTGTTATAATGATAAACGATGGCCACGAGAAATTGTTTGGCATCCCTTCCACTCGAATTCACGAACCACAATGTATCACTCGGCCGAAAAATGGCAAGTCACCGACAGTGCAAGTATACAGTGCCATCCAAACGACACTGTACGTCGGCCATACGTCTTGTGCCGACCTGTCACAAGGTGAGGAGAATGCAAATGACGACGTAACAGAAGCAGCATCTTGACACTCTAGAGATCGTAGTGAATTTTGCATTTCCGCACTGATACTTTTTTCTCTCTTCGTGCCGTCTTTTGTGTTGAACTTTATTGAATTCAACCGCGAGAGCCTCCCGTCGTGCCATCCAAATGGCCTCGTGGCTGGCCCATCTGCGTCGTGTGAACGCTCACAATGTCTCGACCTTTCGACGGGCGCCGCTAGCCGAGATCTCAGGGTCTCTTGGTGATCTCGGCACTCTCTTGCCACTCATGATTGCGTTGGCAGTGCAAGGATCGGTGCATTTGGGTTCGACACTGATGTTTTCGGGGGCATTTAATATCCTCACTGGCGTTGTGTATGGCATCCCTCTACCAGTTCAACCCATGAAGGTACAGTTACCGCTACCCATCAACAAGTCCATGCGTGAATACGACTAAAATTTCTCAACATTGCAGGCTATTGCTTCAGCAGCCATATCTAGTGGAGAAGATGCACCCATGGAAGTTGTAGTCGCGGCAGGCCAGTGGGTGGGAGCGGCCGTGCTGGTCATGAGCGTCACAGGTCTTCTGCGATGGGCCGTATCCGTTGTTCCGATTCCCGTTGTCAAAGGCATCCAACTAGGAGCCGGCCTGTCTCTCATCATCGGCGCCGGGACCTCGCTTCTGCAACCACTACACTGGATACATCCTATTCTGGACAATAGAATCTGGGCATTGTTCGCATTTCTTGTTCTCATCGTCACCCAGAGGCTCCCTAGGTTTCCCTACGCCTTTGCCTTCTTCATCCTGGCCATCGTCTTTGCCATAATTGCAGTCCTCACTTCTCATCATCGACTGCCCTCATTCCATGTCTGGCATCCTCATTTGATCCTGCCAAGTTGGATTGGTCCACACCGCGACGCCCCAGCCCTCTGGATGGCAATTGGACAGCTTCCGCTAACGACTCTCAACTCCATCATTGCTGTCACCGCCCTTGCGGCTGATTTATTGCCCGACCTTCCCGTTCCATCAGTGACGTCTATCGGTATGAGCGTGGCGTGTATGAATTTCACGGGGACTTGGTTTGGGGCGATGCCCGTTTGTCATGGCGCGGGCGGTCTAGCGGCCCAATATCGATTTGGTGCCCGATCCGGCGCGAGCATCATATTCCTGGGGCTTGTCAAGCTTGTTCTAGGACTCGTCTTTGGTGAGACACTGATTGACCTGTTGAAATTATACCCAAAAAGCATTCTTGGGATCATGGTGCTCGCCGCTGGATTGGAATTGGCCAAGGTAGGCCATTCGCTCAACAAGGGAGCCCCCGATTTATGGGAGAACGCAGCCAGCGATTCTTTTTCCGGCCGTGTCGGCAGGATCCATCGAGACTTGGGCGATGAAGAACGAATGGAGCGATGGACCGTCATGTTGATGACCACAGCGGGCATTTTGGCGTTTAAGAATGATGCAGTGGGCTTTGTAGCTGGCATGCTGTGTCACTGGGCTTATAAGGGATCGGAATGGCTCAACAAGAGGAATAGGAGCCGTTTGCTTCGGGGGGAGAGAGCTCCTTTGCTCAGTTCATGATTCTGTACGTCTAGCCACATTATATGCCATAGTTTTTTGCTCTGCAAATGATACGCCTTCCACCATCCATCCGCCTGCCTTCCTTATCACACCCATTCTGAAAACATGTCCCCTGGCTAATTACAACCGGCCAGACACCCAAAGCTTTTCACTGTGTTGATCATGTTCCTCTCTAACCCTCCTCAAAAACCTTTCAACAAGCACAAAAAGTCCCATCGCAACGGCTAGGCAAGAACCCTCCACAATGGCTGTAATCTTTGCCGTCGGACTCCAAACCCCTTTCTGCTGTGAATAGACGCCCACCAAGGTCGATACCAGACCGGCAAAACAGTTGGCAGTGCCGGGGATGACCAGCCTGTTCTGCAGCCAGACATAGTTACCCAAATGCTTCGAAGCGAGGAAGGCCATGCCGCCGACGGATGTTGCGCACGCAATGGCCGCGATAACTAGCAATGGAATGTTCTTGACGGACTTGACAATCACGCCGGCGGCCTGGTTCTCCAAGCTGTTGGAGTGGTTGTTCTCGACGGATTTTCTGATCGAGGTAAAGGTTCCCGGGAAGAACAGGAAGCCGGCGAGGAGGAGCCAGACGAAGAAGGCGGCGAGGGCGTTGTGCAGGAAGGGTATGTCGTCCATTGCCAGAAGCATTTGGACATAGCGGGAATTCTGAGAGTTGGTGAGTTGGCGTCGCAGGCGCTTGTTTTCCGACTCGCGTTTAAAGCAGAGCATGTTGGCGGGTTGTTGATAATGTACACGGAACAAGTTGCTGGATTAAATCAATAGATGGCACAGCCAAAGAAAAGAAGACGAAGAAGAGAAGGCGTGCCCGTGATATTAAGGGCCGTATAAATCACACACGCACAAGAAAATGACAAAGGGAAGAAAAAAACATGCTTTGCTGAACACTTCATGAAATCTTGCAGGGTGGGAGGGCATGAGCGCTTTATCTACGTGTATTCTTTCAGATGAGATGGATCTCCCCGGCTCACAAGGCGCTTAGTGATACAGCTTGGCAGGAGTCATGTTGGCCGTTGGGGTTATACCACGATTGTCACGGTAAGCGCTTGAGTAAAGGACATTGACGAGGAAGCAGAATGGATTGGCTGGGAGGTCTTGATGCTCGGCGGCGCAGACGGGTAGATCGGCGAATCAGGATCCGAGATGGGCTTTCTGAAGGCCCCTTTTGGGTCATTGACGAGGTCGACGACGCCTTTGGCCACTGGACGGTGTTTCAGCATCGTTTGTGTTTACAAAGCGTTTGGCATGAATTGCCCTTTTTTTTTCTGGGGAAGATGGTCAACCCTGGTCTGGGAGTAGCCGCCGCCACCATGCGGCATAGATATCTTTGTATCCCCCTGGTGGTTGGTGCCTTTTGACATCGGCTTGACGGAACCGACGACGACACAAACGGGTTTGTTCAGAGCACCTTGTGTGTACTTGACAATACCTGGGGCCGTGGCTTTATTGTCCGGCACGTGCGCTTGATACGTGATGCCGGATAATGAAGCAAAGGAGAGACGAGCAACGAGCAGATTCGGGGCTCCTTCCTTCAATGCTGCAATTCAATCGCGAACGACCAGGCAGGAGCAAGACGGCAAGTTCAGAACACTAGGCAACAAAGAGGTGGGTCGCGGCCAGCAGACTTGGTGAGGAGACAAACAAGCACCCAATCACAGCACGCCTTCCCGCCCATTGGGTGGACAGGAAGGAAGACAAGGCTGCTCCTGCCACGCTGCCAAACATGCCACTGCTACGGAGAGACTCCCGCTGCGGAGAGTTCAATGGGTCACGCTGCCAACCGCCTCCAGTTGATTATTTTTGCCCGAGGCGTCAATCAACAACACCACATCATCGCGGCCAGCCCCGGCATCGCATACAGCTTTGCACAACCGCAACCGCCGGTCCTCTCAACGAGGCGAAGGAGCTGTCAGTCGAGCAGCGATGACTTCGTCTAGCGACGGCCGCAATGGCCCCGAGCAACCGCTGGACACGGACGCTTCCGCAGCCCTGTCCGCAGTTGCGACCGTGACTGCGCCAGATGCCCTCGGCGAAACCACGACGACTGCTACTTCTGCCATCCCCGCGACCGCCGAGGCCACTTCTCAGGAGGCAGCTACTGCTGCTACTGCTGCTACCACCACAGACGATTCTGCGCAGCCGGCCAAGGACCCCGTGTCGCCTTCAACCCCGAAGCGCAATGGTGACGCGACCAGCGCCACTGCACCACAAACCACCCCGAGGCCTGCCTTGGAAACCCCGATAAAAAACGCTAGCAACATTACCTTCGACCGGCCTGTGCCAGACGCTCCAAAGGATGCCGATGAGGACACTGAAATGTCTGGTCAGACTCAAACCCAAGCAGAGTCTTCGCAGCAGCAAGAGCCGCAAACTCAACCTGAACTTCAACCGCAACCTCAACCTCAACCGCAGCAGGAGCAGCAGCCTCCTCCTCCACCTCCCCCTCCAAACGTGGCCAGCGTTGCTACTAGCGAACAGTTTCCTCCCTCTACACCCTTTACTCCCGCCCAGATGGCGAATCTCGACCAGCATACCTACATGATGATGGCTCTCGCTTCCATGTCAGGAGCCCAGAATGCCTTGTCTCCGCCACCCACAGTTACGCCATCCCAGGTCACACTTCCGAATCTTCTCGATTCCGAAATGAATGGCACTGGGGCAGCGAGTGCTTTGCGCCAGGCCAACACAGAAAAGGGCCTCGAGTCCTTTGCCCGCATCGAATTCGCAGACAGTGTCTTTCAGATGACAACCTATGCCGTGATTATTGGTCGTGACCAGCGAGCTTTGGAACAAGCACGACGTGACGAGAAGAGGGCAGACGAACACCAGCGCAGGGTAGAGGAAAATGCAAGCAAGGGTCTGCCGCCGCCTGCACCCATTCCCCACGACCGAAGCAAGTTCAGCAAATCCTATGTCAGTGAGGAAGGTGGAATGCTGGGTCCTGAGTCTGATAGTGAGGGTAGTGGGCGGCCGCCCAAGCGACGGAAAACAAGCACCAACGGGTCCTCACAGCCGGAAAATGAGGAATCGCAGGAGAACATCATCTCAAATCGCCAATATGTGTCACATACCCCTGGTGCGGCGGCTGTCGATCTAAGCTCCCTTCGGCCATCGCCTTACCACGTTCCGTTTATTGGAATTCACTCCCCCGGCCCAAACATTGCCGGCAAGACCAAAGCTATTTCTAGGGAACATCTCAAGATTGCTTACAATCAGCAGGAGGGTGTTTTTGAGGCACATCCTCTACACAAGAATGGCTTCTTTTGCGAAGACGTACACTACAAGAGCGACAAGGTTGTGTTAAAATGTGGTGATCGTCTGCAGATCAAGGACGTTGACTTTCGGTTCATCATCAATGGCGTCGAGAAGGGACGAACTGGCGCAGAAGAGTATTTGGAGGAGGAGCCAGTGCCCAAGAAACGGCACTCTCATAGCGGAAAGGAAATGAGCTTTGACTTTGAGCAATCACACGGTAACGGGGAGGTTCAGGATACCAGCGATGAACTGTCTGATGTCGAGATTAGCCCTCCAGCAATATCTGAGGGTGAAGAAGGCGAAGATGAGGGCGAGGGCGAAGGCGAGGGCGAAGAGGGTGGGGAAAACGAGGATGGCGAAGAGGGTGACGGCGTCGAGCCAGGAGACGACTCTGAACTGAAGAATGAGTCAACGGCGGAGCTCGATCCCGCACTACTACAGATACCCAAGAAGCGAGGGCCTGGAAGACCGCCCAAGAATGGCATCATGTCGAAACGAGAGCAACGCCTACTTAAGAAGCAGCAGCAAGAGATGGCAAAGAAGACTCTTCCGCAAGCCCCTCCCATCGAGCCACCAATCAAGCGCAAGGTTGGTCGACCAAGGAAGCACCCCTTGCCAGAAGATGGTAGCGAACGTCCAGAGAAACGCAAGTACAAACCGCGTAAACCCAAGGAAGAGGGCGGCGAAGGGTCAGATGCGGAGAGAAGAGCAAAGGAGAAGAAGGAGAAGAAGGCTCGACCCAAGTCGCCTCCCCTTGAACTCAAGATTGAGGACTACACGGATGAACAGCTCCAGAAGCCGAACAAGAATTACGGTGTTCTTATTGATGAAACTCTAACAGCCGCCGGTCCGGATGGCTTGACCTTGAAGCAGATTTACAAGAGGATATGTCAGAGATATCCCTGGTTCTACTTTCATACGGAGACCAAGGGCTGGGAGAGCAGCGTCAGGCATAACCTTATTGGCAACGAAGCGTTCAAGAAGGATGAAACAACCAACCTGTGGTCCCGGGTCCCGGGCGTTGAGCTGGACGCAGGAAAGAAGCGCAAGGCCTCATCCCCCGACAGAACCCTGGCAGCTCAGGGATATGGACCTTATTCCTATCCTTACAACGCCGCTCAGCATATGCCTCCGGGAACTGCCACTGGCTATCCTCCGGGCCAAGGGCTGCCAGGGTACCAGGTCCCAGGATATCCAGCTCAGCCTGGCCAGGCACCTCGCCCTATGCAACCATACCCAGCCGCACCAGCCCAACCCGGGCAGCCCAATACACTGCCAGCACCGGTGGCTGCACAAGCAGTTGCTCCAACACAGTTGCCCGGGTATGGACCTCCGCCCGCACCGGCGAGGGCACAGCCTGGCGGTGCTCAGCCAGGAGCATATAGTTCTCCTTATGCGTCAAGACCGCCTCCGCCGCCGTCGAGCGCCCCAGTCAAGACCGAACCAGGTCGAGCACAGCCCGGTGCGGTAGCACCCGCGCCGGCACAATTACCTCCACACATTACACCAGCTGCTGCCGCGGCGGCAATTGGTGGCAAAGCCGCACCCGGCCCGGCGGCTCCTCAACAGACGCCCACACCAGGTAGTCGCCCAGCGGCAACGCCGCCTACCACTGGGCCTCCAAGACCAGTCATTGATCCTCGACTCCTAGCGGCTGTGGTCGGACTCAAAAATGGGCTTGTTGAGAACCTTAAGAAGGCGCGCAATCCCAAGGCTGAGGCAATCGTCATGTCTGCCTTGAATCGGTGCCTTGGTCTGAAGAAGGAAGCGACAGAAAACGACAAGATGGAGGCCATCTGCATCAAGGGCATTCATCAAGTCATCGATGGCTTCAACAAGAAGAGTCCGGCGCCAGGAGGGTCCACGTCGACGGGAAGGCCGCCCATCCTCGACCCCAAGGTGCTCAACTCGTTGAACGGGTTCAAGGAGGTGTCCGTCAGGGCCATCAAGAATCGATTGGGAGAAGGCCGTGCCGAGGTAGTGGCGCTTTCCGCCATCGACCGCGTCCTCGGCCTCGCTGACGCAAGCATCGTCCCCCCAAGCGGTGAAGGCGAGTCGGCAGCAGCATCGAGCCTCAACCTCGAAGGCGTGGAGCAGCATCTGATGTCGTCTATCCGCCAGCTTCTCATAGGCATGAACCAGAGGATCAAGGAGGCGTAGAATTACATTTGCAATATTTCTTCTATTTTTTTTTTGTTGAAGCCAACAAGTGCCGCCTGCGGCTTGTTTACGGCGTTGGGAATCAAAGCATGGTGTTGGGAAATAAAGGGTCACGATGGCTGTTTACACGAGACCATGAATTGTGTAATTTTCCTTGTGGGTGCGTTTGTACGTGCCCTCGTAGCGTGGCGGCTTAGTTGAATATAGTATTTACCGTGCGTGCTGGTCCCGTCGTGCTTGGTGGTGTATGCTGAGTAGGGGCTGCCTTGACTTCCGGGTGCGCGGTAGTCTGAAAGTTGATGACGGTTGTGATGGCTAAAGTACGGCATGTTTATCATACTGGACGTTTGTTGCGCATGCGCCTGTTCGTGGGTATGTACCGTGCATGCTTGTGAGTACGGGGTAAGTGGTACGGAGTATGGAGTAGAGTAAATGAATCACGTTCAAAACTAGTTCCCTAGCATGACATTATCTGACTGCTCTTTTTGCCACGGGTAGCATTAAACGGCGTACGCCATTACATTCTGACTTATTCCACGGGCATGTGGTACGGTCGAGGTTCGATGTTTGGAATATCCCACACCGCACCCGCCGCACCTTTGCTCGTACAAGGGAGGCCGTGACTGCTCCTTGATACATGTAGCAAATTGCTTTCTGGCCGCAGCATGCCCTTGTACACCAGCCAGTGCACCCAGGGACCTCGACAAAAGGGTTCTGCAGGCTGCTAGTTCCAAGTTGGACCGGATTTACACCCCCGTCCAGACAAGCAGCTACACATGGTATTCACACTGCACATTGAACGAATCAAACGGACCTCAAGATGAAGCAATTATAAGCTCGCCGCAGTAAAATTGCACCACGTAAATTGGCTATATATCATACGCCTTCGAGCCCCATCATTAATTCTTTACCGTGACATTCCATAACGCTCATAGCATCTAGTAGATATAAAAGTTAAAGGGGGGGTTTAAAAAAATAACAAGGGCCAGAATCGAAAAGATGAAATAAGAGGCATAAAAGACAAGTACATGATGACGTTTCCATTCCGTCGTAGCTTTATCAAGATCTAGTATGAGAGAATGCTTTACTTCCTCTTGCGACAGAGCACAGCCTATGCGCTCTGAGGCGGACCTTCGCCCTCGGTTGGTGCGTTGGCTTCGGCATTGACAGAGACGCCAGCGAGTTTATCCATTCCCGATACGCCGCTGTCGGATTCACCAAAGATACCCAGACTGTTGGAGGGTTTGGCGCCTTCGGCTTTGGACTCGTCCTCGGCGGCTTCTTCCAAGTTCATTAGGGCTGGGGGCCGGTGCCGCATTTGCTTGGCTTTGGTGAGCGAAATCGTCTTTTGCTGGTACGTTGTTGTGATGGGTTGCGTGTCGTCTCTGTCAATGGTGGCCTTCATCAACGCGGCCATCCAGAGACGGCCTGCCTGGATGTTGGGCACGGCGAAATAGTGCACTGTGGGTTTGGTGAAGTTGACTGCCCTCGAGAGGCCAGCTCGAGGCGGCATGAGCTTGAAGATGAATACTGACTCGTTTCCCTTATCAAAGTCGTTGCCCACAGCTGGATGGCTGGGGCCGCCAACTGCACCCGTGATGGTGGCGTGCAATCCTGTCAACCGCTCGTTGTCTGCGGGCAGGACACGGTGGAAAGAGATATCAATGAGACCCTTTTCCTGGTCATCCTCCTCCGAGTAGTAATACGAGAGACGACGGCCCTTGAGAACAAATAGCCTTGGCTTCCACGTCGTCATCAGGTTGGAGCTCTTCTTCTTCATCCATCCATAATAGTCGGCGCCTTCCTTGGCCTGCAAGGGTGGAATTTTGAGGAGACCTCGCGTGTACGCGCTGGTATCCTTCTTGTTCTTTCTGCCCTTACTCTTGTTTGCCGGTGTAGCGTTGAAACTCTTGCCGGTGGCAGGGGATTCAATGTCAAGGCTGGGCTCCCCGGATGCCGTGCTTGATGTAGCGCGCCCGGGAGAGTCGAGCGCGGGTTCGGGCGTTGTCATATCCTTTGATCTATTGGTAAGTTTGTCTGAAATAGCGCGCATGCCTGGGCGGCCTTTGCTCATGGGCTTGTTGACAACCGCGGACAGCCAGTCGGCCCCGAATCCCGGCTTGCCCGTCATGTTGGTTGGCGACGCTGGCGACCGGGTAGGGTTCAATCCTGTATCTATTCGGGTGACGATTGGAGCAGGTGGACTATCTTTAGCTGGGGGGATGGGACGAGCAGAGTCCGTTGTGTTTGTCGACGCTGTTCTCCTATGCGCCGTCGACTGCACTCCATAGTATTTCTGCGCAGCTGGTGACAGAGCAGGGTCTCTAAAGGAATCGACACTGCCAAACCTGGAGTGTCGAGACAGAGCTGTGGCACTGCGAACCCGCTGCTCCTCGGCATAGCTCGATTGCCTTGAATGCGTAGTTCCATCTCGCTTCTTCAAGACATTGCGCCGTCTTCCGTCTGTTTCCGTACCAGAAAAGTATCCCCGATCCAAATCCACCGCCGAATCTTGAAGATCTGGGTCTGAGCCGGTTTGCGAGTCATGCACTCCAGCGGACGAAAGGGGTCGCACAGCCGTTTGTCCAAATGCGTTTCCGAGCGTCCAATTTCGGTCAAAGGACGCTTGCTTCTTGTGCGCTACAGGACTCAGCATCGTTCCATTGGGTGACAATGCAGGAGGTGTCGTTCCTGGAACAACTCCTGCCATTGGTGGAGCCGGAGCCCGATAGTCTGTTGAAGAATGGCGGCGTGACTGAAGTTCTCTAATAGAGGCTGCCGAGGGTCGTTTGGTGTGGGTAGGCCGGGTTGGGCTGTCGTGAGAGCTGTGTACCGAAAGTGGTGACTTTAACGTCGTGGGGCTGGCCTTGGCCGTCTGACCAGAAGACAATCGTTGCGCCGAAATGCGATTTGAGATGGAGGTTGTGGCGGTGTTGGTCCGGCTTCTCGCTCCTCTGCCATCGTCTGAGTCCATTTCGCTGCCCCATGTGCGCGTGGTTCGCCTAGTCTGGTTGCTGTTGGCCTCGTCTTGAAGGGATTTAATCTTGTGCCAAGTCTTCAGCCGTCTTCCAACTGAACCCAAGTCAAAAGGCTTGACGAAGAGCGAGTTCTGGTCCATTCCCAAGAGCACCTCGCCCGTGATTTCTTGGTCTCTGAATACTTCGCAATGATGTTTTTCAACACCGACGGTGAAGAGATACTCCGCAACTTGGTCTGCAGTCCACGACTCCACCTCGGAACGACTGTGTTCGCGGTCCTCCTCTTCATCTGTCTCCTCGCCCTGAATGTATGACATTCTGTGTTCCAGCGGCATGCTGTACTCGCTACCAGAATCGTTCACTCCAACCGGGAGTCGTAGACCTCCGTTACTTGGCGACGAGCCTCTCAGATGCGTAATGTGCTCATTGATGACATTGAGTGTATCGTTTAGCACCTGGCTATCCTGGTTCTGGTTCGGAGTACGACGCGTTTCCGGAGCAGGCGAGCTGGACGTGGTTATGCTCGGAGAGGCCGAGGTTTCGGACTTGATGTTTAGGGGCAACGATGTTGTAGACGACTCCACCACGCTCGCAGGCGGCAGGCTCGGGGCAGGCTCTGGGACCGGAGTCGAATTTGTAGGAGCATTGGCAACACCGAGCACGATGGTATCACTGTCGGCCTGCGGGGCGGAAGCCGACGGTTGAGAGGGGGCCAAGCCAGGTACGTTCCTTGGTGCTGGACGAGTGTAGACTGCCGCAAGATTAACATTGGATACAGACCAGAGTCAAGAAGAGGGCAGGGCGCTAACCTTCGGGGAAAAGGCCAGTATTTTCATTGGCGAGGTTACGGCCCAGAAACCATCCATCACCAAACTCGTCATCGCGCTCGATGAGTTCGACCCTGTCGCCTTTCGACAGGCTCAGTTCATCGGAGCTTCGGGCTATAAAATCATCTGTTTGCGAAGCAGTGCGTGTGAGCTTGTCGGCCTTTGCGGCTTTGGTCCACCACCATCATCAACGATGGGACAGGCGGGCGGAAATGGCAATCAATAAGGGGTGTTGCGGTTTGCATCGCAAAGGGCCGCACGAGGGAGCGAAGGGAAGGGCAACGTACGAATAACTACCAGGGTATCGCCAACGTCCGGACGAGGCGGCGGCTCGCTGACCCCCCGCGTAGCCATGGCCATGGTCGATGGCTGTAGACAACCCACCCAGGGAAGGTCGTCGGGGAAGGTCTTGGGAGGCGTCGATGGAAGGGGGCGAGGTTGGCGATGAAGTCAAGGTCGAATGTTTTGGCAGCAAAAGTGACTGAGACACGGGCTGATGACGGCGTGGGGAAGCAGCTCCCTTTTCCCGGGCTAGGTTTCGTCCGTTGCTCGCGGGCGGATGACTGCTGCTAATAATAATGCAAGTCGGGGAGGCAGAGAGACGTGGGCGCAAAAATGCGATGCACAGAAAGTACCCAAGGCACAGTCAGCGCCATGAGCATGAGACGTCTGGTCTATGGTGCGTGAACGAGAGACCCTGGTTGCGGTCCTTTGGGGGCGGGCGCTGGGGATGCTGGTTCCGGCTAGGGCTGCGATGCACCGACCTCAATCGTGATCGCTCGCCAAAGACCCCTATGTCTAACACGAAAGGAACGAGTGCTGCAGGTTGCCGAGTCGGGGCCTGGTGGATGGAGGACTATTGGGCAGGCCAAGATCAAGACGGTCCCAGGTTTTGGAGGTTGGGGTTCCTCTGGCGCCGGCTTTGGCCTGTGGTCTGTTTTGGCGTCTGCTTTGGTGTCTGCGCTTCGAGTTTGCTGAGTTTTTCGGGGCTCAGGGGTGGCGACGACCGAACGGGCTTAGCGCCATCGCCGTCTACTGGGCCTGCACGCCTGGGCAGTCAATTAGTTCCGTCCCGCGTGGGCCGAGACATCCAAGTACCAGATACTTTTTACGTCCGGCCGCCGTCGCAGGTTTTGCACATATGATTCGCGCCATCTCCTTTGTGCTCAGGTATCGAGGTACAGGTGTGAGGTCGGTCTACTTTCGCCTGCCCCCTTCCACAGTGCTGAGGTTTCCAGGAACGTGGAACTTGATGGCTTTGGCAGAAAAGCCGTCTCACGCCGTCAACCAACCACTTGCACCATTAGCGACTCGGCTCTCCATGACCCGTCTATAACGCCAGCGGCCGCAACATATGTGGCGGCTGGGGTGACTAATCGCTTGGAGCGTGCGTCAAACTCGTCCCCCTACTCCATAGTCCATACCTTCTAACCGCTATCCGCATGTGACAGCGACAGTCCCGTCGACCCAAGAAGGCGTCATACATCAACCTTGGACCCGGAGCAGAAGTACTAGCGAGCGTCCAAGACTCACTGTCTGGCACAAGGCATTTGTAGACCCTTTCCCGGGAGCTTAAATCATCCGCGAGGGGCATTGCTAGGTATGGGGTCTGAAACGCGGAGTTGGGCCAAAACTCGGTGCTTATGAACATCCCCGAACTCAATTAATATATGTCATGGACTATCTCATCACGACAGTTCATTGTGCGTCATCCTCTGCCAAACTTGTCCCTGCATCTGATCGCTAGGCAAGTGCCGAACAGAGTGGACTCAAAGGTCCCGCCCGGATTGAGTTTCACTCGGTATATGCTCAACTCCTGGTCCAGACTAGGCTCCACGTCAAAATACGAGCTATGTCGGCAGTTTCACATACAGTACCAATCTGACCGTCTGTGGGTTATTTGCCTTTTTCTTTTTGCTTTTTCTTTAGGGAACCGCCTTGTCAGGATCGAGGGCTGGTCCATCCGCCGTCGTGGTAGAAACAAGAGACTGTCATCTGGTGCCCGCCACCATACTCTTCTCTGCCTCAGAACTTGAAATAGCGTTTACAACAGCCAGTCCTAGGCACTTCAATCACGATATGGTTCAAGTCGGCCTGGAATTGTGGTACGCCCCGTACACAACTATTGCATCCCGGCACAATAGCTACAGTAGTACCTCGTATCAGCATCACCGCCCTGGCGTGTCCTGATTTCAGTACACAAATGTCAATGTTTCCAGAAACTTTCCCACGCTGCAATGGAAACCCAAACCGCCACAAGCCTCGTTTGTAGATGAGGATATGCGATGATTGCACCCTGGATGGAGAAAAGTCTGGTCCATTAGACTGCGCCAATGCAATCAAAGTCAGCTATTGGGCTGCGGCTTCTCAACTCCATAGAAAGAGCAATTATCACATCTTAATTGAGCTTTTAAGAACAGCCATCAATTGAAGGCTGAGGTGGTGGGTCAAATCTTTTTGAGAGGAGGATGGGATTGCCCGAGATGACATGTCCGAGGGAAAATGCATAATGGACGAGTACATTAACCATAGACGCCGGTACGAGATTACCGTCAAGGGGATACGCTTGGATTTCGAGAAATGAAGTCTACGTGGTAATGTCTTGAGATCTGGCCGCGAACAGAACGAGTGATATCACTGAAGACGGATCGTTCGCCTACATCGGTAAGAGCGGACTTGAGGGGAGTTTTCAATAAACCTCGCGTACGCAGTCTGAGAAGATCATATCATATCAACCTACAAGTCTTCACAAACAAGCATACACGGGATGCAAAGTAACTGTTTGGGGCCAACATTTAGACTGGCTATGAACTGTATTGGGGGGAGGGATAGACCTACGGGGATGGTTTGCAAGACACCTATTGGTTGCGTGAATACTAGAATTGCTATTAGCTACGTCTTGAGATTGCCGTGATGAATCTTAAGTTGTTTCTACGGTTCCTCGCTTCCGCTCAGACTACTGACATGTCTCGCCCAGTAAATGGCAGAGCTCCTATGTCGCAATTCAGCAGCTACGGATCGCATTGAACAGCAGACTGGTCTTGATTGAGTCCATCTAACTAGGTCTATTAGGCCCGTTTCATATATCGGGATAGCTACTTGAGTCATTCAATGAGGGGTTCATCTGTATCCAAGTCGATGGGCTTAATAGGGCCTGTGGCGTCAGGCTTTTCGGCGATACCGTGTAGGAAGCTTTCCCCCTTGACATTATATTCCACCCAATAATAAAAAAGCCACCCAAAGAAGACATGTCCCCGAACTATCAAGTTATAAATCCTCGGATAGAGGAAATACAAGCCGGACTACAAGGCCCAAGACGGAGACGTTAGACGACACAACAGGCAATAAATGTCCTTTCCCACCAAGCAGACCACATCAATCTCCACATAAAGAGTCCTCTTTTCCATATGCTTTTTAAAGACTCGAGCAAGACGAACGATATTGCGGCCAGAGCACTTGACCTCGGCTTTCATGACGAAATAGCCACCCATAAATTGAATGAAACCGCAGAGTAGCTCTTGTTTGCGTATCTAGGTCGTTGTAACCTTGTTGTAGCCAGCTTCAGCTATTGTTCAATACCGCGACGGCTGGTTTGCTCTTGTACTCAATGACAGTCTTCAGTACTAAATGTAGGCCCAAAGATATTCTTTCAGAGCACCGTGAGTTTTCGGGTGTCGTGGGCCGTTTCTTTCGCCCTTGTCCACAATTCACCAGGTAGGATTTGTTTCCGCCTGTTGTAGTCGTCGTCGTCGACTTCGAAATGGGCTGACGAATACCCCCGCCCATACCCAAGGCAAACATTTCGGCACCCCGTGCTTTGCAGAAGGGCGGTCGGAGCCCTAGACGTTCTGTGAGAGGGTATATACAATGTCTGGCTACTTTCAATTGCCCAACTAGGCAGGTCAACCGTATACATGAGCATATTGCATTGCACTTTGGGTTGGTCGGTTCAGGTTGCTTCTGGCGGGTGCTCCCGCGCATTGACATCTGCTGGTCAGTCTGTTCGATCTGTTGGTCGGTCGGTCGGTCGGTCGGTCAAGCAGTGTCGCTGGCATGGTGGTCCCAGCCTCCCAGGCCATTTTGCCAGTTGGAATACTCGGTATCGCGGCCGAGGTGGCTTTGGAGGAGACGGGAGACAGCCCACACATCCTTGCAGGCGCATGCCCAGCCAGACTCACGTCGTTCAGGCCACAATGTGGTTGGTGTGATGGGCCAGATGGTTTCACAACATCACGTTGGGCGCAAAACAGCGTGGCCAGCACGGCCCGGTGAACTGGCTGCTCAACAACTCTCCGACCGGTGACGAGGACGAAAAGCCAGCATAGAAACACATGCTGCTCCCTGGATGGCTGGATGCAAACCTTGAACATTGAACATGTCTGCGGCCCCGAGGACCTGGCACGTACATGTAGCGTCGGCATCATTGATCTGGCTGCTTCCAACGAGTCGAGGGTGCGCTTGAGCCTGATCGCGCCTTCCCTTCCAGGACACAGCAAACTTTCAAAGACAACGGGCGTTTCGCCTGAGGTTTGGCACCAGCAGTGGACCTCTTCGCGACGCCACTACGGGGGACTCGCTACGTTCGAATCCTTCGGTGCGAACAGCATCGTTAACCAACTATCCATCCGCTTTTCTCTTTTCCCTTTTTCTTTCTTTTTCTCCTTTTCTTTTTGGCTTCATTTCACATCCATCCCGGCTGTCCCATCTGCGACGCAATATTACGCCCGAGTACGGAGTACGCACACCTCGTTCGCCAAGCAAGTTTGTCCCTCCCGAGACACCACGACATTTTCACGAGCCGCATCGTGATCTGTGAAGCTGGACTTTGATCCCCTCCCTTCAGCAAACCAACTCCTCCAGTTCCGAGCCCGACTCACAACAGGGGGGTGGACTATATTGCGCACGGTACTACTGCCTGTGCTGTCTGATTTCCATTTGACTTCGGCGGGTTTCGATCATCTTTTGGCTACAAACTTCCCCCGTCTTCTCGCGCAGTGGCACCTTGCAGATTTCCACCGGGCGAGGCCACGACAGCTCAGAATGCTTCATGTACCCCGAGATTGTCCAAGTTCAAGGTCGAAACAACGCCATGTCAATATCTACACCTTCTAATGGGAAGAACGCTCCTCCCTGCGACAATGATGCCGAGTCCAGGCGGATAGGGGCAGCAAACAAAACTAGCCTTGCCTTTATTGGTGGACATCAACCGACATGGATGTTATCCAACTCTGCTGCTTCACTGCCCACGAAATCCCCAACCGGTATTCGTAAGAAGAAGCACTTCTCCAAGCCTGTTCCCCCTAGGCTATCGCTGGAGAAGATTATAAATGCCACTGTGTCGGTACAGCAGGGCCAAACAACACAAGACTCACAGCCTTCACCCCAGGTGGTTGAAACTAGCTGCACAGACAGGTATGTACTTTCTCCAATATCTCTTCATTTTCCAGCCGACCCATCGTCATTGACAGTACTATGCACTTACACAAGTTATTGTTGGACATGGCTCCAGCCTGCCCTCGTTAGCCGAAAAATCCCCAGAGCGTATATTGTCAGGCCAGAGCAACGTTGAGCATGCGCCTTCGCCTTCGCCTTCGCCTCCGCCTCCTCCAGCGCCAAAGCCAGGGAACTCGGACCTGACCACAAAAGAAAGTCCTCGGGTTGAATTGAGCGGGCCGTTTCCATCACCAGTGACGAAGCCGATAAATTCAAGCACCGTCACAATAGAAAGTCCTCAGGTTGTATCGCGCGGGCCGTTTCCATCACCACCACCAACATTGCCCATGGAATCTAGAAACCCACAAATAGAAGAAGTAGCCGGGCAGGCGACTATGCAAGATGCTTGTGCAAGTGACGGCAATGTGGCCAGTAATACTGCAACACCAAGGCCTCACCACCGCCTCAGCTTGCCTTATCGAAACTCCGTCTCCTCCCATGCACCCGCCACATGTCAAGTTAGTCCGCCATTGCCGCAGCAGGACGGCAGCTGGCAACAACCGGCGCAGCAGTTGCCACAGCAAATAACTGTGGGAGGCTTCGTCTATCAACTGATGAAGCCAGCACCCGTCGCAAACACGAATAACTCGAATAACCCTTCACTGCACACAAATGCTCCAGCCTCGGTCGCTTGCAGTACTTCACCCTACAGGCATCCTCCAGATACGCAGGCTCAGCCCGCCATGAGCATAAGTCCAGACACCTTGGCTTCGTGGCGCCGAAGGCTCGTCGAGTTTATCAATCATCCAAAAGGGCCTAATCATGACGCTACCTTCCTGGAAGCATGGCGCTGCTCTGCCCTGCTAGATGCGTGCCAATTCAACGATGTGTTTTTCCTAGTGCTTCATCAGTTTTATTGCCTTTGGTCAACAAACCCAGGGTTTCTTTGTTCCATTTTGCCGTCTTCTTGTCATGGCCACCTTGATCCGTCATTTAAATTACTGGCTACTGTTCTGAAGCCCAACACAGATATTCGACAGCATCATTTGTCGTGGTTTGCTTACTATCCATACAGTTTAGTTCGTCCAGCCCACACATACCCATCGTTCAACGAGACGTCAATCCAAGTAGTGAGATTTCTGGTCTCTTTTGTCCTGAACTGGTCCAAGTGGCTTACTTCTGTTCGTAACAGACGATATCCCGTCATGGTCCAAGAGTTGAAAGAGGGTTTACTTTGCCATTCATTGGGAGGACAGATCTTGCTGTTCACCTATAGTTGGAGACTTCTCGGGACTGGAAATCAACTCATCGCTGAAGAGTTCGGCAACGTCTTCCAGGCTGATCGGGAGAATGAAAGACTGGCGGACATGCACCCCGGTTCGCATCGTGTACACGAGACGCGAAAAGTTATCAGACACAGTTACATCACCGTTACAAACCATATGATTTCCCAATCTAACATTACTAGTAAGTGAACTCCTTAGTTGCTACCAGTATACTCTCACTCCTCCCATCAGCCTCTCACGGCTACCTAGTGCTAACAACTGGCGAAGTGGCGGCTGCTAGATTCACAGCTGCACAGACTCAATCAAACTCTGTCGCAAGTGTCAACCAGAGCTACAACACAACAGTATCACCGGTGACTTCATCCGCTTTCGCCGCCTGTCTTTCACCTCATGACGCTTCCAGTCCTGGAACGCCATTCGTTCAGGGCCAGTCACCAAACGCTCCCTGGCAAGCGCAATTTCCCACACCCAACGTGATACCACAAACGCGTGCAGTAGCATCAGCTGCCCCCGTCGGTCAGCATCCACGCGAAGCAGGGCTTGTACCAGGCCAGACTCCAATACCCGGGCAACAACGCTTTGTGCAAAGCGCACGTAATGGGACAAATCATCGTCACCTGTCTCATCCCGGATCATTGGTCGGAAGACCAACCTCTCAGATAGTCAAACACAGGCATTCTTCTCATGAACGAACGGCACAGAAGAAACTTGTGGCAAACACGCATGCTGGGATGGCACGGGGACAATCTGCCACTGCGGGAGGTGGGTTCTCAGCCGCTCCTCCACGAGAGGCCGACTGTCCTCAGAGCCAATATGGTTGGACTTCTGTCCAATCTAGCCTTCATTTAGCCCGCTCGCGCAGTCCACGGAGAATCAGTGCCGAAGGACCTGGGACCCGATACTACCAATATCTTGATCGCTTTGCCGTTAAACCAACAGCCCTTTTTCATCAAAATGGAGCCATTCAAACTTTTGATTTCGCAGTGACGTCTACCGAGTTCGCAGAAAGGTCGCAGCTCCTACGCTTTGAAGAGGCCAAAGTACACCAGTACCAACAAGGGTCGCTGCGGTATCGTCTTAGGCTAAGCGGACAGCTCCCAGAGGATACAAAGACCTGCATTGCGGACTGGGCTTCATCCCCTTGTGTCTGGCCTCAAGAAGTTTATATCAAGTTCAATGACGAAGCCGTATTTCCTTTAAGGCCGCAGCATTTTCATCAAAACCTTCCAATAGAGCTCACCGACATGATACGACAAGGGTTCAATACAGTCAAAATCAGCCTGCCCGAGAATCCTGAGAATTACAAGGACACCTCAGTCTATTACTTGGCCGTTGAGATTATAAAAACCATGGATCATGAATCGACATTCGCTATGGTGATGGAGCTGGAGGCTTTTAGTGTTGAACAAACAGAGAAGGAGATTGAGAAGCGTCTGCGGCCTGATGACTCTGACGACGTCATTGTGCAGGACGACTCTTTGTGCATATCGTTGATAGATCCATTCAGCGCAAGCATGGTCAAGTCGCCGGTTCGAGGACTGCGTTGCAAGCATATCGAATGCTTTGACCTGGAAATATGGCTACAAACCCGTCGTGGCAAACCTTCGCAAAGCAAATCGGAGCCCGCGCGTGCAGATGAATGGAAATGCCCCATGTGTGGCGAATATGCAGGGCCGCTAGGCCTTCGTATTGATGCGTATTTTGTGAGGCTTCGAAAGGCATTGATTGACGCTGGGAAGGGGCAAACAAAGAGTATCAAAGTCACCCTGGATGGAAATTGGACTGCTATCGAAGAGCCACAGGACGGCGAAGATGGAGAAAACGGCGGTTCTGTACAGAAGTCGGCGCAAAAGAGAGCGGAGCCTGCGATTATTGAGATTCTGGACGACTAAGCAAAATCAACATCATGATGGATGGACTTTACGTACATGCAGGACAGAGTACTGTGAAATGACGGTTCGGCAAGAACTACCGGGTCGTCTTTTGCAGTAGCAAGATGACATAGAGACCAACAAGGTAGCGTGGGTCGACGGATGACCAAGTACATGGATACTTCAAGGCATATTTCAAGCTTGCCCTGCCAATGTCGGTGGGGTGGTGAGATGGAAAAGCGGAATTGGCAGGATGCCCAAGAGGAGAGAGCAAGTCTCGGCCAACAGTAACGGCCCTGGCGTCACCAGCTAGTCCTGGAGTAAAGACATAGCGCAATTTGATCAACGATGTATTTACTTGAGCACTCGTATCAGTTGTTGCCTAAACGCGGAAGCTCGGCATCAAGTGCCGAAGGGTTGGGCAAGGGTCTAGGAAGTTGTCATCAGATCCAGCTTGATGGGAACTCGGGCATCATGCACGGGTGGCCAAAAGCGGTGATAGTGCAATTTGGGCGGGGAAGGCTTTGAGATATGGGGTACTTTTGTAGCAGCGCAGACTTGCGATGGCCCTAGGTATTTTACATCCCGGTCAGCTCCACTTGAACACATCTTAACCCGACCCTACTTCCGGGCACAATTCCTCCGACAGAGATGCCAACCATTCGTGAACCGCGGTCTGTAACCCAAATAAGACCCTTCTCATCCCAAATAGCTCTGTTTCACAAAATCCCAACGGATGGACCGACATCAACGTTGGGGTATCTCGACATAGGGCAAGTAATGTAACCTGCCTGCTGTGCCTGACCAGATACGGGAGAGCGACGAAGGCGGAATCAAGGAGAAAGCATCGGATCATCAGACCATCCACACCATGTCGGAATTGTCGACTACGCGTCCCAGGGCGCAGAGCCCGCCCCGACGACAGAGAGCTTGCGTGCCGTGTTCAAAAGCAAAGGCACGCTGCCATTTTCAGGACAGCAATATTGAGCGCCATGTTTGCGACAGGTGAGGATGCGCGAGTTGAGAGCTGGAAGCCAAGGCTGGCTGACTGAATCTTGTCCATGGTAGGTGTGAGAAAATGGGGATTCAATGTACGGCGAAATCGTCAAAGAGTTTGAGGAAACCAAGGCAGATTCGGCCATTGAACAGGTGAGATGATCCGTTTTCTTGTGGCTTTTTGATGTTTTGAAACTGAGTTTCGTGCTCACACACACTATGCGGGATAGTCGAGTGTCGAATTTGGAGAAGCAGATTGAGACCCTGACCGCTGCTCTCGAAGGACAGAATCAGGGGACCTCGGCCACGTCACCAACACACGATCTCGGGCTTGCGAATTCCAAGCCCTCTCCCGCCGTGCTTACACCAGAATCGCCTGCGGCTCAAGCGGGTGAACATGAAGGGGCCATGAACCACCCTTGCCTCAGCCAGCATCAGAGGCCTCCTCGCCAGGCTGCAAGTGCTGGAGCGCTGCCCGGTCCCATATATGGATTGACCTGGCCGCAGTCAGATCGTATCTTGTCCTTGTTCCGAGACAAGTATATTCAGACGTTTCCTTTTTTGGTGCTGGACGAGCGGATGAGCGCGAGCCAGATGTATGCCGAGAAGCCATTTCTGTTCCGGGTCATTATGCTGGCGGCGGCGCCGTTGCCAATTCCAAGGATGGTCAAGATAAAGAGGAACGTGCTGGCTTACTTGGGACAACACATGCTGGTCGAGGAGGAGCGCCAGCTGGATCTGCTCCAGGGACTGTTGGTTTGCATATCATGGTGAGCGCTGCCAGCTACGCATGTGGCTATTCCTTTTCGTTCGTTATATGCTGATGCGGGAGCCCAGGGCGGACCTACGAACTCTGTTTGACGAGCAAATCACCAATTTGACCTATCTGGCGCTGGGGTACGCGCACAACCTGGGCATCACCAAGATCCCGCCTTCGCTTTTGCAGCAAATCGGCATGGACGATGCGCCGGAGGACTTGCGCCAGACGAAGAGGGACCTTATCCCGGCCAAGATGCATTCAATCGAAGAGCAACGAACCTTTTTGGGATGCTACTGTCTCTTATCGGTGTAAGTGAAAGCCACGGGAACCCCCTCCCCCAAAAAAAAGAAAGGTGTATTGTAGGAAAGGGGGGAAAGCGAATCTGCCAGCTAAACGTACTTAGCAACTCGACACTGTTTGGACGGCAAAACCCCCTGAGAAGCCAGTACGTAGACCTCTGCTGCGAGTCGCTCAAGCGCGCGCGCGAACACCCCTCGGACACGTTCCTCGAGCACAACGTGCGCCTGGTGCAGATGGGCGAGAAGATATCCGAGGCGTTTGGCGCGGCCAACGACCGCGAGCGAGGCAAGCCGTACCTCTTCCTGCTCGACGACCAGTCGCGCGGGTTCCGCGAGGAGCTGGACGCGCTGATGCAGTCGCTGGACCGGCAGCAGCTCCTCGACCGCGCGGCGTACGCGCACCGCGTGCCCGCCGGCGAGTTCGACGACTGGGAGCGCTTCTTCACCCTGCACTACAACTACCTCCTCGTGCGGCTCTACGAGCCCGCCACGTTCCTGCACGAGATCCCCGAGGAGGGCGGCGCCCCGTCGACGTACCGCGCGCAGTGCCTGCGCAACTGCCTCTTCGCCGCCAAGGCCTACTTCGACGTGCTCTTCACGCTGCCGCCCTCGCAGTACGTCTACCAGTCCATCACGTTCACGGAGCAGATCACGTTTGTGCTCGTCATCACCACGCGCCTGCTGCTGCTCGAGACGAGCGACTGGGACGTGCACTTTGCCCGCGTGACGGTCGACTTCTTGTCCGTCGTGGACCGCCTCGTGCAGCGCCTCGACGCCTCCGAGGCGGAGCGCGTCCGCGCCGTCGGCAGGTTCGTCGCCGAGATGGGCGTCGACGCCACGCCCGCCGAGGTCGCTGCCGAGGGGCGCGTCGCCGACATTGCCAGGAAGATGCGCTGGATCAGGACCTGGTTCGAGAAGAGGGCCGACAAGGACGGCGTCGGCGCCAGCCAGGTGCCGCAGGAGTGGCCGGTCGAGGAGCTGGAGAATAGGGGCGCGAGGGCGTTTGGCATGGGCGCAAACGGGCCCGTCTGGTTCACGGGGCTGCTGTCCAACTCGGCGTGGAACTTTGACGACCTGGAGCTGGGGTGATGATGATGCTTGGTCGGTCAAGAGGTTCTTCTTTTTTTATGTGTGTGTGTATTTTGGGTTTTGTACCAATATGAGCGATTGGGGCATGGGAGGCGTACTTTCATTTCGTAATTACGTGCCACACTCTGGCAAAATCTATCTCTGTTTCTTGTCATGTTCCATCGCGCACGAGCGTGGTGGAAGAATACGCCGTGCCGTTTCTCTTCTCCTCATCCATTCATGATTTACCTATCCGGCTGAGCCGTCATACATTCATTACAAAATACAACTCCGCCGCGTCTACATCTTGGACCTCCGCACGCGCGGTCGAACAGCAATCTTGGGATGGTCCCCCTCCAGCTGCAGCCCCGTCACCCTCTCCAGCTCCTCGACGGCCTCGTACGCCCTCCCCAGGTGGACCTTTATGGTCCCAAAGCCCTCCTTCCTAGCGGCCTTGAGGTTCTCGCCAATGTCGTCGAGGAACAGCACGTCGGCGGCCTGCACGCCCGCGTCCCAGCCCAGGCGCCTGCCCCTCTCGGAGTGCGCGTTTGCGCGCGCAAACTCGTCCAGCCTGCGCACGGCGAGCCTGTAGATGCCCGGGTCGGGCTTGCGCAGCCCCACGTGCGCCGAGGAGACGAAGACGTCGAACAGGCTCCTCACGGGGTCGGCGAGCGCGTCCCCCCGGTGGAGCGCGTGGCCCGGCGGGAAGATGACCGTGTTGCTCAGCGCGCCGAGAATGTAGCGCCCGCTGCGCCGGAGGCGCTCCAGGGCCGGGAACATCCACGGGTCCGGGGCGTTGGACTTGGCCATCATCTCGTTGAAGAGCCACTCGCCGTCGAGCCGTGGCACGGGCGGCGTCTCCCGCGGCAGCGAGGGCGTCCTGGCCGCCTCGCGCGCGTAAAACGCCCTCCACTGCTCCGGGCGGTGCAGGTCGCTGTTGAAGCCGGCGAAGAAGGCGGCGTCCATGGGGATGTCGCCGCGCTCGAGCTTGTGCCAGTACCCGTTGGGCGCGGACTGGGCGAGCGAGTAGTTTACCCAGCCCGGCGGGATGTTGAGGCTGATTTCATAGTCTAGGATGGCCTGGAAGGGGGACACGACCTTCGGGGAGTGGGTGTGTGAGTTGGGTTTTGTAATGGGGTGAGGTGGGTGAATCAACTTACACAGACACCACCAATGTCGAATAGGAGCACTTTGGGCTGCTTGCTGGCTGCCATCTCGTCGATAGCTGCTAGGATCTGGTCTATGGGGGGGTCTTCTACGCCTAGGAGAGACATGGAGTGGGATTGTTTGGATGAGAGACTGGACGGAGGTGGTGCTTTCAAGGCTGGTGCCGTGTCGTTGTAGCTGAGAGGGCCATGGTGAGCAAAGTGTCTGGTGTAGTTGCTGCTTGTTGCGACAACCTCGGTTGCGATGAAGCTGGATGCTGGGGACCTAGGTTCCTTCCTAGCTTAGGTACCAGACTGGTTTTGGCGGGTCCAAATCGGCTTGTTCTGCCTGAGGCAGCAATTTTGGAGCCTCAACTGCTAGGAGGTGGTGCATCACCAATGTCAGGACGTGACGGATGTCGGTCACGGAAACAAGAAACGGCTGTCCCGGCCATATATCTGTACTGATGAGCTCAAGGAAGACAAGCAAACGGGGCATCAGCGCCCGAGTCGGGGCAGTGATGATTGACCTCTTGCTCTTGTGGACGACCTGTGGCTACCCGGGATGCAGCACGATTGCGATGCAAGGATTCAGTTCTTGTACCACCAAGGAACTTGGGAGAATTATGGTGCATATGAGTTGACAAGAAAGAAAAACAGGAAACTCTTTCAATTCTATGAGCTTTCGAGAATCAGGCATATTTACTAGAAGAAAATGTTGATGTCCATGATGGGTAAAAGGAATTCCCAGGTGGATCCGTACATGTACATTCAGCAGAGACAACGATATCGATCAGATCAGGTGCCTGGCTATCACGCTATAATTGGGTTTGCAAGTTCTAGCATTGACCACCGCCTCTTGATGAAAGTGATGGAAAAAAGCCGGCGCAGATGAAGAACAATACAGCTTCGACCAAGACTAGCCCTTGGATAGCTGGAGTACGAGATGGCAGGTGTAACAATTAGCCAACGGTTGCGGCGACAGTTGGCAACAATATTCTACTACTAGGTAAGTTACTTTACAGAAGATGGCTAATGTCTGGTCACTCCAGTAAATGCAATAGAGTCCGGTTCGCAAACAACGTCACTGAAAGACGTCTGCGGAAAGGAGCTTCACGGTCACGTGAATCGTAACCAACCCGACTCAGACGACGACCCCTGCGGCTGTCACGCCAAGTGGGACATTTTTGCGAGCGAGTCCACCCACAGCAGGGGTGTCACACGCTTAGGGCTTGAAAAATATCCCCCACCAAAATCGGTCTTGTTCTTTTTTCTTGTTCCGCATCACCAACCCATCAACCTTCCGACAGCAAATTCCCAGCCGTCGTTGGTAATCACCGTCAAGATGGTAAGTTGAAAGGCCTATCTACAGGATACGAGCGCTCGAAAGAGTGGCATCATCCTCGAAATATCTCAATTTCTTCATCAATGGCAGAAATGCCTGCATTTGTCGATTTTTGCTCGTGGTCACAAGAGTCACTGCAAGTTGCTTCGGAAGGAGGACGAGCAAGTCTGAAGCGCAAATTGCTGACTCGGGGATTTATGAATAGCCTTTCCACAAGTTGGTCAAGAACAGCGCTTACTACAGGTATGTTCCTTTTTTTTGGGCCTCGCTTCGCTCGTCAAGGCCTGTCATGGGGATATGAAGGAATGGATTGTACTGACTGTGGCCCCTAGCCGCTACCAAACCAAGTACAAGCGCAGACGTCAAGGCAAGACCGACTACTACGCCCGTAAGCGCCTCATCACCCAGGCCAAGAACAAGTACAATGCGCCCAAGTACCGCCTGGTCGTCCGCTTCACCAACAAGGACATCATCATGCAGATCGTGTCTGCCGAGATCACTGGCGACAAGATCTTTGCCTCGGCCTACGGCCATGAGCTCAAGGCCTACGGCATCAAGCACGGCCTGACCAACTGGGCCGCCGCCTACGCCACCGGTCTCCTGGTTGCCCGCCGTGCCCTGTCTAAGCTCGGCCTTGACAAGGACTTCCTCGGTGTCGAGGAGGCCGATGGTGAGTTCACCCTCACCGAGGTTGCCGAGACCGACGACGGCCCGCGCCGCCCCTTCAAGGTCTTCCTCGACGTCGGTCTTGCCCGCACCTCCACCGGCGCCCGTGTCTTTGGTGCCATGAAGGGCGCCTCGGACGGTGGCATCCTCGTCCCCCACTCTGAGAAGCGTTTCCCCGGCTATGACATGGAGTCGGAGGAGCTGGACTCCGAGGTCCTCCAGAAGTACATCTTTGGCGGCCACGTCGCCGAGTACATGGAGACTCTGGCCGACGACGACGAGGAGCGCTACCAGAGCCAGTTCCAGAAGTACATCGACGACGGTCTCGAGGCCGACGGCCTTGAGGACCTCTACACCGAGGCCCACGCCGCCATCCGCGCCGACCCCTGGAAGAAGGCGGAGAGCGACGGCCCCAAGAAGACCAAGGAGGAGTGGAAGGCCATCTCCAAGAAGTACAGACAGACCAAGTCCACCAAGGCCGAGAAGGAGAAGCGCGTCCAGGAGAGGATCAAGGCTATTCTCGCCGAGGAGTAAAGGGGATGCCACTGATTTCATGGGAAAATGGTACGGGAGAAAATGGGACTGGGGACCTTGTCCCGTTTCAGAAACCAAGATGCAGTGACGAGGATATTTTTTTGTTCAAGGGTAGGCCGGAACAGGCCTGGTTCTCGGAGTTTGGGCAACGGTCTCGAGTTCGATTTTAAATTCAATGAATATTAAATCCTCCGTGCTGCCCACCACACACGACTCCATGACTGGAATGATGAGATGCGTAGTTGACTACAAGAAAAGAAGAGAAATGAAGGAGAAGGAAAAACAAACACCTGTAATGCGCCATGTTCCCCGTGATGATGTCGTGAACTTGCAAATAGCCCCATCAATGACCCCGCTTGCGCCTGCCTAGTCTGGTCCAGTCTGGTCCCTGCCGTCTGGCGGCTCGTTTCATATATCATCCGCCAAGCCATCATTTACTGGGCGGCGTCGTCCTGTTGCTCAAACGCCTCGAAGTCATCGTCAATCATCTCCAAATTGAAGTTTTTGTCCCAGTCGGATGGTTCAAGTGGGTCGAAGTCCAAGTCGTCTATGACGAAGGGACCGCTTATGGGTATGCTCTGGTAAGGACCCCAGAAGGCAGCTTGCTGATCGGCACTGCCGCCGCCCGTGGTGGCCTCCGACATGGACATGTCCGGCCCGTCGATTCCAGGTCCTCCGCCATGTCCGCCGGCCTGGTCTTCGCCGTGATCTGGGCCGGCCAGCTCGTCCGCCGCCACATTCTCAGGCGGCGGTTGGTACGGCGCCGGCGTGGTCGTCTGGTAGCTCGAGGGTGGCTCGCGCGAGTCTGGGTCCGAGCTGCGGGCGGGATGAAGGGACACGAGGGACGGGGACCTGCTGGATACGGACTGCTGATGAGAGGGCGAGGAGTGGACGGTGCTTGTGCTTTGGCGGCGGCGGTCTTGGTGCTCGATGTCGCTTGCGCGGCTCGGCCTGAGTCTGCGTAACGGGTGCGTCGACTCGACCCCGTCCTGGATTCGCCACGATGGCATCTGCCCCGGCACCGGGGCGTACCGTTCCGAGTCTGAGAAGGAGGCCAGGTGAAGCCTGTGCAATGGGGATTGGGGGTCGTCCAGGTAGCGCCTTATTCCGTACGGGTACGTGCCATGCTCATCCTCGACCTCGCCGTTGTGGCTGTAGTCCGTGTACAAGCCGTCCTCATAGTCCTCGTCAGATGCAGTGCCTGCCGGTGTTGGTCAGCGGGAACGGCATGGTCCCTTCTTCTTTCGATCATTTGGGGGAAAAGGATCGTCTTTCAAACCTCGAGACCCGCGTCCTGCGTCCATGCTTGCAGTATGATGGAAGCTTTTCAAGGCCCTGGGATAGTTGCTTGTATTGCAAAGAAGGCAGCAGGACGAGTGTAAGACATCAAACAATACAGCGCGGGATGAAACGAAACGAAACGAAACAAGGCCGAACACAAGTAGACGCAGGGAAGGCTCTCTATGGCGAGGGGGCCAACGTGCAGAACAGCAATGCTAACAAAGCAAGAAGCGTCAAGAACTACCAAAAAGGCTCCTACAATAAAATGGATTTGATCGCAAAGGGGGGTCAGTGAAGGATATTTACACTGTATGGCTTCGCGCCGCTAACAAATATATCTAGTGGTGGTGACGGGAAACCCAGCAAAACAGCCGCCATGTCAGGTTCAATCACCTATTTGGGAAATCTTCTACCCTGAAGGTGATGTCACTTTGGTTCCATGCCGACGGGACCAGCAAAAGCACCTATAGAAGCCAGGAAGGGTGGAAAAAGGGGGGAGGGGGAGGGCAGAATCCATGTCTACAGGTGGCCAGTGAACCCTGTATGCGGCAGGGTGACAGATTTCTCGCATATGTTCTCTGTACGGAGGACGCTGTCACAAGAGGCCGCGACTGTCGACGATACAGAGCTATGTGCCGTTCACCTCGGTATGTTTCGCTCCGCCAGATGGGTTTCTGGGGGGACATCTACGAGCCCAACTACGGTGTGTGAAAACCCAACCAGCTGGGTCTGCTATGTCCACTCAGGACAGCCGCTGGATGCGACTACAAGGCTACGAGGCCAACTCGGCCGTCCCTGTAGGATTCGACACAGAGACAATGGAAGGAAAAAATACACGCCTCGTATTCATTCGTCCGAGGAGCAGAAATCCCCCATCAAGGAAGCACACCGCCTTCAAAGAGCCTCATTGCGGGTGGGAGGAGGGTAGTATTCAGGGGCACACCGCCCGTGTAAGTGAGCAAGCCGTCTTGTCCGAATCTTGCTGCGAACAACGTGCTGACGGTAGGGTGAGAGCGAGCTGAGGGACGGGCTTTGTGGTGGACGCGAGTGAGGAGCACTCTGTACATGGAGTTCTGCAGGCCGGATGTGCAGCTCGTCATCACCTTGTCTCAGCCCCCGAGGGGGGTCTCACGCCCACCCTCCTGGAGTCTCGGCGCGCGGAGCTTTGAATTTATGCTTAGGTCCAGAAGAATGACATTGTTCTAGATCATTGCCGTGGTGTGAGCTGTCCATTGCGCAAGGGGGGTTGTGTTCTCTCCGGCTTTGAGTGCTCCCAGGTCATACCTCGCACTCAGATCATGACAGGAAGGAGTCAATGGTGACAAGGTTAGGAATTCACCTTATAGTGATGCGTAAAAACATGCCCACAGAAGTCACAGCCCCGACTAGTCATAAAACACCTTTGCCAGAAACCCTTCCCCGGTATCATCGCCCTCACTCACTGACCCCTTCCAATTCTTCCTCACCCTCACCCTCACCCACTCAGTTGCCGAAATATCCAAATCATGGCTCTTCCCATCCTTCCCACACCCCACGCTCCTCAGGAACGGGCTGTCCAACGTCTTCAGTGGCAAGTCGTCACTCGGGCGCACAAAATACAACAGGCCCAGCCGATCCATGCACGCCTGGTCACCCGGCGGCGCAACTACTCTGTGTATGCCGCTCCTGATGTACCCATTCGACAAGAACTCAAGTATATCCGCAATATTCACAGCCACCTTGCCCTCCGGAATGCGTATATACTCCCACCCCGAATCCGGGCCACGCTTCACCTGCAACGCAGCAACGGGTTGTTGAAAGACATAGGTCAGTGTCCCATTGTCCGAATGCCCACGCAGATACAGACCTTTGTATTTCTCGTTCTCGGCTTCCGACCTAGCCCGGTACATCATGTACCTCAGGGAACTGTCGCAATTGGCCTCGTACCGGTGCCCGTTGACCAAGACATCCTCGGGCAGCTCTAGTATGTGCGCAACGAGGCGAAGGAGCTTGCAGGTTACATTTTCGTGCATGTGTCGCTGGAAATGCTCAATTTGCGACGCGTATTGGCTTATTATTTGCGGCTGCGGCCGTTGCGTCTGCGGGAGGAACTTGAAGACGTTGTAGAATTCCAGGTTGTCGTCGAGACCGGGCAGAATCTCGACGGAGCCGAGGGGGCGGTAGCCGTTGTAGTTGCCATCCTCGAGGGGCGCGCGGAACTGGAGCTTTTCCGAAGGGGCCAGGGCGAAGAAGGCCTTTGCAATGGCGAACTGTTGGTCGATTTGGGATTGGGTGAGGCCGATGTTGGTGATGTAGAAGAAGCCTGGGGAATGCCTTCATGTCAGGGTTGTTCGAGCCGCCAGGGACTATTGCTGGGGAAAGAAGGTGCGAACCGATGGTGTGAGCTGCTTGTCTGAGCTGGTCGGCTAGCCTTTCCATTCCTCCTGGCTTGTCATATTCGGAAAGGTCGAGAGTGACGAGGTCAGCATAGGAGACTGCAGGTTGTTAACAGTGAACACCCTCGTGCTTCTTTGATGCTGAGAGTTGGAGGAAAGCGCCCCTACTTACGCCTCTCTTTCGTCTCGGGAGGATGGGTATACTTGGCCAACGGTGTGTTGGAGGTTTGGTGAGGCATGGCGAAACAAAACCAAGAATTAGTATATCGAACAGTTGAGTAAAACTGCCGGAGGTTGCAAAGCCGGAGGTGTTTCGTCTATTTATGCTACACAAAGGCGAGGCACTCCTTCCTGTAAACTGCAAAGTTGCCTTCTATCCGGGCTTAGACTATGAATAATGGCAGTCCCACTACCATGCATAAACAATGATGATTCAAATCCATCATAAAACTATTGGCACCTGACCATGGCAGGCATTCTGTAAGTGTACAACCTGGGATGCGACCGAACTCATGGCGTACATGCCAGGACTCCATTCTTGGCAGCAACCGATCAAGTCATATTGGGCATCGACCGAGGTTTCCCAACACAGCATCTGTGCAAGATGATGGTTTGCAGCTTGTGCGTTGTGCAGCAGGTGCGTGGTCGCTGCTGTGGCATTGCGATCTATTCATGGATGAGCGCATCTTGACTTACCTTGATTAAGTGCAGCAAAATGGAGATGTTGCTCTAGCTGAGGCAAGTCATGGTTTTCTCGTTCTATGGCGGTTGCTGTATAGGGAAAATCTTGACTCCAGCTAAATATCGAGGTAGATGTCCATGTGTAAGTGCCCTTGATGGGATCAGGGCGTTTCCATGGGACTACTCGAGGAGTTATATACTCACAAACCACGGACAAACTAGAAACATTCCACCCCAGGGACGCCCTGTTGGCAACGCGTTGAGCAGTTGATTCAATTATAGTATTATTTATGACACGCAGACAGATAGAAGACCAAAAGTGCGTCCACCTATACGTTTTGCCAAAGCTGGTGTCGAGTACAACGTGCCGGTGCCCATCATTTGCAAAGATCACTTTACTCCTTTCGATTCTCCTTGGGTTCGTTCCATTGTTTTGTCACACGACACGGCCACATGGCGTAGGACAGCCATTTCAGGAACAGGAACTAAGGCTACGGGAGGCTCGGGGGATACGGGGTCAAATTGGCTCAAGACTCGGAGACGGCATCAGACAAGGTAAATGGTCCAACATACGCCTGGGTCGTTTATCGTCAAGGCACCGCGCGGCTATGGATGAAGACAAGGCTGGTGGCGCCAGGACCCAGTTGGCCTGGCTGGCAGCAAGCCCTTCTTCTCCGCTCAACTCTCAAACGGACATCGAGCCATGGTAGGGGCCGGCTGTAGTGGAGATGGTTTTCCTCGGGCGCAGTCTGGAGCACGGTTGCGGAAGACTCGGACGGCGCACGCTCACGCAAGTGTTTGGCTGGGTAATTGTGAAGCAAAGGCGTCTGGTGGTTCCCATCGCCTATCCGCGGGACACTGAATGGCCGGAAAGACTGGCGATGGCGTTTGGGCCTATCCACTTATTAACCGTCTGGTGCTGCAGAGTGGCGGATGGGGAGCCTTGTTGGCGATCTCTTCTTGTCCACGGTCAGGTGGTCTGGAGGTGGCTCAGTCATTGACAGGACCCTGCGTAAACCGATGCAACTATACTCCTCGCTCGGCAATGGGATGGATGCTGTGGTTGACAGATTAGCCAGGCGCCGTTGGAGGAGCATGAATCGTGGAGTTCACCAGCGGATAAATCATGACTATAAGGGTGGTTCGCGAGTCAAGCGACTTCTCAAGCATTTGCATACGAGGCTTCATTTGGCCCGGGTGGTTGATGCTTTGACTGTGGGCATCATTGATTGATGATACTACTTGCATACTGTATGTATGTCTGGATGCATGCACAGTGGTGCATAAGTTCAAGCGAGGAAGGAAGGAACTATGGAGTCTGGTACTCCGTAAGTTACGGGGTAACTAGTTTAGTTGCTCGACTGGCGACTGTGGGTTCGGCAGTCCAAGGCAGTCGCCTCACGTCAAGCGAAAATCATTTTTTGCAACAGAAATCAATTTGAACAGCTTGGAACAAGCTTATCAGAGGATCGATGTAATTTCTTTTACCCATTCCGATTGCCCACCGCAACATTAGTAGTACGTACTCTCATTCGACGTTCAAGGCATACGACGCCAAGGAACCAGGTCTGCGTTGCGGCATTGGGGGGTCCCAGTCTGTTAGCCCTAGTAGTCCCATGCTGCAGGGTTCCGTCAGTCCCATGAATTGCTCAGCGGGCCAGAGCATGGAGTGGAGACGTGATGAAGTGGTGATGGGTGCTGAAGGCTCGCTGGAGGGTCCATGACGGAAGAGCCTCGAAAATCACCAATCTGAGTCAAATGGCACGGGCAAAGCGTTCCAATCGACGACGCTGTCTGGCCGTGCTCAACAAGAAACATTGGCCTTACGAATATTGATTACCCCGCCGCCGCGTGATAAGGTCCCGGAACAGCTCGGTAGTTCCGCTCGAATTGGCCCGTGTCCAAGTCCGTGGTCTGCGAGTCCATGTCAGCCTCTGTCAGACCTTCGCAACTTGGCGAGGCGTCTGCCGTCAAAACGGCTCATTGGACGGAAGCCCTACATTCCCAAGCTTAATCTTACCGGAGAAGCAGCCATTGAAAGGCGTGCCTACCCACATCCAGCCGTCGCCTAGCTGAGAAATCGGCATCCAGTCCACACGTCCAACGACTCTCACCCGCTTTCGACTACTGTGATCAAGTTGCCAGAAGGCAAAACGTCTTCCCGCCATTCCATCCATTCAATACCGCAGCTGTACTCGCCACCTGTTGTCCGGCGTGGAAGCGGACAGCATCGTCCCTTTGCGCCGCTAGACCTCTCCCCATTTTGTATCGTCTTGCTTGCTGTTCCTGTCTGCGTCTTTCGTCCATGCTGTGTCCTGTGGAGTAGTCGAGCAAGACGAGCTTCCCGCTGGCACCATGGAGCAAGTTCACGGCATCGACGTCAGCTGGATGACCCAGGGGTCGCCAAGAGGTGAGCCTTCGTCTTTTAGCCAACATGGACATGAAATTCGTCTTGCGCAGCCCAAAAACACCCTGAACCTTGACCTAGCTTGCTGACATATCCCAACAGATAGGACGAACAGACCGTCCACCTCGCCCCCAACGACAGCATCGGCTCCAACGCAACCGCGAGCTATTCCCACACCGTCGCAAGATGCTCGCAATCCCCAAGGGACACCGATTGCAAAGGATACACCTCCACAGCAAAATGGACAGCCTACTCCCAGCCCAACAAATTCCACCAGTGCATCAAGACGACTGTCACGATCCGGCTCAATAGAGAATAAACCCGGGCCCAATGGAACTCCTCCTCAGCGACGTAATTCATGGTTTTCAAACATTTCCGCCAAATTCTCTAGCTCTGCTACTACTTCGCCACCGAGCAGTACACCCGCCCACCCCCATTCCCTGCATCATCTTCACCATAAGGAGCCACAACAGAAAACTGAAGACCAAGCGTCACAGTCTCCAGCACCACCCCCGTTGTCCGGCTCACCGCCTCCGGATGACACCCTAGAGCCGATGCCACCAAAACTACATCCAACCAGGAATGCCGTTCTACAACATGCGGCCACGAAACCCGAAGGCAACAGCCCATATACCCCGGCTCCGCCCAAGGCCAGTCAAGCTGGCATTCTGGGCGTCCTTCGACGCTTGTCCTCATCAAGCACCAATAGCATAGTAAATGGGAAACTTGGAAATGGCCTGGTCGAGCGCAAGATTCTGAATATCGATCAAAACCGGGAGAGATGCAGCATTTCGGAGCTGAGGGAGGCTAAGCTTAGACGGGTTTCATTCTGCGTGGATGTTGAGATTGCTCCCATGCCCAAGTATGCTGATGGGGAAGCTCAGGAAACAAAACCGCTGGACAAGGCACAAAAGAAGAAACTCACAGAGCAAGGTGAAGGAGACGCGCTGAAGAACCCTCAGGCAGTGGAAGCCAAGAAGGAAGCCGAGGAGGCCGGTCAACGTACCAGCGGAAACGACAGAACCAATCCCGACACAGAACACCTCAACAACGAAGCTGGTACAAATGATGGCGCTGCCGACGAGAATTCTCTTGCTGAGCCTGGGAAGGAGAAGGAGACAACTAAGAAGAAGGAGAAGAAGAAAAGAAGCGAGGAAGAGCGGAAAGCTAGGAAAGAGAAGCGTCGAAAACTCGCCGAAGACAACGGCTCTGTGCCGATTGAAATTCACTATGACAGCACAGACTCATCATCGGAAGCCCCCAGCGGCAACACAACTCCAAAGTCATCATCTCATCCAACCACAAATCCTGCCAGAATATATCGCCGCTGTTGCCAGTTGCGCGAAACTCCGATTCTTAAGAAGATAACGGAACAACTGATGGACAAGGCCAATTCCAACATCTCTGCTGGCACAGTGAACAAATTGGATTTGACTGACTACTATCTTCAACTTCCAGACCTAATCACACTTGGAGACTATCTCGCGGTGGTTCCAGTCAAAGAGATCCTTTTGGAGAACTGTGGGTTGGGCGATGAGGGCCTCCGTGTGATTCTTGCTGGTCTACTGGCAGCAAAGATGCCTCCAACCTCACGGCGTAAGAAGCCTAAACACGAGATCGAGGCACAAGGCGGAGTTGTTGAGCGGGTTGTCATCAAAAATAATAAGCTTGGCCCCGACGGCTGGAAGCATATTTCTTTGTTCCTATACAAATGCCGATCACTGAAATATCTCGATATTTCGCATATACCCTTTCCAAAACAGGCGCCTGCTGCCAAGAATGGCAACTTGTCAAACGGCATCCACATTCCTCGCTCGATATCAGATGTCTTCTCAAAGGCCATGGCCGATCGACTGGGTGGTTCAACTCTGGAGATGGTGAATATCGGCGAGACGGAACCCAGTATGGAGCAGTTGGGCACAATCATGGACGGCATTATCAAATGCGGGGTTCGACGATTAGGCCTAGCACACAACTCTCTCGATGCGGACGGCATCAGGCATGTGGTAAGATACTTGTCTGGTGGGTTCTGTGAAGGTCTCGACTTGGGCGGAAACGACATTAATGAGCATATCGAGACCCTGGCTGGTTGCTTGGACGAGCATCATCCCATTTGGGCGCTTAGCCTGTCAGGCTGCAATCTGACTCCGTCGAGTCTTGGAAAGATGTTGCCGGTGATTGCCAAGCTGAGGGGCTTTCGATTTATTGACCTTTCACACAACCAAGAATTGTTCCAGACAAAGCCCAGCGCACTTGGCCTCTTGAGAAGGTAAGCTTTCAAGCAACCCCTGACACTGTAAAACTGGAAGATTGGGGGAATGCTAACAAGAATTCTCAGATATCTCCCCAAGCTGGAAGATTTAAAACGAATTCACTTGCAGGACGTAAACATGAGTTCAGAGCAAGCCATCGCCCTAGTTGAGGTATTATCGGAAGCGCACAACCTGGCACATGTCAATTTGTTGGGCAACAATGAGCTGGTGAAGCTTGCAGATGCCAAGACGGAGGAAGCACAGGAAGAAGCTTGCGCCTTGTACGCATCACTCATGGCCGCAGCAAGAATATCGAGCAGCCTGGTGTGTGTCGACATTGAAGTACCCAGTGAAGGATCGGGGGAGATTGTCAAGGCCATGGCGAAGCAGGTAGTAGCGTATTGTCTGCGCAACATGGAAAGAATTCCCGACACGAACATCAGCGCGGTTATAGCCAGCGCCATGTCCGAGTCGCAGTCTGAGCTCCAGGACGGCAAGATACCTGCGTACCCCGACGTTCTTGCCCACCTCGTGGGACACGATGTGCTCGAGCAAGACGGACCGGAAGATGACCATGAAGACACGCCAGACGAGGACTACGTCATAGGAGGGACGGGGGTGGTCAAGGCCTTGGCATGCTGTCTCAAGAACCGGAGCGACGACTCCCACCGACAGTCGGGGGAGTTTGCTGGAGGTGCGGAAGATGGCAGCGACTCTCCAGCTCTGAGTGGCTTGCCGACCAGTGGCAAGGCCAAGGACATGTCGAAACATCTCCTGGCTGGGGCGAGGAAGATTCGACAGCGTCTGCAGCCAGCCTTGCACAAGGCTCGGGCTGAGCCGGGCGACGACGTGAATCTGCGCAAGCTGACGTTCCTGGACGAAACACTGCAAGGCATTATCAAGAGATTTGAAGACGAATTTCCCGACACGCGCGAGGCGCCGCCAAATGCGCCCAACAGCAACGAGCTACGCAAGACGTCTTCGACATCGAGCGAGGAGCCAGCGCACGCCGGACCAACGGGAGACGACTCGGCGGTTGCGGTATCGGACGGGGAGGACGAGGCAGAAATTCACGCGCCCAAGCCACTGTCCAGGTCCAACTCGATGCTATCCAAGGAACTGGCAGAAGAGGAAGGACGGGTGCTCCGTGCTGGGCACCGTTTCCGGTCCGGATTTGTACGCAAGGAACAATTTGACCTCATCAGCACGATTGATGACATTGGATCGGATCCAAAACATTCGCAAATGCTGGTGGAACTTGCGGAAGACATTGGTGGCGAGCTGCTTGAAAAGGTCAAGGAAAAGGGAGCGGTGCGAGCATTCAAGGAGGACAAGGATGTGCTCTTCCGTAGCATGAGAGACAGCGATCCAGAACACTGGGGTCGATTCGTGGAGGCTCAGCAGAAAGCGCGAGCCAATATCACGGTGTCTTCGGAAAAGCACGGCGCAGAAGCACCGCAGCTAGCAGATGAGAGTGCGATTGCGGACTGAGAACCGCGGTGTTTTCTCTTTTCTTTTCGGCTAATCAGAACTCAAACTGCAGCATACTCGACATGACGAGGGCCAAATATCGTTCACTACTTAAATGATGTTTGAACAAGATACACGATCCATTCAGCGTGTGGAAAATAGACTGATGGAAATCAGTTGCATGTTTTTCGCAGAGCAGCATGAGCAGAGGGCAGTTGCTGCTATGGATCCTTTGCATTACATGGCGCAACTAGGCTGCTGCCGAGCTTTTTTTGGGTATTTATATGCGTGGTATTAATCTTTCTGGGGAAGGGAGGGCTTCATTTTCGATTGCAAGCGAGGCGTGTGGTAACACTTGAGTGCTGGGGACCTGTTTGTGTGTCTCTTTTTTTTTCTCCTTTCATTCATTTTTATATGCATGTCTACTCGAATGAAACAAGCTGTATGTCCCGGTTTAGCGAGTAGTGTATATACTTGAGGCAGTATTGTATCAGCAAGGAGCGGTGTTTGAGTGCAGGCTCAAGTTTCAACAGAGCTATTGGTGACTATGGAGGTGAGGCGTAGCAGGCTTACACCGTGACGAGCGGGAAGCGGAGCCAGACGCGAGTTGAGCAGGAAACGCCATGCGAGGTCAAGATGCAAGTGTCGCGCAGGTGCACGGCCTGCGGCGGGGCCGGACCTCGAGGCAGGTCAGCAGGATTACAGCCACGGCCATTGGTCAGGCTGATGCGTGCGCAGAGTCAGTAGTATTGTGTAACTAGTACTCGTGTTTGCGCAATGGGGGTTGGCACCAGGCGCCGTGGTTTCGCAGCGTCTGGTGGTTGACTCGGCAGCCAAAGGCGGCATGGGCACCCGATGCCACCAGACGGATGACATCAACTTGTCCCCCTCTCTCTCCTCCCTGAGGGGCCCCGCCGGTTCAGGCCAGCTGGGCGTGAATTGCGACATCTGGGAACAAAGGGCCAGGGCAAGGCAGGTGGTGCCACTCTTCCACCCCGCCGTCCGCAGCACCCTCTCAGTCAGGCCACCCGCCTGCAGCTAGCGAGACGTTCGATGTGGTCTATTTGTCCGTCCTTAGTCGTGGCTTTGTAACAAACAGCTGAGTAGGTGCTCCGTACCGGCACGCGCTGCCAAAGCGGGATGCGGCAGGCACGCAACCCCCCCTCGAGGAAAGGGTACAAAAGGGTCGCCGCGCCTGCCGTCTCGCCGCGACCAACCCCCGATGAAACTTGACCCATTGACGGAAAAGCAAACTCGACTGTTCTTTGTCCAAAACAAAACAAAAAAAGAGCGTGCCACCCTTCCCCTTTTTTTGATTAAAAGGGCCAGCTGCTCAAGTTGGTCTCTGGGGGTTTCAAAAGGCGCCCACTCTACGTTGGTCTTGTCCAACATCAGCCCACCGGCCGGGTGGATGCCCACTGCCCATCATCGAACGACACTTGCGTACTCGTACCTTGCGCGTGTGGTGTGTTTGCGTGCGCCGGGTCTGCTCGAACAAAAAGCGCCAGGCACGCCGTTTCCAAAACCTCTCTTCTTTTCAGAGATATCCTCACGTTTTTTATACAATTTTACCAATCTTCCGTCTGCCCTCGTTGCGCGGACGACGAATAAGCCTTGTTTAAACACCCTTTTTGGGCCGAGTCCACAAGCAAGTACACACACACACACACACACACTACACACGAGCCATGTCGCCCACGTACACCATGTCGGCACACCTGTGCAAGCAATTCTACGCTTCGTGGAGGCAGACGCGCCCCGCTGCGACGACTGCCCCCGGCGCCAGCAGCCCGCAGGACCTGGCGCTGCTGCGGACCAGGTCGAGGTCGAGGTCGCCGCTCGCAGAGGGCAAGCGGTCCATGGACAGCGACCGCTCCGACGCCTCGACGCGGAGGGACTCGTCGGCGAGTGCCCGGTAGAGACGGGGACTAATATGTTTTTTTTTCTTACACACGACCGGCGTTGGGGATGGGGTTTCTTTTGGACCAGGCATGCTATGTATTGAGATTGATGGCCTATCTGTTGAAATCTGGTCTGGGGTTTTGATGGGTTTTCGGACGCGTACCCATGTTGGATTTGGATTCTTGTTGCATTGCAGGCAATGGTTTTGTTTTATATTATATACTCGGGACCAGATGTGCCGATTCAAGATGGGTTTTTTTCTACCAGCTAAATTGAATCATTATTCGCAGCACGTCGTTGCATGCCCACCCCACAGCGGCGTCGTCTTGTCTTGCCCACGTCTGGACCGAGTCTTGCTCTATGCAAAGTGCTTGTCCGTGAGACAGATCAAGGGACATGCCGTACGACCCTGGCTGTCGAGGACTGACTCGACACCGGCTTCATCATGCACGCTTACGCCTGTTCATCCATCGGCAAGCAGTGTCAGAAATGCCATTGCTCAACATGCTGTACATTAGACCTCCGACCGCTAAACCCCCTCGAGTCGCTACATGGACCAAAATTTTCTCCTGCTTCCTACCGCTTGATCGCTCCATATAACCTAACCGAAATAATCATGACCTCGTTGCAGAGCGTCACGTAACACGTTAAGGTGTTTGCTATTACTCCGCCCGGCCCCTCCCCAAAATCTCGTCATGTTGAAGAATATACCGTCATCTTTCACCTACATGGCCGACGCCGCCATTGTGTTCATGGTTGGCACATAAGATATTCGACGCTTGGGGACATCGTCGTCGCCACTATCGCTGGGAGACTGCTCCATGGCAAAGTTGCCCTGGATGCGGCGCTTGGCCTCTTTCTTCTCTGCCTCGGTGATTTCATCCTCGCTCTTGCGCATATCCGGTGTGTGTAGGGGCACATCTGGTGAGTGCCCAATCGACATGCCCACCCGGATCTGGCGTCCTTTGTCAGCCTCCAAATAGTCCATTTTCGACGCAAGAGTCACACGAGCAAACTTACCAAAGTCTCCAGCGCTGTGCTTGAGTTGTCTGCCAAGTCATCGTCAAACACCATCCTGCCAGGCTCGAACAGTAGCAACACCGTGCTGCCACCAAATTTAAAATACCCAAGCTCCTCGGCCCTCTTTACCTCATCGCCGGCGTTTCGCGTAATGACTGTGCTGCCGACCATCATTGCGCCCACACAAATCACCATGACTCTTCCGTGAGCCACACTGTCAATCGGTACAATGATGCGCACGTTTTCACCGTAGACGTCGAGCGCCGACCGGATGGCCATCGGGTTCACTGTGTAGTATTCACCAGAAATGGTGATTGGCTTGCCCATGATGCCATCAACGGGGATGTGGAATCGATGGTAGTCCTGTGGTGCTAACCGGAAGATGCCCAACGCGCCATTCTCATAGCGAGCGGCGTCATTTGGATAAGCATCCCCTAGCAGCCTCTTGATGCTGAATTCTCTCCCCTTGACCCAGATCTTGGTTGCCTGCGTCATCTGGTTGAAGACCACGCTTCGGCAGTCAGCTGGCGACACAATGATGCCAGGGTTATTGGGTGCCGAGCAGGGTCGAGCGTTGGGCTTCAGTGCTCGGTAGAAGAATTCGTTAAAGTTCTTAAACTCTTCGATCGGCAAGAGAACTTCTGACATGTCCAGACCGTGAAACTCGATAAATTTTTCGATTTCCTCCCTAGACGCAGGGTCATCAAACTTTCGTCCCTGCTTTATGCTCAGGTTTTTCAACAGTTTTCGGACTATGAGATGTCAGTTTCTAACAACGTTCTGCGTCTAGATAAGATGGCGATTTTTTTTTGTGTCTTTTGCTAGTCAGTACTCACTTCGTTTGTTCTCCATATCACGCGACTTCAGGCCCTTGTACAGCAGCCGGATACCCAGTCTGACGTAGACACTCATCTTCTCTTCATTGATCTGGCCAGTCATGCGATCTTGCACCAGAATGTTGGCCGAGTTGGCACCCAGCTTGTAACCTCCATAGGAGATCTTGGTAATGACCTTGGAGTACCATTTGCGCTGTGCCTGGCTGGCCGTCACAAAGCCACCCATCAACACTGTGTTCACTTGTCTCCAGTCCTGGCTCGCGCAAGTAGCAATGTGGGTAATGATGTCTGTATCACTACGCTTGTTGAGTCGCGGCTGGTGACAGATGGGGCATTCGCGAATTTCTACGACATGTTCCTCGTCTCTGTCGCCAAACTCGTCACTCTCCTCTCCTCCGGAGCCCTTGGGGTCAATGGGGGTCTCTGGCTCAACAACGATCTGGGGAGTGGAAGTACCTGACACGTTGGCAGAGCTTAGATCCCCAGTGATGTCTGGCTTGTTATGAATTCCAAGTTGCTTCAAGTCCGGAACCAGGCTCTTGACCTTGTCTGCAACTGTCGTAGGCTTGCTCTTGGCCTCGAGTTGGTCCTCCAGGCAAATCACTGCCTCATCCATGGTCAGATCCCACGTCTCTTCGTTGTCAGCAGCTTTGTGGGGGAATCGTTGGAAAAAGCTGTCGATTGTAGACTCCTTCAGAGTAGATCCCAGCGTGTCCAGCATGGTAGTGAGTTCAACGCGGCTTATCTCACCACTTTCGTCAGTATCGTACTGGCGAAGCATGGCCCGCCAGAATTGCTGGCGCAGAGCTGGGTACGGCATGTACTTGGCTTTGAGGTAAATCTGAGGGCTGTGTTTGCTCTCCCATTTATCCAAATTCTTCATCTTCAGGGGGACCACATAGTCATGGAAATCGGCACCCTCACCTTCAGCAACAGTGTCTGACGGCTCAGCCGGGTTAGCAGGTGCATCAGAGACTGGCGAGAGGGTCATGGCGGATGGCGTCTGACTTGTCTCAACACTGGTGCTTTGTGACAAAGTGTTGGTGTTGGGTGGGCTTTTCGACACCTGCGTACGCATCAATTTGCCCAAGCTTTGTGTGGATGATGACCGAGACATGCCCAGCTTCTTGAAGCGGGATCTAGTTGCTGAGGGAGTGTGTCCATCCGGCTCCCGTAGTTCGTAGAGTCCAGTTTCTGGGTTGGCCTGTGGTGCCCTCTCGATCAGCTGCGGTACCGGCAGATTACAAGACGCGATAAAGTCGTTTCCAGAATATTTGTCGTGGTCGATGACAGTGAAAGAAAAAGAATACGTCTGCTCGTGGCCCTGCACATGGAAAATCATTTTTTCATTGTAGACTGGGTTTAAGTTGTGCCTGACACGGCGTGTACGGTATGTCTTCTTGCCTAGGGACGCAACTACAAACGGGTCCATGTCAAAGCTTGTTCGCGTGAGGTTAGACTCGGGGGGCAGGTCGGTGATTTTGACAATCTCGAGGAAGATGATGCCTACAACATCAGAACCACCATTGTTAAAGGCGTAAGGATTGTCTCTTCTTCGCTTCCTCAGGCCCCTGATCCTAAGTCTACGGCGCCTCTTTTCGGCCGTCTCCGGCTTGGATGGGTCATCGCCTTCTTCATCATCGAATTCGGTCAGGTCATCCTCGTCCTCCTCGTCGCCAGGTTCTTCCTGGCCAGGCATAGATGTCGCGCCTTGGTTTGCTTCGGGAGTCAAGTGTGGTTTGGGCGACGGCATAGATGCAGAAATGGAGCGAACAAGAGCGGAAAACTTGTCCAGAATCTCTCTGGGGGAGGCACCCGGGTTGGTCGTGTCAAGGAGGGTAAATTGCAGCAGGACCTCGCCAGAGACAACACTGGTCTTCTTTCCAGGTCTTTTGCTCTTTAGGGGAAACCAGCGTGGTTCGGCCTCGGTCCGTTCATTTTGGAAAATCTCCTCGAGAGCTATGTCAAACTCGCCCATGTAATCCTTGCCAAAACGATCCTTGTCCCAACAGATGACATCGAGGAGGAGATTCTGAGCTGAATTGACAGGAAGTTCTTCGATTACATTCCAGTCGGGATTGAGGGTTTTCGAGACTGAATGGGTGACAACCCTACTATCACCCGAGGTGATGACAAGATACTGCGCCGCTTGTTAGCATCTTGCTTGGGTGACACGTACTGAACGCCTCCAGCATATGTGAGCGTATCACAACAAAGGCATTCACAGGTTAGACGTACTGGGTCGGAAGTGCCTCCACGATCTTTTGCGGCCAAGTTTCTAGCCTAGACAGCAACGTTAGCAAATTGATAAGCCATGCCATAAGAGGCAGGGACTCCTCGGCGTAAAGTAGGAGGAAAGCAGAGAAGAAAAGACAGAGAGCGTGCGCACCTTCAGAATGACCAGCTTCAAGGCCAGACCGCCGGCTGCCTCCCCTCCTGGGCCCCCCGCATTGTCAGTCTTGTCAGTCTTGGACCGCATTGTACCTGTCGACTGGCTGGTGACAGAATTAATACTCGAGGACGAAAGTAAACGGGTGGGCTTTATTCTCATGACGAGAAAAGCGAGCCAGAGGAGACTTGGTCTGCAGAGAGCAAGACGCAAGATGACCAAAAGCTCGCCGCGACGGGGAGAAGCTCAAGAGGTCAAGAGGTCCTTTATTAAGCTCGGGGCAGGTTGCAGGTTGCTTGGGGGGCTGTTGCTGTGTCTGGAGACGCCACTTATCCGGCTTGCACGGTGCCTCGGTCGGCTCTGCGCACTGTATGTCACGCTGTCTCGCCGCGTTTGGCCAAAGCGGGAGACAAGAGCAATTTACCAGACATGTTGGAATACGCAAGACTTGAATAGTATTACTAGTTGATCGTCCATCTGCAGCCGAGACGCCCGGAGCTTGGGGAATAGTCTGGAGAATCGGGTTCAACGCCGTCATGGCGCCAAAACGGCATGCACAGCCGCTGCCGACTCCATAGTAAGTACTTAAGTTTTGGCCTCTCTGCGGAGGACCTGTTGTCACCCGCTGCTGCCTGTCTGTAGGTGCCTGCGACGAAAAGATGCCAGACCGAGATGCAACAGACTGCCTTTCGGCGGGTGGGCTTGAAACAACAAGGAAATCCGTCTTGTTGCTGGCGTGCCGCGTCCAGGACGTCGGGTTGAATCGTCAAAATACCACGCTCCAACCGTCCCCGCCGTGGCGTGCTAACGACGACGGGTGCAGAAGCGCTGTTTGTCCACTGCTGGCAAAACTTGGGCGTGGTGACGTACATAGCTGCGTACATCAGTGCATAAAATGGATGTGACCTGCGCGACGTAGGGTAGGGCTGAAGACATACGGCCTGCGTCATTCCAATAGTACTCCAAAAGTTCTTTGCTGTCTATTTATTTCATTTTCTTCGTTTCATCAGTGTCGTTCTCATGCCTGCGTGGACGTGTCGCTGCTCTACAAGGCACTCAATGCCGCGCATTGAGACATTTGGCGTTGTGATAGGTCATCAAAAACCACGCACAAGCCGCCCATGCTCTCGGACGACACATGAGAGTGTCATTGCAGGCCGACATTTCCCCAACCTTTGCATACCGAAGCACAAGAATGGGTACCTACCTAGGAAGGTGGCAGGGTGGGGAGTCCTGCGCAGTTGGCAATGACCTAAAAAATAAGATAAAATAACTTGACCATTCCGAGATAATACTAATGGGGGTGTTTGTTGTGGGTTTATCGTGGCACAGCGATGGCTGAGTCCCTGAAATGAGGGATATGCTGCGTAGCATTTTTCGTCAGAGCCGTGGGCCAAGAATCCAAGACATGGACAGCCACAGTGTTGGACACAGCTCATCACACCGTCTGTCATGGCGCCGGAGTTGGACGCCTGCGATACAGATGAAAGAATGACGGACGGATAAAGACGACAATCCGGCCGAGGCAAAGTGAGTGGGTTTGCTTTACAGAGACCTGTATACGAGAGTGGCTAGCTTTTAGATACGAACAGATGGCAGCATCCTTTTGCTCGTCAAGGGCTGAGATGCAGTGGATGGATCGGACACGGGGCGGACGGAGTTAGGAAAGGTAATCTGACACCAAGTTGATGTGATGTGACTGATGCTGTTCAACCATTCCAGCAGCCGCGAACGAGTCTCATTAAACCCAGGAGATCCCCTTGGCCTTGGTGCCGTATGAGATGGTAGAACGTGTCAAAAACTGCTCTTGTACTCCGTGTGTGCAGTTCTGGCCGGGTACGGAGAGTCGGTACAGGTTCGTTCCATGTCTGTACCAAAGCAGGTTCACGATTCCTCTGTGTGTCAGCAGGGAATTCGACTGCATAGAAACTCCAGAGGGGGCAGGCATGAATCTGACAGTGGCATCCAAGCTCCGTTGATCCCAATGTGTCCCCTTAATGTCATCTTGGAAGGTGTCATCAGTGGCCACGGTTCATAAAACCGCTCACCCCAACATTTGTAGGCTGACACGAACGAGGCTGCGGTATGGCGGAGTTCGACTCTCGGTTGACAAGAGGTTTGGCCCTCGTAATGCGTACTCCGCGCTGGGGTAGCTGTGGTTCCCAAAATACCTGGTTCCCCCTTTTTGTGTAGCTGCATGTGTGCCAGTACATGAATTGACCTACAATCACTTTGCTCCGCACGGAAGTTCAGCACATGGGAGATCAATTTGCGAGTAGTTGGTGGTCATGGCATCGGAAATCACAGATAGCCGCTGTCTACGAAGGAGAGCAATTGGCAAATCTGGTACGTTGGGCGAAACCACGTCGAGTTTCCAATGGCTGCTGCGAGAGCGCAGCGCACCCCTGCTACTCCCATTGGACCGAATGCGGCTAGAACACGCTGCAAGACATCTCGATGGCGCTTGAAAGACGCGCGACGCGATAAATTTGGGCCTTTCTCGTGTTGGGCCACCGCGTCCCAGGGGGAAAGGGGCATGTCGGTCACGTGATGCTAGGTTCTAAAGTTGAATGTGAATGGACAAAGGGGAAATCAAGGCGGTTCTGCAGGGGGCGAATCCATTGATAAAAGGAAAACTAGTGACGGCTTTGGCCGAGGGCAATTGGTGGCAGAAAAAAAAAGGAGTCTGCAATTCCAAGTGAATTCCCCATGTTCCCTTGTGCTCCGGGAGTTTTATTGCAGGGATCCCAGAATCGTGCTGGCATTGAGGGAGTCGGGTCATGTTTGTTGGCTGACAGGTCAATGAAAGCTCATTTCTCTCCACCTTTTGGACAGGCTCCGCGAGACTCAAGCCTCGTTTAGCTCATTAATTTGGATCTCTGGATGCCTCCGGAGGCAGCCGGGGCGTCTCTGTGTGGGCTTTTGGCATGGGACGGGCTGCCCTGGGCTCGTGATCGCGCGCCACTGTCAATGTGCTTCCCGCTATTCCCTGTCATAAGCTCTGGTCTCTCTGATCTTCTAATCTTCCGTCCACCTGCCTGCATTTGCCCATCTGCTCCTCCGTGTCCTGCACCAGCTCCTGAAGCGTCCCCGTCTTTTCTACCTACTCGGCTCGACTAGCTCCAGTCTGGCCTCTTTTCTGCCCTCATCTTCCGTGTGCTACCAATCTTTGCATCCTGACAAGCTCCTTCGTCGCGCTATCCGCACCACAGCTGCGAACCTGGACCTTTCCACCCCCCAATGTCACAACCTCTACCCTGGGTCCAAGACCAATCGCTTCTACCACATCCGCCTCGTGCCCGGCATCTATAATTTGAGCTGAGTATTTGCTTCCTTCGAATGACGCTGCTCTGGTCACGCGAACACTTGCCGTAAACGAACGACGCCAGATTGCCACACACAATCCGACACCGTGCTCACAATGTCGTCACCATCCGCCTCACCACAAGGAAGCAAGCGCAAGAGGAACGCCGCCTCCCTCTCCAACGGTGCTCCCGACAGTGTGTTGCAGCCTTCATCCCGAGACGCTTCTGCCGAAGAAGGCGATACTACTGCGCCTGAATCTGGTCGACATCATCATCGCAACGGCACCACGGGCCCGAATCCTAAGAGACTGCGAAGCAACTCGGGCCGCTCTGCCGATGTCGCTCCTCAAAATGTTATCGACCCTGGCGAGCCCAGCGACACCACAGAGGCCAGCATTGATATTGCCGAGCGAGTTGGTCGCAGGGCACGCAGGCCTTCTGCCAACGGCAACGATGAGACCATGGCGCCGCCGCCAGTTGGACAGCTGATCCATCCTGCTGGTGGTTTCAAGACCAACCCTCCTCCCGTCGGCCGATCCGTACGAGTCTACGCCGATGGTGTTTTTGACTTGTTCCACCTTGGGTAAGTTGTTTATTCCACGCAAAGCTTGGCTTTGAATGCGCAGCCGTCCGGTCTGTGCTGCTGCGTGGCCGGCAATGGAACAACTAGGCTAACGAGAGGCTTGGCAGGCACATGCGACAGCTTGAGCAGGCCAAAAAGGCCTTCCCCAACACCACTCTTGTTGTCGGTGTTACCGGTGACGACGAGACGCACAAGCGCAAGGGCTTGACCGTCATGTCGGCCAAGGAACGGGCTGAATCTGTGCGACACTGCAAGTGGGTGGACGAGGTCATTGAGGACTGTCCATGGATCGTCACCGCCGAGTTCCTCCAGGCCAACCACCTCGACTATGTTGCGCACGACGATCTCCCATATGGCGCTGATGAAGGCGACGATATTTACCAGCCGATCAAGGCAGCCGGCATGTTCCTCGTCACCCAGCGAACTGAAGGAGTGAGCACAACCGGAATCATCACTAGGTGAGCAGCGTATTTGCGTTCCTCGGGCAGAGCAACCCCGAATGGTGTACTGACTTGATAATTGAAGAATCGTCCGGGACTACGAAAAATACATTAGTCGACAGTTCAAGCGTGGTACTTCACGACAAGAGCTCAACGTCAGCTGGCTCAAGAAGAATGAGCTGGATATCAAGCGTCACGTCCAAGATCTTCGCGACAACATCATTACAAACTGGACAAGCACAGGCCAGGAGCTCAGCCGAGAACTCAAGCAGTTCTGGCCATCTAGCCGGCCCCACAGCCCTGCTCGCTTCAACTCAGCCAACAGCGATGGTCTTCGATCTCCCACTACCCCTGGATCTAACCCTAACAACTCCAAGGAATTTGTGACTGGCTACGCGCTTGGTCTGGTCGGCGGAGTCCGCTCCTGGGTAGGTTCTCCTATTCTTGAAACGTGCCTGCCATCAGACATCATACTCACATTTACATAGATGACCAAGAACAGACGAACAGTCGCCAGCCGTCCCGTCTCTGACGACGAGTCCGAGGAGTCTGATGAGGCTGCCAAGTCTCCCGTGTCCACAAAGGCTCCCTCTCTGCCTGCTCCAACCCAGGCGTAAACTTGACCAATCTCGGACCTACTGCATTCTTTTTTTTTTTTTTTCAAGAATTCTTTCTTCTTGTGATAGAAGACGAACAAAAGTCATTCGTTGGCTGCATTGGCAACACTTGCTTCCCTTTATTCTCTGACAAGGTCTTTTTTGTACGACTGGAGACGAGCATTTAACTACACTTAATTATGTTGAAAGGTGCAGAGTATGGATTTGGACAACATTTGCAGGGATCCTCTGGAGTCCTCTTTTTTCTCTTTTTTTTTTTTAGAAGAAACATCGGCAACACGGCGCTTTCCGGCTGTTTTTGTTTTTCAACTATAGTTCATATCCTCATATATTCGTTGGGGTGGTTCGCGTCACCGCTGTAGCGCCTCTTCAGGCCCCCCTTTTCTGGTTTTGTATTGGTGCAGTTGTAGTTGTTATGCGATGACGGCTGTTGAGAATATACTGACTGTGACGAATTCGGTTCCTGTGTATTGTGACATGTGTGGACCGAAGCGACGGCTAGTTGCGTGGTTTGTCTCGTGACGATGAGGTGAGTATTTGACAGCTTTGTTGGTCAAGTGCTATGATGAGTAGATTTCTGAGTCGAGGAATTGCAAAGTAGCTTACGGCGCATCATTGTGCGGCTGACAGGATCCATGCTTACGAAGAGGTCTGGGATAGATGTGATGAAGGTTTTGGAATCTGTTTCGAGAAGCGTGTGCGAGCTATTAGTAATGTTCATGTTACCGGACGGCTTTGGGAGGAACGGTCACGGTGGAGGATGATGGTAAGCATTTGGGATATTTGCCGCGATGCTGGTGAAGAAGTCAAATGCCTTTTGCAGGCCGAATGAACTGCTGAATTGTGTTTCTTCGACATTTCCAGGGAGGTGGGAATAGGCTATTTGGTCGGGGATATAACCACGATGACTTCCTTGGGAGACATGTTGCTCGTAGTTCTCTGCCTACAGCAGCAACGTAAACCTGTCTGATTTAGTTGCGCATGTCGAGACTCGTGCAACAGATTCATTGTATTATTTGGTAAAATGCACGACTTTGTCTCGCTGGGCCTCAGCTGGCCGAAAAAATCGGGATTTCGTTTTCCAGCACTTACACGCCCCCTGCCCTTTTCTTGCCATCTGCTCGTTTCACGAAGCTACGGGAAGTATAGAGAAAATGCCCTTTCCATTTGCCGTCCTTGATATCTGAGCAGCCTGGTGTGAAAGAAGCCTGATCGAATGCCGAAGACACGCACAGCCTCGCTGCAAGAGTCTTGCAAATAGTTTTCACCCTGTCATTTCACGTCCTGTAGGTACGCGGAAACTTGACGTCCAACACCACAAAGCCACGGATCAGCGGTACGATTCGTCACGCAAGTTGCTTGCTAGAGGACTCCCAGAGGAGCCTCATAAATGGCGTCTAACCCGTCTAGCCTAGAATGCGGCCTTGATGCAATTCACGTTCCTGTAATTTTACGGCCTCGATTGGGGAGTCTGCGCTCCTTTTATACCGATTTGCCATGGTGAGCGTGTCTGGAGACGACTGGAGCTCATCATGGCATGAAACAACCGCGCCTCGGTCTGAAGGAAGAGAGAATATGTAAAAATGTCGCCTTTGCTGTGGCCGAGTGGTGATTGAGTTTCATGTTTTGCGAGGCTGGATTTTGGCCACGCAGGGCCGTTCACGCCACAGTGGGATCTGGCCCCCAAGAGACCAAAGCCACGGACCGTTATGGCTGAATAGACGGTTCACGCCAGAGACAAGGGCCATGCTCGGCATCTTATTTTTCAGGCAAGCAGGGCCTGTGGGCGGTCGCACAGGGTGTCTTGGACAGATAATGGGGAAGGCCCGGGAGACGACCTGCTCCCGCAAATTAAACGTCGTTTGGGGGCTATCTGTGATGCTCGGGTTCTGATGACGAATGCACGGCTCGGGATGGTGGTGCCCAGGCCTGTCGGCTTGCCGGGTGGATGGGTGCTGGACGATGGGAAAGATTGTATGCGGAAACACTTGGATGCGATGGTCAGATGGTTGGTTTGCAAATTTAGAGTTCTGTCTCGGTGGTGGTGCTTAGAGCTGGTGAGAGACTAAGCAGCCAACCGAAGGGGAACGTCACGAATGGAAAGGCCAAACTCGGGCTCGAGGCTGAGGCACAGCTTACCGTAGAATATGATGATACACGAGGTCTTCCTCTGGGTCGCCTACCCTGTATTCATCACACTTGTCTGCAGGAACAGTAATGCTGTCCTGCCAGCTCTTGATTCTTCTTGTCTGGTGTAACCGTGTAACTGTTCTGGAAACGGAGACAATGGCAGTAGTATGTACGTACTCGGTACATATGCAGCCATGTGCTTGCCCCTCAGCCCTCAGCCTCTCGGAGGCTATGCCTGAGAATGGATGGCACAGCTGAAACTCAGCTCGTTCGCTTATTAGGTGGTGTGGTGACTTGGGATGTTGGAGATCCCGGACCAAGGTTGCCTTGGCAGCCCGTTATGGCCGGGTTTGTCGTGTATTAGGATAGTTTTCTTTTCTTTCTGTTCCTTCTTCGTTTATGCGCAAATATCGAGTCCTTATCGCAACACTGCGTTATGTTGTCATTCCGGCAGGCAGGCGGCGAACCAAATCTTAGGCCGGATTGATGCAGGCTAAAAATAGCCCAGCGACAGAAATGCATTCTGCTGCCCTCACACGAGTCTGTGCATCGGGCTGATGAGTCTCACTCTCAGACATGCCCATGTCCAACATGATGTAGTTGCATGTACACACTCTCGTGTCAGCGTGACATGTCATGGCATTATGGTAGCATGGCGATGCACCCTCGTTGGATCTCACACACAGTCTCATTGGCAATCCAGAGAGTCGGGAAGGAGCGCCAGAGGCTCCCACTTGCCGTGATACGCGCGCAGAGGTCAACAGGTGGTCGGCTGGACCTGGCGAGGCGCAAATAACGTCTGGTCTGGTCTCCCCCGCTTATTGGTGGCGGTGCTTGGACTCCAGATGTCCTTTCTCTCCAACAACAACAGAACTCTGGTCAATGCCACTTGTTGCAGATGATGGCGCATCTTGCCTGCTGTTGGTTGTTGACTTTTTGCTTCTTTTCCTACCTTCCACCATGAATGTCTCCCAGTTGGCCGAAGTGGATGACCGTCCCCCGCTGGAGCCACACTTGGGTTTCGAGCTTCAATCGGGCCTGGCTTGAATTGCCCACCCAAGTTACCCCCTTCGACGGCTTCGGTCATGATACTGGTGGAATAGGCGCCGCTCAACGTGGCAACCCTGACGGACAGCCCTGACCTGGGTCGCGAGGTGTCAGTACTCCGTAATGCTCGGGCTTCCCAGGCCGCCAGGGCTGATGCACATGCCTGACACACAGGAGCGTTGCCACCATGGCCGGCTCGATGGCCCCCATTGTTGCATGGTGTCTGGTACCTGGCTTGCTGGTCTCGACTAGGTGCTTCCCGTCATTCCGACCTCCTCTCCAACGAAATTCAATCATATGGGGAAAGAGCCAGACCTGACGGCTAAACCCTTGCGGGCACTTCCTGAATCGTCCATTTGAAGCGACCACACGCGATAGGTCATCTCGCAAACACAGATACTGGCCCACCATGTACAGTGGGTGTACGTATTCCGATCGAGCAGCTGAAGCAAGTTGAGTTTGACGGTCCAACACTTGTTCTTCAAGAGGCCACGAACTCGCAGCCCAGGCATTGGCAGACAAGCTTGTACGTATGTTTGTACGTTTGTACGTATGCAACCAAGTACTACCAACACAGAACCCAACAGGTATACACCATGCATATGTATTAGTACTCCATCTTGTTCACACAACACGTACGTACAACCAACAAGCGAGAATTCTCCGATGCCCTTGTTAATTCCATGACGCCAAACGGACAAAAGTATGTCCACTGTACCACCACACCCCTATCTTGAAGCTCAGCACCTCAGCTTCCTTCTGGCGTTGGCTAGTGACATGGCTTGCCGCATGGGTCAGCGGCCATGGCATTCTCCAAGGCGGTGGTGCAAATGACATGCTCGTCACAACCCCCCTTGGGGCGCGGGACCGATTTCGTCCACCACCGGGGAAAACTGGGAAGTCATGTTTCAAATCTTGCACACTTTCCGCTAATCTACGTGAGGGGCAAGACAAGAGGATTCCGCGAGGCTCGGTCAACATTCAGCGAGAACCGGAGAGCGACAGGGCGATGGAGAGGCACAGAGATGCAGCGTCGGAGCGTGAGAGAGACTGCACTGCTGTTGTTCACCACAACGTGGGCGATCCTCATGTCTGTTGATGGGTCAGCGAGTCTCAACCCTGGTCTCATTACGGAGCAGATGGTTACGAACTACGCAAAGCGACCGGCCAAGCCAATAGCTGCCCCGAACTTGGCTTGGTTCACGGGACCAACAATGGCAATAGTGCTAACACTAACTCGTTCCAACTGCATTTCTCGAAGTCACCAACATGGACAATGCCGGCAGCATCCCACAATTCATGCTAAACCTGGTCTACAATACGGAGCCCTTCCTTCTGCAAAATATCTTACCATCAAGGACACATCCCCCGCGACTCAAACTGGCTCTTTAGGGAAGAGAGGGCGGTCCCCTTGTCATCTCTGCCAATGACGGGCCTGAGCAGCACCGTCATCACAAGTTTTTATTGGTGCATAATCTCACCCTCACGACCCAAGTTGGACGGACGAAAATACAGCTTCGTTCGTCTGATTCGGCTGTCGATCTTCTGACTTGCATTTGCCAGGCTGATGCACTACTCCCCGTTTAGAAGGACAGGACAATCAATTTCTTTTCTTCTCAGATCTTGTATTCCTGCAAAAGTAGAGGCGCGGCACCATGAGGGGGAGGGCCTTGTGCGAGAAACCGAGCATGCGGGCGTCCGGCCAACTTCCCCATGATTTACACGGAAGATTTAGGCCGGCATGGGCAAGGGCTCTCCCAATTTTTTTCCTTCTTTCCGTCGGCTTCCCGCGCCAATTCCCACTACCTTTGATCCCGGCTTTCGCCCATGCCATTGCAGCAGGGGTCATGGAGATCATTTTGTAACCGGCATGGCCTGTCACATCTTGACGTCCTATCATCCACTATTGCGTATTCCGTTCTCAGGTCCAGAATCACGAGTTAGGGTTACAATTCCAACATCAGCATCAGCCTTTTATGTTTCCGAAAATGCCGTGCACCCTTGGCCGCCGACACCCAGCTGCGTCCACCATCCAACAAGCTCACCTGCTTCTATGTTAGCCCTCAGCTTACATATGTACATACATAATCTGAGGCAACGGTCATCCGTCTTGGATACCGCAACAGACAGGGCACGGATCAATGGTTGTGCGTCCATAATACTACACCCAAACACCTCTCTCTGAGGTCCTGTTGGTTGATGAGTACGCTGGGCTCCTTCCGCCACCGTCGCACCCATCCAAACACCATCATTCAGCCCTTCCATCAACTCTTGTCCAGCCCGGTGTCCCGCTGATCCAAGCGGCTGCCAACCCTCACAGCCACCGACGCCATGCCTTGGATTCGGCCCTCCATCCTGCTCATACTTGAGCTCCAGCAGGCTTTCAGCGCGCTGCTATGCTCCACTGAGCTTGGTCACACTTGTTGACGCCATACCCGCCACGACCGCGGAACGCCACGCATGGTGCCCGCAGGCCCTGCACTTTGGTGGTTAGTCTCCAGTCGCTGTGTACATACAGTACATCTCCCGAGCCTTTGAAGAGTCTGGTCCTATCAATGGCTAACTAGCTAGCTTAGGTAGCCAGTAGATATGAGCATTTTCCAGTAGGGTACAATAGAGTATTCTGTCACCAACCCGCCGCGGCGGGGTGTGGATGACTACCTAGGTACCTGGGTATCTGGGCTAGTAGCACTTGGTGCTTCTGCAGAAGAGTTCCAATGATGTGTTGGTAACGCTCACACTGCAGATTGTAGTGCTGGACATACACCGTACCAACAGTAGTAAGGGCGCCGAAGTATGTATGAGCGTGTGTACATCGAGCCAGCTCCAACCACGAGCAGTTGGCTCGATCAGCACGAGGCTGGACTAGATCCTGGTCCCCTATTCCTTCTGCACCCCCTACTTAAGTACCTTACCTGGCTCCATGAGTCGCAGGTAGCTCGTTTCCGCCGTGTTGGTTCACCTCCACTGAGGCTGCTCTTACATCTTACGCTGTCAGCTTCGACAAGGGTCACCCAAGAACTCGAGAGCGGCGGTCTGCTTTCTTTTCCCCAGTTGTCAGCATCCATAACCCGCTTTACACCATATTTGTCGCAGACCGCGATTTGTTCCCTTCTCGGGCGGCGTGGGCCATGTACATTGTAATCGTTCCTGCAGGCCTCGCTCAGCTGCCAGGCTTGTTGGTCGCCATGGCGCTGGGATCATGGGTCATGTTCCGTCTCCTTCTTCGCAATGAGTTGCCCGGTCTCAACCTCTTTTTTAAATTCTGCCTGCTCACCTGTGATCGAGTAATCATGACCTTCTCGTCCTGAATATTTCGCCAGGATATCTTGTGTTTCATTGCAGATGGGTCCTGTGTGTCATCTCAACATCCCAGCTGTCTCATGAGGCTGAAGGCAAACCATCCCGAGTCTTGGTCTACCATACACTTGTTCCTAAGCTGCATTCTTACCTCGTGTATTGCACAATATTCTTACGTCAACCAGAGTTTGACTCTCACAGCCCCAAAGGTCACTTGTTCCGGATACTGGTCTCGGAAGATCTCTCCCAATATAGGACCTGCCTGCTTACTTGAGGTTTCTTAACTTAGTAGCCGAGAAGGCTGTGTGAAGTGGTTGTTGATATTAGTATTCTCCGACGCAGGGCTTTCTCGGACACTTGGTACAGCTGCTTCCATCTTACTTACAACCAACAATGGCCAGTCTCAGAAATATCATGAACGTCGATGCCGATGACGATCATGTTAATTCTCATTCTTTAAAGGCGGCCATGGATACAGGATCAAGATCATCACAACATCCAGCTGCTTCAATGGGCTCTGTTGCTTATGGCCAAGGCTCAGACTACTCCATGAATGCGTCCCCTTCTCGCAGCCAGAGATTAAGCCCTCCAACCCGCTCCTTGCACTCGTTGCCAGTTGATCAGCATCCGTCAGGTATGGCTTATGGTGGTTATCCGGGCGGCCGGAATCCTCACGATAGGCGCCAGAGCAACGCCAGCGCAGACTCGATGGATTCCCATTACAGCCAAGGACAAGTCTATGGGCATGGAACCTCTGGATCCTTCTCTACTACGCCCATGAGACCATTCGTGCCTCCACAAGAGGTTCCCGTCAAACTGACCCCTATTACCGGAAGAGTGAGCAGAGCGAGGAAGGGAGTTCCAGTCCACACTTGCGATACCTGCCGCCCATCAAAGGTGCTGTTGCAACCTCTTGTCCCCGAATATGTTGATTGGCTAACATGTTCTGCTTTGTATAGACTTTTACTCGAGCCGAGCACCTGAGGTTTGCCTATTCCTCTCCTTCTCTTGCACGATCATGGGATAAGACGCTGTTTTGTGCTGACTAGACCACTTAGACGCCATCAACTTAGCCATCAGCCTCCGGCTTTGCCTTGCACAGTCCCTGGATGTGATAAAGTGTTTCACCGGCGGGACCTCCTCGAGCGCCATCAACAACGACAGTAAGCAGTCCCTTTGGCTTCTCAAAAAGACGGTTTCATTAACCCCGATTCAGTGACCAGGATGATCGCGTCGGAAAGCCAAATAGCGGCCAACCACCTCATCGTTCTTATTCCCAAGGAGGTAGCCGAAGACCACCCAGTTATCCTAGTTCTCCGCAAGGATCATTGATTCAAGTTCAACAGCCGTATGGTAGTACTTCACCGACTCCGTTGTCAACGGCGCCGACCCCGACTCTGTCGATGCACTCGTCTCCGTGGTCCTCACACTCGGCCAAGCCAACAACAGTTCCCGTACGACATAGTCCAGACGAAATCACTATAGGCGGGATCAAGAGCGACTATTTGGTGGAGCCGGTGCCGAATATGCCAACAACAGCGACAACTGCGTATGCGGAACAACCTCGAATCATGCCTAGTCTGCCCACCGTTGACGGAAGCTCCTCGATTTGTGTTTCGACGATCCCTACTACGTCTATCACTTGGTCCGCCGGCCCACGTATTGCGACGCCTCTATCGACGGCTCCTGGAGCCTTCTCAACAACCGCCACACTCTCACAGGACAATCAGCGGTCCTCCATCGCCGTTTCGAACAGCGCCTGGACCTCCCGCATTGATCAACCAACATCCAGGGGCATGCCACCATCCGTCATGGCCACAGGCGGGTATGTTGCGTACGGGTATAGCCCTTCCGTACCGCAAACATATTCTTCCATTTATGATGATGAGCCGACTGTTGGTATCCCCACATACGGAGAAGCTCCAGGAGGACTATATGGACCCCATGTCCCAGCTTCCAGCATGCGTATGTCCCCTCAGCTGGTCGTTGGTCAGTCTTCAGAGACAATGGTGGCGGCTGCGGCACCATTGCCAGCAGATCGTATTGTCAATCCTATGCCGTGTCCTCCGGAGCCTATTTCAAGGTTTGGCTTGCTAGCCCAGGACTTGATGCCTGTGTCACTAAGCCGGGAAGCTCGGAGTGCGCTGCCAAGTTATATTGACATCTTTTGGGACAAGGTACATCCTTTTTACCCGATTATCCACAGATCAACCTTGGAAGATGGTGCAGGCGTCGTCCCAGAGCATATGGATGTTTTACAATGTGCCATGGCTGCACTCGCGACACAGTTTCTGGGTCACCGAGAACATCGTGTTAACGGCAGTCAACTACACTCCTACGCTTGGCACAAATCGAAAACTGTAGGTGTACCCCTTTACCCCTTTTTCTTTTGAGTCCGAAATTGCTCGCTTATGAAGCTAACTGGAGATTCGTGTGTCAAGTTTACTCAGTCAACCACGTGGCCTCTACCCATCATGCAAACAGTATTGCTCTGCGAGTACTACGCCAGATTCCGAGGACGACACAAGGACGACTATCAACCCTCGTCGCGGTTCCTCACATTATGTCAAATGGTAGGCGGGCATTGCAAAGTCACTCCCTTGCTGAGGGCTGAGTGCTAATATATACGCTTTATAGGTTTCTGGGTACTGCTCCGGGACTGTTCCGCAACCATCCGGTGGTAGCACTGAGCGCTGGAACGCGTGGATATACATTGAATCGTGCCGAAGACTGTTGGCTGCTTGCTTTCTTCTCAGTGTTCATGGCATGTGCTATCATGAGCAACCATATTCCACTGTGCTGGGCTTGGACAACTTAGCAGCATCAAAATTTCGGATTGCTTTGTCAGGGAGCACAACGAACCTCTGGGAGGCTAGAAATGCTGAGGCATGGGCTGCGATTGACATGTCAACTATCATGTTGAATACGATTGGGGATTTCATGGAGAATCCGACCTTGTCAACTACGGAAACAACACCAGCATTCGATGTGTCACTTGTCATAGCCGCTCACGCCCTTCTGCTGCCAACCCGAGAAAATCGTCAGGAAGTGGAGTTGGTCCAGGACGTATCCGCTTTCAACAGCAACGATCTGCTCATGTCGAAATTCTTCAATCGCCGCCCAGGCGCCAACACTTATCTCGCTTTGCATTATACCCCGTTGAACGTTCTACTGGCAGTCTCGGGCGATAGCTGGGTTTTCAACAAGAAGATACCTGATGCAAGTCTGTTTGCCGAATACAAGCGAAAGTTGGGCCAGTGGCGAGACTCGGGCACTTCTGCAATTGCAACCGTATTCGCAGCCCGGGCCATTCGAGACTTCCTGGACCTTTCGGACAAGTTGGGGCAGAGCTTGGCACAGGCCAACACCTCCTCCTACGGCATGACGGCGTGCACGGAGATTTCCGATTACTGGGGATTGTACGTCTGTACCCTCATCTGCTGGGCCTTCGGGCACGTTGGCAAACGGACGACGACGGACAAGCGGCTTCCCGCGCGAAGCAGAGCCATCAACTGGATCCGCACGGTTGCGGAACTCGAGCCCGGCCAACTCCAAGCCTTGCCGAAAAGGGAGGATTCACAAGCCATTGTAGGCTTTGTCCGAGATATTCTAGAAAAGGACTGTCTCGGCGGGCGAAACATCCTATTCGCCGACTCAGTCGGGGTGCTGCGAAAGTTGGAAGAGGTGGATAACTGGAGCTGGTTCTAACCTTGTTGCAAAACCGGCAGCGTCTTATGATTGACGACTAATTTTAATTTTTTTGCTTTTCCGCTTCAGGGGCGCAAAACAGGGAAAGGGGGAAGCATCAACATTGCTGTATGGACCCCTGGTAATGGAACATTGCATTTTGACCTCGACAATCCATCACCTTGCATATTCTCTTGTTTTTCTTTTCTTTTCTTTTTTGTCTCACTAGTGAGCACACGATTGGGTATTTCGGCATGGGGCACATGTGACTTAGATTAATTAGACCGCGTACCTTGATTCCAGTAACCACTCTTGCGGGACTCTTAATGGCCAACAGTATACCAGGTACGGAGTACAACAATACAAGCTAGATACCAAGCTGGCTTTTCCACTATGTGAAGTCCATGATTCTGCGGGACCGTCGTGGACTTGGCATCGATGATGTGACGAAGACGAATGTGCAACATAGACATTGCTTTTGCCATTCTGACGGTTGGAAGCTGCACAGGGTTTTCCTGGTTCGGGCCTCCCTTATTTTCGTGGCCTCGACAGCCTTGCACCATGGCGATGCCGTAATCATACTAGGGGTGAATCAGAGTCTCTACAGCCTAGCACGCCGGCTATTGGGATGAAAGAGTATTTATTGTTTTACGGAATTAACAAGCTAATTAACCTGATGGCGTCTCAAGTCTCCAATAGTATAGTACATGGCCTCAATTTCTTTTTGTTTGCTTTTTTTTTGTTCTACCAGCGTCCAGCGTCCTCCTCATATGCTGGTTCCTTTGCGTCACCACCCGTCTGAGCTCTCCAACACCTACCTGTCCATTGTTGTGATTATAAAATTCGGGGCGACCTGTGACAAACTCGCAACGCATCCATTGCCTTATCGAGCATAGGGGTGATATCCCCGGCTTCCACCACGACCGCCGCCGCGATAGTTTGCTCCTGGGCGACCTGCATTCTTGGGACCCGTGGGAGCATTCAATGGTGCGGCGCCGCCGTGTCCACCGTCCGAAGAGCCGTGTCCGCCACGACGATATCCTCCGGCGTCAGGCTGCGGGACGTCGTCATACATGCCTTCCCAGGAAGTTGGACCGCCTCCGCCTCCTCCTCCACGGCCACCGCCCATTCCATAACCACCTCCTCTACCGCCTCGCCTGCCGCCAGATGGGCCACTGGGCGGTGGTTGGCTGAACTGGCCGTAGCCGCCTTGGTCTGATTGCGTTGGCGAGCCCGGCCCTTGTTGCGGTTGTTGCTGCTGGTTCTGTTGTTGCATCATTTGTTGCTGCATCTGCTGCTGCATCTGCTGCATCATCTGAGGGTTCATGTTGCCCATCATGTTCTGAGGGTTTCCGCCGCCTCGGCCCATCATCTGTTGCATCTGCTGCATCTGCATCATTTGTTGCCACATGGCTGGGTTCATGTTCATGCCTCGGTTCATGGCCATTTGGCCGGTGAACATGGCAAAGTACTGCTGCATTCGTTGGAAATACTGTGCCATGACCTGCGGCGTGATGCCACTATTGCCCATTTGCTGGCTCATGCCCTGTCCGCCAGATTGGTCGTCCTTCTTGAACTTGCTACGCTTGGCAGCCTCTTCCTCCTCACGAAGATTGCCTCGCGGCTGTGCCCGCTTCACTTCGACGGGTTTGCCGTGAATCTCGAGAGGTACGTTGATACAAGCCTCGACGCCGGCCTCGCTTTCGAACGTCACGAAACCAAACCCTCTAGGACGCCCCGTATCCTTGTCCATCATGAGCGTGGCGTCGACAACTCGTCCGAATTGCGCAAAGTAGTCCCGGAACTCTTGATCTGTGGTCTCTTGGCTGACTCCTCCGACAAAGATTTTGCTCGTCTTTTCCTGCTCATCTCTTGGGATGGCTCTCTTGGGGTCAATCTGGAGTGGTTCCGTTAGGGGATATTCGCAACATACGGAGCATACGTAGACTAATGTAAAAACTTACAATCTTGCCGTCCAAAAAGTGCTCCTTGACCATGACAATATTCACAGTCTTGGCATCCTTGAACGTCAAAAAGCCAAATCCACGAGATCGTCCGGTCGTACTATCACGCATGACGGTACACTCGACAACTTCACCAAACTGTTCAAAGTACTCTCGAAGTGATTCTGGGCCGCCATGTTAGAACTCTCTCGCCGCTACAAAATGCTGCCCAAACACGGTACTCACGGTCCGTCGTCTCCCAATTCAGTCCACCAATAAACATTTTTCTAAGCACATAATCAGCCGGTTATCTTATACGTACAAAAGCATAGTACTATGCACATAAACAGTACGAGTGCAGAAGCAAAAACGGAACGACAGACACCAGGGTCCATCAGAGCGGGCAGATAATGGTTCATGGCATGGTCGCTGGCCAATTTGGCCGCATATAACAAAGTACAGGCAGTCTCTGCATCAAGCTGGCGTGGTGAGCGGAGCATGGAGTGTAGTCGCATTCGAAAACCAGGATGCATGGAGCAGAATACCGTCCAGCAGAGATGTTGGCTCAAAACTTCAAGTCCGCGTAGTGAATTGGCCTGCCGGAGAAATCGCCAGCAACTGTCGAGCGCAGGCCCATCATGGCCAAGCCAAGATAAGAAGAACGACGGAGAAATTCATGGCAATAAAACTCGATTGCCGGCCACGGGAGAGGTGAGGAGAGGTGGCAGTAAAGGCGGAGCCAGTGTCGCAGCGTAACGCACGACAAAAGCAGCCAACACGACGACTAGGCCACGGAATGCCAGCATGTAATGCCCCAAAGTTATATCCTTTGTGTCGATTTTGTCTTTTTTTTTTCTGTCCTGCTTCTGTCTGCTTTCGAATTGTGCTATCGTCTGGCTTTCTCTGCTCTGCTCTGCACTGTCTGGCTCATACTGACTGTCTCATGCTAGTTATGCTCTAACCTTGAGCGCTAGTCGCTGTGAATCTAGCTGCTACAGCTTTCGAAGGTGTACGAAACTCGCATCAAGGAGTCCCAGATTCCCGTTGTTGATGGCTATAGAAGACAGGATGGTTGTCCTGAGATAGACTAGAGTCGGCTGCTTCTGCTTCGATCATCTCCATAGGAAGCGAAATACACTCCAGTGTCTTTGGTTTGTTTTCTCTTTCCGCAATTTCGCAAATACTCTTTTTCTCTGCCCTTTTGTAGACCATAATACGCCTTGTTGTACCGTGGTGTCCAACCCACGAGTCGTGACACTCGGCACCAGTCATACTTCCGAGACCAGAATGAAGCTCCCCAGATAAGGACGTGGAGAATATTTCTTGAGATATCTGCCAAACCAGCTAGTTTTCCCAGTGTCTATATTCCCATCCGAATGAAGCCGCCCGCTCAAGCCTGTGCAGAGAAAACAGGCGTCCATCCAGCATGTACCAGCCCGACCAATTTTGCCAATGGCCTCCATCTGACCAGAACCACCACCAGCCATGGAGACGGGCTATAGGGTCAGGGGTATGGAGCGTGGTGGGATTTACAAAAAAAGATTCACGTGCACATAAGGTGTATCGAGACTTACCCGTCATCCTTGGCGCTTGCCTTGTGAACAGTTCCATACGGAGGTGTCGACGAGCCAGGATCCTGGTGAGGAGCAGCAACGGCATTACTAGAGCCGCCTCCAAGGTTAAAGTCAACGTCGTCGTCATCTTCTTCATCTCCGCCGTCATGATGCATCTCTTCATCGTCGTTTGCAGCATCACTCGGCCTCGGTGCCGAGTTTTGCTGATCGTTGGTTGGCGGTTCCGCTACAGGTACTGGGGCAGGAGGAGGCTTCGCGGCTGCGTCGTTGTCATCGTAACTGAAATCCAAAGTTAGTCAACGAAGCGCTCTCAGAGTGTGGTCTGTATTGTGGGTCGTCCATACAGATCAGCAAAGAGGTCCTCTTCGAAATTCTCGGGCTCCGTCATGTTCGTGATGTTCAAAGGTCAAATAAGAGCTTGAGAACCGGGAGAGTCGAAGCACTTGCAAGACTTCTCTGGGTCAGGCTGGAATGCCAAATGCGACAAATGATGGCGAAATATTCAAATGACAGTAATGATTGACGTCCGCAGATGGGTAGTAAAATGGCGAGACGCTCATCGACTCGCTACGAATCACTGGGCGATGGCGCGTGGTACGTTTGGTTGATGTTAGTCGATGTTGAACAAGGTTGAGTGAAAAGTTGATTGAGTTGGGAGAGGAAAGTGGTGCCTAGGAACAGCGGGGGGTTGCGGAGCTGCTAGGTTTGCTGACTAAGATGGTTCGTGCCAGATTAGGCTTGGTGGCTCCAGCCTGTTTGTCTGGCACTCACTCAGTACGGAGTTGCGTACTCCGTACAGGTAGGGCGACAATGCCGACGGCCGCAGGTGACGGAGAGGGCTGGACGTTGGGCCGTTTGGCAGGTCGGACTGCCCCCAAGGGCGAGCTGCAGTCCAGCAGACTGCATGGCTGGTGGGTTGACTATGATTTGTCACATGCGAACCGAAGTTTGCCAAGCGATCTTTCTTCGCCTTTACTCCGTACCATCAATGCCATGACGATTTGCGCAAGGACAGGCCCAAGTCGCGGGGTTCGTTTCAATTTGATTGATCCGGCAGGAGGCACTGGGATTCAATGTTATGTACAGCCGGTTGACTGCAGCGGCGGCGGCGGGGAACGGCCCACTAGTTTTCAGGAGCCAGAGCTTTGCTCCAGCACTCTCAGCGCCAACTGCAACAGCCAGACACTGGATCCACTCGGCCGCCGCTTGGTCGCCGTCAAAGTCACCAGACGGAGCGTCCGTGACAACATCCAGAACGTCGCCCATCTCCAAGTCCTCGCGCAACGAGCCTCTCTCCCGGCCTCACCCGCGCAAGCCTCGCAGAATGAAGCGTCCATCTCCCTCTCTCGACCACCAACCGTGACTATGTGGTCGTCATCCAGCAGCGGCAAGAAGCCGCCAGCTGCAGTATGTTCCCCGTCGCCCCTCATCGCAGTCGACGTTACCCATCCGTCATGTCGTGTCATATCATCATCGACGTCGGCATCAGGCGACATGCCCGCCCTCGTGCCCCGGTGCTAACAGCTCATCCAGCAGCCGCAGGAAATGGTCCAGGTCGGTATGTAGCCCAATCCGTTCCATTTTGTCCTTCCGATCCTCGATTCGTTTGCAATTGTCCAACTAATGCCTTCGAGCACAGACCGCTCCGAGTGCGTTTCCCCGGCGTCTTTCCGTCTATTCTGGCAGCAAAGACCAGACACTCACGATGGTTGCAGATCAGCCTCCCCCTTCTGGCGGCCCCCGGTTCGAGAACATGCTCCTAAGCGAAGTGTGACGACGCCTGCAGGTCGCGACCCCAACTTCGTCGTTGGCGCAGCATATTCGCATGCCGATATGCTCAAGTTCGACTCATTGTACGTGCCTTGCCCGCGGACGGGAAACAGATGGATTCCCAATCCCTATTACAAGCCCCGACACGACATTCTAACCTGCTTGCTTGGTTAGAAGCCTCTCTGGCAACCGACCCAGGACACCTCCTTCCACTTCTGCCACAAAGGGCGGCCGCTTAAGTGAAGCGACCCCTCCAACCCGAGGGTCAACCGGCGTCGCCAGCTCCCCACCGTTTAAAAACTACATCAATTTTCTTTCCAACACCAACGATGACTGGAAAGCCGACGAAGATGATATGCTTGGGTACGATGACGACGATGGCGACGACTTTGGGCTGCCCAGCCTGTCCAACATGAAGAGACGGTCCAGGAGGATGGCGACGCAAAACAAAGCCAACACCGGAGCTCTATCACCAGCATTGGATGGGACATTTGGTCTAGGGGCAAGGCTCCATTCGGATAGTGCCGACATTGCCGTTGAGCGACCATCCCTGACATATCCAATGCCGAAAAAGAGCGAGGGCAAGATCCTCCGCCCGCAATATAAAGATATTCTCCAAGGTACTCATCCGCCCTTTTCCACATGACAAAAGAAACTCGCTCTAATCAGAGGAGGGGGGAATGGTAGATCCCGCCAATGCCTTGCACCTCATCAATTACCCCTCCATCCCAACCAACGCAACCCCCAAAGAAGCCGACGCCATCAACTCTCGAATCACCAGAATCAACAAGTTCAAGAAACTCCTCCAAGCGTCGTCCATATCACTACCCGATCTCCGAGCGCTAGCCTGGTCAGGCGTCCCCGAGGAAGTGCGCTCCATGACGTGGCAGCTCCTCCTCAGCTACCTGCCGACCAACAGCGAAAGAAGAGTGGCAACGCTTGAGCGCAAGCGCAAAGAATACCTCGACGGCGTGCGGCAGGCCTTTGAACGGGTCGGCACCAACGCAGCCTCGGCCAGCCGAGCAAGAGGCCTGGACGAAGCCATCTGGCACCAAATCAGCATCGACATTCCGCGGACAAACCCGCACATCGAGCTCTACAGCTACGAGGCCACGCAGCGCTCCCTCGAGCGCATCCTGTACCTCTGGGCCGTGCGCCACCCGGCAAGCGGCTACGTCCAGGGCATAAACGACCTCGTCACGCCCTTCTTCCAGGTCTTCCTCGGCCTGTACATTGCCGACCCGAACATCGAGGCCGGCATGGACCCGGGTCAGCTGCCCAAGCCAGTGCTCGACGCCGTCGAAGCCGACTCCTTCTGGTGCCTCACCAAGCTCCTCGACGGCATCCAAGACCACTACATTGTCGCACAGCCCGGCATCCAGCGTCAGGTCGGCGCGTTGCGCGACCTCACCGCCCGCATCGACGCCACCCTCTCCAAGCACCTCGAGCACGAGGGCGTCGAGTTCATCCAATTTAGCTTCCGCTGGATGAACTGCCTCCTCATGCGTGAAATAAGCGTCAAGAACATTATCCGCATGTGGGACACCTATCTCGTACGTCCTTCCTTCCTTCTTTGTTTGACCCTTTCCCCTCCCATTGGCACCCAAATTTTATCATATAACTGACACACGCAAAAAAAAAGGCCGAGGAGCAGGGCTTCTCCGAATTCCACCTGTACGTCTGCGCCGCCCTCCTTGTCAAGTGGTCCGACAGGCTGGTCAAGATGGACTTTCAGGAAATCATGATGTTCCTCCAGTCACTGCCTACCAAGACTTGGACCGAAAAGGACATTGAGCTGCTGCTCAGCGAGGCCTTTATCTGGCAGAGCCTGTACAAGGGGTCTGCGGCGCACCTGAAGGGCGGGCCTAGCAAGCCCCTACTGGCGAACCTGCAACTCTAATTTGACATTTGGAAACGGACGAAAGAAAATGGCTGATTTGCGTGCATCCATTGTGGGCATGACGTGGCGCGGATATAAAGCATAATATACAGGTTACGAGCATAGCATCAGTGGTTTTGTTTGTTTTTATACAATAGTTACAAGGAATCACATGAATTCATTCCGCCGACCTATCTATCTACTTCGTTGGCCCTCCCGTCGTACCTGAATAGGGGCAAGTTCTCATTGCTACCCAGAACCAGTTTCAATCCAAAACCCCCCCAAAAAACCAGGTATTCAAACCCTCCCTTGTGCCGTCAGGGACCCCCCACACACAATGTACAATGAAGGTGAAAGGAGAAAGCCTACACGAGTCCGTCAAAACGCCAGCCCGCATGCTCTCGCATCATTAACGCAATTATGGGTATTATTAGAAAGGCGTCTCCAGAACGGAACACACACAAAAAAAAGAGAGAAAAGATGAATAGATGAAAAAAAGGAGAGGGAATTTAGGCATGCCAGACATGCGTTTGCTTGCTAGCCTTCTTCGGCCTGAAGTCGTCGACGTAGCCGAGCGTGTGTCTATTCTCGTCGCACACCCTCGCCCACTCGAGAAGCAGTCGCCACACGTACAGGCCCATGTCTTCTCTGCGGAGGACCCTCTCCGACCACGACTGGCCCTGCTCGGCGATGAAGCGGGCGGCAGCGTCCCCGGGCCCGTTAGTGTCCGAGAAGAAGTCGAGGAGGGGGTACAGGTCCTGGAAGGTGTTGTCAAAGGGGACAAAGTGCACCCAGGGGATGAGGCGGTCGTCGTGCCACTCTGCGTAGATGGTGGCTTTGAGCGGCAGGCTGGTGGAGCGGAGGAAGCCGCGGAACCGGGCGGAGAAGGAGTTGCCGTCGACGTCGGGGAGGAATTTGTACCGGTATTGCTGCTTCATGGGGAGGTGTTGCAGCACGGTGAAGGTGTCGTTGTAAAAGGGGCATTCGGCGGGTGGGCAAAGCTTGACGAACCCCGTGTCGGCAATCTCGTCGGCAAGGGGGCCCAGGTTGCCGCGGTGAAGGCGCGGGCTGGGGTAGATGGTCTCCGGGGGAAGCTCAAACGTCTTGGCCCGGACGCCCGAATCTTCGACCTGCGATACGACTGTGCCGTTGAGCATGTGGACGAGACGCTGACGCTGAAAGTGGTGCCAGTTGTGCTCTCTGGCGCGGCCGCCTGAGCCCTCGCCGCGCCAGACGGCGGCGTTCTTCTTTCGGTCCCACGACGGCCCGTGTGACTCGCCGCCGGAGTAGAAGTCGCCCTGGTCGAGGTACATGGCTCCCGGGATGAGAATTTCATTGTTGGTAGGGAGCTTGGAGCCGCCAAACAGGGGGATGAGTTCTTCTGTGGAGGACAGACTGATGGGTTCGATGAAACTCCCGTGTAGTTGGCGCAGATGCGGTTGCCGGCAGGGGTCTGAGGAGGCGGTAAAATTCTGAATATAGCCCTTGTGGGCGTAATCCGGTCTATAGTTTTGCGGAAACTCGGCCGGTCCAGACATGTCTTGGACTTGCTGGACGCCAAAGGCTGGGGTGTCGGGGCCACAGGTCTTGACAAACAAGTTCCAATACTGCTCGCTGGGACCGTGCCAGTGAGGATCGTAGGGATCGGGCATGGCAGCATCAACGGCGGCAAGGCCGTGGAACTTGGAGCTGGCTTTGGTTGGGTCAACGATGCGTCTCTCTTTGCGTTCCTCCGCCACGAGCTTCGCAATGGTGTCGTGGGGCACGAGGAGTCTCGATTCGTCCATGTAGTTGATGGGCATGTCGACGTCGGGCAAGTACTTGGCAAAGTCGGCAACGAGAGCAGTCCAAAGCTGCAACCAGGGCACACGGTCGGTGACGTCGCCATGGGCGGCGGCGGTGCCATTGCGGACTTTGACGACGTGGTGCCAGGCACTGGCTCGCTTCTTGGTCTGTTCGGGATCGAGAGCCCAAAAGGGCGTCAGGTCCTTGTATATCCTGTCAAAGTAGTCTTCGACGATGATGGCATCGATGTCCACGGCAGCGTGGAACCACATGTCAAAGCCGGGGGGCGGGTGACGTCCTCGTCGCTTGCGATATTGCTGCGCAGCAGAGTCGAGGGTGAGGGACCGTTTGGCAAGGAGGGCATCGTGACGGGCCTTGGCATCGACCATGAGCTTTCGAACAGGATGCTTGGTTCCCAGCTTGTTGATGGTTTTGCGGGGGATCTGGATCTGAGCATCCCAAAACTTGACATCGTGCCAGAGCGCATAGCTGGCGAGGAAGAAAAAGGTGAGGAAGACGAGGGTGATGTAGCGCAGGGCCAGCCGCGACGACCACTGGCGGAGGCTCCAGCCCTTGCAAACCTTCAGCAAGGCCATGTCGGGCGTCTGGCGTCTGGCGTCTGGCGATCAGGGTCTGGTGTTGGGCATTGGGCATGAGACGAAGGACGTGCGCTGCGGGAGAGCGAGAGCAAGGACGAGATGAGGACGAGCACGGATTACGATCAGGTCATGCACCCGAGGAGGAAATTGCAAGTGTGGGCGTCTGCGTGCCGCTGCTTTCGTCGGTGGCGTGCGAGCAAACGACGGGAGAAGCCACGCGAGGAAGGGCAGGATCGGGATTGGGGTCTTGAGCAAAAGATACAGACGCCGTTTTGTCAGGGGATGGACTAAATGGGCAGGATGGCGTCCTGGAGGCGCAAAAGACGGCACGCAAATGGGTTCACTGTTCAATGCTCCTCTGGTGGCGGCCGGAACAAGGGGCACGGCCAGAAGAGGGAAAAGGGAAGTCGACGGCAGAGACTGCCAGCGACAAGGCGAGGACTGGGCATTCTCACCATTGGGACGCAAAAAACGTCTGGTAGGATTGACGCATCCTGAGCAAAGTTCCATTCCAACTGTATAATGAAGCATGTTAATTGGCGCAACCCACCAAGAGGATTGGTGTGCCTGCAGGCCACGTCTGCAAGTCTGCAAGCGTCATCTAGCCTCCGCGTCTCGCTGCCTCTCCGTCTCCATCCTTGACTCGCCCACGCGGGGTCGCGCCAAGGGGGTCGCGCCAAGGAGCCGCGCCAAGGGGCCTCGTCGTTAATGAATACGGACTATCGAGTTCCAAACATAACCGACCGCTGCTAGTTCGTATGACGCCACCTCGGGAGCCATCAGCTAAAAAAGTATAGAAGCTTAAAAATGCTAGTGTCAGACTGGAAGAATGCCGAGTGCCTGTACTCCGTACAACACAGGTACAGCTGCTCCCACTCAGGAATAGTGCTACATCGTCGTGCCTCGTGCTTTCGTGTTAAAGTAAACCTCGTGTGACGCCCGACGTTTCACTTGAACGGCAAGTCAGCATTGTATTCTCCTAGGGCTGTTTGCCTGTTTGCCTGCCAAGTTAAATTCTCGAGTCGCCATTGGAATACTCACCCAAGGCATTTGTGCTTGCTTGTGCCACACCCTTCTCACATGGGACAACCACAATTCCCTCGTAGTGCCGTGAGCATGCCAAACTACAAACCATGCATAAAAGAAAATAATCAAATCCCCTTCCATCTGAATTTTATATTTCATCATTTCTTAATATCTATATCTTGTCTCGTAAACAAATCGAATCCAACAAGATCCACTCAAAATCATCGTCCTCGCTACAGGGTAGTCAGGTAGCAGCTCGCCCGGCCCACCCGGTTAAACCTCGCACCCACACTCATCTCAACCAATCACAGCGCCCCCAATTCCCATCAATGAGGCAAACCCACATCTTCGCCATCCCGACGGCAATCTCAACGTCCAAAAGACCATCACGCCTCCTCCGTCTTTCAACTTTGCCCCTGCTCGACGGTCCTCCATCTCCTCTCCCATCCGAGCGTAGAAGCCATCACCTACGCTACCCGTGGAGATGCTCTCGTCATCGCGATCCGCAGCCTCAATGGCCCTGCGAGGCACGTCCCGAACCTCCCCCGTCGACTCCGAAATTTCCCTCTGCCCGGCACCTCTCACCAATTGCAACATCAAAACACCACACGAACCCCCATACACACAAAAATCAAATAGCTAACACTCCCCGGAAACACAGTCAAGCCGACGACAGCGCTCATTCCCTTCCGCGCGGCAGCCGCCCTGCCCATCACCCACCGCCGAGACGCAAGCTCCCTGACCCCCCACGGCGCGGGATCAAGCCTCGCCAAACCTCGCAAGGAAGTCCTTCTCCCCAGCGAAGAAGGCACCAAAGGCGTCGTCCAATACGCCCTGTACGCCCTCCTCCCTCCCTCCAACCCCCCCCTCCTCCTCATCTAACACTCAGCCCAGGACCACGCTCGATGTCATCGCCAACTGGGCGCGGCAGTCGTCCCTCTGGCCCATGACTTTCGGCCTGGCCTGCTGCGCCGTCGAAATGATGCACCTCTCCACGCCGCGATACGACCAGGACCGCCTGGGCATCATCTTCCGCGCGTCCCCCCGCCAGTCCGACGTCATGATTGTCGCCGGCACCCTCACCAACAAGATGGCCCCCGCCCTGCGCCAGGTCTACGACCAGATGCCCGACCCGCGATGGGTCATCTCCATGGGCAGCTGCGCCAACGGCGGCGGCTACTACCACTACAGCTACAGCGTCGTCCGGGGCTGCGACCGCATCGTCCCCGTCGACATTTACGTCCCCGGCTGCCCGCCCACCAGCGAGGCCCTCATGTACGGCATCTTCCAGCTGCAGAGGAAGATGCGCAACACCAAGATCACGCGCATGTGGTACAGGAGGTAAAAGGTGAGGGTGTTGTTGCCCAAGGAAGGGGGCTGGGGGCGGGGAAAGAGATGAAATTTTCCTTCCAAGCGTGGCGTGTAGCTGTTATGGGGCGTGTTGAAGACCCAAGAAGAAGGAAAAAAAACAAAACTGCACATAGTATGCTAGGCTGGACTTGAGGGAAGCAGGTCCAGGATACGGCATTCCGTTTTCCCTTTGTTCTTTATCAGGTGTACAAGGGACAGCACGGCAAAGATAGAGACCCTACAATACGAATTTGTACAACACGCAAGGTAGCGTTTTTGCCAAGTCCGCCGCGTCACGTTTGAATATTGACACCACGGCCGTTCCTTTACACGTACTGTTGGACAATGAAACACCATGTAATTATATCGTATTGTACGCTGCCTGGATAGCACCGCTGCGGCCGAATAATATGCACTAGCCCACCCCATGCTGTAACCCCGACAGAGGATTCATGACACAGACACTCTCACTCTCCCGACGGCTGATTATGACTCGCCCACCCGCACACTAGATCAATCTTTATACTCTAGGCCCGCGCCGTCCGTGGCCGTCTGTTCCTGCTGAGACGGGATTCGACATCACTCACGACGCGCAAACAATCTACTTCACTGCCGCCTCTTTGCTTCATACGTCGGTGGTGATTTGCAAAATAATGTATGCTTCGTGCTGCTCCGCTCTGCTTCCTGCGTGTCCCGATGACAATTGAACCCGCCAGCGCCATGAACGACCCATGTTGAACAAAGCTATTCTTTTTCAAACAAAAGACAACATGAATAACCAAAAGTGGGAAAAAGAAAAAGAAAACAACAATCATGCCCAAGAAAAAAAATAGTGGTCATCAGGGAATGTGGGGAGAGGACTAGGGAAGCTATATGCGAGATGGGGAAGAGGAGCGTGTGGATACAACACATGAGTCTGGAATGGCGTTCAGTAGGGGGGCCCAAAAGACGCAACGCAAAACATCGCTAGTTCACATATTCTTGCTCATCTTACTCTTGCCCGAATCCCATGGTCTCCTCCACTGCTATTGTAAGTTTGTTTTGCAATGTGTCCATAGATTTGTAAGGGGGCAAATCAATGCGGTTGAAGCTGGTGATGTTTAGTCAGCAATAATCCATATCCAAGAAAAAAAGGCCAGAAAAAAAAAAGCTACGGGTTGATTGCATACCAGGTGTGTGCCTTGGGAAGGTTGGTGAGCTCTCCCGTCTTCTCAATGGTGAATCGTCTCGGTCCGTCACTTCCCTGAAGATCCTTGAAGCCGTTGACGGGGATTCGAGAAGTTCCGGTAGTGAACTGCAATAGACGCGATTTTTGTTCCCCGTCCCATGACCTGACCACCTGCCAGAAGTTCTGAATAACCTCATCCGACTCGGTGTATCCTCTGTAGTCCGTATGCTTCTTCCAGTCGTCCACATCAATTTCAGCGATACCGCCAATGAGCAACTCGAGTTCACGCTCATCAAATACATTAATGAGGTCCTGGGGAATGAGTTCGTGGAAGCCTTCCTTGAAAGCCTGGAACTGCTCCGCGATACGCTTCTCAATTCGCCACTTTACCATGAGATCCACATACTCCTTCTTGTTCTCGTTGGTGACTTCGATGTTGCGGCCGTTGGGGATCAAGTCCTCGGTGGTCATAACACCAAATCGCTCATCTTCGGTAGAGAAAGTCTGCTCCAGAATTCCGCCAGATATGTCGTTATCCAGCATCCACTGCAGGGACCGATGAAAGTCGGCATCAACACCCTCCATGTCAGCAAGCGAGACTGCCTTGCCCAGCACCATTTTGTACAGAGCTCCGATGAAGAAGGCATCCAGGAATCGTCGATGAAAAATAGCCAAACCAACTACCCGTCCGATAAACTTGAAGTAGTTCAGGTGCTCTGGGTTAATGCCTGAGTGCGGGTTAATCTGCAGGGTGTAGTTGTCGTGCGCAGAGTACTCGAACAGGCAGTAGAACGGGTTGAACATCTCGTGAGACAAAAGGAAGAAGAACTCTCGAGACAAACCACCGTAATCCAAACCATCTTCTCCGTCGAATTTTATCATCAAGCGCTTCTTCAAATCAGTGGCGGACTGACGCGTAATTTCGGCAAACGAATCCTCGAAAATATGCTCACGCCTGACTTTGATGTGGCATTGGCCGCTGAGGATGCGCATGGCAGGCTGAGATCGGAAGTAGATGAGCTTGCGTCTGAAATCTCGCTTGTATTGAGGAACATTCTGATCCAGGGATGATGGCAGACGAGGGTCATCCCACGTGGTAGTCTTAGTATTGTGATCGACGAAATACACCCGGGCAGTGTTGGTGAGCCGCATTTCCCACCCACTAGGCAGGGGCCCGAGCTGTGAGACTGGTTGCTGTTGAATCTGGCCATTGGTGTTATTTTGGCCGCCATACATGCGAATGTACTGTTGACGGCGCGGATCAACCCAGGTAGTCGTTCTGGTATTGTGGTCGACAAAGTAGGGACGGCCCTCTGGCGTCCATCTTTGTTCCCAGCCTGGTGGCAGCTCACCGGTGCCAGGACTGGTTGCACCAGTGTGCATTACCGTTGTGCTGGCATTGGTTTGGGAAGGGCTGCCGGGACCAGTCGGGCTGCCGCCTCCTGATTGGGAGCCACCCTGCTGCTGCTGCTGCGACAGAGTTGGCGAGCTGGTGCCTGTCCGGTCTTCGGGCAGCGTACGGTTCTGATGCCGCTGTCGTTCGACTGCTGTGGCGGCTTCTCGCTCTCGGGTCTCTGCGCCGCCGTTGGCGGTTGGGCGATTCCAGCTAGTTGTGCGCGTATTGTGGTCAACGTAGTAGGTTCGGCCCAGATTATCTTCTCGTCTTTCCCAGCCAGCGGGAAGTCGACCCTGGTTGTCCTCGAAGGGGCTCAATTGGCTGGTTGGCCGTGACGAAGTCGTGCCGTTGACTCCCGGAGCAGGCGTAGAGCTTGAGCTGACAAGGGGTGGGTGATGAGGTAAGGTCATTTGAGGCCCCCCAGGAGGAACGCCATTCTGGTTTGACATGGATGAGCTTGGTCGCCCATCGGGAGCGGAGAGTGCGGAAGAGCTGGATGCACCCGGAACAGATAGGGCCGGTCGACTGCTGGAAGCCTGACCCCCGCGTGCGGGCGTGCTGAGGTTACATGAAAGGTTGATGATGAGTTTTCCGTGGACCACAAGGTTATCTGTCGACTTCTTGAGGTCTCTCGTAAGCATCTGGTCTGATGCAAAACGTCAGTTAGTAACTGTTTTCGCCTCTCGCAAGACGAAGCATAACTCCGAGACAAGGGAGACGTACCATCAGAGTCGGGGCTAAGATCTGGCATCACATCTCCAACTCTAATGTTGATGACACCAAGGAAGCCTTGGTCCTTCTTCTTGAATTTCTTTTGATCAAAGACTTGCACTGCCAGGATGCTGCCTTCATTTGCTCGACTGTAATATTATTGGTGAGATTCAGGGTTGGAAACGGGAAATTTTTACACTCATGGCAACAGCCAAGAGAGAGAAAGGAGGGGGTATGTGCGTACAAGTCGAAGCTTTCGTTCCAATATGGATTCAGCGTCCGTTTGCTGACGGTGGTGGTCTTTGTTTGTTCGCCATTGATGGTGGCCACAGCAAATGGGTCGGGAAATCCTGTTGGTGGTTAGGAAGGGTGTTTCGGGAGTAGAGCGGCGCGAGCATCATCTGAGCATCACAAGGTGATGAATGGCGGGGACGTACTAAAAACATCTCTTTTATACAAGCCATCTGCGGCAATGACTGTTCCGGGTCATGTCAGTAACTGGTGTTTGGCGGAGTCGACATGGGAGGAGGGCGAGGCAGATGAGGGGAGTGAGGACATACTTGTGACGCGAAGATTGGGCTTGCTAGACGGGCTGTCAGCTCATGATTCTGGCGTCTTGATTGATTTCGCTTGCGCCGAACAATGCGTGGCCAAGGAGAGACTCGAGGGGTGCGTGTACTGACCTTGGAAGCCCCGACTCTGTGCGGGCACTCATTGTCGTCGAGGCGTTGCTGGCGAGAGAGGCGTTGGGATGCGTGTAGGAGCGCCCGTTGAGACAGAGAGGCCGAAGCAATTCGTAGAAGACGTCGTTGGTCAAAGGGCGACGGACGGGGTCCCCACAAAGGGGTGGTGGTTGCTAATGACGGCGTCGAGGGTGCGAGTGACGACGACTTTGCTCACAGCAAGCACCTTAAGCTGGAGAGGTTGAGGCAGTGCAGCGTGGCAGCAACGGCTCGGAGGATGTCTGGCCTGGCGTTGGCGTCGGCGGCTGGGCGTATGTCTGGTCGCTCAGCAAGACTTGACGCTGAGACTGGCCCCCGCTTCAACGATCAATGGCCAGCGTCCCTGTCGAGTCACTCCGGGCCAGCGCGGGCCAGGCGATAAGCAGCACGTGACCGACTTGATGGCGGGGCCTCTGGCGGGGGGTTTACTTTGGACTCTGGAGGCACGGAGTCCCCAAGACATGAAACAAAGCAGCAACAACTGAGCTGACCTGAGCTGATCCGAGCTGGGCTGCAAAGGAAGACGCTGTGTTGCCGATAAGCAGGCCAGCGACTTGGCAATGCAGAGTTGAGACAAGCGACGTGATTACAAAGGACGAAGCGGCAGATGGGACGGGAGGCGGCATGCAGAGAGGAAGATTCGGGAGAGTGAGTGGCCAAGTTGCCAGACAGGTCAATACAACATTGAAAGCAAGACGTCTGGGGTGAAGAAGCACAACAGGCCACAGCCACACGTTGTACCAGACACCAGACACCAGACAGCAGTCAAGCTCCATGCCCATGTCCCGATGTCCGCTACCCGCCACCCGTCCGTCGTCACCTACTGGCGGGGGGGTGCGGGGCTTGGCTGCCCTGCGCCCTTCAGCGTTGGACCTGGAGATGCTACGGAGCCAAGTAGCACTTGACCAGACTCGAGTATCGAGACATGGAAACATGCCGGCATTGCTCAGCATGTGCTCAGCAATGTTTCCAGCATCAACCATCAACCCACACACCGGCCCGCTGCCGCACGAATTGCTTTCTAATCGCCTTGCGCCTCGCGCCATGGGCAATTACTGATTCTCGCGTCATCCGCCGCCAACTGCAGCAACATGACCTGCAACACCTCAGCCTTGGCAACTCCCCAATCCGCGACTCTTCCGGAAACCCGGAAACCGGGGAGGGTCTCCGGATGGCGGAGCCAAGTTGGAGATGCCATCGTATGGCATCAACTTTCCATGTGTACTCCGTACTCGGCGCACCTTGGGGCGTGGCGGCGGCAGAGCGTTTCGTCCAAAGTTCAAAGGGCGACACGAAGCAAAAGAAGGTGCCCACGATTCGCGGCAATCCTTTCGCGTTACCATTCCCAATCCGTACGAGCGGGGACAATCTGTAACCCAGGGCTATTCATAGCGGCCAAGGCACCCATGGCAAAGGTACCCGGGGGCCTCCAACCGGGTTGTGCCACTTTGTGAGACTCTGTGAGACCTTGTAAGACCCAGGACCTCGGGTGGGCTCCCGATCTCGCATCAACCTCAGTTCATGTCAAGCGCTGCCGCCTGGTAGTAACCGTAACTGTCAAGTAAATGTGATAATTGACCAGTTATATATTCCTCTACGCACATTCGTGGACTACCTTGCCCGCATCGTTTTGGAAAGACAGCACAGGACAGCATGGCGAAAACATGACGGCGAAACAAGATAAAAATTAAAAAGGGCACCGACTATAAAAAAAAAACACCCCTCTACAATTGCACTAGCATCACAAGATAAATCAACCCCCGTCAGCCGCAGCCGCAGCCGGCAGCCGGGACGCAAATCCTCAACCCGGCGCTCCGCACAAGTGCCGCCGTCCACATCACCACCAACACCCACGATTTTTTCCTTTTTTCAAAGCACAACCGCCAACAAGAACCCGTCGACAAACTCGCTCTCGCTGTCCAACTTTCTCACCGAAACAGTCGGCACCAAGGCCGCGCGCACCCGCTCGTCCCGCCCAACCCTCGCCACCAGGCTCCCCTCGCGCGTGACGCCGTCCTCGCCGTCCTCGACCATGCTCTGCACCGCGTTGTCGACGTAGATCGCGCCGCCGCGCCTCGTCAGCCGCACCGCCCAGTCAAAGTAGTCGGCCTGCCGGCCCCAGTCGGCGTCGACAAAGACGAGGTCGAAGACGCGCCCCTCGGCCGCCAGCCGCGGCAGCACGTCGAGCGCGTCGCCGAGCACCACCTCGGCGCCGTCCACCCCGGCCGCGCGCAGGTTCTCGAGCGCCACGTCGCGGTGCCGGGCGTCGACCTCGATGCTGGTCACGCGCGCCCCGGCCCGCGCGAACCACTGCGCCGAGTAGCCGCCCAGCGTGCCGACCTCGAGCACCGCCCGCGCCGAGACCAGCTGCGCCAGGAGCGAGAGGTGCTGCCCGTGCAGGGGGGTGATGCTGATCGGGGGCAGGCCGCGCCGCGCCGAGTTGGCCAGCGTGGCGGCGAGCTGGGCGTCGTCGCTGACGAGCCTGGTCTCGGCTGTGTTTTCGACGAGGGACAGGAGGGAGGGCGTGACGGTCGACATGGTTTTGTGGTTTGTGGTTTTGCCCAAACTGGCTGTATATATATATGTGTATATATACCTAGTATGCAATGTATATATATGTGTGTATATGAGTGCGCGTGCGTGTGAGTGTAAGTGTGTGTGAGTGTAAGTGTGTGTGCGTGCAAGTGTGTGTATATATGTAAAAATATGTGTCTTCTTCAGAATAATCTGTCTTTTTTCTGAATTTATACAAAACCGACAGGTCAGGACATATTCCCCCCGTCATCTTTATACCTCGAGCACGACCGTCATGCTCGAGGAGATATACACGGACTTACGAGCCGGCACCCATCCGGAGTGGCTGCGCCTTGCTGACAACACAGATCGACACTTCCCCAACTGGGAACGAGTACGTGTCGCAAGGCTACATAGGGGGTACTAACACATCAATACATGTGGCGTGGCCACGCCCATTTTTTGTGCAACAGTACGCACGTAGTCGTTTCTACAGAACGCTACTCGGGCTTTACACCTCGAACTTGTATCCCCACTTCTCCGGTCCCCACTTCGGCAAATTATCGCGGGACACCAGACTACATCTGATAAGATCTTGGGGGAGGGACACTGGTGTATCATCTTTCGTGGGGATGGGCGACCGTGCTGCGGGTGAGTCATAAGGCTGTGCGGGATGGCGGCATGTGGCATAGGTACCTAGGCATACATCGGTGGAATTAGTCGGATTTAAATCTTTGGTCCGTGGTGGATGAGTTACGCTTTGTCTGGGCCGAGGAGAGTTTCGAGTACGCGTTCCCATGTGTTGCTGGCAGATCCAGGCTCTACACTCTCCGCCCTCGGCATTCAAAACGCAAATCGCATACAAGACTCGCTCTACTCTGTTGCGACATCTCGTCTTCTCATCACACGGTGCAGGCCACATCTCACAGACGCATATCCAATATCAGGCACGGATAAAGTGGCCGGCTAAGCTTGAATGTCTTTCTTTCTTTTCTTCTTTCGTGTTCAGCCAAATGCAGCAAATCATTCCAAATCAAATCATCCTTTAAACTCCAAGTCGTTGCCTTATCTGTTCCCCCCTCCTAGCGGCGCTGTTACTTTTACACGAACTGATTTCCCCCCTTTCCTTCATGTCTGTATTATAGGTTTCCTTTCTTTCTTTCTGTCGGTGCACCCCAGTCCCTGTGTAGTATGCCTACCTAGGGGACCATGATATCAAACCACTCTCAATTTCCGCCGGCGACCGCGTCAGCAAATCCATTATTAAATTCCTAATTCCTACCAAACCGTCAAAGATTGGACGCTACACGTGATGGCATCCATGACCCGTCGTCACTATCTGTCGGCCCAGGCGAAGAGTCGCTTCCCGGTCCCTAGTAAGGTGCGTGAGCTCCCCGGCCACGGCCCCTATAGCCGCCGCGGTAGCCACCACGAGGGAAACCACCCCGACCGTGGAATCCTCGACCTCCACGGAAGCCTCCTCGTCCACGACCTCGGCTCATGCCAGGAACGTTGGTGCGCTTGGGTGTGACCTTGATGTTGCGGCCCTTGAAGACGCTTTCGTTTAGGATGAGGGCCTGGGCGACCAGGCTGGGTTCTGTAAACTCAACATAGGCGTATCTGCGTGCATGCCTTGGTCAGTACATCGGCTTGTTTTGGGGGGCAGTAAAATGAATGCTATGCCGGCGACACGCACCCCTTTGGCTGACCGGTAAACTTGTCCAAGAGGATAGTCACGCGGTTGATCGATCCACAGCTCTGGAAATGAGCCTGAATCTCCTCAGGAGAGGCAGAGTAGTCGACGTTTCCGACAAAGATGCTTCGCGCATCAACCGACTCCTTGTCATCTGCCAAATCAGCCGACTGCTGCTCCAAGGTGGCCTGCATCTCTCGCAGCTTCTTGGCCTCCTCCTCCATTTCAGCCACACGGCGCTTCATGGCCGTGATCTCTTCCTAGCGCAGGGTATATACCAGTCAGTTCTCCCTGCTTTTTTGTATCAAACAGATTCTTCTGTCGTCTTCATGTGGCCGGCGTTAATTTGCGCCGTGCAAGACACCCACCTCTTCACCCGCCGACACTTCCGCCTCCTGCTCGTGCTCAGCCGACTGAGCGGCAGGCTTGTCCTCCTTGTGGTTCGTGTTCGACATGATGTTCTCGCCCAAGGGGTTGTGGAAACTTGGCGTCCTTAAGATGGTTCCTAGCAGAGGGCAGGTGTGTTAGCACGAGCGAACTTGGCAATTTTTCACCTTTCGGCCCAGACGCAAATCTCGCTCACAAGCTGTTCGTCATGAGCAGGACGCAAGTTGCGCATAACAGCACAGCGAGACCAGAAAATGCAAGACGACTCGCGGGTTGGGATGCGTGGAGCGCGACGTACCGAGATTTGGGAAATTTTGCACTCGCCTCACACAGATGTAGCCCTCCCTGGAAGGAGACGTCGGTTGCCACAAGCAATGCGACAAGGAGAAGGGGGAGAGAAATGAGGGACAAGCAGCGGCTGCAACAAACAACAAACGAGGCTCGAGACACGATTTGCCAATGAAACTTTGCAAGTCTGACTGGCAGTGGGAGCTTTTAGACGCAGGGCCCACGGTTGCGCAGCATTCAACGTGGGGGGCCGGGGTTTATCCGCCGCCTGCATAATTCCGGGCGGCATCGACCCGATGCTTGCACTTGCTCTTTGTGGCTGCATGGCTCTGGACTTGTCTCTGGCGACCTGCTTCGGTCCACCAGCCTCAGCATTTTCACGCCCATTACGGAGGTGCGTGCCGCTCCTGATGTCATCCAAGCCATGGCCAGTCTAGATGTCGCAGGTGCTCCGTAGTAGTAACCTGGTACTCCGTAGCTGTCGGCCAATGCCACATGCAAACCGCGCTAGGCTGTCAATCACTAACCTTGAAGCCGTTCCACGTTCCATTGTCAACACAACACCGACCTCGAGTTCGCGAATCTCGACCGCTTGTCCTACAGCCATCACCACCACCTAAATAGTCCATGTATTGCCTACTGATCACATAGCATCATCAATGCCCTTCTCATCCAGCTCCTGACCTTGGCAACTCCCCCCCAGTCTCCGTCACCATGTCCGACAACTCGCACATTGACCATTCCGCCCCCCTCCTACCGCCGGGCCATCGCCCCTCACCGTCCATAACCCGACGCGCCCTCCGCCACGTCCACCATCTCCGCCGCAAAGGCAGAGTCCTCCTCGCGTCCCGCAAGAAGCACTTTCTCGTCATGTTCATCGTCATGCTCGACGTAATGGCGCTGCTGGCCAACGTCTTCATCCAGCTAATCGCCTGTGAAATGCATCAAAGCGACGAGGAGTGGGTGGTGCAAATAAGGGAAACCTTGGAGACGGCGGCTCTGGTGTTCAGCAGCTTGTTCATGGTTGAGTTGGCCGCTTGTTTGTTCTCATTTGGCCTAGAGTAGGTTTCATATCCTGCCCCTTTCCTCCCTTTGTTTCCATTGTCTGTTGCTGACAATGGCGGAAATGACAGATTTCTTGCTTCGTGGTTTCACGTCTTTGACTCTGCCGTTATTGTGGTGAGCTTTGTTATTGATATTGCTTCCCAGGGTCTTGCCGAGTCTATTGGTTCCCTTGTTGTGGTGCTGCGTTTGTGGAGACTGGCCAAGATATCCGAGGAAGTTGTCCTGGGGGCGACGGAAAGAATGGAAATGTTAGAGCAGCAGATAGAGGAGCTGGAGCATGAGAATACCGCCCTGAGGTTGCAGTTGGGTTTGGAATCCCACGAGCATTCCAGTCACGAGTAGCTGGCAAAAGTAGCAATTGAGTAATGAGACCACGATTGACGACAGAGACACGTTATAGTATGCATGCATATACCCTGCTGGGCGGTAATAGTTGTAGTATTTATCTTTTGAAAAAAAAGGAGAAAAAAATGAAACATGTCCATCTATGACAACCCTCGTTTCGTACAATGGTTTGTTCAATAACATGATGGTATCCCGTGTATATACAGTGTCCTCGACCCCCGAAGAAAAAAAAAACGCCGGCTGATGCTTTATGCTAGCTCCCATGTCCTATGTTGTCCTATGTGCATGACACTACCCAGTGTGACACCGAAATGCTATGCCTCATCTCTCATAATCTTTGGTCCTGACATGATCTCTGCTTACACGAAATTCATCAAGCATGCCGGCTGCGCTTTCCTCCATTTCCGAATGGGTCCTTTCCTCCTAGACAGCCTCCAAAAAAATCGTCAAAATCCCACCGACGTTTCGTTCCGGCTCCTTTGCCCAAATGCCCAGCCCCTCTCGGACCCGATTTCGAGTTGTGCCCGCCTATTCTTGACCTGGTGCCTCGGCTAGGCGGGTGGGACGACCCATCACGAGTTCGGGAATCCTCGAGGTCTAATGTGGCGATGTTTGGATAGGGGTGGGAAGACTGAAAGGAGAAGTTGTCTTGTGATGGTACAACAATGGCCATAGGTTCCTCGGGAACCGGCTCTGGAACCGAACAAGTGTTGGGAGTGGGCGAATCTCGCCGTTTAGTTACTGGCGGTTGAGGGTCAGGGTTCGTTCTTGTGATTTCGGGCGACGATGTTCTCTCTACTCGCTCGTTTTCGTCCTCGCTTTCGGTGGTTTGTGGCGCCGAGTCACGTCCGTCAAGGCGCTCCGTTGCCCATCTTCGTATCGACCACCCTTCTCCGTCTGTGAGGCCGATATTTGCCTTGTTCAGAAAGGAGAGGAGGTCATCAAGGCACTCTTGATAGCCTTCGACCCTGGCCCTAGATTCGACGAGAGCCGACGTCTTGTATAGTTTCGTTACGGAGAGGGCGGCTGCCTTGAAGACATCGAGGAGTTGCTCGGGAGTTTCGGTTTGTGAGACGTGCCTCCCGGTAGGGGCTTTGTTGGTGTCCATGGCGGCAGAGACACAAAAGAAAGTCAGACGAAATGTGGCTCTGCTATGGCGTACTGTGTTAACAAGGGTTCTTGAATCCTTTGGGGTTCGCGGCCAGATGCCGGGTTTACCTGTGCAAGTTGAATGTTTGTTCTGTACGGAGGCGCACGGTGATGTCGAACCGCAACCCCGCGGATGACTCGACAAAGGAATCCGACGGTCCCGGGCAGGACTCTACCAGATGTTTGGTCTGAGCCCGGCTGAACTTGTTGTATCGCCTGTGTTCTTCGGATGTTGTAGATTGCCGGATCCAATGCCCTTCCTCCTTCTGTGCGGCGGCGAGGGATGTGAATGTCAGCAGATTATTGTTGCTTTTCCGAAGTCTTTGCCAACAGAATCTGTGGTCATGGGGCTCTCAACGGCCATGTGGGGCGGCGGGCTGAGAACGGAACCGTTCAGGCACGAGCCGACACGTGACTTTGCCATGTTCAATCTCCAGATCAAAACCTGGGCAATATTGTTGTGCACCATTAAAAAAAAATAAAAAAAAAATAAAAAGATCAAAGAAAAGAAAAGGAGGGAAAAGCTTTCAAGTATTATTAGACCGTCACAATCACTATATGTGACAAAGAAACTTTTTCCGAATTTGCTGGCCGGGTCTTGGCTTCATACCGGGCTATGCTTCGAGAGCGCTACGTCAGTAAGCTTTCCACCAGGTGTCCAGGTTCTGCCGCAAAGGACAGTCTATTACATAGCGTACAAGTATTTATTTACCTAGGTAGGTAGCTCTTGAAGCAAATTCCTGTATGATGCGAGATGTATAGAAGTTCCTACTCTCATGGTATCGCCGTCGCGAGTTTAACTGGGCAACTTTTTCCGTACATACTCTGTACATACTCTGTACATACTCTGTAAATACATAAAGTTCTTCCGATCCGGGCCTGGGGTGTTGGGTTTGGCATCCCCGCCAGCTTCACGGGTTGACCATTCACATCCCACCCTCCGGCTGCTTGTAGCGTGGTGGATCTCCCTGCACGCGCTAGCCCCAAACTCGACCTGGCCTTGGCCTCGATGGGCACGTAGAGATTCTTCCCGCCATCAATCTTCCGAAATACTTCTCTGACCTTGTCACTAATTCCGTCGAGACATATTCCGCCACGACGCCAGTGCCGTTGGATTTAATTACATCCATCAACTGTGAATTAACATATTTACGGCCAGCCGAGATCTTTGACCTCTCCGGCGAGGGCCGCCCCCAACGCGTCTCATTTACAACCAGTCGCGTTGAGAGGTTCGAATATCTCTCGTTTTCGCCATGGCGCCGCGATCAAGAGCTAGCGGTTTGGACACCGACGCATCAATGTCAGATGCACCGGAATACCGTAGAGGAGAAGAAATGGTACAGTCTATCGTGTAACTCAAGTTGTGAGCATGCAGCGACGCTGACAGCAGGCAACTGCTAGGAGGTCGACGAAACCCCAGACTACACAGATTCGGATACAAACCCCAACACAACGGCGAGCAGTGTTGTCGGAGAGCCGCTTACCGATGGGCGAAAACGCCGATCAGAAGCAAACCAATTGCGACGAAGCATCTTCGGCAGGAAGCACGACCGCCTAGGCGAATCGAAGGCACGTCGTTGTACTCAGAGTGACTGCTAGCATTGAACCCTAACTAACTACCCCCGTAGGAAGATGATACAATTCGACGATTTCGATATCTTCTCGGTCTAACTGACCTCTTTCGTCACTTCATCGAGACGAATCCCGACCCCAAGATTCGAGACATCATGGCCGAGATTGATCGCCAAAATAACGAGGCAGCCCACAGCAAGAAAGGCGCTGGCCGACAGGGAGGAGCTACCAGTGACCGTCGCCGGCGAACCGAGGCCGAAGAAGATGCCGAACTTCTCAAGGATGAGAAGCACGGGGGTTCTGCCGAAACCGTGTTCCGTGACTCGCCACACTTTATTCAAGGGCAGATGAGAGATTACCAGGTCGCAGGCCTAAACTGGCTAATCTCTCTTCATGAGAATGGTATTTCTGGAATTCTTGCCGACGAAATGGGTCTCGGTAAGACTCTTCAAACAATTTCTTTCCTAGGATATCTTCGGCACATTGCGGGCATTACCGGTCCGCACTTAATCACTGTGCCAAAGTCGACACTTGATAACTGGAAGCGGGAGTTCGCCAGGTGGACGCCGGAGGTCAACGTTTTGGTTCTGCAAGGCGCCAAAGAAGAGCGACACAACCTTATCAACGAGCGCCTCGTGGACGAGAAATTCGATGTTTGCATTACCAGTTACGAAATGATCCTAAGAGAGAAGGCTCACCTGAAGAAATTTGCTTGGGAATACATCATTATTGATGAGGCACATCGTATCAAGAACGAGGAATCCTCCCTGTCTCAGATCATCCGACTGTTCCAGTCCCGAAACCGACTCCTCATCACAGGTACTCCTCTGCAAAACAACCTTCACGAACTTTGGGCTTTGTTGAACTTTCTGTTGCCCGATGTGTTTGGCGATTCCGAGGCATTTGACCAATGGTTCTCAGGTCAAGATCGTGATCAAGATACTGTTGTTCAGCAGCTGCACAAAGTACTGCGACCTTTTTTGCTGCGCCGAGTCAAGAGTGATGTCGAAAAGAGCTTGCTTCCAAAGAAGGAGGTCAATGTGTATTTGGGCATGTCTGATATGCAGGTCAAGTGGTATCAGAAGATCCTGGAGAAGGATATTGACGCCGTCAATGGCGCTGGTGGCAAGCGAGAGTCAAAGACTCGACTTCTCAACATTGTCATGCAGCTTCGAAAGTGCTGCAACCACCCATACCTCTTTGAGGGTGCTGAACCTGGTCCACCTTACACTACAGACGAACACTTGGTATACAACGCCGGAAAGATGGCTGTTTTGGACAAGCTCCTTGTCCGACTCCAGAAACAGGGTAGCAGAGTCCTCATTTTCTCCCAAATGAGTCGTTTGCTTGATATTCTTGAGGATTACTGCGTTTTCAGAGATTACAAGTACTGCCGTATTGATGGTGGAACCGCCCACGAAGACCGAATTGCTGCCATTGATGATTATAACAAGCCCGGCTCCGAGAAATTTGTCTTTCTATTGACCACCAGAGCTGGTGGTCTAGGTATCAATCTGACAACTGCCGACATTGTTATCCTGTACGATAGCGATTGGAATCCACAAGCCGATTTGCAGGCAATGGACCGTGCCCATCGTATCGGACAGACAAAGCAGGTGGTTGTGTATCGATTCGTGACCGACAATGCCATCGAGGAAAAGGTTTTGGAGCGCGCCGCACAAAAGCTCCGTCTTGATCAGTTGGTCATTCAACAAGGGCGTGCACAGATTGCGGCCAAGGCTGCAGCGAACAAGGATGAACTGTTGTCCATGATCCAGCATGGTGCAGAAAAGGTGTTCCAGTCCAAGGGCGCAACAGGAGACTTGCAGGGTAAAAAGGAGCTTCATGACGATGATATCGACGCCATCCTTAACCAGGGCGAAAATAGAACCAAAGAGCTCAACGCCAAGTATGAGAAGCTGGGAATTGACGACCTTCAGAAATTTACGTCGGAGTCCGCGTACCAATGGAATGGTGAAAATTTTGCCAACGTCAAGAAGGATGTCGGTATGAACTGGATCAATCCTGCGAAACGTGAGCGCAAGGAACAATCGTACTCTATGGACAAGTACTTCCGACAGGCCATGTACGGAGACCCCAAGGGTGATGGTAAACCTAAAGCTCCGCGCGCACCCAAGCAAATTCCTGTTCAAGACTACCAATTCTACCCACCACGTCTCCGAGATCTCCAAGACAGAGAGACGGCCTACTATAGAAAGGAAATTGGGTATAAGATCCCCCTTCCGGATGGTGACGAAGAGACTCTGTCTGATCGAGAAGCTGAACGGGCTCTCGATCAACAAGAAATCGACAATGCCACTCCACTGACTGAGGAGGAAAAGAAAGAGAAGGAGGAATTATCAACACGAGGGTTCGGTAACTGGAGCCGAAGAGATTTCCAGCAGTTTGTCAATGGATCCGGCAAGTATGGGCGTCACGACTACGAGGGTATCTCGAATGAAATCGACAGCAAGACGCCTGCAGAGATCAAGGCATATGCCAAGGTCTTTTGGCAACGGTACACGGAAATTGCCGACTACACCAAATCCATCAAGGTAATCGAGGACGGAGAGGAACGTACGCGCAAGATTGAGAACCAGCGCAAGCTACTGCGCAAGAAGATGTCTCAGTACAGAGTGCCTCTGCAGCAGCTCAAGATCAACTATTCAGTCTCCACTACCAATAAGAAGGTGTACACAGAGGAAGAGGACCGATTCCTGCTGGTCCTCCTCGACCGATACGGCATCGACTCAGAGGGCTTGTATGAAAAGATGCGTGATGACATTCGCGAGTCCCCCCTCTTCCGATTTGACTGGTTCTTCCTCAGCAGAACTCCGACCGAGCTCTCCCGCCGCTGCACAACCCTTATCACTACGATTGTTAAGGAATTTGAAGACGTGCCTGCACGGGGGTCCAACGGTGTCAATGGCAAAACTAAGCGTGAGCCAGATGACGACAACGACGAGGACAGTATCCTTGGTGCACCTGCGAAAAAGAAGTCCAAGAATGGCGTTAAGGTTCGTCTACTCTAGCTATTGGATCTGGCCTATTTGGCGGCAATACTAATACCTAGTTTAGAACAAAGCTCTGGACAATGTCAAGTCAAGCAAGGCTTCCTCTAGAGCCCCTTCCCGCGCATCCAGCGTCGCCTCAACGGGTTCAAACACCACGTCTAAAGGCAAAAAGGGCAAGAAGAGAAAGTGATTGATAGCTCAACAGAGCATGGCGTGTATTGTGTTAGAAAACCGGGATAGGTGGCTACGGGACTGATATAGATGTATGGCGTTTTCTGTCAATGATGTTGGGTGTTTGGGGCTTGTAGGCTTGTTATGTAGTGGCCTGGCCTGGTTGAGTCAATAGGATTTTTGTCATGACATCATTATGAGTGTGGGTTGTCTGGCGTGTGTCAGTTTGAGCAAAGTGTCAAGTAGTTTTACTTCTCGACCATCAGCTTCCTAGTTGGAGATGCTACTGTTTTTGTCCGGCGTGTGTCTCGACATATCGATTTCCATCACTGGGCCCTCACGTCAAGAGTACAATTCGCAAAAACTACAATGTCATTCCCACATCTTCCAGAATTCGGCAGACGCTCCGTTCCATCTCCCGCCCTTTTGCTCTTCGTATCTCGTCAAAGAGGAAGCGAAACGGCTGTATATGAACTACCTACATATAAAGACCCTCATCGGCACAAGACAAACACAAATAATGCCCAGTGTACCCGGTCTCCGTACCATTTTCCGACCCTACTTGTTTAAAACCCGTGACGCGTCTTTTCCCGGGTGTACTTTTTTTCTCTTTATTGTATCGTTTAACCCCAAGAAAAAAACAAAGGGCTACCTTGTATTCCGCCATAACGCCAAACTATGCAAGCATACCAGGAAAAGACGCGCCTTAAAAAGACCAAATTTGTTTCGCAGGACTTTTCTGCTCTCCTCCCAATCTCACGGCGAAACTTGCAAACTCGGCGCCATGCGCTTGTTTGTGTCCCGTCGTGCAGCAAAGGATATTAAGATGGCAGGGTAAGGTCCGCGATATTTGGTGATTTTACTTCCTCGTCATATGATGTATTGTTCCCTTTACTGCATTCGGTTGTTTCGTTCCCTCTCGACTTCGTACAGAAAGTCGTAGTAACCCTTGTCAAAATGGTGAACACGGACGTAGCCGTCCTCTCCACCGCTGGCGTAGCTCTTGCCCGTGGGGTCGACGGCGACGGTGTTGAGGGGACCGAAGTGGCCTCGCACGCGGCCGACCTCGTCCTCGAAGATCTTGTGGTAGAAACGGGCTTCGAATTTACCCTGTCGAGCGGAAGTACGGGTGACATCCATGGCGGCCTGACCACCGCCGAGGATAACAAAGTCCTTCTTGGGGGTGATGGTGGCGCTGTTCAGGGGAGTATCGGCGACGTAGTTCTTCAGCACGGTGAGATCGCGGGCAGCAATGAGCTGTGTCAGCTTGTTAGTATCTCCTTGCTGACCCTTCAACTTTGCCTATTGGTTCGTATGGTTGTCACCTACCTTGGCGGTCTTGTCCTTGCAAGCAGTGATGAAGTAGGTGCGGTCGGGAGCCCACTGCAGGTCGACAATGGGCTGATTGAGTTCGTGGATGGGGACGTTATCCAAGAGGTCGCCGGTCTTGCTGTCGTACTGGCTGACACTACCATCCTCGTGTCCAGCAATGATGTACTTGCTCATGTTGCTCCATCCTGCAACCGTGGCCTTGGATTCGTCGCAGACAATGGTCAAAGCCTTCTCGTCGCTCTGCTCGGCCTCGACGTCGGGGTTGATGTCGATGACGACAATGTTACTCAGGTAGCCCATGCGCTTTTCCGTGACACCGAGAAGCCTGGTGCCATCCTCGTTGAACTCGACACGCTTGACGGCGGTGGGGAACTCCCAGACCTTGAGGCACTTGCCGCTCTTGACGTCCCAGAGGCGGATGGTGTTATCGGCAGAACCAGAGGCGATCATGGTTGAGGTAGGGTCGACATCGACGGTCCAGATGGCACCAACATGGCCGTGGTAGGTTCCGAGACGCTCGCCATTATGCGAAAACCAGGCGCAAATCTGCTGATCCTTGGCGACAGAGAAGATGATATCGCCATCGAGGTTGTAGCTGTTCACGGAGAAGGACAGTTAGTATATGAGTCATTGAAGGACATAGAAATTCCTCGCAAGCATTTTTCTCTCTCTTCTACTCGCCAAGATTGAAACGGCAATCGGACAGCGGGGAGGGGCTATTTTGACGAGGAGGGGAATGAGCGAAGCGAGGCAAGTCGTACCGAATCTGAGTGAGCGCACGCTCGTGCCCAGAAAGGAGAATGGGTCTCATGTTGGGCAGCTGCTTTGCGAAGTTTACTCTCGACCTTGTTGCTGTGGATGAGCCGGTGCTGGACAAGAAAGGGTCGAGAGAAGGCGGAGGGTAATATGGGCCAGCTGGGCAAGGCGTTTGGATGAGACTTGACCGTGGTTAGTGGGCTTTGAATTTTTGGCGATTGTGCGTTTCGGTGGGGCACGATGCCTCGAAAGGGTAGCGGGGGAGTCACATACAAACTCGCACAGGTACCGCACCGTGTATGGTCAGAGGCAAGCAGAAAGACATGTGCATATTTGGCCGCTTACATGTGTGTATTTGTGAGAGCTGACCATTTTACACAGGGAATGCGACTCGGGATTGGAGCGTACCGATTGGACTGACATGTATTCCGTACTTCAAATTCTGCTGCGCGTGCCGCAAGAGAGCAAGTACCTGAGTACCTCCGCCAAACATCTTGTCCACATCTTGTCCGCGACACTTCATCAAGGCAGTCAACACCATCCCTGTTGGAGTCATAAATAGTGAGTCACGATGCTATGAGGCAGACAGTCACTCCCTAGTTCGACCCAGGCATCGTGCTCGTCATCCTCGGATTTGACTGGCAGTGACAGGCTGCCCCTGGAGACGAAGCTTCTGGGTCAACAATGATTTGGTAACCATGGAACAGGCACAACAGTGATGGCGGTCATACAACATGTACCCGGTAATCAGATTGTTGCTCTGAGGTCTGGCTTGGTCGATGATGCTGATAGCCAGGCAATCAAGATCCTTCAGCCAATCTCCTTACCACGAGGCCACGAGAACCTTCCGACTGCAGTACTGGCCATTTCCGATGAGTGGTGTCTTCGAGTAATATCCCTTCGGGATCGAATATGAAGAATCTTTAGCGATTAAGCGGTTGCGGTACGTTTCCTCCGTCCTTAGTACCGTTGTGCCGCCTTTAATTAATCCGTTGGACTGTCCATCCGCAACCGCAGCTCGCGGCGCTATAATACAGATACATTGACAACATTTTTCTGGCCGTTGCCAATTGTACAATAAGAGACCGCGTTATGTGGCGCGCGACATGCCATGGCTAGATCTCTGGTCAACTTGCAACTTGTCAACCAGTCCAAACCAGTCTACCGCAATGCCTTGCGCCTCACTATAATTATGTGTCAGAGACATGCTTGTCTTGGCTTCCCGTTGATGGTGGAGCATACCAAAAAATCACGCGTTTTGACAACGGCAGACAAGTCAGAGTAATACACACCGTGCCAGCAAAATATGCAGCGAATTGCGTTCGCAGTGGTGTAAGACTTTGCTGCCCAAGGCCAAGCCTATTCAACCACCTGCACGCGGACACATAGCCTCAACGCTCAACAATGGTATTGGCAGGTCTCTTGGACTATCCTTTCTCGCCTTGCCTTACGTTGTATTTGTGGCTAGGAACAGTGCTCGTTCCTTATGAAGCAAGTCATGATGTTACCGTCAACTGGCATCATGATCACGCTCACGCTTATAAAGCTTCTTGACTTCGAGTTATAGCAAATCATCCACCTATCTTTTCGATCGCTTTAGGAATACACTGGCTCCCCTAGGGTCACGACGAGTGGCGTCAATGTCAACCCCTTACAGCGCTCCTGCATCTCCCTGTGTCTTATTGAACGGAAATGTATATGTTCCAGCCTAGCAGCCTAACTGACATGGTTTGAACTCTGTCAGAGTCGGCTAACTTAGCTTCTCGAGCCGCCTCGTTGCACAACCGTATTTTTCGGTGTCTTGTTGCCAATGAACTCTTTCTTCCTGGCTTTCGGTCGGGGGGTTCGTCATGGTCGTGGAACTCCTTGCTACAGTACCCGTCAAGACAGAGGATGGCCTATCTCTTGGATAATTATGGACTCGTCTACTGAAGCGTCTGCCATGGCCGCTCTATTTTCTGTTGGTAGGTGTTTTGTCCGGAGACCTGTCAGTGCGGATACGCCCAGTAATGCCCAAGCACCGGCTCAATTGGATATCCCCGACTTAGCCCCGAACAATGGATACGAACAACTGACGGAGGAGCTAGATATACAATTCTAGGAGTAGAATAAGGGGGCAAAAGTTGTTAACTTGAAGACGCGAAGGCGCATCGCGTTGAACAGACTGGCCTGATGCAGTCGGTGGGAGGGGAACGGCGTAGACCCGGAGAGATGAGGCTCTCGGGAATGTTAGGGCATAAAGGCTGGACAGTTCGCGGCCGAAAGAATCGCATTGAGGCTCTGCAATAGCCCTGCAAGTGACATCATGCACCCCATCCGACATGTCCCATCCAACCAACCAGGATGTAGGGTTTTGGAAGCTTCAGACGCATAAAAAAGGAGTCTTTCCGCACGTCTTCTTTACTGATTCTCTCGGTCGATTTGAATTGTTCCCTTTTTATCCCATTCTCTCTCCCTTGATATAACTTATAAGCCTTTGACTGAGGGACAGTATTTCTTACTATTCACCACCATTCAACTTACGTCTTTCACCAACCCTTAGTATACTTAATTTCCATCTCATTTCCCATGACTTGTTTTGCTGCAAGTTTATTGTCATCTTAACCTACGACGTAACGGACCGACCTTTCGCCGACGACGCGGACCAAAATTACCCCAAGTGTCTGGTTGAAAATGGCCATCCATGGCCAGCGCGCTTCAATACCACAACACAACCCTACCCATCACGTTAGTCGACGCCGAACACGATGACATGAGGCGAGCAAAACTGCGGCGACTGGAGTGAGGCGAACAAAAACTTGAACACGTCACGCTGCCATGTCGGCAGCCTCACTTTTCATGCATGACTTGGACGCCCTGGACGCCTTGGACGCCTTGGACGCCTTTTTCCGCCGCACCGCATCTCAACTTGGTAATCGCGGGCCACGGCTTCAACTTTCTCACCGAATTTTGAGACATTGAAGCAAGTCCGCGACACCTTCATGTTTTACTGGCTCGGGGAGCTCACACTCTGCCCCGGCGCCCACCGTTGCGTGGTTTCCAACCCAGCTCTTGGGTGTAATAGAATCAGCGGTTCGGCCCATTGCGAGTGTTATTTACCTTTCGAAACCGAGGAAGTAACCCGGTGAGCGCCAAAACGCGAAATCCAGTCAGGATTTGAGTTGAGACCGGCTCATTGGCCCAATGAGATCCGAGTGGTGGCTACTGTTAATCACCAGGTATCTGTTCAACAAGGGAATAATACGGAGCAATATCGACGGTTCAGGGGTTGGAAACTTCTGCAGAGAGGTACTTTGAGTCTGTGACTGGAGTATCGCCGATTGGGCAAGCACGATTGTCGAGTCCAGTTTGTAGTCACGATGCGCCACCTGGAACGGGCTGCCCATTGTCATCGCTCTGAGCAAATCAAGGAGGAGCTGCAGTAAAGGAGATGATCTTACTCGCTTGAGTTCATGCAGCTGGAGAAGGAGGCCAGTGTGAATGCGGTTCCCGATACCTACATGCACGATGGACGCATGCACGAACTGTACCGAGAGAGTATCACACTAGCGATGCAACCCACGACAGCTACCGATTAACGTTCGTTTGGAAAGGCATTTGGCTAGTTGTATACCTTCGGATCCGAACAAAATCTTTACCGGCGTGACTATGTCGTGTATTCCTGAGATCGTTGAGGACCGGACGCCTTGCATGGATGGAGGAATGGAGAATGACCGTCGTCGGCAAACGCGAGCCAAAAGGGAGAGATTTTAATCGAATTTTGCGTTCAAATTCGCAGCAGCGCGACATGCCGCAGTTGTCCTCGCTGTTTGCAACTCCGTTCTCTTGCTGCAAGTGAAGTTGTACCTGGTTCGAAACTCGTCGACCCTATCTAGTTTCCTCCGGCGATAGCTACGGACACTTGGCGTTTCTTGCCGATTCGGGGTGCTATTACTGCGACGTTAGAGGAAACCCACCAACTGTCAGGCTTGATGTGAAAATGCCTTCGGCAAAGGCTGTGTACAACGGGTAATTCGTCCTTGCTAACTTGGCTCTCGTACCTGCTGCTCACGCTTGATTCCTCAGATCGGCTCCCCGCAAGCCCGACCACAAGTATACGCACCATGGAGCGACCTCAGGCGGACAGAATCTTGGCAACGACCGCCTGGCGAATTTCCTCGAGCGTGGCGCCTCGGAGCCCCAGGACATGGCGGCTCGTCATGCGCAAATCTTGGCTTGTATAAGCTCTGTTGATGCCAAGTTCAACCACAATTGAAGAGAGAAGGGAACACACGCGGCTATCCGACTGGAATTAGGTTTATGGCGTTCGGGAAGTAGGCAGCCCCTGACGAGACGGAATGGATGTGATGAGGAAAAAGGGACAGAACTCTGGGCGACGCGCAAGAAACTTGTTACTGTCTGACGGGAACAGTGGAAAGGGTATTGGATATTGGAAGGAAGGCGTACGACAGGCTTGTCAAAGCACCGGAAGCAAGGTCCAATGATGTAAATTTTAGCTCTCGAGTTCTATAGCTGGACTATTAACTTGACTCTTTTACGCATTCTACCGGTGTCCTTGATTGCCAAGTGAAGTGCGACTCTTATTAGTATAATAGAAGAAAAAGGAAAAAAAAAAAGAAAGAAAAGATACAAAGGGAGTATAAGGCTTTGAGTAAAACGAACAATCCAGTCATGCTGCGCTAAACGAAGTGAGAGCGCTGCAGGAGAGCCTTCCAGCTTTGCTTCCTTCATTAATAAGAGCCCACGAATAATCCACCATAATCACTAGCCTCGCATAGCTCAAACTTGACATAACATTTGAATGAAGCCTAATCTCAAATGACCATCTGCCTAGTACCTAGTAGGGATGACTGGCTTGGATGCTGATGTCGGTACGTATCTTTGGGGCGTACCGCGATCCTGCCTTTTTGGTGTTGGGGTCGTACGCATACCTCAGAAGCAGCTCGACCTTCCAGCTAGCCTCATACATCCAATCTCATGATAACATCATTGAGCGGCACAACAGGCACAAAGAAATCTACAGACGGTCCCCGGCATGGCAAGTTTACTTACACCTATACCAAGGGTTCACGTTGACCTCGTACCTGATAATGTTCCTATGAAGTCAATTCAGGTACACACTGCTTGAAGTACAAGTTTCACACGGCGAGCGCTAGGATTATCCGCATCTCTAGATGGGCGAGTTGTTTGCAAAAACACCACAAAAATCTACGGCAGGCAAAAACAAGTCCTCGATTGCCGTCGTAATTAGTGTGGTCGAACCGTCTGGACTGTTGAGCCTCTTTCTTCGTCTTGAGCCAGCTCGGACTTGAACTGCGATATTTCTTCATCATACCAGCTGGCCTTCCCTCACAATTGGCTAGGCTGGGCTTCGATAATATGCCATCCGGGATTCGCACTGGTGGCTCAGTGACAGAGACTCTTGTCCCATCAAGATTGCCGTTGTGCCTTGATGTATCCGAGGATGGAAGTATCGCTAGTGGTTTGCCTCATGGGTACCGGAAGAGTCTTGGTGCAGCAGAGATCTTCAATTAGAGGCATCAAGATGCGGTAGCAGGTTCTGCATAATCTCGGACACTGTCGGCTGCCGTTTCCGACTTGGGCTTCAGGACACAAAACATGAAGCGGAGCCGCACGGCTTGGATGCCCGGGTCATCAGCTAGGAACTTTGGATTCCCAACCGAAACAGGAGCCTGATTGAATTACCCATGAGGAATCCGAGAAGCTTAGCAAAATCCATCAACCTTCTACTTAGTCGAGCGGTATATTGAGCGGCACTCGGCCCACAACAAAGGCTAGTAAAGTCAGGTTCCATGAAGGGACGTTTGCAATAGAAAGCCGCTGCTGCCGAATTCGCTATAATATACACTGGTACTGGTCATGCCTATGTACAATACCATACTAGCAAGAGCGTTCACTGCATCGTTCTATCTTTGAGAAGATGTATATTCATTCTGCTGTTTAGCGGTGTCTGACCAACAGACTTCTGGGCCTCAATATGGCGTGGAACTCTTGTACATATCTGAAATATCTCTAGTCAAACCTAACATATCACTCTTGTACCTCTGCATATCCAGTAGTCTGGTTCAGACATGGAAGGGCATTGCAGATGATCTCGAGGCTCAACTTGTTTGTCTATTCCTGTACGAGACAACTCCGCTTGACTTATCCCCACGGATCTGTCTCGAGTATCTCACCAGAGCATGTAATCTTCCTGAATGAATGGCCACGGTAGTGCATCTTCACCACGCGGCGGAAGCACTTGAAGCACATGTGGAAGTCGATACATCTCGTACACTCATATGCTGGCCCATATATCACCTGTGTAGAGCGCGCGGATTAGTGCGATTCCCCCAGTTTCCCTCCGGCTTGAGGGCTACTTACACACTTGCAGGCATCACATATGACTCCAAGTCCCGAGCTTGATGACGCTGCTTCTTCTGGCTTTAGTGGCCGAGCAGTCTCCTCGTCGGCCGCGAGGTCGGCCGGAGACTGAAACGGCGGCCGCGGGCCGTTGGGCCTGAGACGATTTCTCAAGCTCCCGTCACTGGTAAGGCGGCCGCCGTGGTACCGAGCGACGTCGAAGGGGGTCCAGCCTCGGAGGCTCCTCGCGTTCCTACAAGTAGAGTCATCTCTATCTAAGAGGAACTCCACGACTTTGCTACTATGGCTGCGACATGCCCAGTGCAGCGGAGTCCAGCCGTCGACGTCGCAGTCTCGCACTGCATCTGGATGTTTCTGAAGAACCAATTTCACCACATCTAGGTGTCCGCATCCAGCCGCAAAATGGAGGGCGTGCTGGCGTTGGTGCTCGTCTGTGCTTACTAATGTGAACTCATCGTTGGTGAGCATCCGCAGATTGTGCACCCCGGCGCCTAAACATCTTGAGCATGCGGCGAGGTGCAGCGGCAGGCGGCCGCACATGTCGCGAGCCCCGGGAGATACATATTTGGAGCGCACAAGACAGCGGACCACTTTCCGATCCCCAAGGTGGGCTGCGAGATGGAGCGGCGTGCCATCGTTATCCTTGAACATTGAGTGGCGTTCCAGGAGGAACTCGACCATACTCTTCCACCTGGCGTGGATTGCAAACTGCAAAGGTGTTGTGTGATGCCCGGCGTGCATGTTGAGAGTCGTGTTGTCATGATCTAGAATCATGTTGGCCATGGTAATGTACTCGGCGACGGCGGCGGCGACGGCAACGCCGCGGCTGAGAAGCAGCTCAACCATTTTCGGACCGTCCTTGCCGCCTCCGATAACAGCAACCTGGAGCGGAGTCCCATGTGTCTGGCCGACGAGGTTCACGTCCGTCTTGTCAGACTCGCACAGCAGCTTTGCGAGCTCCAGCCAGCCCCAGAGAGCGGCGTAGTGAAGCATCGAACCGTACTCGCCGAGTTTCTGATTCGGGTCCATGCCATATTCCAGCAGAATCCGCACTTTTCCTGTGTCCTAGCCCTTCTCGTTTTGCCCATGCAGGAACAGGAACAACGCTTCGGGAGACATGCAGAGCCCCGGCCCCGAGATGTCGGTGGCGTGCTTCACAATTAGCCGGAACACGTCCAGCTTGAAGGTGGCCAGCGCCAGGTCGAGAAATGTGGAATACTCACCTGCAACGGGCCGCGGCACAGTGAAAGATGACTTGGCGGCAAGCAAAATGCCGACGCCGTCCTCACTGCCAGCTGTGGCAGCCAGGTAGAGCGGAGTGGCCCCCTTTTCGTTCTCGACATTTAGGCCGGCCCCGGCCTCGACCAGTATCTTGAGACATTCTACAGAGCACTGTCCTGCGGCATAGTGAAGGGGAGTGCTCTTGGTGATGTCTGTAACATCAAGCTTGGCACCTCTGCTGACCAGAAGCTGCACCAACCTCGGGTTGGAGCTAAAGGCAACGTGGTGTAATGCCGTGAGGTTTAATGAGGACTTGGTATCTATGTCTGCGCCGGCGGCGAGTATTGTCTTGACCGTGTCTTGCCTGTGAAATGAGGCAGCTTCCAAGTAGCCAGCATTTCGACTGGCTGAGGACGAGTAAGGCGCAAGGACCTTTACCGCCGCAGTCTGTCCGTACTCGCAAGCCAGAACCAGCGCATCCGTGTCCCTGAAGCCTCTGTCCAGCAGCATCTTGATGACCTGGACATGGCCCGCAAGAGCCGACAGCGAGAGAAGGGAGGGATTCGCTTGGTATACGTCGTCGCTGCCCACCACTTTTGCCGCCTCCAGGAGCTCGTGTAAAACTTGGTCGTGGCCGTACTGCGCCGCATACTGCAGAGCGTCCCGGCCGTTTCCGTCACGCCATATTACACTGGCACCGCGACCTACAAGAATCCGGACCATGTTCAGATGGTTACCCTTGGTCGCAATAATGAGCGCAGTTGAGCCGTCAGATGCGTGAGAATTCACATCAAAATCCCTCTCATGAGTCGGAGCGGATGTGGTGTCTCCAAGAAGCATCACGGCGATTCCGAGGTGATTGTTCTCCAACGCCAGATGCAGCGGAGTTCGGCCAGCGCTGTCCTTAGCATTCGGCGATGCCCCCCAGACAAGAAGCGTCTCGGCAATGTTCCAATGGCCGTTGCGACAGGCTACGTGCAGCGGACTTTGCTCCTGGTTGTCGCACACAGAGTGATCGGCGCCTGCAGTGAGAAGCTGCCGCACCACGGTGAATCGTCCGCGCTGGCTGGCGAGGAACAACGGGGTGGCGCCCATCAAGTCTCTCATGTTGAGCGACGCCTTGGCTGCTTCGGACTCGCTAAGCTTGGATAGGATCTTGGACACTAGACTCTCTTGACCGGACAGGGAAGCAAGATGGAGAGGCGTTTTCTCCTGATATTGCTCGGAGGCGTGGCTAATATATTGCTCCTGCCGCTCCCATAATGCCTGCGGTGGAAGCGAACCACCCAGTGCTGCAATGACGTGTAGGAGAGGTTGATGATATTGTCCAGAGTCCGAGTCGGCCCATAAATCGGGCTTGTTCATCAAATGCATTATCAGGCCGGAATTTCCGAGCCGGACTGCATCCTGGAGAATCTCGTGCGCATTCTTCTTGACGAACTCGCTGTACCTGTCTGCTAGTATACACAGGGACGAGTCGGACCCTATCTGGAAAGCTCTCTTCAGGGTACACTCGTCGCCAAAGTCGCCGCATTGATCAAGTTGGTGTAGAGTGCTGGCGATTCCCATCTGACACGCAGCCAGGGCCACTGTGGATGGACACTTCCCCTGGTCGGGTGCGCATTCTATATCAGATGCATGCAGTGCGAGGCTGATGGCTTCGGCACATTCTACATGCAGTCGGTCTCGGATCTGGACGATGCTGGGCACCGCCTGTTGATTTGACTCGGGTGGCTGAAAGGCGCGTCCAGAACTTCGAAGCCGCAGGCAGCAATGGACCAGACCTCCGTCACAGACAAATTCATCCTCCAATTTCGTATCTCCAGACGAGTAGTCTTTCAACCGTAGATGCGTGAACCAATGCTCGACAGCGTAGGACATCAGGGGCCCCGAGTCCAATTGCCCGGCCGCCACGTCACCGGGAGCATTATCAGAAAAGCCCTGGGCTTCGCTAGCCCCCCCTTCTGACTCTTCCGATGCTTGTTCGGGCTGCCCGCTCCGGTAGTGATGAAGGATGTATCTGCGGCAACTGAGGGCAATGTCTGGACTACAAGCAGGCTTGAGGTCGAGAAAATGCGACGAGTCCTTGGTATGACCAGACGTCTGTTGGAGAAGGTGCTGAGTAAGCAGGGAACTGGCCAGGTAAACGGTGCCGTCCTCAACCTCAACAAGTCCGCACAACAGTCTTTCGAATTCTGAGACGGTGATTGTGCTAAAACCGTCGCCAACGACGTCGTCTGCCCCCATCCCAAGTGCCGTCGCGAATTCGGCACATGTAAGTGGCCGCAGGGCGTGGGTGATCCATAGAATCCCCGTTCTTACCACGCTTTCCACGGATTTGGGTACCAGATTCAGTATGGCCGTGACGACGTCCTGACTGATTGCCGAAAACAGGGATTTTCTGACCGACTGCAAAGACAGGAAGGAATGTTGTTCCAGCACAGCAAACAAGTACCGCATAGCCCCCAGATCCGTGGACGCTGCCAAAAATTCCATGCCATCTTTTCGAGAAAGAACCTGAGCCCTCTCTGGACCTAGACGCTCGAAACATGCGTCGTAGTCCATTTCAAGAGCTTTTAAAACGTCAGCATCGCCAGGATCTATTATTTTTCGAATAATGACGCGGTTAGCATGTTTTTGCACATGGCAAACAGTCGAACTAGAGGAGGAGGCCCCATCTCGGGCCGTATTGGGATTTATACAGGTGCTGGCGTCGGGCGTTGTGTCCGGACAAGAGGCCACATTCCGCACGACCAGGATCTTGACTGAAATTTCTGTTGTTTGGACCAAGCCAGCAAGGTCGGCAATAAGTTGCAAAAAGGGCGAGGCGAAATCAGGCTCGGCCGGCTGATGGACGATGAGAAACGGCTGGCCTAGGACCTGTCCGCCAAGAAGCGCCGCGAGACATGTCCACAATGTGGTCTCTATCCAGGCAATGTTGTGGCTGTCGAGAGCGTTTCGTGCATCCGCCAGCAGTGGCTGGATTTCGACACAAAGGCTGGGATGCCCTGTCAGTAGTTGCCGGCAAACACATGCCATAAGCTGTGCTTTTGTCAGCGGAAAAGGGCGCGGCTTGTGATGTGCCAGAGTCAGGAACATGTCCATTGGCCAGCTCTGCCGCTCCCGGAGTGAGGAAATAAGGGAACTTGTGAGAATGGTGGCGTCTCGAATACACCCTCCAATCTCTAGTGTTGTCATGGTCCTGGCCACGGCGTGTTGGCTGCGTTTCGGGACCTCCCCTGTCTTTGGATCATTCGAAACCTCTGAGTCTGGGTCTTGTAGACTCTGTTGTTCATGGCTCTTTATTACAGCAGCCCCCGTCTCCTTGCTAGCCCCCGTGGCCTTATCTGCCCACGAAGCCAGTCCGGCATCTGAAAGGATCCAATCACATAGGTTTTTGTATGCAGGCTTCGAACCCTGTCGCACAGGAATGTCTAGGCCGAATCGAGTGAGAAGCCGGAGCCATTCTTGATAGTCTTTGCGTGAGCCTGGAGAAGGAAAGACGATCAGCCTCGATTCCCCCGAAATTCCGATACGAGGCCCGCAGAGGAGTCAAGACTTACTGGCCTTGGCGTTTTCAACCCTACTGGCAATGAGAGTCTGATGCTCGTGTGCGTAGACATTGAACAGCGTGTTGTCGCCTCTTGGAAGGCCAATCTGAATCTCACCGTGTACGTCAAGCGTCGCATTGAGTTTCTTGGCCAGCTCCACACGATTGTTAGTCTTTATAGGAAGCTGGCGGGGGTTCTGTGACAGCTCACCATTTCATTTTCATCCGACTTTGAGCTCACTTGGTAATGACTGATTATGCTGATTTTGTATTGCTCAATGAAAGCAATGAATTTGTCCGTCAGGTCCTTATGGAAGCTCGACAATTGACTGACAATGCTAGGAATCCAGGAGCCAGGGCAACCTTTATGCTGTGTGAGGATGAGGTGTGATAACATGGCCTCCCAAGAACAACAGTCTGACTCTCTGTGAGGGGACCCAAAGAATATCTGTCGTGGTATCAGCAGACTAAAAAAAAGGATGGGGATTTCTCTCTTCAGTGTTAAGAGATGCTTGACCTTAGGCCGCAGGAGGTGTACCAACCAAAAGGTTTGTATTTTCTAGGACCGATGAGAACTTGGATGTGTCTGACGCCGCGATCAGCAAGGCCTAAGAGCGAATCGTCTGGTTAGTACATTACTTGATGGACCTCCGGGACTTGAGGGTCAGACCCATCGTCAGGTATCTTCATCTCACTTGTTTTAGGATCGTCCCGCCAATATCGCAGGCCGCGAAGATGAGTGCCGGCTTGGGAGACTATTTTAGGCGTCAGTTCGATTTTCAGGAACCAAAAGCTCAAAGAGTCAACCTGGTTTACCGCAATATTTCTCCGCGAATTTATAGCTCCCAAGGCCACTTGAAGCAGATTATTTGCCAAAGTCCAAATTCCCTTGATAGTAGCCGCCTCTCCGACGATGGCGTTGGCCGCCCAAGAGAACTCAATTTCTCGTCTTGTGGGCGTGCCTTGCTGGTAGTGCAACGAGGCAAGCTCGCCACTGAGGCTCGCAATGCTGATGAAGCTGAACAAAAGATGTTAGAAATGGTCTTGGTAAGAATGTTTAGAGCGCCACACACATCGGGTCTGGAGAATCATTGGTTTCTTCCTCATGGACTATTGACGCAGGGCGTGGGGATTCTGGTTCTGAATCCCAGTCGGACACGGTAGTATCCTCCGAGTCAGAAGAGGCACCCGCGGCTGGTGGACTTGGAGCGGGATCTGGAAACTCCATTCTGGGCTGATATGCTGGACCCCAGGCATGTAAGGCTAGTCGATGGGCGACAGTCCCGAGGGCGCGTTTGTGGCTCTTTTTTATGAGTGCCTAGCGCAAGAGTGCGTGAAAAGATGCTCGACTTGATCTGGCTGGCAATCGCCGCCTCACCGAAGGTCCCACGGTCAAGATCTGGACAAAGGCATCGGACAACAAAGGCCACACAACAACAAAGAAAGGTACACATGTATCACGAGAGCCCGGAGTCAGACCTTGGCGAGGGCAGCCTCAGGTCTCTAGGGCTCACCCACCGACTTCTTGTATTTATAGAGACTTCTGACCCTCGAGGTCTTGGAAAAGCAAGGACCTTATACTAGGGTCTACAAGATGACTTGTCACGACGCCGTGTCCGTCTGCCGGGACACGCCACGTTCTGCAGCATCCGTCAACACAAACCCCTGGGCTGGGCTGCGCGCCGACTTTGCAGGGAGATGATTGTATTCAAAAGCGAGAGTGCCGAGGGCATCTTCACGTCTGTTGCGGAGCCCGAGCACGCCTTGAGGTGTCTGGTCCAGAGGCAATACATGGCACCATGGCCACAAAACGGGTCTCGTTTGCATCTCGACGCAAAATATCAGCCATCACAACGTTGCACCCGACTATCGACAAGTCAAAAAGCCAAAGAGTAAAAGAGCGTGTATTGAGAAAATGTGAAAGGAACCCAAAGCAGTGAAATCAACCTCGTTGACAAAATTCAGTCTCGGCAGAATCAGCACTATATTAACCCTAACCCTCCCCCATCGGCGGCAAATGCACGTCAAACACCACCAGGTTTCCTGGTCGGATCCAGACATCGCGACCTGTGGCGCCGCCCCAGGTCCCCCTGCCACTTGGAAATGTCAGGCGTCATGTACGGCGGCAGCCCGACAAACGGATTGCCCGGCTCGTTTCTCTCCAAAATCGCCATGGCGAACGAAAGCGCAGGCACGAGGGAGACATTCTCCGCCATCCAGGCGTGCAGGCCGTGAATGACACTCTCGAGGGCGCCCACGACCCACGCGTGATGCGGGCTAGCGGCCTCGCCAGCAATTACAACGTCTCCCGAGGGATGGATCATCTTGTTCCACATCTTGGTGAACTGCTGGGGGCGGAAAAAGGCGAATGCCCCAGCCGTGTTGGGGTCGCTGCCCCAGGCGTGAGCATGGTGAGTAATGTAGTTGTCCTTGACGAGCTTATACAGCTCTTCCTCGGGCATGTGTTCACTCCTATGCAGGCGCGCCAGATCGCGAAGAAGCAGCTCCTTTAGCTCCGCCTCCTCTGCCACCTTTTTCTCCGGCTCGGGGTGGCTGGATAGGAGTGCGCCGATGCGCTCCGCGTCCTGCTGCCAGGTGTAGGAGCAGAGGAGCACGGCGGTGCCGTCCGCGTCGTCGTAAATGTTGTACGAGGGATACACGCACGTGCGGATGCTGAGGTCCGAGTAGCCCAGGCCGCCCATCTTGATGCCGTGCGTCCCGAGATCGTGAATCCACCACGCGCGCTTGAACTTGATGGCCACCTTGGACGACGGGCCGTACCCGAGGGACCGGAGGGCCTGCTTGGTGGCGTAGTTGAGTCCGGCGCGGCTGATGTCCATCTGCCGCATGCAGCCGAGCGTTGTCGTGTTGACGAGCCCCTTGTACTGGCACTTCGTCTTCTTGCCGTGTGGCGTGTCAACTTGGATTTCCACCTCCATCGGCCCCTTGGCCGTGATTTTGGTCACCCTGTTTCCGTAATGAGGCTTTCGTGTAATCTTGCTCTCTAGGATTTTGGACAGCTGCTGGGCGCCGCCTAGGATGCAGAACCAGTCCTTGTGCTGGGTGTCGTATTCGAAATCCAACGATTCCAGAACAGTCTCGCTGAAGGCTTGGTCGTACCAATTGGTCCCTCTGGAATCACGCGGTATTTTAGTATTATTATTGCTTTTAAATGTTTGGCATACTTGTAGGATCTACCACTCACCCGTTGAACGTTTCCATCCACTCAATGGTTTCATAGTTGTATGGCGGTGGTGGGATAGGGCTGCCCGGGCTTGGTTTTGAACCGCCGCTGTAGATAGGGAAAACATGTGAGCGGGCTGTTTGAAACAACAAGCGCAAGACAAGATGGCCCATCTGCTTACATTCCCAAGAATTGGCGCGTGCTGAATTTATCATACTGCATGAGGAGATTCCATCCTTCACGGCCGGGAGGGTCCTGCTTAGCATCGCGCCTGAGGGCCTCTCTCAAGGGCTCAATGCTCGCATTCATGACTTGGTCGGGAGGATTTTTGAGGAGTCTGATCCATTGCTGATTAGCTCAACTTGCTTCTTGCAACGGCTTCATGGCAAACCCGCCTCCTACATTTTGGGTATGGTGTTGTCGGTTGAAATCTTGAACGGATCACTATCATCACTCACGATGGAGCTATACGTTCCCCATAGAGTAATGTCGTTGAAACACCACGGCTCAACGGTACGTGAATGCTCGTCGCCATTCGTCATATAATACGGAATGATGGATCCATCGGGAGCGTCTGGGTGTGTTTTCAAATCCGTCATCTTCATGCCGAGCGTCTTGAAGAGGGCAAACGTTCTATTCTTCTCGTTAGACCAGTTGAATAGCGTCGTTATTATCGGCTGCCATGACCTACCGCGCCATGACGGGGTTGTCTGGAAATCTCATGGCACCCACGTCGTAGTAATCATGAGCCTTTCTCGGCCCCCCGAAATTATGCGTGTATAGGCGGCCGCCAACCCTGTCGTGTTGAGCAGCCTCATGAATGGTATATGTAAAACACAGCGTGTTTGGAAACCGTTCAACAAGGTCGTATTGGCGTTGGAATTCGTCCATGTTGGTCGGGCTGCCGCTTTGCGATCCGCCGCTCTTGGCGGCCATGTGGAACAATTTCCAGTTGAGGTAGTCGAGCACCTTTGCGGCGAAAAGGCCAGCGACTCCGGCTCCAACAATGCCAAGGGGAATAACTAAACGTTCTTTTGGAGGGACCTTGGGTGTATCGTGAGGTTTCGGAGCAGGCGGTAAATACGGATCCTCAATATCAAACATGCGGGGATCTTCCGGCAGTGATGGTTCATGCCTTATATTGTCGCTCCGCAATCGCACAAACTCCTCCTTGATCCCTCGGACGGCGTGCTGGCTGGCCCATTGGTCTCTAAGAGACAAGTTTGATCCTTGATCCAGTGACATGTTCAAAGTATGGGTGGGTGTTGTATGATGTGCTGTGTTGGCCTCTGCGCAGTTCAACGGGAGCTGGCGAAAAGAGAGAGCCTGGAACTTGAAATGTAAACGATGGCTCTCCTTGGGATGAGAAAACGAGAACGGATATCCAGCGGCGTCGTGGCACTACTTGTACTTTTTGCCCTTCCCCCCCTTTGCTCTGGCCCTTTACGAATGCCGGAGCCAAAGGGGAGTCGGACAGCATGCTTGGACGAGTCACAGAGCAGATGTATCCTGTAAGCCACAGGTTATTTTGTTGAGAACACCAGACGTCTCTCCATCAACGGCGCATCAGCGGCAATCAAGCGAGAACATGCGGATCCCCTGCTCAACTTTTAACTTTCATCACGTACAAAAGAAACGAAGCAGCGCTGAAGAAAAAGTGGGCAGGTGATATCTGATACCAAATGCATACATGTATACTCGGTAGCTGTTTGCATCACATGCCGGATAGCAAAGGACGTTTGGTTGCGTACTTATGAGACATGGAGCCCTCCTTTGTAGTCGGCCATTTTGCTAGTCAGGTAATGCTGACGCACAACTGTCTAGCCACGAGTGTGCAACGAAACATGTCGATTATCAGAAAACTTGACGTACAAGCAGGATGGCGAGATGAGCTGTTGCCGCGTCGCGCGTTGCGTCAAGACGAGCTCCTCGACTCAGTTGTGTTGCATCGATGTCCTTTGCGATGCCAGCTTACACTTCAGCCACCTGGGACTACATATGTAGACTTGACGCAGGTTGACTCGAGCCGCAGCATCGCTGATTATAGGGTGAGGAAACAGATGGGATTTCGGGGCGCTCGCACGTCCTCGCATAGATCGTGAGGAGCCGTCGCCGACTGTGCTGGTTATGCCCACGATAAACGGACACATGTTGCAGAAACGAGCAACGTCTGGTTACGCATAGAGAAAGTGATTTGATGAGTTTTGACTTGCAAACTGGTAGCAGCTCCAGCCCGTTAAGATGAATCGTCTTCCTAAGCCTCCGTGAAACGCCTGCAATGCCTGGCGATGTACACTTTACAACGGCAATGTTTGCCCCTGTCTGTCTTCTCTTTGGAGTTGCCGTCTGGGACATGAGCTTATTCCCGTATTTTCAGCCCGAAAAGTGCGCCAAGGCATGAAATCAGGTGCCTGGAGATACCTTCAATCGATCCATATCTGCTGATTGTGACGAGCAGGATGAGCAAGGGTTCATGTTTGGCTGCATATCCTGGCCTACTATTCTTGTCTTGTTCCCATGTGCTCTGCTAATCAAACCTTTGCGACGTATAGGCCAAGAAGAAGCATTTTTCCCCGCTGGCAGTCAGGCTGCTCTCATATAAAGCCTGTATTGGAACTTGGAACGGACAGCTTAGCTATTTGCCAACTCGCAGCATATCCGCACCTTGATACGCTTGATAAGACTTGGCTGGTTTGAAGCCACAGGTGGACCAGATCTTCCACGGACACACCCTCCTCGATCAGATGACTTCACGGGAATAGAATAATCTAGCAGGACGGTGCTGAACGTCTCGGTGGTGCTGATGTTGCTGACACAACGTTTGGTCCGACGAACAAGGACATTATCCGACTCGTGATGGTCTGACTATGATACGGTATGTATTCATATGGCTACGGCTCCAGGCTAACCAGCCACAACTTGAGCCTGGCAGTCGTTTCACCTTTGATTGACATAATGCGCTCTGGCTATCCTTTGAAGCTTGCTTGCTTAACTATACGAGAGCCATTGTATTAATGCCCAAAAAAGTAAGATAAAAGGGTATGTCATTTACTGCCATCCAAGGCCAAGAAGCGTTGTGAATCGATCTCATCGGCCAGCCACCATGCGATGCCAGCTCCTTGACTTGATGCGCCTGACCAAAATGCCGCAATCTCCCCCCAACAGAGCCCCCAAGACGCACCGTGCCATCATCGACATGATAGGGCTGACGAGCTCCCTCCCGCAGTCATGGCTGTCAGAAAGCGAGCTCCGATCAGCCGCAATCTGACGACCTAGGTCTAGACTCCTGCACCTGGTCAATAGACCACTTCAGCCTCACGCTCTCAACCTGCGGAATGTATGCACTGCAAACGAGAGAAACTGGGTAAAAACGCCTCGCGGGTCCAGGGGTAGCCCTTGCGGTCAGACATGGCTGCGAGCTTAATAGTTTAAATTGATGCTTGTTCACTCGTATCTGGCACTTATATCGTGCTCTCGACGCTGGCTCGACATGGAGGTGCACCGCATCGATCCGAGACCGTGATTTCTTGCCTCCCTTTGCTCATCACGGCCATGGATTCCTTTGCCAAAGCGTTCCAGAAAGGCCTGGCCAAGACAGTCGCCGCCGGCCAGCAGCAGTTGCAGCAACGACTGTCCAAGCACGACCAGCAGAACGCGAGTGTGAATACGTACGGGACGGGCCCTCAGGCCCAGGCGCAGTATGCGTACGGCAACCAAGGCTCACATCAGGTAGCTAGCTACATGTATAAATCGCTTCTCCCCCTCAACCCTATTCTGATTCAATCTAGGCGCCGCCCGCGGCCCAGCAGATGTACTTCCCGCCGCCAGCAGGAACACGCCCATCTCAATACCAGTCTCATGCTCAGCAGAATAGCTCGTCGTACGGGCAGTATACGCCGACATCTGTGAATAGTCCACACTTGTCGACTGCACAATCGTATGGTAGTCACACGAGCACACCTGCTTCTCAGGCCGGATATCATGGATACGGTCACCAGCCTCCGCCGTTGCCGCCCCGGACTAGCCAGCAACCACTGGTGAATGGCTCGTCGAGTTATGAAAAGGCTGCGTCCTACAGGCTCCAGGATACTAATGCTGGCGGGTATTTTTCTGCGGCGGCTACGCAGCACGCTTATGGCACGCCGCACGGGCAAACCGCTCATGGCAATCCTGCACCAGGAGTCTCTTCCGCGACAGGTTATCCCCCGCCGCCGGCGCCTCGAGTGAATCAACAGCCGGGGAATACTTATTACCCGTATGCAGATTATGGCAAGGATACGGTTTGTAGACCCCCCGAGCATTCTGTCAATGTAGACCAGGGACAACCTTGTGCCATGCCTGCTGAACCGGTCAAGAATCCGAGTCAGCATGGCAGTACTTATGCCATGTCTTCGCTTGGGGTTCAGCAGCAGCAGAGCGAGACTGTGTCCCTTTCAGCGGCGAATGCTGATACTTGGGCAAACACGCAAACTCGGCCAGTGGCTGCAAATACACCGTCTCTCCAGCAGTATCAACCCGTGGCTGGAACAGGCTCAACCACTCCAGTTGTGCAAACGCATCAGAACGCATATGGGAGATCAGAAAACACGTACTCGTATAATGCGCCAACGACAACATTTGTCAACCCATACACTACGCTCGAGAACAAACAGGGCTCTCTCACGGCGTCAAACACGGCCCCAGATCAGCAATATCGGCCTGTCCTGGCACAGGAGCCAAGCCTTCCGGTCAACAACACGAGCTACAACGAATACACAAATACAGTTTATGCTCAAGCCTATCAGCCACCGCTTGAGGCCGAACAGAGCCCACCGGCAGCATCTAACCCCGGCCCTCCGATACAAGGCCCGGACCGGGGCGGCACGGCTCAACATGACCGACCTCAGAATGATGCGGCATCCATAGCTCAGCAGATGAACAGTCTCAGCATACACGGCAACTCGGCCGCCTCGCCAGACAATACCCGCGGTCCATTGCAAAACCCTAAACCTAAACCCCCTCCAGTGGTAGCCAGCGGCCCACCAAGGGACATAGTCCGGTATTGCCCTGAAGATCGTGTCGTCGAATACTCCCTCTACTGGTACCACCTCCCAGAGATACCAGGATTCCTCATCTGCACCAAATGCCACGAGGATCACATCCGAGGCACGCCGCTAGCGGGACAGTTCAAGCGAATCCTCGCCGAGGAAGGATCCTCCTCTACCTGTCGATTCTGGTACCCGCGCGTCAAAGACCACCTGTGGAAACAAGCCCTCCAGCGCAACGACCTAGACGGCCTGCGGGCCTACGCGACCCATCGCCTCACGATCCCCAACTGCAAGGGCAAAGAAGCGACGACTGGAAAAGAAGGCGTCAAGTACTACGGGATGCGGAACAACGAGATCAAAGGGTTCATCACCTGCGAAGCATGCTACGAGGACAAGATCGCCGGCACCGCATTCGCATCCAGCTTCACGCCGCGCGACGGCCAAGGCGCCGAGGACAAATGGATCTGCGACACAAACTCAGCGTACGTGAATCGCGCCCTTGCGCGCTTCGCCGAGGGCAACGACTGGGCCGGCTTCGTCGAGGGGGCCACGCGCCGGCTCCAGCTGCCCGTTTGCGAAGGCGCATCCAAGCCCGCCAGCGAAGGGCCCTGGTACGTCTTCCGCCGGAAGCTGGACAACTTCCACGCCTGCGCGACGTGCTTCATGGACAAGCTGGCGCTGACGGCGTTTGAGGGCGCCTTCGACGCCGTAAACCAGAACGTCGGGTTCGACGCGTGGATGGAGATGCTAGGGCAGCGCTGGACATGCGACCTGACCAACAACTCTCTGCCCGTGCTTGTCGCTCTCGAGGCGGCCCTCTGCGACGACGACGTTGACGGGTTCTGGGAGACTGCGCGGACTGTTAGCAAGCTGGTGCCGTGTACGGCCAAGGGCATCGTACGCGGCAACTGGTGGACGTTGGGCGGGGGGTGTGACGACTTCGACATCTGCGAGGCGTGCTACGTCGGTGTTTTCAAGGCCAAGGGGCTCGGGGGGTTTCTGGAGCCGGCGGCCCGGGACCCCGAGGCGACGCTCGTGTGTAACTTTTGCCCGGCGAGCCCGCGGTTCCGCCAGTTTGCCGACAAGTACCTCGAGGCGCTGGACCGCGGCGTCTTCAGCTACTACGGCGACTGCGTGCGCAAGTTCGCCGCCGTGGCCCCGTGCCCGGGCATACACGACCGCGAGAAGGCCAAGTGGTGGGGGTACCCGGAGGCCCTG